GTCGAAACGCATCTTTCACCAAGAAAAGTCTTCTGTGGTTCGGTTTTAAGTCCACACTGTGCCAATGCACAATTGTATTTTAAAGCTGTGTTGCTGCTTTTCAGTGTTCCATCAAAGTTGGTTTTGTGTTATCTAATTGTGTATCATATCGCAAATGAGTATTATCTGATGACATTTTGAATCGATTTAGACTGTCACCGCGGGCCCGCTGAACTTTGACTTGTTTATCTTTTTTATTCTTTTCATTCAGTTGTCATTATCTGTCTTAACCTATTTTTTATGTGGTCCTGGTACATGCCGGTTTCCAGTACAAGGTGTTATATTTGTTTACTGAGATTTGTCACCAGGGTACTTTAGACCCCGTGCGTCGCCATTATTCCTTTCTAAAGGGGGGGGGAGCAAAGCACATCCCCCCCCCAAAAAAAACTCCTTGTACCTTCTCCAGCATATTCTCAATTCATCTTTTTTTTTCAGGGTGGGCGGGGGGACCTCCCTACTCCCATTGACACCCCTGCAGACGCCCATTTTATTAAATGTGTATTATATTACATGTAATAGCAATATGACTTCACACCTCTTTTTTTTTCTTCTTCTTCTTGTGTTCTCCCTTTGGGGGGGTTGCTTTTCCGGAGGGCAAGCGCCCCCTTGTCCTCCCCCCCCCCCTGCGACGCCCATGAAGACAAGCATTACTTTATGGTTGGTATGTAAATCATGTGACATTATTTTGTTTACAAAAGTGAAATGTTGTAGTCACATGATGCCAACTTTCAGCAAACGAAAGTGTACTGCATGCGTATCCCTTGAAATATGAATGGCTTTTAAAGACTTGGCATGTACAGTGTACTTGGGGTGAGATGGTCTGATTTCATCACCAACGAGGCCATCTCTCAGAAAACCAGGCTGGAGGATATTCGCTGCATTATATCTTCACGGCGTCACTCCATCTTCGGGCACATTCGTCGACTCCCTAGCAACACCCCAGCACACGCCGCCCTCAAGCTGGCCGTTGATGCATCTACAGGAGCCAAACCTGATCCTGGTTCGGGTCACGACCACCCGGCCGACCCTGAAATACCTGGATGGGACAGCTTGAGGCTGACCATGCTCTGTCAGCCCCTGCCCTGTGGCTCATCTCGACAGATCGGTTGGCATGGGTGGCTCGACGTCCCATAGGGTAGCAGACCAGTAAATAAACTTCCATAGACCCCAATGGTAAATGCTCCCACTTCAGAAATTCGGGAAAAATACTCACAACTCTCCAAGGTGTTCGAGACACACATCAAATTGAAGCTTATTTCATCATTTTTCATTTTCTTTTCAATTTTGGGGGGGTCAACTGATGACTTTTAGGAGAAATTTCCATCTGAAGATGATCAGCCCTGAAAATAGTCCTGAAGCCCATCGCCATTTTGAAAAACGATGCCTACACTCCATTGCAAAATAGAGCGGTTTTAGGGTCCAAATTACATCCAAATTACACAGAACTGCAAGCTCCCGGTCCTGTGCACAGCTTCCACCCATAATTTTTACAAACCCTCAAGTTCATGGCCCACAGCATGCTCAAATACTGAAGATTTTGAGGGCATGCAAATCGTGATTTGGCCGGCGTAGGCAATTTCGGACCGATTTACTGGTCTGCACCCATAGCTGGATTTGGAAACTGATGATGATGATGATGATGTACTGTGCAATGTAGGCCCACGCCATTTTGGGGGAATGGATAAGTCGGGACACAATTCTTTGGTTGAGGACTGTGTTTACCGTGATCATTTTTCCGCAAAAATATTTTAATATACATTGATTAACTAAACTGATTGAAGCGAACTTAGACAAAGAGTAAATCGAATGAATTAAATAAGTTGAACTGAGTGAGTAGCTGAAATAGAATGAACAGGTTGAACGACATAGAATAGAATAAAATGGAATAGAATGAGGAACTGCTCATGGAGGAGTACTTATATATACTTGTGGAAACAGGACGTCTTGGGAATACGAAATACTTACAAATCGGGATACCTATAAGTCATGTCTTGGTTTCCTTGATTCTCAGAAAGATGACTATGAATGATCAAGTAATAGTACCTTAAAACAATGATAAAGTAACTTGGCTGTAAGAAACTGACCAGTGATTTGTGTGTACTTGCTCTGCAGTGTTGTAGTACTCGGTACTCGTACTCGAGTACTACTCGAGTACTTTTTTGGGAGTACTCGTACTCGCACTCGTACTCGAATGTCAAAGTACTCGTACTCAATATGACGGTACTCGTACTCGGGCAGCAAAGTACTCGTACTCAACATGTCGAAATTGTACGCGATCATCAAAGTACTCGTACTCGAATAGCAGTACTCGAAAAAGATGGTATAGCTTGACTTACCACGGCCTTATTTATTATAAATATTTTCAGTTGGAAATGGTTGATTGGCTTGCAAAGAAATCAAAGATTCCTGATTTTCCTCTGTGCACGTCCGGACAATTACATTAAACAGCTAGCCGTGAGTGGGTCTGTGAACTATGTGGCAGTCTAAATGGGCCTGGGCCAATTACGCACAATGACCCATTTGCGGTATGGCCTTATTCGGAAAAACAAGTACTTGTACTCGTACTTGTACTCGGAATACAAGTACTCGTACTCGTACTCAGACGTACAAGTTCTCGTACTCGGAAACCAGAAATTGTGCTTGGAATTACAAGTACACGTACTCGTACTCGTACTCGCACTCGGTAACCTAAGTACTCGGCAGTACTCGGCAGCACTCGGCAGCACTCGGCAGCACTCGGCAGCACTCGGCACTCTGAAAAAAGTACTCGACTACAACACTGTCATTCTGTATAAAACTATATAGGGACTGCACATGATAGGCTCTGGGTGGGTGTATGTGTGTACAAGGAAAACGATGAGCAATGCATTCAGTAGAATTAACCGTTATACAAAAATGATCATTAAACAGTTCAAAGGAACACTGATAATTAAAGTGTGATATTTAACTAAAAATTCAGACGATTTGATATTTAGGAATTGACAATCTGAAACGCTACACCATAACATGCAAATGATGCTTCAATGTTTGGGTTTTCCGGCGGTCACAGTCAAGGGCGGATCCAGGGGGGGGGGGCCAAAGGGGGCCATGGCCCCCCCCCCCCAAAAAAAAAACGAAACCAATTTTTTTTTTTTTTAATGTGACATCGCAATAAAGGCAGGCAATGAGTACACCACCATCTTTTCCTCAAAAAAACATTGGTTAAAGTGGTCAGAAATTGCCTCAGATCGCACAACAGAGCATCTAGAATCCAAAAAATTTTCGGGGCCCTTAAGCGGGCCCCGAACCCCACGCCGTAATTTTTTTACCCACTTTTTTGGGGGACCAAAATTTTTTTTGGCCCCCCAAAAAATTGTGTTATGGATCCGCCCTTGGTCACAGTCGGTCGGCATGACGTCACAGGGCATGTTGTCTCATTTCTGTAACGCAGATACGGTCCCTTTCGTATAATGGATAGCTTTCCAGATTTCCGGTCTTTTTAAAGTCTCATTTAATCCAAAAGTCTCATCATTGACACAAAAGTGGGTAAGAAGAACAATCTCGACAACCATTGAACAATAATGATTGTGTTATTACCAAGCAGTGACTTTCAACAGTTTTTGTTCTTTCTGATCTGACACCAAACTTTAATTTATAAGTTCCAAACTTAGACATACTATATGCTAAGTTACATATTTAAAGTTGATCAAATATTGGAAGTAATACACACGAATTGCAGCTGGATATGGAACGCGGTTGCTCTTTAAGCGTGTTACGATTAATCTATCCACGTCACTCACGCCTAAAATAGAAACAAATGAAATATTGTTTTGGTATAAGCAACAAACTATTTTGTCGATGACGGAGCATACTAGGCATATACGGCTTTTAAGGGGAAAAACACAAGTTAGAGATTCGTTTTTAGAGAAATAGATTGAATTTGTAAAAACGTAAAGGCTTGCGACAGAGTTAAAGCAGTATACATCTTCTTGTAGGCCTACTGCATTATTACAAACGTATTAAATATTTAATTCAAACTATTTCATAAACATCTATTAGATCAGTAACATATTCGAGAGCATTTACACATTTGTTCAGTATAGTTATTGGTAAGGCCTACAGCATATTCCACAGCAAACGTACCACGTGTCCTACTTTTGATTTTGAATAGCTCTGTTGTTTTCAAATGGAATTAAACCATTTTTTTTTAGATCATGTAAACAAGGCATGACAAATTGTGTGGAGCGACTTTCATCAGTTTTGTGCAAGATGGTGAGATATAAACGCCATGTCGACTTGTCGATATAGCGGTGGAGACGGTGGCGGAAGCCACGTGCTGCGGCATGATATCAGCGATAGTTTATGCATAGGAAAAAGAAGTCATTTAAAAAATAATTTAAGCTAGGTGGCGGCATCTGGATATCCATTTGTCTGCCGATAAGGTCCACCTATTCGTTGCCGCTTCACCATACTTCATTCACTTGACTTTAATAAGCAAATAGTTTGATCAAGATTATAGGCCAGTAAATAAGCCCAAAATTGCCTACAATGTAATCAAAACTGTGCAAGTTCTTAAAGAAAGTTTTGTGGCCCATTAACTTGAGCGATTCTTAAACATGAATAATGCCCCAGATCTGGACAGGACTTTGAGCGTACACTTAAACGAAAAATGTGGATTAAGCTTATTCATTTTTGAAATGCAGCTGAGGGATATTTCAAAATGGCGAGAAGAGGCTGGGAAGTACTTTTGGAGACGGTCACCTCTCAGTAAAAAGCATTCAAACGTGAAAGGAGGTGTAGACCAAACTTTAACTTGATGTTATGTCAAGAAAAGCTGAAGGAGATAAGAGTACATTGCGTGATGTTTTAGAAATGAGGGCATTTATCACTGTTTGATTAGGCCAAGTAGGTCACAGATCTTCAATCTTAGAGCTTGGTGGTGGTTTTGAGGTGCTAGGTAGGCCCGTACCTGCAAACAACTATCAATTGTTAGGTGACCATACTGTGCACAATTTGGACTTGCTCAGCACAGCCTTACAGTCCTGCCTGAACCGTCTGTTTGCCAGACCGTAGATGAGCGGGTTCACAGCGTTGTTGATGTACACCGCTACCAGAAGCTCCTGGGAGATATACCGGGAGATGTCATCTAGGACAACACCAGCGTATTCTGCTAACCCCATACCGAACCAGATGAAGTATGGCGTCCACGTCAAGAGGAACACCACACTGGTGATGAAGAGCATTCTAGTTGTCTTACGCTGTAGGACTGCAGCACCCACCCTCTGAGGGGCGTGTCCATTCCCGTTATCGGCCGGCCTAGGAGCTTGGTTGTTGTCTCTGTTCCCGAAGGAGGCCCGTACATCTGCCTCAAGCGGGACATCTCTTCGCATTGGGTGCTGGGGTTGCCGCAGTTTCAACAAGTTCGGAACAGTTTGTGTGGGCATATGGCTGTCATTTTCGGCGTTCGCCAGCTTCGTCATCTTCACCCCAGGGCTTGCTTGAGAGGAGCTTGGCTGGTTTGCGAATGTCGACATCGCTTCGTCGACATTGGATATCGACACTGCTATGGTGGTGTGTGGCACCTGCGTCGAACTCCCTTCGTCGGACCGCGTTGGTCGAAGAACGGCCCCGACCCGCACGTGTCTCCTGATAGTGGCGTAGACTTTCCCGTAGCACACGGCAATCGCCACAAGCGCAATCGCGAAAGCAACAGTCTGGAAAGCCATCTGCAGCTTGAACAGGACTGGGCTGTAAAAGTCAGTGATCCTCAAGAAAGCTGGGATGCTGGTACCAAACGAGATAACCAGTCCGACCCCGACAGCTATCTTACCGCGTCTGGGGGTAAAGTAACGCCGTTGTGGACGGCATATGCAGTCGTAGCGATCCGCTGCAATGATCGTTGTGATCACGATAGATGTACCGATTGCGATGGACTCCACGGGCCAAAGATAAAACACTAGTGCGGCCTGTTCGCCCGCACCTATCAGCTCCAAGATTCGCTGGACTATGGCAGTGCTCCTCAGCAAGCAGACGACAAGATCGGCCCAGGCTAAGGCCATAATAAGAACGTGGGTGCTGGTCTTATGGCTCTTAGTCCAGTACACACGGAGGATGAGGCAGTTGCCAGGCACCCCGAATAAGAACAAGATAGAGTTGGCGATCACGTGGAATATATCAAAAGGCTTTGTGGACGTTGATGTGTCTTCTGAAAGCTCGCTGGAATTCCAGGTACTTTCCATGGTGTCAACTATGGTCTCACAAAGATATAGATCTTTTAATTAACACTCCTCAAAATAATTGTGAGGATTGCTCTTAGGTATTGAAAGGTTCTAAACTTGGAGCTATGTGCGCAAGAACCTTACAAGACCTCAGCAGTCATGTCAGTCATATCAGTGTGATTATAGCGGCGAGTAGGCCCAAAGTGCGCCGAACATGAACCTATCGATAAAACCAAGTGACGTCCCATGCGAGCCAAGTCGATATTTGTGTCACTTAAATTTGCTCCCTTTTGTGCGCACGTTTGCTTCTTAAAGGTTGTACATGTCACTCATTGTTTCAATATACCGCTTGCATTGTATTGTAGGCCTACCTATGTTTGCATATAGTCACGTACAACACGGTCTTGTGGTAAAATTGGGAAGGAAAAAATGACTCGTGCACTACATTTTTGTTCGCAACGACGTACAGAATGGTTCACATCAAAGGGTGTAATAACTAGCTTTATTCGTCATTTCGGGAATGTCTATTTGCGCTCCGTGTATGAAAAAATAGAAATTACAACCCAATCTCACGGACAATTAAGAAAGGTAAACACACTGCGTTAATGTAAAACTCAACGGAAACGGGACTAATTTTGCGTTGCCGATATACGGCACATTTCATACAGAATTTTAAAGGAAAATGAACTTATTGCAAAGGGCGCATGCATGTGTTATGTTTTTTTCCTCCAAGCGGACCTAATTGGGTGCTTAAAGCTATGTTTCATGCAAAATCCCCTCTGTGGTACATGCAAGTTCACTTTAATATTTGAAATATTGCATTGGTACAAAACAAGGTCGAAAGTTTCGAAACTCCATGAATAAGCAATTTGGGGCTACATGTATAACAATCTGGTTCTTTTGTTGTGTATAGGCTTCCTGGCAGAGTTAATTCAAGAAAATATCAAGAAATAGTGTTTCTAGAATGAAACGTCCTGCAGTTAAAATCCGAGTTTACGTTTGCTCCCTGTCTCCATATCCATAGGCGCCAAGGGCGGATCCAAAACAAAACATTTTTCGGAAGGGGGTGGGGGCAAACAAAATTTGGGTCCCCAAAAAGTGAGTCCACAAAATTACGGCGTGGGGTTCTAGATGCTCTGCAGTGAGGCAAGTTCTGACCACTTTTCACCATTTTGTTTGAGGAAAAGATGGTGTTGTACGCAGTCCCTGCCTTTTATACGTCACTTTAAAAAAATATTGGCCGCGTTCGGGGTGTTTTTTTTGGGGGGGGTGGCCCCCGTTGCGCCCCCACCCCTGGATCCGCCCTTGATAGGCGCTAGTGTCCTCTAACTCCTTTGGCTTCTCATTTGCTACTCCACTGCAAACCCGGCCGCAGTGTCCGGCCGCCTCCCTGACCGACTGACCGCCCACTGACATGTCACTGAGCCGGGCAGTGCTGTTGAATTATGATTTCCCCGTAATAACGCCGCCAATGTTTACGTAACATACCTAGTGTCGACAATCCTTTGTTTTCATGAAGTTAGAAATTTAAAAAAAAAACTGTGGAAAAACTCCTTTTGCTCACACCGTGAAAACTCTTTCAACCCAATTTGTTTTTAATATGCTTCCCTTGAGTGTTTCTCTTCATTTTGGGACGGATAATCCTAACCCCAAAATGCCTCTAAACCTGTTTTCCAGAGAGGGGAAACACTGTGTGGACGTGGGCAAGTCCACACAACGTATCTGAAACTTGGTTTATGTGGACATCCTTGTTCGGAAGTCCACACTGGGAATGAAATGCTTGCATAATGACATCCGACCCATTGTGTAGACCAGATGCATGAAAAGACTTCCAGTGAATAACCATTCTGGATGAAATAAATAGAATTGTGTGCACTCTGGGACCAGCGTTTGTAGGCTTGCCTTGCCCTGTTTTGAAGATGAATAGGATCATTTTCTTTTATCCCAAAAGTCAACCTACCGATTTATTATCGAAAAGATCGTACTCAGTGTCATGTGACACGGGGCGGATCCGGGGGGGGGGCCAACCGTTGGGGCCAAGCCCCCCCCCCCCCCAAGTGAATTCGCAATAAAGGCAGGCACCATCTTTCCCTCCCCAAAAACAATTGGTTAAAGTGGTCAGAAATGGCCTCAGAACGCACCACAGAGCATCTAGAATCCAAAAAAAATTCGGGGCCCTTAAACTGGCCCCGAATCCCACGCCGTCATTTTTGGGACCCACTTTTGGGGATCCTAAAAACAAAATTGGCACCCCCTCCAAAAATTGTGTTCTGGATCCGCACTTGTTAAACATTCCGTCTGGCTTGCTGTCATTTAGAAGAAATCAAGAAATTGTAGGTGATTTCCAATGGTCAGTCAATTGACTGATTTTGGGAAATAAAGAGTGTTTACACGATATTGTGTTTCGTGATGGAACGGTTGTGGGAGTTTTCTTCACCATTTGCGAAAGGTTAGGTCTTGAATTGACATATTTTTTTTGCATATAGAACACTGATATTTAAAATTACGACACAAGGTCATCAAAATAATAAGCTTCATCTCAGTAAAACTAGAACATCCCTACACCTTTCAGCTAGACACCAGACACCAGGGGCCCCTCCTTGGCGTAGCCAGGGTTTTCATCCTGGGGGCGATTTGGGTGGGGGCTGGATGTTATGTGTGGAGGGGCGCCAAATTTCTTCCGTGCTCAAAGGTATAGACATGTTTTTTTGTCACCGGATACCCGGCCTTTGAGAATCAAAATACTGAGTGTTGGGGGGCGGGGAGGCTGGACACCATCTTTTTAATGGGGGCGCTGTTCAAAACCGAAGACATGGCCATGATTGTCAAACAATATGTATCGCTCTTGGCGGCGTTCCACAGGACGTTCAAACAAACAGCAAATCGTGAAAAAAACAGGGTTTTTGCCAAAAGTACAATAAAGAAAGGGCAGTTTTTGAAAAAAGCCCATTTTCTCCAACGCCAGTCAGCCGACCAGCGCTGAAAAAATATCGTTTTTCTTTAAAATGTCACGGCACGTCCACCAGGAGCTACGATTTTACACGGATGCTTTAGACTGATGATTCCCTAACAATCCAGTAAGGTATATTTTGTGATAACTTGATCATTTCGTTTTTTTGATGTTTGCAAATGTTGTATCTTCCCTTTAAAGCATTCACGAGACGCAGGCGCGGATCCAGGGTGAGGGGGGGGGGGGTCCAAAAAAAACCAAAACCCAGCTCAGTCTATCGATTTTTTTCCATAGAAATTCATAACAAATAATACGAACCCCAATTGATTTTCGGAGGCCAACTAGTGTCCGGAGGAAAAACCTGTCTACATTTCAGATTGTTTTGCTGATGAACCCCCCCCCCCTCCCTCCCCTGCGAAAATTCCTGGATACGCCCCTGGGACGAGTGACGATTTGAGTTTAGTGGTTCTCGAAAAGTGCAGTTCTCAAGCGATGTTGCTCGGCTCCCCGTGATTGTTATTTTCGACTTTCACTCCGAAAATTGTAATTTTTTGCTATTTTTCTAGCAATTTATATTAAAAACTCCGCCGACGTTAGTTTTGGTGCGATGTGGTCGGCGCCGCGCGCAAGCAACCCGCAATATTAAACGAGTATTTTTCCAGGGGGCTAAAAACTTCAAATAGAAAAGGGTGGTTGTCCCGTTTAAATAAAAAACACACAAACGTAAATTTCTTTTAGGAAAACATCGATTATGTAAAAGAGCACAGGTGGAGCAACTTATAAGGCTGAGTACTATAACCTTTTGTGCACTTTGTTCCTAAAGTAAAATAACAAAGAACATGCAATTTTGACCATAGATCGATTATAGCCCCCTCTATTGACGGGCATGTGCCACATGTTCAGCGCTGTTTCCGGTGACAGGGTGAGTGGTGTTGACAACTACAACTTCAAGTTTCAATTCCGTAAACTGCACTCGACATTCTTTGAGGCAGCGTGATATTATTTTGACAGTAGATAAGAGCTCTGCCCTGCGATTGTAGCAGCGTATTCACCATGCCAGGATGGATGCCTTCGTGCCTCCGGGGATCCAAGGATGGTAAGACACTGAAACATATTTGCCCCAAAAGTTTGAAGTTCAAGCTTTGCGGATTATGCGCGGTGAAGCGTTGCCCGAGTTGTTGAGAGGCAGGTCATGTGTGTAGCCTTCTACATTTCCTACACCATAATCAGATAGTGGTTGATGTCATTGTACTGTCATTACAGATAGTGAGATACAACATCTTGCGGTATCAATCGATTCCATATGGGGCGTATTTTTGTGTTGACTGAACACACAAGAATGGGGTTTCGATTTTCGGAAAAAATTCCGTACTCGGACGTCACTTTTTTCAATTAATTTTCTAGCGCCAAAAGTTACATCTTTTATGGTTATTCCTCCACTTTCCCTCCTCTACTCTCACCCTCTCCTTTCCTTTATTTCTATTTATTAATCAGTCAGTTACTTCATCGGGATTCGAACCTCTGACGCTTGCTTGATACACGAGACTCTTAACCGCTAGGCCGCGCACGATCGCTGTTGCAATAATCAATCTTTGGACGTATTTGAAGTATCCATTGAAATAAACTAAATATTCATGAGAAAATAAATATTCATAATGACGTATTGCACTATCATTGGCAGGCTCATGCGACGTCATGGTTGTTGATGTCACGTGTATAATGTACCGCTTTCTTTCAGCCACTACAATCAGTTTTGACCGGCTGATTCAACATGTTCAAGTTAGTTCTGCACGACGTATGCATCCAAAATGTGCTCTAAAAACACATTTTGAGTAAATTTTTTTACACAGCTTCCTGGATTTCTCTTGGTTCAAATGACAAGGTGAGGTGACAATTAATATGTTTGGCAGCAGATAAATTGACGTCCGAGTACGAAACTTTTCCCCGATTTTCACTGCCCACTTTATTTTTAGTATAGTAGGCAGTATTTATAGTAGGCTACATGAAGAACGTCAAGAACAAAGATGGCGGACTTAGGCCGCTACTGCAATTTGCGTTATTTTATGGCATAAAATTGAAAACTTAAATGGTCTGGCAACAGTAGAGTCAAAGCTACTCACTCGACTTAGGGGGTTTACACGTTTTTTGCCGGTAGGGCGCCCTAGGCCTATTTTAAATTTCCGTTCAAATTACATGTACAAGCAAAAACCAAAACTCACCAGTGAAACAAGATTGATCCTTTATGCAGCAGAGGATCCTCTCAGAATGACAATGGTTCAAGCTGAACCCGAAAAAAGGTATATAGTGCAACTCCAGGTGTGTACAAAAGAATTCCCTTAAAATTGCTAATAATGTACACGTACATACGAAGCGAATCGTGCGCGTCGGGGACAAAATCGCATCCGAGGATCAGAACAGCCATCACAGGGCACCTTGATTATGCTGAGTAGGACATGCAACAGCCGTTGGGTCAATGGACTGTAGTCGCTGTACTGTGTATGCAGAATGTACTACTGACCAGACGGCAGTTGGGCCTACATGTCCTATTCAGTATACATGTAAATTTAATCAAATAAATCAAAATAATTAGTTTAACTTACCTGTGCAAAGGGGCGGCGGAACCGGGGGGGGGGGGGGAGCATTTGGCCACCCAGATTTTCCCAAGTGGCCCTTTTGCGGCCATAAATGTGCCCCTCGAGCATAAAAGTGCCCCTCAAAAGAAACGCCCTTAAAGTATCTTACTATTTCTTAGAAGTAACCATTTCGCAATAATGGTACAGATAGTTTTGATATAAACGAGGAATATGAAAACCAAGCCCCAAAATCCTTACAATACACCCTGAAAATGGGCACATAATGCATAGTTAGCATATAATCATCGGTTTTTGAAGAGCCGTCTCCCCCCCCCCCCCCCCCCACCACCACCACCACCACCACCACCACTATTTGATTTTTCAGAGGCCAAGTGTCCGGTGAAAAACGCGTGTCGACCTTTATTCAGCACGGATGTGCTAAAAAAAAAAAATGCTGAGCAAGTGCCCCTTTTTGGTGATGCCCCCCAGTTTCAAACCCGTTCCGTCGCCGCTGCCTGTGCAATTTGGAAGAAAAGAGAAATTTCCCATTCAAAACTGAATGTACTTTTTCCACTGACAAGTTAAGTTCTGATTTATTTGAATGTGATCCCGAAGAACAACATGAATAACTGTGCATTCTGATCACAAACCTTGGATATCGGTAGAGTTCAAAGAGGAGTATCTGACTTTCAGAAAGTGAATATCTGGTTTAACAATCAAACCTCTAATTGTGTTCTGCTCAAAACATGGGGATATATTTAAGGTGGCCCTAAAAAAACCTAAAAAGAAACTGAGACAAGTGTTTTTTTCTTCCACGACATGCATTTTACTCCACAGAATCACATTTTTATTCAAGACATCACATTCTTTTTAAAATGTTAAATTTGCATAATTTGTTTAATTTTGTCTACCTTATTGTGTACACATGTAATTCCTTTATAAAACTATTGAGGACGTAATATTTATGCCAAATTTTTTCGACATGATTAAACAAAAACGATAAAAAGACTTCCTTTAAAACTTTATTCATAAATACCTAAGACAGTTTAAGCATTCCTATTGGTCGAGAGCCCGTCACCTGGCCAGTCTTAAACGGATGATAAAGACATGGCTAGCTGGTCTTAAACACTTTTCCAGTGTCACAATAAAATGTAGACTCCTAAAAATTCAGTGCCTCTTATCGTTTCCTTGGTTGAACGTTCACAATATTCACGTAGGCATGCGCAACACTACCAGGGAGTCAGAATTTTATAGTTCTAAATTCAAAACCCAATGCGCCAGGTGCATTCTGCGCTACATCGCGCAGAACATGATACGCGCGCGTCAATCTCCATAAAAGGGTTGTTTGCATCTTACTCGCCAGCTGAACACTCTATTATTTTGCAAGAGGAATGTTTCAAAAAGCATAAAGTGAATTTGTTGAACAAAATCGGGATGTTTTGAACGAATTATATGATTTTTTTTTACCGAAAAGGTATTTATGAATGGGAATAAATATGTGCTCCGTCGGTATTTATCACTCTATTTAAGACCACTTAGAGTCTGGGTGCTGATAATTACCCTCGCCTCCGGCTCGGGTCATTATCAGCACCCAGAATCTAAGTGGTCTTAAACAGAGTGATAAAAACCTCCGGAGCACACATTTATTCCCTTAATATAACAGATGGCTGGGAACCCGGATGGAAGTGTTGATAATTGGAATGCAATTTTAATGATAATGAAGCATTTGATGAGAAATATCATGCACAACAACACGGCACCTGCAGGTCATGTGACAGGATATTGTCCAATCAGAGTCACCTGGACTGATGCCAAATATTTTTGAATTCCGTAACCAAGCCATTTCACGATAGCAGGTTTATTTTAATATGATGTAGGTTCTGAAAGTGTATAGTCGTCTCAATTTTATAATTGAAACCGCAGTTTACAAAATCGTAGGCCCAACAATAATTTGAGGAATTTCATCTCATGGTACCCATAATGCAACACAGTAGGCACGGTGTGATGTCACTTGACATCTACAACCTTGTAACCGTTTCAAGTATTATGTACATGAGCCCTGTGAGATCATAGGATACCCTCTACCCCAGACACGGGCATTAACTCGCCATGAGTATAACATCAGTCGGTAGGGATTACCCAGGATTAGTCAGGATTAAGTCAGTGAGGGATTAGAGAGGTTGGGTCAGTCAGTGAAGGGGGGGGGGGGGTCAACTCTCTTGGACGTCCTTCAGTGAAGATCAAGACAGATCTGTCCACAGATGTTCTTAACATAGGCATGCTTGAGAGGATTTCTTCCTATTCGTATGCAGATTTTAAATTTGTACACATTCTAGTACTACAATAACCTCCCGACCAAAAAGCAAACTCAATGAAAAGCCACTAATGTGTGCAGACTGGCTTAGAAGGAGTTTACCAAGGTTCCCCAGCCATTCTTGTATGGAGAAGTTACCTAAAGTGTAGTAGGCTGTTGCACTAAACTGTATTCATTTGTTAGTGCATTGAGTAAATGGGGGTCTACTACATGTACCGATAGTTGTGTCAAAGATAGTTTAGCAACTCCATAATTAAAATTGCTCTTCTGTCTAGAGTTCTGCTGTGTGTTTTGTACTTCACCAGATTGGATTCACATTATAAACAACACAAACTGTGAAGCTTTTAAGCTCACTTGTTTGGAAAAAAAATGAAGCTGTGAAGACTGTGATGCAATGATTTATGCACGCGATCTGATGGAATGGATTCGGTGATTGAAATTTCAGGTTTCTGAATGTTAGGAATGCCTTCGCTTCTACTGCTACTACAGATGAAATAAGTACCTTATGAAACGCGCATTCATAGATACTATGTATATGTACAGTTTGTTTTTGCTGAGATGCATGAAGATTTCATTCTGGGAATTTCCGCTCTGAAGTGTTTCCATGGGTAACTCTCTTGATAAGAAGGTTGGCAAGAAACAACGCAAGCGGCCAATGCGTTCTACATCGTTATCGGATAACGAGGAGCAGTACTGGGAAGATGAACACGCAGGTAGGGTACTAGTTGTCAGTTTGTTGCCTGGTAAACCTTTTTCTAGGCAGCCATGTTTAAAGCCGTGACGGGTACGCGGGTACCCATAACTGACCAGCGTCTGCCGATTACAGGTACCCAATTCCATTTTATCTTTATTATTACCCAAAACTGCCTTTGTAAATTTTGACACATCATTTCAGAAAGGCAAGCACCCTTTTCTTTTTATTACTTTCAATAAGTTGTTGAGTTAAGTTAAAAGTTGAGTTAAGATAAGTTGAAAAAAAAACAATGACAACTTAAGGGATCGGGTTCCCGGTTCCAACAAAACCTGTATTATGCACACCCTCAGTCATGTTTTTGCGAAGCTCTGTTTATTAATTTTTAAAAATATTTTAAATCAGTAACTTTTAAAAAGTTCTTCTTTTTAAAAGTTTTGATCGGAAGAAAGCAATTCCCTGGCAGAAAATCTGTTAATACCAGTTACTACATTTACTTTGTTGGTTGTGTACAAAGTGTATGAGGACTAAATGAGCCCAGAAAGAATTTTAAAAACCCAAAAAGTACTAAATTACATTAGTTTTGACACACTTGATTTGTGCATTACAAATTAAGTGATCGAATGGTTGTTTCAAATTGCCTGGGTTTTTTTACTTTTGTTTTAGAGTTCTAAATACTTTGCAAATCTTCAACAGCCAAATTCATTTAAGTATGACTAAATTCTCATGATCAATGTGGTTAGATACAGAAATGAGTTTCTGTGTTCCTTTTTTAACAAACAGTGGGAAGTGTTTTGGTAGACTCCCACTTCCTATGCTAGCCTAACAATGGGACACTTCCTGAGTGGACTGCATTTGGGTGTAGAAGAAGAAAACCACAAGGGACCTTGAAAGTTGCAATTCTTTTGTGCTAGAATTATTTATAGTGGACCAAATAATAAGTGACAAACTATTATACCATGAACACCAGTGCACATTGTAAGAGTTCTTCCACATTCTACAACTCATTTGGTATAATTCCTTTCTTTTTTCCCCCTTACATGACCAAATTACTGTCGGACATCTCTAGATAGAAAATTTCGAGACTTATTACAGGCAAACATTTTCCGTAAGATTTAAACATGATATGTACGTTCTTAAGAAGATTGGAAAGTTCAAAAAAAAAATCCCCTCTTATGAATAGTCAATGCGGTACCCTGGGCTATGTACATGTACATGAACATCAGATTTGAACCAGCCAACCGATCCCGTTAGCTCGGTGGTCGAATGGTAAAACATCTGCACTAGACAGCAGGAGGTCGTGGGTTAGAGTCCCACCCAAGGGATTTTTTTTCCCAACTTTCACTCGGGAGGTAACACACTGCGTATACAGTGTTTATACGTCGGTGAAGGGCAAAACCTAATTTGATTTACATCACCCTTACGGAAAAATCCCATCTTATGAAAAGTTCTCACGTACCGGTAGAAGACTTTTTATAAAGAAAATTTCCACGAACACCTCGGGCAAAAAAATATAAGAGCCGTACATGTAGTGGACATAACAGTATCAGTAATGGTTTTAGTAACACTATAATACCAGTTAAATTAACCCCAACTCCCTGGCGTCTTATACTAAGAACTGGACCAATTCCAGCAAAATCCATCAATCACTGTGCGTCCAATACAAAACTGTACGTGACATAATGGAAGCCACCACTGACACACTGGTTGACATTCATGGACTTGCTACACATGGCTTTTATCACAATAGCTGTACAGGAAGCTAGGCAAAATCAATCGTATACCCCTAGCACTGCTTCAGGCCATTAGGCCCAAGTCCATCATACTCCACCAATATTTAGTCACGCCAGGCCTCCTGGACCAAGTCCGCCAAAATGGGGGGATGGATTTTGATGGAGTTGGGGTGGTTAGGGTCAATAAATTTCTGTTAATTACGAATTAAGCACTTCTTCAGAAGACAAAAACAGTGCTGGGGGTTCCAAGACCATTTTGAGGTCACGGGTACTGATTCGTGGGCATTAAATCCATCTTGTACAGAAGTCTTGACCGGCTGTAACTGTTTATGTACCGGTAAGGTGATACAGCTATGCTTTGACTGTACGCTACCAGTAGGTGATTGATAAGCCAGCTGTGCCTACCAGTTGCCTGCTTTTGTCTGTTGACTGAATTTGACTAGTCACAGTGCTTGCATGAAAGATGACCTGACTGTTATTGACAAGCCGGCGTAAAAGGCATGGCAGGGGAAGAGGATTGATATTTTTGACTGTCTGTGACTTTTCAGATGGCAGGAGGGTCTCCAAGGTCTAAAATTTTAGGCACCAACCAAAGTCTTGGATTTTGCCTCCAGGAGCTGATTTCATTGAGCAGCCAAGCACGGAAATTTGCTAAGCTCAGAATATTAGTTGTTAAGCAAAAACCAGGTCACCAGCCAAACTATCATGCAGTGGGTGCTGTTTGTGGTTGGCTCCCAGCTGATTCGTGCTTACCATTTCAGAATGGTTTAATAGCAAACTTTCTGTTTGGATGAATTTGGGCACAATGTTAGGCCCTAAGTCTTTTCTCAGTTCAAAAAGTCTTGCTTGTAATGTTGAGTACTATAGTGAACTTTTGTGCCACTTGTAGCTTGTACAATGTATTGATCGTTTTTATTTATCATGGTAAACAATGATTTCCATTCATTTCAAGAGCTGAAACAAAGCGTCGGTTGTGATTATTATGCTCAGAAGAGAATCCAACTCAGTGTATTGACCTTACTGTCAGACCCCAGTGAAGGTCAAGTTTGTGCACAGCTCTGGCTGGCCGTTGAGTGACATCTTGGGTCACTCCACACACAGACCATAGTCATGGGTTGGTGTGGGTGGGAGTGGATAGGGTGCGAATAACAAATTGGCTTCGTGTGAAACCTTCACCCTTCATTCAGTTGTGCACAAAACTGGGGAATGTAGTCACAACGTTTTCAGGGGCAGCTGACTTTTTTGAAGGGCTGGCTGTGGATTGTATATTTCCCCCTCAGAGTTGTAGTTTTGTAGTGATTGTGCAGAATGGGTGTTGGTTTTTGGTTTTGAATTTTTGTCTTTTCTACTGAAGGAATTTGGTACCGGTACTTGGTTAACATTCGTGACTATACTAGATTTTATAAATGTCAGGCCAATTTGGAAACAAATTGTGTTTAAGTCTTTTTAAAAAAAAGGGAGTACATGCAGGCGGCCTTTCCCGTCACCCCCACCAAGATGGCAGATTTTCCAATCTTGATGCATTCTTCCATTTTCTTGATTCTTTTGCTGATACTTTTGTGTCGGAAGGAGCCATCTCCCTTTCTACCAGATTTTGAACTTACACACATAGCTACAACTTTGCTGGAAACAAATAAAGACAAAATGTAGTGCAATTATGAGCAAAAACAAAAGGAAGCGGGCGGGAGACCAGAACTTATTTAATTTTCTGAATTGGAAATATTACACGTTCACCATATTTCCCTTTTCAGTATGCAGAGAGAAACCAGTCAACACTTCAGATTCTGGTTGATAATTTTACCAAGTTTATTCTAAACAAGTGGCATTTGCACACAATTCAGTTACCACAATTTGCACTGATTTTCTGCAAAAAAATATACCTAATACACCCTGAAAAACCTACATGAAAGCTCTTGGCAAATGAATAAAAAGAGGGAAAAAAGGAAAATGATTTTGCCTACACTGTTTATGCATGTTGATTCATGTCCATGGAGGAGTCTTACATATTATAGAAACACGTACCGTATCATGTGTTTTCACTCTTTTGTAGCCCTCTTTTTTTGGGGGGGGGGGGGTTGGGGTTTCAGGAATTAAAATGCAATTGAAAGGAAGAAGCCCCTAGGCATTTTGCTGATGGTGAAGGTGGATTCGGTCAATGAATTTTGTAAACTGTAGATTTTGCTAAAACGTCCTACCGGTATTCCCAACTTTACATTTTATAGTGTGTTGAACAAGTTAACCATGTTATCTGAGCTGGCGGTTTTAAGACATCAGTACTTTCCGTTACAATTTTTCTCTTTACAGTATACCTGTTGTAACTTGTAGCCTATGCTTTACATGTAGGTGATTTTGAAGGTTTTGAACTTGATTTTTTTCCTATCATGATCATCTCAAAATGCTCATATCTTGATATGTTCTTACGTGAGAATAGCTCGGGTATTTTCCTCTTTTTATTGCACACTATCTATACATATACATGTAAACTCCAAACAGCCCTCCTGAAATATATTTCCTCTGTGAAAGCCTAGAGAAAGGACACAAAGGGAAGACCTTTGACCCCAAGGTTGCAAGAGGTTGCAAGAGGTTGCAAGAGGTTGCAGAGTGATGAGTAGATGAAAAGTACTGCAATCCAGACAAGTGGATGCTTAAAATGAAAAGTTTGAAGTGGGCTTTCTAAAGTCACATTGAAAGTCCAAATTGTAGGCCCTATCAAAGATTTGCTTTTGAAGATTCTGTAATGTCGGTGCTACTGTAATTTCAAGTTTTCACCCCGCAAATTAAAAGTGAAATTTAAGCCCACTTTTTCCAGGTTTCTTGTGCCGTAACCTGCATCATTAAACCAAGTATTTATGAAGTTTCTTTCAATGATGTATTAAACAACCTCACCCAGATATCTACTGGCACACATACAAAAACTGGATCCCAAGCAACTTTGTATCCCAAGAAAATTTGATTTCACAGTTTGTGTAGAAATTGGACAAATGCCCAATCATGTTCAATTTTGCTGTACCGCAGTCATAATCTGTAAAATTATCTTTTTAGAATTTAAAATATTTGTACAATGTGTGTCTATACAGGGTCTGACATACATAGCCTTGAATCATTTATCATAGTATTATGTAATATAGCAAGACTCCCTTCCCTTGGGGGGGGGGGGGGACGGGAGTGGGGGAGGGGGGAGAAGAAAGTGGGAAGGGGGTGTTAGTTCATTACTTGTCATACCTCGTCATCATGGAGCTTTTTTGTCAACACCTTAATGTATTAACAAGACATCTGTAAATCCTCAAAGTTCCTTTGGCACGCTCCAATTTAACATAGGGGTTATTTTATGCTTCCCGGCCAGAGGAAAACACATTGCAGTAAAACAAATCTCCTTTTTTCACTATAGAACTGCATCATGTTAGTCTAGAAAACAATATTTGTGATTGGAAAGAAACTTTGAGGGTGCCATAGTGGTTTAAGTTGGAAACACCTTGAAGATAGTGCATTTTTTTTACAAGGATGCCGAATGTGTTCGACATAATAACCCCTTCCTGTAGGTAAGTGACATGGCTCCACTTAAAATTCTACCGACCTCAAGTTCCTCAGGGTGTTCTACTTCAGAATGATCTGTTTCCTCTCCTAGTCAGCTTACTTGCTTCAGAGATTCAGTAGAGTGGCCATTTTGCATAGGACTTCCAATGGAATGATACTTGCAGCCTGTATCTTAAGGAGTGTACTGTGAGTTGCATCAATTTTCACTGGAAGTTTGTTTCCTAGAGGTACAGGATGAGTCTGTGTTTTTCTCGGACGAGGACTCCGAGTAGTTCTGGTGAGTTTAACAAACTTGAGTCGGACATGGACATGTATTGTTTTGACGGACATAACGTGGCAGAGTGCGATTAAAGTTGTGTGGAGGAATAGACTGTCGTTTTGACGTGCATGTTTATTCAACTCTTGTCTTGGTTCCAATATTTTTTCTTTATTTTTCCCCCAGGTAATTCTTGCAACAAGGGTAGGCCTATGGTTTCCCAGTTATGAATTTAACTATACATACATGTATCATACTTTTATTTGTTTCCTGGCTTGTATCTGCAGTATGGTTAAAATCGTGTTGCACACTACCAGTGCATTGAGCCCTCTGTTGCTGGCAATTTTGCAACATGCGTAGTGCTCAATGAATGAGTTCCATATCAAATCTTCTTTCTGACATTAGCATCATACATATAGTTGGTGGCACACTTTGCTCTTCTGAGGGTGGATTAGAGCTTTCAAACAGAGTGTTAACTGGTACTTGTATTAACTCGGACTTTTCGGTTGGACCCACCAATTGCGCCTTGCCTGAACGACCCTCAGTGTGACTAACTCTGTGGGGCTTGTGTGATAGGCCGTGTCCAAACCGGGCTTCCAGAGCTACGGCTACGTCTATTGTCAGCGCATTTCCGCGTATTTTCAATGGGCATGGACCTAGACCTAGCTCTAGATAGTTGATTCGGATGTAGCCTTATTGTGTCACAGTGCTGCTTAATTGTTAGCAGTAAAGTTGTGGTAACTTAATTAAAGCGCATTTCATTTCTTTGATGTCCATGTTACACTTGGGTGGCATGGCCAGGGGCGTAAAACCGAGGGGGGGGGGGGGGATGGGGGTATATATATATATCCCCCTCCCTTTTGACATGGGGGATGGGCTATTGGATCCCCCTCCCCCCTCTTCCCCCCACTTTTTCATGGTGAGAAACAAAAAGGCGGATTTGGAGGTATTTGTCGAACTTCCCAAAACCATAATGTATTCAATAGTACTGAAAAAAAGGGGGAAAAAGTGCACAAGCTTAATGCGCCATTTTAATGTGAGATGTTAAGGAGCATAATTACTGGTATACATACGATGTACATCTGTATCATGAACAGCGCCCCCTAGTGTCATGTGGTGTCCAGCAAGACCCCCTCCCCATGTACATGTACATGATACATTTTGTTGCGTGTGACTAATTGTCACATCTGTCCATTTAAATGTACAGCTTATTCTATAAAGCCTGTGATTATTTGGCTCCCTCAAAAAAGGACTTAAGAAAGGCACATTAATCCTAACACTCCTCCCAGGCTTCAGAGAGTCTTGCAGGATTTAGGAATTTGCATCCTTGCACAGTTGGGGATGTTGTAGGATTCAGGGGAGTCTCTAGTAAAAAAAAGGGGGGGGGGCAGTGGATTTACCACTCATTGTTGACTAATTAGTTGAGTCATTAAAACCATCGTTGTTGAATCCTTACGTATATTTTCACTGTAGAATTCACAGAAAGTTGATACAGGGCTTGACGGTTCTTAACTCTGATTTTTCCAAATGGCTCCCCTTGGCTTAAACCTGAGCTGTTATTGGTGACTCATAGCAAATCTCACTTATCAGCTCACTTGCTTTTCCTGTCAGATGCCATGGCACACGTGTTCAAAATATAAATGTAAGTCAAGCATATATAACCTGTATCCTTACAACAGTTCCTTTTATTAACCCTAACCCTCCTCAATCTGCCAAAATCCTCATGGCGGTTTTGGAGGATTGAGGATGAATGGTGTTTGAAGAGGAGTAGGATTTTGGAGGATTGGGGTTGAATGCATTTTTTTGAGGCAGGACTGTCTGACATTTTTGATGGATTGAGGCGCTGGGTACATGTATCCTTCATTGGAATACAAACTGTGCAAAATTTTGGAGGATTTTGGAGGATTGAGAATGGTTCCTAGAGGGGGGTAGGGTTAAGGCAAAGTTGACTCTGAAACAGATCAATTTGTTTGTGTGGACTCTTATGATATGAAGCAGAGTTGAATGGATCAGCTGCATGTAAGAATGTGATGTTTGCACGTTTAAACGTTTTAAAATGCCAAATTCTTTATCCATTTACAAGTTTCGAAAACATTTAAATGAAACCTGAATAAAAGAAAAGGACCTGTAGGTTCATGTGATATTCCTTTTGAGTTTAAACATACATACATGTATATACGGTACATTTCCCAAATAAAAAGGCCCACCCACCCCAAAAAAAAAAATTCTTCTGCTTTCTACATGTATAACACGGCATTTAAAAATAGTATCGGTAGGTATATTAGGTTGGTAGGTAAATTTTATTTTATTTTTTTTTTTGGCAAATTTTATTTGTGTACGACCATATGGAGGTGTCTGCTTGTAGGCAAGGGTATTCAGTAATTGATGATTTTCAGGTTTTTTCCTCATTTTCTCCACCCCAAAATTAGCGTGGTGGCTGTCAAAATAGGGTAGGTACCGGTAGGGTAACCAGAAGCAGAACTACCCGTATTAGTTTTTGGGGTCTAACGGATTTTTCAATACATGTATTTGATTTACAAAACCTTAGAAGCACTGTACTTGATTACATTGGAGGTACATGTACATGTACATTGTACACAACCTCAACTAGACCAGCAATGTCTACGCATCAATGCCAATCTGGCATTGAACCAAATGGAATGGAGAAAAGCAAATAGATGATCACTGTGGATCAAGGCAAAGATTCCCATATCTGGCCATCACTCATTTTTCCCATCAGAAAGTGATAATACCAGGATGTCCCAAAAAGTCAAATTTAGCAGGGGAAATATTGAAGTATTTACTGAGAAAACACTTAGAAATGTTCAAACCATGCAGTCTCGTACGGTTTGTGCACAGGGTGACAAGTGATGGCCACATATGGGCATCTTTCCGGATCAAGTCCAACCTCAAGTTCGCGGCTAGACGGCCTATAAACAGGACAGTAGTATTGTAGTAGTAAACGTAATTAAGTTTCATTTCCTCAGTGACTGCCCGGTGTGCCCGCTATTTATTATGTCAGTCATTGTTGATTTATCATGTCAATGCGGCTGGTCTGCCGACATAATGGGAGGCGCCTGCCTTTGTGACATGACTTAAAGGGAAGATACAACATTTGCAAACATCAAAAAACGAAATCGTCAAATTACCACGAAATACTCCCGGGTACCTTACTGGATTGTTAGGGAATGGCAGTTTAAAGCATCCTGTAAAATCGTAGCTCCTTGTGTGCTGACAATTTCAAGAAAAATTGTATTATTCCAATGCTGGTCGGCCGACCAGCGTTGGAAAACTGGCTTTTTTTTTCTCAAAAACTGCTCCTAATTTTTCATATTTAGTTATCCCACATTTTCTTTGCAATTGATTACACACCTGTGAAGGGGTACAAGCCTTCTAGACTGATTCTCTATACCTTACAATTTCCCAAAGTCTATCAATTGCTCTGTTTCATTTTAAGTGGGTCAGGGAACCAGACTTCAAGAACATGATTGGTTTTCTTGGTTTTTCCAGTATCTACAAGCCCAAAACGTGAAACAAGTCAGTTTAATAGTACATGTATTTGCTATTATATACCGGTACATAACCTCCAAATCCATATATTTTTGAAAATTGTAGCAAAGGCAAATGTTGTACATTCCCTTTAACGTTTTAATGGTTCTTAAAATATTTGCTAAACGTTTACACAAATTTAACGCAGTGTCACATCCTTCATTACATTGCTGCCATCTGTGGAGTGTGTGCATTTGTTCCACAGGAGAGATTTTCAGAACATCTCTGACCTCCCCATGCCTTTTACGTTACGGATTTTCAGTCTGGGTCCCGTAAGCCCCCCTTCCCCAAGCCATTGGCCAATCACGATTTCAAGCAAGATGGTGGTATCCGCAAAACGGCTTATTGGGACATGCATGAGTGGACCTTTTGCATGCACTGTACCTGATAAAAACTTGGGGGGGGGGGAGGGGGCAAAACAAAAACAAACCACCCATTGTGGCTGCTGTTTGATCTGTAAAAGTTTATATTTTTAATCCTATTTTGTTCAGATGACGAAGATAAGGCCAGTAAAAGTGGCTCAGCTGCTGGTGGTAGCCAGAACGGCCATCAGAATGGCCGGTCACAGGAAGGAATCCCAGGTAGGTTGCTATTCACATCAGACCAAAATCTTTACTTTCTTGACTCCAAAGTAGACAATTAGCTCATCCCTAAAGTTGAAACTCTTCCACTAAGGGGAGAATTTTACAGGTTCCCAACCACTCTGGAAATCAGGGAAAACCTTGAAATGAGTTCCAATTTTTCCAGTTAGGGAGAACTGAATTTGGGAAAAATGCCAAAAATCTAAGAAAATTCAGTTAATTTGACAGTGACCCAGAAGGGGTAGGTTTTTGCGTAAGTTTGGCGTAGGTGGGTCATGTGCCACGTGTCCAAGTTATGTCCATTGACTGACGGACTATGCAAGCCAGCAGGAACTGGGGATGCTGTGGGTGCTGCAGCACCCCAACTTTTTGGATGGGGGTGCTGGACTATACGAAAGCACCCCCTACTTTTAGTAGACACGAATGCACATCCCAGCACCCCCTGGCAAAAATGTGTTCCAACAGGCTTAGTGACTATGGTGGCTCTTTAGTGTTTATGCAGTGAGAATATTACACACCTCTCTAGACAAGGGAGAGGGGGGTCACCACTGGTCATCAAGTGGTCTGTGTATTATCAGTATCTTAGTTACTTTGCTGCAACCACCTCTTGACTTCCCAGCAGCCTTGTAATAGTGAAAATATTTCTCACGGAAGTTTTGACATTTCTCAGGGAAAACTCACGGAATTTGTTTTTTCATAAAGTGCTGGGACCCTGATTTACACCCTATTCATTTTAACTAAGTGGGGGGCTGTGGTCCAATGGTTACGGTGTTCGACTCGTGTGCCGTGGTACGGTAAGTGGGTTCGAATCCTGACAGGTAACATGGTCCTTGTGCTCATGAGCAAGGCACTTTACCATTATTGCTTCGTCCTTCGGATGTGACGTAAAGCCGTTGGTCCCGTGTGTTGTGTAATGCACGTTAAAGAACCCAGTAACACCACTAAGAGAAGGGGTTTGCCCCGGTGTTTCTGGCAGTGGCGGCAATATGCGTCGCAGCACCTTGTACATGTATACCCTTTATAAAGGTGCTACATAATGGGTCTCATATTTCTCATAAACTTCATTTACCTGTCTTTAAAAATAGACATAATTACCAGCGCCTTGAGTACCTACATGTAATTGTTGGTTGATACGTGCACTATATAAGACTTCGGTAAGTGCTGAGGTTAAATACTGACCTATGACATTAATGCGATGTGCTGCACTGCACTGCACTGCACTTCACTGCGCGATGCCGTGGCAGCTCGGACCCAAGGTCCAATGTCAGATTTTTTTGCCAAGGCCAGTTTCATCTCTGCTGATGATATTTTGAGACATGTCCAGACAATGCTGTAAAAGAGTACTGCCAAAAAAAAAGGAAAGAAAACGAATATTCAATTTCAAAAGCTCATTTGCGTTGCAAATCTGGTTGATGTCTAAATGTATGTCTGACTTTTTGTGTGTGCAGAGGAGAAGCGTGCCTACACAATTGTTGAGCTGGAAAAAAGACCAGGAGTTGGGTTTGGACTTACAGTATCAGGTAAGATTAAATTTGATAGGGAAAAAATGAGTCAATTACCCCCTCCCCCAACCAAAAAGACACTAAAACACAACTTAACAAAGAGGTAAGGAAAAATGCAACAAAATTTAGGTCTTTGGTGCAGCACTGAGAGATAGAAAGTCTAAACAGTGTTTTCATGTAATGAACATTACTGGGAAGAACATTTGGCCTTCAGTGGAAAAAAAATGGAGGCATGATACACGTCTATAGATTGCAGACCAGTAAATAAACTTCCATAGACCCCAATGGTAAATGCTCCCACTTCAGAAATTGGGGAAAAATACTCACAACTCTCCAAGGGGTTCGAGACACACATCAAATTAATGCTTATTTTCATTATCTTTCATTTTCTTATCAATTTTCGGGGGGTCAACTATTGACTTTAAGGAGAAATTTCCCTCTGAAGATGATCACCCCTGAAAATAGTCCTGAAGCCCATCGCCATTTTGAAAAACAATGCCTACACTCCATTGCAAAATCGAGCGCTTTAAGGGCCCAATTTCATCCAAACTGAACGGAACTACAAGCTCCCAGTCCTGTGCACGGCTTCCACCCATATTTTTTACAAACCCTTAAGTTTATGGCCCACAGCATGCTCAAATACTGAAGATTTTGAGGGCATGCAAATCGTGATTTGGCCGGCGTAGGCAATTTCGGACCGATTTACTGGTCTGCAACCCTATAGATAGACCTTCTTCAGTTGTAAACAATGAGCACCATTATGTAAGGGCTACCACAAGGGCATATAAATTTAAGTTGTGGTTGGCAACAGATTTTGCAAAAAGAAATTGCATATTAAACACTCTCACTATGTAAGAAAGAGACATTTTTAGTAAGTCTGTGGTAGTGTTGTATTGGTTATTTTGTATTTTCAACAATCCAATGATATTTTTTGAAACATAAATAACTTTTCCTTATTTTTTTGGCAACTTGACCTCCCATAGTTTGTCAATTTTGTCAACCAGTGTTTGGCAAAAAGTACCAACCATGGGATAGCAAAATAAAGATCTGTTGCTATTAGTCCCCTTATTCAAAAAAGGAAAGAATTGACAAAAAAGAGAGTATGTACCGGTAGTGGTGTTCCCTAACGGTGCACTTTGACATTTCCCCTGACTTTTACAGTATTGCTAACTTCTTTGTTGACAAACTGCAAATTCATTCAGTTAAATACTACTACTTTTACCTAATAATGCTTGCTGTTGAACCTTTGTGAACAATTTCAGTGTCATGAAATTTAGTCGGAAATTTAAAAAATGGTGGCATCCAGAAACTGGGCCAAATATACGCTGAGTGTTCCTTAGCGTGGCGCCCTTGAATAAATCTCAGAAAATCCCAAGTTAACATTAAAGAATTTCCTTCAAGTTCAAAAATTCTGATAAACCATTATTAGGCCAAAAAAAAAAAGTCTCCGGTTTCTGGTATGGAGCTTGCCCCAAAAGTGGTGCGGCGACGCGGCCTTTTTTTTTTTTTACCTGTTTTTTTTTTTTTTTTGGCTTCAAATGTCGGCTGATGACTGCAAATGGTGCCCGACTAAACTTAGTGCAAATGTATGGGAGTCCAGAGAGGCCACATAAAGCTTATTCTCGATCATAACCCCATCTAAAAACACGTTAAAATTGTGCAGCAGCAGAATTCCAGTCAAACCAGTGAGTTTGGCGGTTTTGAGACATCATCTTGTATGGAAAAAAAAACTGTTTCATTTTGCCGACGCGCATGGCTACGGCGACGCGCGCGCATACCAGAAACCGGAGACTTTTTTTTTTTGGCCTTATCTCCACTTATATACCCAACTAGAAGTTTGTCAGAAAATTATTTTCTTATTTGTGGACGCATTTTCAAAGGGTTCACTGTGCACTTTGAAATAAATAAAGTAGGTAAACTGAAGATTTATGAACGGGAATGTTAACAGCCTGATGAAATTTCACTTACTGTGAAATTTCAGGTAAAACTTTTGCTCTAGGGAGGCGCTCTAGAGGCGAAAAATTACAGTGCACCAAGTTGGGGGCCGCGCCACGTTAGGGGACATCAGCAATATTTTTGAAGGGAAATGAGAGAGGAAAGAAATGTCCCAAATGGATCTTGCAGGGGCCAGAATACTTCATTGCACAGGAAACAGACCTCTTGCCCAATCAGGACTCTTGAAACTCAGCCAAAATCTGACAGCTCCCTGGGCACCGGTAACAGCTGTGTAGAAAGAACAGCTTTATTACAAACTTCCTCCTGACGAAACTTGTGAAAGGGTTCAAGGGACCATGAGGTGCAGTTTACTAGCGAACATAAGTTGTGCAACTTTCTACTCCTGTTAAATGTATGAAAACTATTTGACATCCCTTTTTGGTTAATTTGATTGAAAAGTGCCCTTCTTTAAACTTTAAAAATTGTCCACGCTTTTCTGGACAACTGAGGGCTCTGTTGCTGTGATTTCATTTCAGGAAGACACTGTTCAGTTTGGGGGTTTTCTGTTCAAATTGTGACCCAAAAATTTGGCTCACTGAAAAGCTCTTGTACTAAGGTAACAAAGAATTACCAAAGAAAATTTACGACCGCAAAATATCCGAAATTCTGGCATAACATTGAGGTTTCTGCGTGAAATGACATCACACTTTTGCTCATGAATATGTAAATTGGCATTAGCATTAAAACCAAAAAGGCACCAAAATACCCTTGATAATGGCAAAAAGAAAATTGAAAATAAGGTTAAATGGGACACAAAGGTGCACTTTCAAAGACTGCATTAAAAAAAACTTACATTGCTTGATACAGAAAGGGGAGTGATAAAGAATACAAACTTGAAAACAAGGCTTTGCCCGTCATTCACAACATAAATAAATAGTTTTCTTAGTGGTTTCCAAGGACTTGCAAAAAGTGTTATAACAAATTTTCCTAGTTTGGACTTCCAACATTTTGCTGACTATTGTGATCATGTGAGACTTGTGTTTAATCACACTCGTCACTTTGAAGTTAAACAATACAATTGTCAGAACATTAATTGCACCTGACTGACTCACTCACTGTATCACTGTTACTTGTGAATTGAGCTGGTTTAATACCCATCAAAGCGAACATGAATGTGAATCTGTGATGTCTCGGCAAGTTTTCACATTTGTAAGAGTTGAACACATTCCAACTTCGGCGAATTTCGCAGCAAATGTTTCCTGACGTCATAATTCGGGCGATTCACAATGCAGTGCGCCACCAAGAGTTTGCCATGGAGAGTCCAGTTTTCAAGTTTACGGTCGACAAAACACAGCCCATTCGAATGAGTGTCAGCAGACAACTTGAGCTAATTTGTTATAGATTGTGACATACATGTAACAATAAACACCATAGTGATGAAAAGAAAAGAATAGGGCAAACATAGACTCGAATCATACGCTTACGAAACTACTGACCGGAAAAAGCAACAATTTCATATGTCCCCCGCTGCGAATTTGTTGACCAGCTCCCACAATGCAATGGGAAAAATCAATTCTCCATGGCAAACTCTTGGTGGCGCACTGCATTGTGAATCACCCGAATTGCTTCGCATTCACATGAAGCGTGAACCGGCCTTAACACTGGTCTGGGAGAAGCTTTATGAGGTTTGCCTGTTTATGTACATGTACATGTATGTCTTGTAGAATCTACAACATGTCTGCATTAGTCTGGCGCCATTTGTTTTATCTACTGTCCTGATACGTGTAGGCAGTAAGTCAAGGCTCCATGTGAAAGACAATAGTGGATTTTCCCTTTCCATCGCGTTAACCACCAGACCTTATTCTACGAAATTTCCACTGAGCCTTCCTGAATCAATTGAATAGAGGTTTTTGCACTCTGGGACCAGCTTTATTAAGCTTGTCTTGTCTCGTTTGAATTAATTTTGTAATTTCAAGTTGCAAAACTTTGATCTTGTCTGAAACCGTCCTTTGAATTTGTCTTCCAGGTGGAATAGACAAGGACGGCCGGCCCCGGGCCACCAACATGCGGGCAGGGGGCGTGGCCCAGCGCAGCGATCTCTTGCAGATTGGCGACCTGATCACGGCCGTCAACGGCATCAAAACGGCCAAGCTGCGACACGAGGACGTCATCAATCAGCTCAAGAATGCCGGGGACCGTGTCTCGCTGGAGATCGAGTACGAGATACCGCCTGCAGGTCTGTCAGTCTGCTTTTATAGCTTGAAATGAGTTTTGCTAGTTTAGTTTTGCTCAGCTGGTTTTCCACAGCTTCGTCTTTTGGATTCGGGAGATTTTTCAGCCCCTACTTTGGGGATTCCAGCTCAGCATGGTAAACATCAGAAATGTGTACTCATCCTCAAAAACGTCAAATCTTCTTGGGGCTGTTTTAGTATTTTTACTTCGGCTTCTCAATGATTCTGGAACCAGACATAGAACTGAAGCCTCAGAGAAAATTTGATATTTGAAATCATGTGAATGAGTCTTCTTTGGCCCATGTAAAAGTTTCTTGTTCAACAAAAATATGTACCAAGATCCAGTGATCGCCACAAAATCATAAGATTTCTGTATATTTATTTTTAATAAGCTGTTAGATATTGTCACAATTAGTAGGCCACTTAGGAAACATTGGAAAAAGCTAGGTTTCGTTCTAGAGTTGGCCAGTTTTCATGGAGTCCTGCAAGTTTGTTTTTAGTAACTTTAGCTATTGTGGGGAACTTGAGGAAAGCAAAATGCTGTATTCCAGCTACCTCATGCTGAAAAAAATCACCCTAAAAACCTTTGAATGAATGTATTTTGGCACTTGAAGTAAACCTTCAAAAACCTATATTTTGATTTTCAAAACCTATTAAACAACCTACACTGATGAAGTGGCCTTAAAATGTCCACCAGCCAAAATGATAAATGTATATGCCATAAACTGGTATTCTGCAATATTGTTTCTGCTTCGTAGCTCCATGTTTGGTCCAGGTTAATACACAGAGATTCTTTCATTTGCAGAATCAATGGTTTTTTTCCACAGTGCAAGACAATGGCATCACGGTTACGTCCAAGAACATGGAGATCCGATTGGCTAAGGAGGAAGGCAGCTTTGGGTTTGTTGTCAGGGGCGGAATGAACGCCAATCCCAGCAAGACACGCCCACTCACCATCACTCACATCAGGTCTGGCGGATCAGCAGACAGGTAAGCCAGTCTAATCCCTCTGAAGTTCAAAGCCATTTTTTAAGCTCTGGCAGGGGCTTCTTCATGTCACTTCGTGGTCGGTAACTTGTCAGCTACCGTGAATAAATACATGTATGTAGACACAGACATGATATTCATAGTTTTTTTAAAACACAATGCCAGTGTTGGAATTTACTTAAAGACATAGTCCATCATTTGTAATTTGTGCATTTTGTTCGTTTGAAGCAACAAATGTGTTCAAAATCTAATGAAGGATACTGAACAACTAACCTGATGAAGTTTCAGCTCAGCTTCAGCTGTATATTCCGAGAAAAACAGCATTCTAGGATCTCAATTTCAAATCAAAAGTTGCTAAATCATGTTTTGAATTGTTTTGAATTGCAGCTTTATGCGATGTCGCGCACTGATCCGATGAATTATAGCAACCCCACACGCCTGTGCGTCGTGCCAATGCTTGCGCGCGTTGCACCGAATAACAAAACGAACTACTGATTCAAATTTTCCTACGGTGCTTCTTAAGACGCACCGTTGGAAATGCCTTCTTTTGTTGATTTCTTCAAAATGACAGCTTGCCAGAAAGAATAATTTCACAGGGAGTTTAGTCCCCTTACTATCTTTCAACCAAGAATGTTTTTCAACAATTATTACGCCAGTTACTTTTTTGGATAGCTGCAAATGATGGACTCCGGCTTTAAATATTCAATCAAATCCAAGTCGAAGTAATCGAATACTGAAGTATTTGAAAATTATCAAAAAAAAGGATCTTGAACATTAGCAAGTAATGTCTCTATCATTCATAATTCTGTTTTTGCTTGATCTCGTTCTAGGGATGGGACCTTGAAGGTTGGCGACCGTATCCTGTCCGTTGACGGCATCCACTTGTCCAGCTTGAGTCACATGGAGGCGCTCAATGCTATCAAACAGAGCAGCATGGACGCTACGTTCCGCGTGGAGTACGACGTCTCCATCATGGGTGAGTATGCCACTAGGGGGCGCTTCACATCAGGGAAACACACAGAGCCCTATATAGACTACTTCAGCAAACAACATTTGAAGCCATTTCTGAGGTGGAAGCACATTTGCGCTCAGGTGGTACACACCAAACTTCAGACTCCTTTGACCAATGGGGTTAACAACATGCCCACACATCTTGTCTTTAAGAACAAGTGGTTCCACAATGAAAGATGCCAATTGTTTCCCCCCCCCCCTCAAAAAAACCCTGTTTATATCACAGATTTCATACTCTTACTTTAAAACATGTGCAGTAGACATATCACAAATTAATACAAATATCAATAAAAAATCACTCCCATTCAGTTTTGTGCATTTCCCTCCACTACGGCCTGTGCCCAGTTCCGTCTTATTTTGCCAGAACGCCTCACAAAGCATTGTAGTAACTAACTTATTCATTTATCAGAATTATAATCCAAATTATAACTTTTCTTGTGCGCACTGTTGAATTGTCCAAAATGTACGTCCAACACCATGGCTCTGCCCCTAAACTTGCATATGGTGAGGTATTAAAATTTGTGATCAACTTTTTCATTAAATGTTTGATATCACTTTTAAATATCTCTTCCGTGATAATTAATAAAAGTCTTTCTTGTATTTAACACGCACCCTGGATTTCAGGTTTGATAAGGTACACTTAGCAGATTTAGTCTTTCTGTTTTTTAATTATTGTTTGTTTTTATTATAATTTGCATGTTGGTTCTCAATTCTGGCGTGAAAAAGTTGCTTTAAAAAAAGTGTGATCATGCTTTGTGCTTGTGTTTGTCTGGCAACATCTGTTTGTACTTGTTTCAATACATGTTGATAGTTCTCAAAGTCCAATTAGAAGTTTAGTTTTACTATCTTTTGTAACATCTGCAGCAGTCTGAAATCTTGTTCTGTACATGTATGTATACGTATCATTTGGTTTGCATGTATTTTCTGTGTGTTCAATTTGTTATTTCATTTATCTTTTTTTTTAATTTAGGTCTAGTTTTCCTTGATTCGCCACAGTTTATTATTCAAGGTTCCCACCCACTCTGGAAGTCGGGGAAACCTGGAAAATGAGTTCCCATTTTTCTAGTTAGTGAAAAAACTCCCAAAATCAGTTAAAACTGTTCTACACCCCAGCCATACTTAATGGGGCCTCATTGTAAATGTCCAAGGTTTGTTTTATGTAAAAATTATCTGCCGTAAGCTAGCTGCACAGTTTTGGGTTTGAAGGGCTTGGGAAATTTAATAGCAAACATATCCAAGAATTTCAGGTTTATTCTCAGTATACCGGTAATGGGACAGGATTGTTTGTTGATACAGAATTTTTGTCAGGGAGTTTACCCTAACCCCCTAGGCCCTTGTTGCTTACAACCATCCTCAATCCTCCAAAATTTTGCAACTCCGCCTAAATTTTTTCAAAATTGTCAGACAGTCCTGCCTCAAAATGCATTCATCCTCAATCCTCCAAAATCCTCCTCATCCCAAAACTTTGCACTCGTGTTTAAATGAAGGATAACCAACGCCAAATCCTTCAAAATCATCAGACAGTCCTGCCTCAAAATGCATTCATCCTCAATCCTCCAAAATCCTCTTGTGCTTCAATCACCATTCATCCTCAATCCTCCAAAATCCTCATGTGCTTCAATCACCATTCATCCTCAATCCTCCAGAATCCTCATTTGATTCAATCACCATTCATCCTCAATCCTCTTGAATCCTCCAAAACCGCCAGGAGGATTTTGGAGGAGTGAGGTGGGTTAGGGTTAATTAAACGATGAAGGGCAAATCCCAGTATTAAAACTTTGCGTCTCCCCAATGTAAATTCCATCTTTTACCTTTCTGATTCTCCAGAGGCAGTGAGGAATGCGACGGGTCCGTTACTAGTCGAGGTGGCCAAGACCCCCGGAGCCAACCTAGGGGTGACCCTGAGTGCCTTAACAAAGGGCACCAAGTCAATCGTAGTTATCGATGCCGTTAAGCCGGCCAGCATTGCAGATAGGTGGGTTGTTCATCTTCTTCTTTTTATGCCCCGCGGCTAAGCCGAAGGGGCATACTGTTTCCGCCTTGTCCTTCCGTGGGTGTGTGGGTGGGTGGGTGAGTTTGTCTTACATACGCAGTATGGACTTCCGAACAAAAGACGTCCACATAATGTAGGTAGCACCGACGTTGTGTGGACTTGCCCCACGTCCACACAGTGTTTCCCCATTTCTGGAAAACAGGTTTAGAGGCATTTTTGGGTTAGGTTTATCTGTAGCAGAATGAAGAGAAACACTAAAGGGAATCATAGAAAAAAAATTGGGTTGAAAGAGTTTTCACAGTTTGAGAAAAATGAGTTTTTCACTGGTTTTTCTTAACTACACGAAAGCAATGGAAAGTCCACACTAGTCATGTGAAACAAGTATGGGTTGGTGGGTGGGTGGGTGTGTGGGTGTGTGTGTCCGGACAAATCTTGTCAGTGCGATAACTTGAGAAATACTTAACATATGAACTTCAAATTTGGTTTGTGGATTGTCCTTGGTAATCCTAAGAAGCCTTTTGCATTTGGGGCCAAAAGGTCAAGGGTCAAGGTCACAGTGGCTGAAACAATAGAAATTTTGTCAGCGCGATAACTTGAGAAATACTTTACATATGAACTTCAAATTTGGTTTGTGGATTGTCCTTGGCAATTCTAAGAAGCCTTTTGCATTTGGGGCCAAAAGGTCATGGGTCAAGGTCACAGTGACTAAAACAAAAGAAATTTTGTCAGCGCGATAACTTGAGAAATACTTTACATATGAACTTCAAATTTGGTTTGTGTATTGTTCTTGGTAATCCTAAGAAGCCTATTGCATTTGGGGCCGAAAGGTCAAGGGTCAAGGTCACAGTGGCTGAAACAATAGAAATTTGGTCAGCGCGATAACTTGAGATATACTTTACATATGAACTTCAAATTTGGTTTGTGGATTGTCCTTGGCAATCCTAAGAAGCCTTTTGCATTTGGGGCCAAAAGGTCAAGGGTCAAGGTCACAGTGGCAAAAACAAAAGAAATTTTGTCAGCGTGATAACTTGAGATATACTTTACATATGAACTTCAAATTTGGTTTGTGGATTGTCCTTGGCAATCCTAAGGAGCCTATCGCATTGGGGGTCGAAAGGTCAAGGGTCAAGGTCACAGTGGCTAAAACAATAGAAATCTTGTATTTATTCTGAGATCATAGGGATTAGGGATTAATTCATATAAAACCTACAGAAGACACTAATGCTGTCAATGAACGTTCCATTTGACCAAGGTACATGTAAGTTGATGTTAAAGTGGTGTTATGTCATGGAAACAGTCACGGTTGCGGGGCATTTGTGTTTGTAAACACACCTGACTTTTTTCTGTTTTATTTTTATTTTGAAATTTATATCAGTGTATACCTTGACGTTGACAGCTTTGTCTCATAATTCAATGGCTTTAATTGCTAACAGAAATAAACACAAAAAGCCTTAACAAAAAAGCCATAAAAGCCAAAAAAACCTCTCTGAGTGATCCCCGTTTGCTTTTTCCCGGGTTTGCAGCATTGCTAATGTTGCTAGCATTGTGACTTTGGGCGTGATCCCTGGCTACATGACATATACGGGTTTATGGCTTCTGACTAGCGCCTGTTGAACAAAGACATAGACACTAATTGGGAACGGCTAACATAGGAGGTTCAGACCCCGCTCCAGTCATTTTCTTTGTTCAACTTTGACAATTATAAACAAACCTGGTCAGTTTCCCTTTGTGGTGTATAAATTTGAAGATTTGTAACAAAAGGCCGTAGCATCATGACTTTGGGAGTGATCCCTGGTGACATGACATAATACGGGTTTATGGCTTCTGACTAGCGCCCCTTGAACAAAGACATTGACAAATCGGGGGTACCACCAACACAGGGCTGGATAGCTCAGTTGGCAGAGCACCGGAACGGTAATCCGGAGGTTGCAGGTTGAAACCCCGCTCAAATCAATTTCTTTATTCAACTTTGAAAAGAAATAAATACATATAAAACAAGTCAGGTGTGTTTACAAACACAAATGCCCCGCAACCGTGACTGTTCCCATGACATAACACCACTCTTTTAACATCAACTTACATGTACCTTGGTCACATGGAACATTCATTGACAGCATTAGTGTCTTCTCTAGGTTTTATATGAATTAATCCCTAATCCCTATAATCTCAGAATAAATACAAGATTTCTATTGTTTTAGCCACTGTGAACTTGACCCTTGACCTTTTGGCCCCAAATTCAATAGGCTTCTTAGGATTACCAAGAACAATCCACAAACCAAATTTGAAGTTCATATGTTAAGTATTTCTCAAGTTATCGCGCTGACAAGATTTCTATTGTTTTAGCCACTGTGAACTTGACACTTGACCTTTTGACCCCAAATGCAATAGGCTTCTTAGGATTGCCAAGAACAATCCACAAACCAAATTTGAAGTTCACATGTAAAGTATTTCTCAAGTTATTGCGCTGACAAGATTTCTATTGTTTTAGCCACTGTGAACTTGACCTTTGGCCTTTTGGCCCCAAATGCGAAAGGCTTCTTAGGATTACCAAGAACAATCCACAAACCAAATTTGAAGTTCATATGTTGAGTATTTCTCAAGTTATCGCGCTGACAAGATTTCTATTGTTTTAGCCACTGTGAACTTGACCTTTGGCCTTTTGGCCCCAAATGCGAAAGGCTTCTTAGGATTACCAAGAACAATCCACAAACCAAATTTGAAGTTCATATGTTAAGTATTTCTCAAGTTATCGCGCTGACAAGATTTGTCCGGACACACACACCCACACACCCACCCACCCACACACACACCCACACACCCACCCACCCACCCACCCACGGAAGGACAAGGCGGAAACAGTATGCCCCTTCGGCTTCGCCGCGGGGCATCAAAATTAATGCTTCCCAATCAGATGTAAACAATCAGGGTTTTTAAGAACATTTTCTCTGTAAGTATATAAGACACTATGTGGATTTCTTGTTACCCAAATGTCTGAAATATTGTGATAAAAGAATCAACAACCCAAATGTGGCGGTGTCTAGATGACTGTATTTGTATGGATTATGATATTTTTAATGTCGCCATGTTAGATGTGGAGCCCTGCACGTCGGTGATGAGATCATGACCATTGATGGCACCAGCACGTCCCACATGTCGGTCCCCGAGGCCACGCAACTACTGGCGACACACTCCGAACAAATCAAACTGGAGATCCTCCCAGTCAGTCACATGACACCTAGACTGACGTATCCACGGGAACAACGGGGGCAGAACGGTATGTCAGAAAACTAAACGCAGTTATCAAAGTATAGTATTATTTGACACTGTCCATTCAAAGTAAAAATTTGAGAGAATTTGTTCTTTGGAATTTGTAAATATAGCAATGATACACAATTACTTTACTCTTGTTTTTGAATTGATTGATTTGAAAAATTCACAATTCCTGCCAACTCATGATGTGATATATATTGCTTGTGATTTCTCTGCTTGTATTTTACACTCTCATTCTACTGAATGAAATTGTTTTGTATCCTTGTTGCATTTTGTGGGTGAGTTGGTCTTTTTGTTCATAATTCAGATCCCTAGTCGCTAGGCTTGGGCGACTCCATGCCAGAATTGAAAATCAATCGATTCTGAAGTTGGAATATGAATTGTGTTTCTGTTTGTATCTGTTGCAACCCTTGCCAATCCGTATTTCATGTCAGTGATGTTATCTTTTAAGTTGAGTTCCCTGTACTCTACAACAAACTCACTTTTTATTTATTATTACAATTTTTAAATTTTTATGTTTTATTCCAACCAAAGAACCTTGTTTTTTTTTTCCTTTTTTGGATGTCTGCAACCCTCTGAAAAAAAAAGGTTTTTGTTTTGGGCACAAACAGATCCACTTTGTAAGCAGACTGGCTCCCGGTCCGTACATTATCGATACTGATTGTGGGGCAGGAACCAGCCCTCCCCACAAGAACAGAATTATTGTCTGGCAGCTAATAATTCAAAATTGTGAAGTAATAATTCATGAGCCAATTTTAAAATTTTGGTTGATGTCTCATTCAAAAGTGAATAATTTTTTTATGCTAGAAAAATAGCAATTTAGAAAAGGACTCTATATTTCTGGATGAAGCTCGAAAATAGCACTGGGAATTCATCTTTAATCCGCTTTGTTTTGTCTCCCTTCTTCCGCAGTCGGCAACATGTCTCGGTCCATCACGCCAGTCAGCCACCTGAACAACTCCAGCTACAACAGTCTGAGTAGATCCCAGGCAATGCTCCATGGCAACAGCCGCCAGCAGGCCACAACGCTCAACAGGAAACTGAGAGCCAAGAATCTCAAGGCATCGTCTACATGTAAGAGATTGCTCTGCAATTCTATGGGCTCCGTCCCATGGGCGCGGGACATTTAGCTGGTTGACGCGTACCGTTCCTTGTGTGTGCCGCACGTACACCAGGGGATTTGTACTTTGTACACGCAGTGGTACGGCCGTGCGTCGCGGCAATATTGCAGTCAGGCAAGATGGCGTCGGTCGGTGACCCCCAACTGTACTTTCTTTACTTGTGAACGGAGCGGATTGGTTCTCACTCCAAGAGTTTTAGATAATCAAGTCTTCACAAGAACCTCAGTCTCAAGACGAGTAACAAGCTATTCAAATGAATCCATCTGCTCCTGTACTATATTGTATTACATTGTAGCTATTCAAGGATGAATTCATAAAACCATAGAGTACTCAGGCGGTTTCTGGCGTTACTTGGAGCTGAAGGCAGGGTGGTTGGGGGGAGGGGGGGGGGGGGTTCATGGACGAAAGGGGTCAACTGAAAAGAAAAAAAAAATTGTTATTGTTCATCCTCCCTTACTTGTTGCACTCAACTACAAATCTGCACAACATAAAATTTCGTTTTCAAAATTTGTATTTTTACAATTTGTTTTGAAATTTTTCAATATTTAGTGATTTAAAATAAAATTATGTCAGACTCACTGGGAAAACTACAAAAGTTGAAGGGAACCTTCCGAAAATATTGCTAACCAATTATTTTTCCAAAAAGTGAATTAATCCTAACTCCTTAGCATAATTTACTAGGAACCGTACCCATCCTGGCAAATTCCAACACCCACATGGGAAATTGTACACACACACTGTTGGACTTAGTTTCTGGAGGTATCCCAACCCCAGTGTAAAAGACCATCAGTTTAGGGGTACTGTACCTATCCCAACAGATTTAAACAAAACCTGCTGGTAAACTTTGATGGGTTGAGTTCGGTTAGGGTAAATGTCTTTAAAAAGGCAAAATCCCCCCCCCCCCAAAAAAAAGCATCACTGTTCAGAAATCTGTAAATTCTTCCATCAGATATGTCACTGAGTGAAATATGGTCTCCTCAAATCATTTTAATCTGCTTAGCGGTTTTAACTTTTGACAAAAAAAATTATTTGGTCTAAGTTCATCAGATTCTTTATCTTTCACAGTATCCCTCACCTCGACGATCAACGGAATGGGAATGACGGCCCAAGTCTGTCGCTCGGACACCACGGAGGTAACGTTGTACTCGCGCTGCTGCGATTTTGGCTTCAGCATCCAGGGCGGCGTGTTCACCACGGAAATACTAGGCTCACCGGCCGTCATTGGCTTCATCGAGCCAGGAGGGAAAGCAGACAGGTAGGCTGAACTGACGGGATTGTTAATCTGAGAAGACAAAGCCAGCCTGGTAAAGCTGGTCTTTGGCTATTCACTGGAAGTTGTTTCATGTGTCTGGGGGGGGGGGGGGGTGAAATCCGCCCCCCCCCACAACTTTTTTCGCGATGGCTTTAAAAAAAGTTTTTTTCGCGACCCGAGCTGTTATGACTTGTGCATCTTTTGATACCAAAAACATACGCACTGTGAAAACCTAATTTTCCCATATATGTCGTGTACACAGAGCAGAATTTCCATTCATACATATGAATAATTAATTAGCCCTACTTCCAAAACCCTTTGACCTATAGTCATGAAATTTCTTGGGTATGTTCATGATGAGTTGCTCTGTGCATGTACTGAGTTTCAAAATTTTTCGTCACTCGATGGCCGAGATCTTAGGCGGAATCCCCCTTCCCCCCCCCCCCCCCCATTTTCAATGTGTTATGGGTCACGGCACAAGTTGTGCATTTTTTACATTTTCCTTCTGACAAACAATTATCCTTCGTCAATTTCTTTCAATTTTTTCTTACCAATGGTTCAATCCCTTGATTCACATTTGTTGCAGTAAATCATTATAGAAATACTGTTCAAGTCTATTCCCCCGTGTTCTGCAGGTGTGGCATAATGCAAGTTGGTGATAGGATCATGACCATCAACAATAAGTACACGGATGAGGTTACTCTAGAAGAAGCCAATCAGATGTTGAGAGAGAGCGGCCAGCAGTGCACGTTACTTATAGAATTTGACGTTGCAGGTAACAATTTCCTCGTGTGATTTTTGTTTTATTTTATGTACTTTTTTTTTTGGCAATTCGTCCAAAAAAATTTTGTTATCATTTATAAAAACTCTCACCAGCCATTGATTACAGTGACTGTGATGTATCAGATTGGAACACGACAGCCCACCCCGGTATTAACCGTAGCCCCCTGGGCCCTTTTGGATAGGGACCATACTCAATCCTGCAAAATCCTTCAACTGCGCCTCAATCCTCCAAAATCATCCGTTATTTCTTGAATTTGTTCAGTGGAGGGGTGAGCATTGCCTCAATCCTTCAAAATCCTCCAACAATCTTACCACTTGTCTTACCACTCGACCACCGAGCTTGATGGGGTCGGCTGGCTGGTTCGAATCTGATTTTACCGCAACCATTTCATGAGATAGCATATTGATATTCATAATCTTCAATTTACATCACCCCGACGCATATTCCATCTAATATGAATAAGTTGTGACTCAATTTGTTGGGTCGCAGATAAAAAAAAAATTTAAAAAAAAAAAAAAAAAAAAAAATTTAGTTTAATAAATTAAAGTTAAGGTATTCTCCACATCAGAATTTGCACACAAATTTGGCAGCTTAGAAAAAAATATTCCTAAAATGAACGGCAAAGGGCATATTTATCTTGGAAATGTTTTTCGGACTTTTCTTTTATGCAAAAGCATTTGACATAGAACAAGTTATTTCTTGTTTTGTTTCAGAATCTGTTGTTCCAAGTAGCGGTGTATTTAGTGTCAAACTCCCTATTGCGGACCAAGGGTTAGGCCTGACTTTGAGTGGTAAGAACTACTTTCTGCGTTTTCTCATTCCAACTTTGGAAGCAGCGGTTTGTAAGTAAATGTTATGATAAGTGCCAGTTATCATGGTTATGAGAGTGTTCTTATTTTTTTTTTTTTAATAGTTATAGTGAATAGTTTTCGTTTTTTCCTGAAGTATCATTTACCTTTATTGTGATCCGTGGACAAGGTAAACAAAACTGTGTTTGTGTTTTTCCATAACTGCAAAAAGTACGTGAGTAATTTGAATGATTCTTTCACTAAAAGAAAGCTTATTAATTAGGCTTTCATATCCTAGATCTTGAACGCACTACATGCAAAATTTCTTTAAATAAATAGAAGTTTCCAGTTGGGTTTTCTTTTTTTTTTGCTCACCTGGTATAAATTATAATAATTAAAAACAAAAGTTATATTCTGAACAATGAACGCAACAGGAGATACAACATAAGTCACCTTGTGCAAGCATACATGTACTGTTCACCACTTACCGTGCCAACATTTTGACACTCCTGCCGAAAAACAAAGGAATAATCATTATTTTATTGCAAAGTTTAATTATTTATATTTAAGATAATTGCTCCTATGTATTCCTTTGATTTCAGTTTCACGTTTCGTTATGAGTGTTGTTTTTGCTTATGTTAACAGAAAGTGCTAAGACAAACTGTTCTGTCGCACAATTTTTCTATTTTCAATCTTACATTTGTATTCATACTTTGCAGGGTAGACCTCAAATATGACTTTTGCTACCAAATTGGAAATCATCTGTTATTAAAGCAGAAAAATTACTTTCTGTAGACTTGCAAGACAACTCTCAAAATGTAGTTTTACTTTTTAATATTTCTTTGGAGAATAATTCTGATTACTGTTGAATTGGTTTTTTTTCAGCACCCAAGAATCGTAAGCCAGGTGACGCCTTACTGATATCGGACATTAAGAAAGGAAGCGTTGCCCACAGGTAAAATAAGACCAAAAGTCTTTCCCTAAATCTGTGTTGTATCATGTTCCCTAAATAATAGGGCCGCACACAGTACAGTTTGACAACTGTTTGCCTCAAAAAGTTCCCTTTTCAACTAAAAGATTGACTTTTTTTCATATTGCAGTTCATATCAGTCCTACATTCAGCAGCCTTGTTAATAAAATGTAATGTGAAATGATATGAATATTCATATGCTAGGACCGGTACCCTGGAGCCTGGTGATCATCTCTTTTGCTGTTGTTCATTCGGTGTATTCAATCATTTTGAAACTAGTGAATATTCACATGCTAGGACTGGTACCCTGGAGCCTGGTGGTCATCTCTTTTGCTGTTGTTCATTCACTGTATTCAATCATTTTGAAACTGATAAATATTCACATGCTAGGACCGGTAGCCTGGAGACCATCTCTTTGCTATTGTTTATTTGGTGTATTCAATCATTTTGAAACTGATGAATATTCACATGCTAGGACCGGTACCCTGGAGCCTGGAGACCATCTCTTTGCTATTGTTCATTCACTGTATTCAATCATTTTGAAACTGATGAATATTCACATGCTAGGACCGGTACCCTGGAGCCTGGTGACCATCTGCTGGCTATTGATGATATCCACTTGGAGACTTTCTCGGTTGAGGAGGCGGCCCACATCCTGAGACAAACCGACGACATTGTCAAACTCAGAGTCAAGAAAGACGAAACATTTTCAGGTATTCTTGGTTTTATAAAAAAAAAAAAAAAATTTGGTCCCTCCTGAATCTTCAATTTTCTGAATAAAATTGAGACCCAGGTCTAAGAAAATCCAAGAAATTGGTAGATTCATTTTTGTAAGTTTGTCATTGACTTTGACCGTTTTATTTTTGTTATTTTAACAGAAGATCCGGACATCAGTGGTGCAATATCTTTCACTGTGGAGTTGATACGTCATGGTGGGCCTCTAGGCATCACCATCTCAGGGACAGAGGAATCGTTTGATCCCATCGTCATCTCGGCTCTGACTGAAGGAGGACTGGCTGAAAGGTACAGAACCCCCATTGCCATGCCTGATGTAATTTTGCCTTAGGGAGACGTATATTTTGATTTTGGGTTGTGTCCTGAGGCAAGGGCACATTTCAAACAAAATTTCATTATTTGAAATATTCACAGTAGTTCTTGCTGCAATGTCGGATTTAAACTTGCCAGCCGACCCTGGCAAGCTGGGTGGTCGAGTGGCTGAGACATCTGCACTAGCAAGCAGGAGGTGACGGGTTTGAGTCCTCCCGAGCAAGCTTGTGGTTTTTGTTTTTCAAGCTCTCAGGCAACCCTTAGTACATATGGCATGTGAAATGTTGGACCTCAGTGAACAGCAAAACCAAATATGAGAATTGAACTCTTACGGATGATGACATTTCATTTGACACAAAAGAGCAACAACCACTAAAAGGCAGAATATTTCATGCACAGTTCAATAATTTGAAGGCAATCCTTAGGAAGCTGTTTTTAACAGGTCATATTTTGAAACAAACTGCTGAGCAAAATGGTCCAGGTCATAGTGCCTATTGGCTCCGTTCATGAACAATAGAGGGCTTTGTGACCACCTTCCAAAACCCCAGTAGGGCGGATGCCATGTATGCATATTAGTTCGTGCACATATGGCGCGAAGTATGCACAACTTGGTTTTTTTTCTCTGAATTTGTACAAAACTGTAGCGTACTGTACTGTCCCTCCTAGTGGTCTCCCCCAACTCTCCCTTTGTAACCGTTGAGGGGGTACTTGTGTGCGGAGTCCATAGACCGAACCGGGCAGAGAATCACCGTGCAATCGTAGAGGTCCCAAGTTGTGGCACAAGCTTGTTGCTGCAATTATTCAAAATGGCTTTCAAAGTTGCTTTGTACAGTATCTGACACGATGCTTCCATCGATTTACTGGGGATTCTGTATAGTGATTTGGTGCTGGGATTGATCTGTCTTATGCCTTGAACCATTCACTCTCGATTTCAGGACAGGGGCATTGCACATAGGAGACCGAATCCTGGCCATCAGCGGAACCAGTCTAAGAGGCAAGACCCTGTCAGCTGCCATACGACTCTTGCAGAACGCCGGTAACATTGTCACACTGAAGATCAGCAAACAGGATAAGAAGCCGAGTCCGGTGCCAGACAAGGCGATCATGCAGGTACGGAATTCCAACCCCCATTTCATTGTTGTCTTTTCATCTTGTGAATAACGTTTTGAGTAGGTCCGAATGGACTCCTGGGAGAAGTACCTCTCATAACTCGTGGTTAAGGGCACTGGATTCATGGTCTGTGGGTTCGAGTCCAGCCGGGGTCATGGTGCATGTGCGCTTGAGCAAGGCACTTTGTCACTCATTGCTTCTCTCCACCCAGGAGTAAATGGGTACCTGTGAGGGCAGAGATGGTTATTGTGATTGAATTAGCTTGCTTGCGCCTAACAGGCAGCATCGAGCTGTATACTCCCCAGGGAGCTGAGATGGTATTTGGAATGTTTAATTGGCCCAATGATTAGGGGTAATAATACTGTAAAGTACTTTGATCTTTAGTTAAAAGCGCTATATAAGAACCTGTTGTTATTATTATTATTATTATAAAAAAAAGAGTCCAGTTTCCACAACAGTTTCTGTCACTAGTATTGTTGAGGCAACATGTCTGACAAATTCCTTTACCCTCCTAATAGGAAGTCAATATTCAGAGCAATGTCTAAAGCCCTTTAAAACCGTGCAGGTCAGTTTCAAGTGAAGGGATATGAAGTGTTAACGTAACTGTGTCACACAGAGAGTCACTGCACAAAGAATGTTTTACAACATTAACTTTTAGTTCCCAGACCCGTTTGGATATCGACCAATGAAAGAAGTGTGTTTGGCTGATGTATAAGGTGTGCAAATAAACATATATAGACCTTTGGGGAATGTTGTTAGCTACATTTTGATACCTCGTTTGCTATTAAAGACTGTAAATCATCCAAGATTGACAACAATTTATGAAAATGTATGCAGTTTAAAAAGTTGCAAATTTAAAGATTACGCGAGGAGAAATTGCTAGGCCCCAAACACATATGCCCATAATTGGCCCCTATCAACAGCACAGTGTCCGAAAAAAGTGCGTTAATTCAATTGCGTTCGCTCCCATGTATACAAGCACTGTGCGAGCAATATTCCCTGCCATTCGTTTTGGGGGACTTAATGGATTCAAGATCTCAACAGATTTACTCCCGGCTAACTGGTGGATTCTGATGGACTCACTGGCCACCAAAATTTTTTTTGCACGGCAAAATTGATGGATTTTGGCGGATTCAGGATACTTTCTAGTAAATATACCCAAGGGGTTATAGGGTTAATCTGCACGCAACTGTTGCCATAACTTGTATGATTGGCTAACATTTCCACATCCCATTCAACATTTTGTTCTAAACCACAGAGCAAGGATGCCATAGTGATGCAAGCGCACACGCTGCATCACTTCCATCCTGTCGTATCAAGTAACAACCCCACGGCCCACAGTACGCCCATCGGTGCAACCACACAGGTAATGGCCAGTCATGTTCTGTAATCCTATTCTTAGATTCGTAGATTGTGTTGACAACTTTTCACGTTGTAACCTCTCTTTTAATTTCTGCATTAAATCTCACTGGAGTTAGTGGCACATTGTCTTCTTGTTCTTAGTGTAGCCTATATTATTATCAGATTGGGGGGAAAAATATGGGAATTCACAGTAAGTGCCATTAAACATGTTGCTCTATCACAGTCTTCATTTTTTTAGATTGAAGTTACAATGTACATTCCTCAATCTCAAATTTGGTTCAATAAAATAATGTGATATTTCTGTATGTACCCTCAAAAGGGCTTAATTACGAAGCATACACGCAAAACTGTTGGCTTTTAGTACCATTTGGTAATTTCAACAATTTTTTGCATTTTTTTTTTAATTTGATAATTATTGCACATAACTGATTCAGTTCCCATTGTTTCTAATATAAAATTGTCAAATCTGGATGTGCGCCTGCATAATGGATTATTTTGTCCATTCCACTCAGGGTTCGGCAGATTCTTGGGAAGGTTCAGGATTGGACACCGGTTACCACAGCACCCATGTGCACCACTCTCGCTCCAACTCACGCTCCAACTCACGCTCCAACTCCCCAACCATCCGCCGGGCTTACCCCTCCCCGGCCCGCCGGCCCTCCCGCACACGCAGGATGCGTTCCTCCTCCCAATCTACATCACCAAATGACGCTAGTGAGGACGAGCTTGAAGAACGCTACGGAATGTCACGCAGCCGTTCTGGTGCCAATAGCGACCCCATGAGCTCAGACCAGGAAGACGGCTACCGGTACAACCACCTCACCAAGCCACCCTCAAGGAAATCCTCCCTCACCCGAAACCATGACTACCTCCGGAACATTGACTCCGGCATCATGGCCAACGGGGTCAGCCCCGAATCCAACCTGATCAGCCCCCCGACCAGTTACCCCCACAGCACCATCACCGGTTACCCGGACACGGCTACCAGTTACCCGCAGAGTCCCGAGTCCTCGCGCAGTCTGACCAATCACTACAACTCGTACACCATGCCCGCGGGAATGAGAACAATGGACGGGTATCACATGACTGCCATGGAAGCTGAAATTAACGAACTTCTTGCCGCGCCCGCAGCTCCGACGGAGGTACAACGGGTGACCTTGTATAAGGACAGCGATGTGGAAGACTTTGGGTTCAGCGTCTCGGATGGTGTGTATGAACCGGGAGTGTTTGTCAATACTGTCAGGCCTGGGGGTCCAGCTGCTAGAACTGGCAACGTCAAACCTTTTGACAGAGTCCTGCAGGTCAGAATCTTAGCATTTTGGGGGGGGGGGGGGGGGTTAAAGTTGTTGTTTTGTTTTCAGAATTGAACAAATGCAGATAGAAATCAACAGAAAAATACTATATCGATCCACCTCAGTATATAACATTTTGCTAAATAAAATATTCAATACTTGGTTAAAGCGAAGAAATTGACTGGGATGGGTGTTGAACCGTCGGCATCCAGAACACAGCTGAGTTGGAAGAGCATCAGTGCGGTGTTCCTGAATTCACATGGTCCAAACCTGCTAGGTTTAATTTCTTCATTTACATGTACAGCCAAAGCTGAAGCGGATTGATGTACGATGAGTACATAGGATCTGCAATGAACAGTGTGTCCAACCCCTCCACCCATGAGCTGAAACTACTAAGTTACCAAAAAAATGCACCCTTAAGATTTTGAGCAATTTTTTGAGAAAAGAATGCACAAAAAGCAAATGATCCTATAATCTTGGTTTGAAAAGACAGAAACTTAGAAAAGACAGAAACAAACAAACCTAGGAAAAAAACACCCAGAAAATGACGGATTTTACAAATATTGTTTTACAGATCAATCAAACCAGAACTCGAGATTTTGACTGCTGCATGGTGGTGCCGCTGATAGCAGAGTCAGGGAACCAGATGGAATTATCGCTCAGTCGATCCCAGTCCTCCAACGTCAACCTCCACCTGAACCAACGACCCCCGGCAGGCACCGAGCCACACTGGCAGGGGTCTGTGGATGGTTCCAGGCAAGGCAGTCATGAGAGCTCCTTGCAGCATACCATGTAGGGAAGAAAAGAAAGAGCCCATTGCAAACTGGTGTGCCAGAGTCATGCAAAACCAGAGGCAGATTTCTCAAAATTGGTGAGAAAATTGGTATATTTGGGACCAACTTTGTTGAATATTTTTCTCCTGTAAAGACCCTTAAAGGAAAACAAAATTGCTTTGGTTTTTCTATACGGAGATGAACCTTTTTCGATTTTAATCGGAAATCCGACTTTTTGAATTTTCCAACGAAATTTCCGATTTTCTTACAATGTGTCCCACAAAGTTTGATTTTGTAAGGATTTGTCCACAAAATGTCATTGATTTCAATCATAATTTCGAAGAAAAGTCGATGGAAATGGCACGTTAAAATCATCGAGAACGTAGTTATTGGAGTGTTTCAACGGTAGAAACACAGGCCATAACACTGATCGGAGCCTTTTCCGGCTGGTCAAAAGGTTAAACATTGACATGTGACATGGAAAAATCACTGTGTCGCACGGTAATACAGTGTGATGCGTGTACGTACAGCTGCACATGATCATATGCAATGGTACCATACCAGCGTACATACCGCACCGTCCGTCGTGGACTTTTTCCTCGATTTTCTCAAGTAAGAATGAACTTCTTTGTTGATGACTCCATTACTCTAACTGTAATTCAGGCAATTTATGCAATGAAAACACTGACCATTTTTTTTTTCATCATAAAATTCTGTTTGAATCGAAAATAAAGCAGGGGTCGGTGTCCGGAAATTGGGCATGAAGTGTATAATACATACATGTACATGCATGTAACTGCAGCGCGGCCCAGATTTCGGACACGTGTTTTTGTTCGGCCTATTTTTTGCCATATGCCAGTTTCATCTCTGTCTTTAAACAAAAACAAACATTTAAGAAAGGAGAAACATATTTAAATAATGTTGGTTTCTTTTCACAGCCTGTCTTGCTTTTTTTTGTAACATACATGTTTATATTCTTGGATAAATTTGTATGTAGAATAATTATTATTATAAAGCATTGAAAAAAATAGGTTGAAATACACTACGGTTATTTAATAACTTAAGGACAGTATTAGATTGTGTAGTCTTTCGCATTGTTTTGTGATTTATTTGTGATTTGGTTTTGTGAAGCGTTTTGTTCAGCACAAAATTGTAAGTGTATATGACTATTTTGACCACATAAAATTGTAAATTGATGACTCCCATGTGCAAGAAAGCATCAGAAAGAATCTCACATATGAAACATTACTTTCAAATTTGAAAATGGTGATCAGTTAACAATTTATTTATTCTTGGAAATGTTCCATTTAGTCATCTGAAAATTCAGACCATAACTGCTTAACTCAAAATTGTGTACTGCTTGAATTTATTCTGCCTTGACTTGTACACAAATCTGTTGAACTTCAGCTGAACACTTCAACTTGGCAGTCCATTAAATACAAACAGCGCCCCCACGGGACTTGAATTTCCCAGTTACCATTAAACACACATGTACATCACACATGTACATGTATACATGTACATTGACAGACTGCATATTTAGAAAAGCATAATAAGAAAGAATCATGTAATATACATTTTGTATGGAAAAGCTACCATACAGCTTCAGTGCAATAGTGTACCAGTGGTTTGGGTTATGATCAGGTGTGCTTTAATCAGGGCTAGGTCAAAATATATTTAATTTCAGTTTTGTTGATAACTATTTTTGGGTCGTGGTTGATTACTTGTATGATGTCATTTCCACTGCAAGTAACTCGGTCATTACTCATACTTTCATTTTAGAGTTCCAATTTTTTTTTGGCAGGAAGATCTTTCAAAATAGTTTATCAACCACTAGATGTACTTTACAAATGTATATCACTACATATTTCTACCACTCTGACTGCAGAATGTTTGTCAAATGTTTTTGTTTTCAGAAAGGAGTGAAAAGTTTGTCATTTAAATGTACGTATTTAACATGTTCGTTATATTTTCAATATCTGTTTCCTTGTGATAGTAAAACCAATGGGTTGTTGTTTTCATTAAAAATTGTTTTGTTTACAGTGCATGTGACAGAGAGGGAAAAAAACAAGTTTATTGTACCAAGTCATTGTTTGGGAAAATTTGCTGCTTTTTTGTAATAAATCGTCCAACAAGAGTTTCTGTTTCAGTTTACTTTGGAAAAATTAGGTTAAAATTCTGAAATTGAAAGGTGAAAATCCTGCCGTTCAGATATGCAGAAAAAAAACGGTCGTTGACTACATGGTCTAGTATGGACTTGTATTTCAACAATGGGTGTGTGGCAAGCCTTTGGCCATAATAAAATAAAAGCCATGTTACCACACTGGATCAGTCAACAAAAATAATGTCCTTTTGTCACCGGATACGACATTTAACCAAGCGTGTAAATGGAATTTGAGGGATTTGGGCTTTTTTTGTATGGCCTGGGCAAATTACCCACATCCCCAAAGGCGAAACGTTCTAAATATGTGACATTGAAGTCTTGCATTTATCATGGCTGTATCTTTGATGTGTAATTTGTGTATTTCTCTTCTTATATTGGTGCTATTAAGTTATACTTAAAGTGTGTAAAACAAACGGTGGAATTGTTAAACCGCTGTACAAAGTTTCGATGGGTTTAGACACGATATTGAATAGGTTGGTTCGTTTCTTGCTTTTTACAAAAACAATGTGCTGTATTTTCACAGGCATATTTCTGGTGTGCAAAAACGAGAGTTAACGTTGTTTTTTTTTGCCTTTCTTTTGGGACGCAGGTAAAAAAAAATTGTAATAAGTGTAAAATTGTGAATACATGTAGTCTGAACACTTTTGTGGTTTATTTTCTTATTTATTTTGTTATATGAAACCAGATGCATGGAAGTCATCAGACCCACAAAAAAATAAATGAATTTACAACAAAAATTTATCATCATTTTTTGTGTACCGGTATTTGTTATTTATTAATGTGATGTTCGATTTAGTTGTATATTAAAAAAAAACAATCCAGACAACAAAGAAAACTGATCCATAAACGTGTTTTTTTCTGAGTTCATAAATAAATTTATTCATGCCAGTTTCAATAATCTCTGATAATTATCATCACAAACTAATATTTCAAAGAATTCATCACATGTAGTACAAACACCAAAACACCCCAAGAAAAGTACATACAATTCAATTTAAATTTACCAACATGTACATGACATTATATTAAGAAAAAAAATGGGAGTGATATTTTCAATTTATTTTTTGTTTTTACTGATCAAAGTGGGCATGGTAAAAAATTTAACTTTTCTCCTGAATTCAAAATCCCCAAACCAAGACGCTGACGGATTTTTCATTTTTGAATTTGCAATTAAATAATAATGGTAATGACATATATGTAATTATTTATTTATTCAAAACCAAACAATAATGGCAATTTAGATGGCTATGATAATAACATCCTATGGCAAGTAAAGAACATAATTTAGCATTTACGTGTAGCAGGTGAATTAATACCATAAACATTTTTCCCCCCAGTATTTAAAGTCGCCATAAAAACTTTCACATTGGGGGAGCTCGAATCTTTACGCTTGCAAAGTGAATTTGACGTCAATGCCATTGGGGAGAAGTTCACAGGATTTGCAATGTCAACTTTTGAGAACTTTTTAGTAGCACAAATACTTCACATGACGTTTCCAATTCAGATCGTGTTTCAACAATTTGATAATTTAATTCTAAACGAAATTTTTTTTTTTTGCCACACAATGTGAAGCTTTGCAAAGTCCATTTAAACATGCAAGCTTGTGTAAGCACTCATACATTTACAATAAATTAGATTTTTTTTTAATAAAATGAAACTATTAAAATGACAAATACCAAGAAAACTACAGAAATATTTCAGATACTAAAACAATCTATCACATGAGGTATCTATTTTTGTTACAATCTGATAAAACATCGGGCGTCAGTTCATTGGGGCAATGTTGCAATACCAAAAATATATTTCATGAGGTTATGTTTCATTGGATAAAAATAGCTAGGTGGCGCATTTTAATACTTTTACTTTTACCCAAATATCGGTCAACAAATCATAAACAAAAATAAGTACTTTTCACAAATTAACAACCCGATTTGTCATAAAATCTTATATTTCAACAAATTGATTTATATGCTTTTTTCAAAACTGAAATGAGGATTAGTAAAATTTTTGTAAAAACGGATGTTATGTGACACTTAACAATCTAATACTGTTACTTTTATCAAAATTTAGGTCCACAAAGTGCGAACAAAAATAATAAATATCCAAAAATTAACTGCCTGATTTGTCATGAAACCTCAAATTTCAATAAAATTGATTCATCGGATTTATTTTAAAATGAAACTGGGATTTAAGTACAAATTTTGTCAATATATGTGATACTGACTTTCACAAGTCATTAACTTCTAGGATATAAGGAAGTAATGATACATGTACAATGTAGTACTTTAAGTAAAATATATTTTTCAAACAAATCTTCTTTGTTCTTAATTTGCTAGGTCAAGTACTTTAGTACAAAGCTGCACAAGGCCTCCTTTTAAACTGCATATATCTAAAAGTTGGACATTTTACACAAATTTTAAAATGTCAACTTCAGTCTGAATAAAATGACTCAAATTGTATCGCGAAAATCACATTTTAGAAAACTTTTTTCCCAGGGTGCCAAAAAAAGCCTTTTCATGAATCATCCACATATTATCCAGTACTAACGGGTGAGTCAAAAAGAAAGTGCCTGAATTAGAAAAAAAAATACAAAATATGTGGCTTGCCCCATTTCATAAAAATCACATTAAGAATAAAAACCATGTTATTAACTAGTATTTGTGAAAATTTCGCGTTATGTACTCTATTCCCAACTTATGTATTTTAATAAAAAGATCAGTAATTCAGCTTTCCGCCACTGATTATTTACCGTTCTTTGAACTGATGAATGACCATTAAATACAATGAAACATGGATGTTTTCCCACCTCCATGAATGGACGAAAACTTGCACAGGAAAAAAGACAAAAATCGCCACAAATATTTCAGAGAGAAAAAAAAGAGTTGACTTGTTCCTCATATTCAAAACACAAAATCCAACGGTAAAAATAATGATTCATTCTTGACTCAAATGATTAAAATCTAATTTGTATTTGAATGCTTGTGTGTAATCTGTAATTCTCACTCGGCTCAATAGCTTGCAATGGCATTCCATGTACACCTGTAAAAATAGCTTCTTTCAGTAAAACATGCATAACTTCTGATTGCATGAATACATTTCAGTAATTTTTTTTTTTTTGAATGAGTGGAAGAACTTACATGCTCTTTTAAGACAAACTTCACTGGTGTATCAAATTTGATTGCTTTTTAAGAAAAGAAATAATTAATCCAGGTCACTTTCTTTTTGACTCACCCTATACAGTAGAAATCTACAACCTTGGGCAAAAAAAGGACCCCAAATTTCACCGCATCTTATTTGTTCTTTTTAATTTTTTCCCTCGCATATTTTTTGTCATTTGTACAGATTAAGTGGCAAAAACACCTTCAATAGAACACAGAATACACATCATTGTCAAAAATAAATTAAAACATTTCATGCACTATTTTCATATGTCATAATAACCACAGACATGTACATGTACATACACAAAATGTATACTAATACCATTCACGACCACTCCGAATGAAAGGCCGGTCAAGTAATGTCGTCACATCTACGGTAAATATTGCACAAGATTCTTTCCGTTTAAGCACAGTTACTACTACACACGTCCACCCTATAACCTCCTCATCCAAACCTCTGGATGAATTAATATTATTACACTGGGTCCCATGATCAGATTCAAATGATTCTAATCAGTGTTAGGTACACCTGTATTATCTTGTGTGTAAACACCAAGTACTGTACCAGCTATAATCCCCGCTTGACACACAACTGTTGACCTGTAAGATACCAGATCATTAAGGTGGAAACACGTACAAATAGTATTCACGATAACGACTTGGCCCAATTCCAACTTGAAGTTTCACAATCCCCCTGGTGTCGTAATATTCACTGAAGACAAAACAAAAAGGAACAAAGACCAAGTTATGAACCTAAGGCATGCCACTGAATTGTACGACTACGGCTGGTGATAACACTTACGGCTATGGATGTGGCTGAATCCACTTCCCATAGATGTGTGTGATACTACAAACCGTAGCCTGACTGTCAGCCAGACCCAGCCTAACTCTCAGAACAAAGACACGTTCATTCACAACCCTAAACCGCTAGCAGGTGACAGCCTTTTTGTTTGGACAACTCTTGGGTCCATCCCCCCCCAAAAAAAATGTCCAATAAAAAATAGGCAACTGGCCAACACATGTCATTGTGTTTACACCTCAGATCAGATCTTGGCATACAACAAGGTTTACACAGTGCAGCGCAGACGCTATCTTGAAGATCTTGTCATTATGATAATCTTATACACCTACATGTACCCTCATCTTTCTCACTTCACATAGCAAGATCAGAAGGGGACAGCGAAGCATGCAGCTTGCAATGACAAGGAAATGACACATGTCCCTAAACATTTTGATCACCAACTCTTGGTCACACATGCCCCAAACGTCCCCAGTGACTGCTATCTACAGCGTGACCTTTTGTGAACCTGGGAACCGCAGACTACTACGATCCCGCCAAAAGGTTACCAAAAAAAGTAGTTCAGGCCTCCGTGTGATGGGGAAAAAAAATGACTGCGGTAAAAATTGAGATTGGGCAGGCATTTTTACAGCTAGCACAAAATCAAGTGATGATATAAACATGTGTCATGATAATACATGTGTACATGTAGAACTTCACATGTATCTATGGCCATTCCTTTTAGATTTCCTCCATAAACAAGGGGGAATGTTTTCAATAATGCAATTTTTTCTTTTCAATGGTGCGTTTTTGTTTGTTGGAAATAAGTTCTAAACAATTCTGCATTTAAAGTAACTACCCTGGCATGTACAAATAGTTCGTTTGAAGAAAGCAGAAAACCGTACACATAGTTAAAGGGAATGTACATCATTGGCTTTTGCTGTAATTTTCAGAAATGAACTATTTGAGGGGTTAGTATACACTGTAATAGATCAAATAATGTTACACTGATATGTTTGAAAGTTTGTGTTCGAAAATGCGGGAAAAACCAAGACAAACAAAAATGTTCAAGTAGTCTGGTTCCCTGACTCCACTAAAGATAAAATGGATCAATTTATAGATGCCAGAAAATTGTAAGGTAAGGGAATCAGTCTAGCTGCTCTGCACCCGTTAATGAACATGTAACAAATAGCAAACACAATTTAGACTGAAAAAAGGTAATTTTGGAGCAGTAGTTGAAAAATAGTTAGGTTTTTCCAACGGTGGTCGGCCGACCACCGTTGGAAATGTATACAAAAATACAATTTTCTTGAAAATGATTTCACACCTGGTGCCATAATTTAACAGGATGCTTTAGACTGTCATTTACCAACATCCTAGTAAGGTATTTTGTAAAAACTTGGTAGTTTTATTTTTCGATGTTTGCAAATGTTGTATATTCCCTTTAAAGTATAAAGTATAAATCAATAAATAAATAAATAAAAACTATATCATTACATGAAATTATCTACAAAACTTATCTCCAAATAAAAAAATTCAAAATAAGTCCCCCTTTTCACTTTTATAAATAAAATATCAATAATTTCAGTAACCTTAATTTATGGCAAAACAATAAATAATGTTTAATAAACCTTTTCGTTGTGTGAACAAAATAATGACATCACAGGTTTGAGATTTTGGCATGTCTAGTCATGCTCCACAAAATCCAGAATAGTCATCATGACAATATGGTAAAGTAGTCAGGTCAAACCAATAATAGAACCCGACCAACTGATAAAGAAGCAGCTTTCAGGTTCCTTTGCTCTGGGTACCAGACCATCCAGGGCCCACAGCATGTTATTTTTCAGGACGGATGTTTAACATCAAGTAAAGTGGATAAAGTAAATGAAAGGAATGCATGGTACATATGGATTTTGCTTACATTTGTTGGGAATTTTTCTGCATTTATCTGCAAAAAACCTTCAAAATAGGAACTATTTTTGCTGTTCTCAATAAAGATAAAAGAAGGGACAACCTTAGATATCGACATTCATGTTGTCATGACCAACAAAATTTTTTAGATTTACAAATTTAAAGGTGTCTGTACACAGTAAATGCATACATATGAGGAAATACTTTTAACTACGAGTAAAGTACATGTATTTCAAATTTTAATACCATGCAAAATATACACATACTGGATTTTTGGCACAAATAAAAGTACTGACTCCAATGTACTGATGAATGCATACATAAGGAATATGCCTGCATACTATGTACATGTACATGTGTATGCACATGTGGTACTGTAAGTATGGTAATAGCACTTCTGGGTCAAATCTTATGGAGCTACCGGTACATGTACTAAACAAAGCACAAGATATTGCTCAACACATTGACTTGCTTGCTCAGCAAAAATCAACTCAGAACTAGTCACAAGAAGTAAACTTTGCCTAAAAACAATTTGGCTTGTACATGTACATGTCATGTATTTACCTGATTTTGCTTTTGGCATAAATACCGTACATGTACTGGTTAGGATGAACCGGTACATGTATTTTCTGTGCTTAGGAAATTTCTGTGCCTCCACAGCTCCTTGCAATTCGGGCAATTCACAATGCAGTGCGCCACCAAGAGTTTGCAATGGAGAGTCCGTTTTTCAAGTTTACGGTTGACAAAACATGGCCCATTTGAACGAGTGTCAGTAGACAACTTGAGCTAATTTGTTATAGATTGGGGCATAGCGTTCTGCCGCCTTACAAAAAACACCATAATGATAAAAAGAAAAGAAAAGGGCAAACGTATACTGGAATCATACGCTTGCGAAACTACTGACCGGAAAAACTAACAATTTCAAATGTCCCGCGCTGCGAATTTGTCGACCATCTCCCACAATGCACTGAGAAAAAAAAACTCTCCGTGGCAAACACTTGGTGGCGCACTGCATTGTGAAACGCCCCAATTGGTCCCCATTGTGGCATCTACATTTAGGCTATTTTCATCTCAGCATTAAAGGTAGAGTCCATCATTTGTAATTTGTGCATTTTGTTCGTTTGAAGCAACAAAAGAGTTCAAAATCTTAAGAAGGGTGCTGAACAACTAATCTGATGAAGTTTCAGCTAAGCTTCAGCTGTACATTCCGAGAAAAACAGCATTCTAAGATCTCAATTTCAAATCAAAAGTTGCTGAATCATGTTTTGAATTGTTTTGAATTGCAGCTATACGCGACGTCGCGCACTGATCCGACGAATTATAACAACCGCGCGCGCGTGTGCGTCGTTCGAATACTTGTGCGCGCTGCGCTGAATAACAAAACGAACTACTAATTTAAATTTTCCTACGGTGCTTCTTAAGAATCACCGTTGGAAATGCCTTCTTTCGTTGATTACTTCAAAATGACAGCTTCCCAGAAAGAATAATTTCACAGGGAGTTTAGTCTCCTTACTATCTTTCAACCAAGTTAGTTTTTCAACAATAATTACGCCAGTTACTTTTCGGATGGCTGCAAATGATGGACTCTACCTTTAAAGAGAGGATAATTAGGCACAGAGTCCCTGTAAATCTATGGTGATTGATCCATGGTAGAATGCTGCACCCTGTTAACATAAATCACACACGCATGGCTAGTCACATCAGCACAAGGCCGCTAAGCTGCATAAGAAGACCCAGAGGTTGCAATGGGCTTCCAAGAAGCATTCCTATTGCATTACTACTGGAACATTCTCCCACAAGGACAGCTATAAAGTTCCAATCACAAGCTCTGTGCTGTATGCTGGTGCACACAGACATCAAAAGCAGCAGCAGCTTTCCCAGGGGTATCAATGAAATGGACCAACACACAGAGAATGCATCACGCAGCGCTGCGATGATCCACTTCATTGATCATATAATGTACATGTACATGCAAAAGAGCTGTCACACAGACATCAAAACATCACTGGGGCAGTGGGTCGGGTCAAAACCCTTTCCAGGCAGTGTATTACAAAAACTGGTTATAAAGGTTCCAGTTTACAGTCTAGTTTATACATGTACAGGTTGTTTGTTGTGAATGCAGAGCGTGGCCATGGACAGACCATAGAGCCAGGTCCTAGCTCTATGGACAGACTAACCCCCTGTGCATTTGGCCTTGGGAAACCTGTTGCATGAAGATGGTCCTCTGTTATGCAGCATAAGTACCATTCATGGATTGTCAGCAGACAACTCCTCAATGCACAGACTGTGCAGCTGGATTTTACAAACTTAAAAAAGCTTGTGACCCTCAGTATACAGGAAAATGGCTTATCGGTTACGTGGGTTCCTTTGTAAAGAGGGAATGACCCCCACCCTACTTCCCTAGAAAACCTCAGACGAACTATAGCATGAAAATGGAATATTTCCCTGTTTGAATGAATAACAGAGTGAATGTGTAATATTTAAATGCTGTGAGTCCTTTGCATGGCTTGGTTCAGTGAGAGGCAGTACTTGCAAATGTCATATTCTATAAATGGATCAGCTTAGCTACCTGTACTAGGTAATGGAACCAAGGAGATTTCAGTTTGATAATGTGCATCATATACTGCGTACAAAGAGCTAATGCCGCATATTTATAAGTGTGCTTTACCTTAAAGGTGAATATATTCAATGTCGGTGAAATAGTAAAAGTTTGCGAGTTAATTAGTGTCCAAAAAGCAATCCTCTGGATAACGGTAAAGAGCATCTGGGGAATAAAATGCCAGAATATATGTCACAATTTTCTGCCACTTTCAATGATCACTTAACATACCGGCTGTTTTGCAATAATTCCACTCAATTGAAGGAAATCCCCCGATAGCAAACAACCACCAATTCTCTGTATTTGTATTAAACACACACACACAAACACCCATGTTTGTTTATGGTGTAAAATCAAGGATTTCCTATTGTTCCTCTTTTGTTCATACAAAATGGTTTTGTACACGTTTTCTAATCGAGGTCGTCCTCAATTTGAATCCTGTCCTCAATTACTCGATGATGCTTCATAAGTGTGTCCTCGATTTGCACCATAAACATGTTCACACAGTCATGAGGACCCGCTATTGTACCCTTCTTTTGTTCCCTTTGTTTGTACATGTACTTTAACTTTTCTCGACAGCTCCCATAAGGTTTGTACACAAACTTCTCCCGAGGACTCGGCTAAGGTCCTCGGGGTCATTGTTACATGTATCACTAATCCCCCATTGTCCTAAGTCCTCAGGCGTATAGGGTAGCCTAACCTACACGTACCTACACAAGTGTGTATTTGCCTGCAATCGGGGACCCCCTATTGTCCCTCTTTTGTTTGTGCTCTAACTTTTTAGGAAGACCTCCCATATGTTTTGTACACATTTTGTACCCATATGTTTTGTACAAATTGGGGACCTTCGCGAATTGGGGACCCTCTATTGTTCAACGTCCCCTATTGAATGCAGAAACAAACTCATACACACAAAACTTTGCTGCTATTATTAAGTAATCCTAGCCACCAACAAACATGAACTGCACGTTTAGAACTTTTGAAACAGGAAATAAAAAAGTGCAATCAATGACCATGCAATGCAACATATTATTACAATCTGGGTCTCAATACAGTTCCTGGTAAATATAGCTTTTCTATCTATACAGGAAAGATAGAGGAAAGGAGAAATGTTTAGTAATGCCTGGCAAAATACGGTCACGGGGTTCTTTTCCAAGGGACTTCCCCTGTACATGCATGCAGTATCCAGACAAGTACTAAACTGCACAATATGGACTGCAACCTACACATGTACATTACCACTGGAGGGTAAATCAACACGAAGCAAACCCGTGTCTAAACAAGCCATCATATACCCTGCTACTAAAACAAATACCCGTGCCTCGCGTAGGGATCCACTGCATTCCATGCCAGAGTCTCTTGTCATAGACCACAGTCATCCTGTGAGTTAATACAGATCAGCTCTGCAATCCAAAGGCAGCGATGAAGACGTTTAAGACCACGATGGTGAAAACCATCCCCGTGGTCCAGTTGTTGAAGCGGTCCAGCCTGCGCTGCCGGTAGACGTCGTTCAGGTTGTCCCTGCCGAGGAGGAGAAGGAAGACACCAGTGAGCAGTTGTAAGGTGATGGAGAGGATGATGAGCGCCGTGACGAAGCGGAAGAAACGGAAGTCTTGGCCCACGCTGATGAGACTCTTGAGCTGAGAGGCATTGGCCATCAGCAGGGCCACGGCCAACAGGCCCTCACAGACCGTCTTCTTGGTGGCATAGATGTTGTAGTCTATCGCCCGTGGGGCTGGATTCTGAGAAGGGAAAAAAATCAACCAAATCAACAACATTACAGTGCCTGATTTCAAGGCTTTACCAAGCACAACATTCTGCACCTATGATCCCCATTTTGTGCTTTCAGTACAGGTTCTAAACCTGGAAAGTAACATAGCACTTAAATGACCAAAATAAAGTTTGCATGAGCTTTCATAGTATAAACATCAAATATTTGTAATTTCAAATATGGAATGCTTCGAGTGGTGTAGTATAAGTAGCCTCCCGAGGTGATCCATGGACATTGAGGGAAAATAGAATGCTCCATTGATCACCGAGGCGGAGGGAGGCTAGTTTTACTTCACCAAGACATACATGTAAAGCATTCAATATTTGTTTTATAACACTTCACCCACAGATTTTGCTTGGTTTTAATATTTTTAATTATTTAACTCCGAACACAGTTAAAATAAAGTTCAATTTTCAATACAAAATTGATTGGAAATGTATAAATCTCTCTTCCAAACCTCCCCTTCACGAAATGTTTGAACCAAACTCTCTTGGGAACAATACACGCAACACTCAACGCGCACACCAGCATGCATTTGCACACAAATACCGCGCCAAGGGTATAGTACATGTACTTTGGTTGCAATGGTTTAGTACTTGTTGCTACGGGTATAGCCGTGCACTGAAAGATGGCAAAAATAGAAAGTGCCATGTGACTCGCTCTCTGACTCTCTGCCAATCAAGACACAGAATCTGTGGGTGAGGTTTTATAACAACAAATAATCCATCCAATGCACAAAAAAAGCACAAAAAAGGTACACAATCATACAATCCTAAGCTGAAATTCCTTACTTGCTCGTGAAATCTGGCTCTGCTGACCAATAGCAAAGAATTTTCTACTGTACCAGGGTAGTTTGGAGATCTTACAGTAAGCAGACTCGTGAAAATGGGCCCGCAGGTACGTGTAAGCAATGTAGTTGGGTCAATCAGAAAATACATGTTTGCAAAGTCCAACATATACAGGCGCACACATGTTTGGCGAAGCAAAGTGCTGAATAATTGACCAATTCCGGCTGAACCTTTCAATTCTTATTACCAGTGAAAAGCTCCAAAGTGGTCGTTGATTTCATGCACTTATCCTCACTTATCCAATTGTATTGTTTTTTAAGCCAAGGGTCTAGATTTCGTTGAATTTTATCAAATTAAGGAAGCCAGACACCAGACAGTGCTCATTACTGATGACTTCTGATTCGTGTAGTAACAATGTACAAGGTTCATACTGTACAAAAAATCCATTTACAGGATTTTCCCGCACTGTCAAAGTACACCTCCTTTCCAAAAAAAACCCCTTACATCACAAAAGGGAAAAAATGGCAATTAAATTTGAAAACTGTTGATTTTGGGGGGTAGGGGGTGTCACAGCATGGAAAAACCATGTAGGCCTATAGGTTTGCTCTGGTTTTATAATGAGGTGCACAGTACCGGTACATGAAAAAAAAAATGTATTCATGAAGATGCCGCGCTGGTTCTTTAATTAAATAAAAATTCCATCTGATTTGGTTCGCCTATTTTGAAAAACATTACGAGATTGAAACACCTGATGAATGAACAAGGTTCCTTTCAATGCAAAATGTCAATATCACACTTCATCAACTCCCTGCTTTCCAATCCTGATCTTTTATACTGCAACATAAAGGAAACAGAAAAGTGCATGAAGTGTAGCAGGCTGGACAAATGCCAACTTTGTGTACTTCGGATTACACAGTACTATAGGTGTATCCCCACCCCAACCCCCTAAAGGACCCTATCACAGACTGATGAAAAGTGCGTTTGGCAAGGTTACCCCATGGTTAACCCAACCACTGGGACATATGATGGAACCCCTAGCCCCTTGGCATCAATCAATCACATTTATCAGACCTAAGTGGCAGGCAAAAATTACCTTATCTCAAGATAAGCCCCCAAATTTAGAGTTAGACACCAATGATGAACATACACCAGGGAAGATTTTTGCAAAAACTTTATTTCTCAGGGGGAAACACTTCCCTTCTTCAATTATAGAAACTCTGGATTATCAATAAACCCAGTTCATAAAGTTCTCCTGTGATGTGACATGATGGCAGCTGGGTTTTTTTCCCCTTCAATTCCCCCCCCCCCCAGTAATTTGGTTTGAGTTACTAATATAGTTGCTAAAGTTAGTGTTGAAGCATAGAATGTATATATCCAGCATGCCTTCCTTCCTGTCTGACATCAAACATTTTGTAGAAACATTGCATCTCTGGTTACAAAAGCAAGTTTGACACAGAAAACTATGCATTCTACACATACATGGTACCTCTCTGCATGTACAATACCAAGTTACAATGTACCTGTACATGTATACACTGGATCAGAGCACGACCAGAGGTCTATCAAAACCACTTATAAAGGATTTCCTTACTATTGGAGGTTGACTGACAACTTTGAAGTCCACACATTTACACACCTGACATAAACAGGTACATGCACAAGATATTAAATTTACATGTACATCGTACACTGTACTAGAACGCTTTAAGCGTTCTAGTACAGTAATACTGTAACCAACATTGAAAGCGGGTACAGCACTGGGAGTGGTGGGTACAACCACGGACAAGGTACACAAAATGTACAACTATCCCAGTGTTGGTTACAACACTTGGAGTGGATGGGTACAACACTCCCAGTGTTGGTTACAACACTGGGAGTGGGCACACAACTCCCAGTGTTGGTTGCAACACTGGGAGTGGGTACAACACTTACAGTGTTGGTTACAACACTCCCAGTGTTAGTTACAACATTTGGAGTGGGCACACAACTCCCAGTGTTGGTTACAACATTGGGAGTGGGTACAACACTTACAGTGTTGGTTACAACACTCCCAGTGTTGCTTACAACACTTCCAGTGTTGGTTACAACACTGGAAGTAGGTACAGCACTACAACACTCCCGGTGTTGGTTACAACATTGGGAGTGGGTACATTTTACACTCCAAGTGTTGGTGCCAACTCAACTCTGGGAGTGGGTACAACACTCCCAGAGTTGGTCTGAAAGTGGGTCACTCCGGTCCCAGTGGTGGTGACAACTACCGGTAAACTCTGGGAGTGGGGAGGCCTACAACACTCCCACCAGTAGTGTGAATATTATATGCAACCTGACAGGCAAATCATTGCCAAATTTGTTATCCTGCATTTAATCATTACCACAAACAGGATTTGGGTTATCAGTCTCTGTTTCTGATTACAAGCAGACCAACTTCCTGCTTCCGTTAAGAAACCACCTTGTCCGAATAAAAAACACAAACACAGAAATCCTGTCCCACTTTAGCAGTGTCAAAATGTATTAAAGTTCTGTGATTTCAATTAAAACGCCCAGGGCTGTATTTAGTTCCAGTTTCAAACGATGTACGGTACTTATATACCGGTATGTGCAGAACCAAGCTGTTGAAGTGTATCAAATATATTACTTTATCCTGAGTTACAACACTTTCGATGAAAGATATTTAAAAAATAAAATACTGAACAGAGGATAACAAAATACAAAGAATTAGTACAACAGAACTGAACTTTTGCCAAAATGATCTTTGAAATGTTGTGTGTACATGTACATGTAGTACTAATTGTGTGTACTGGTCCGCTGAAAAATTCTATACAATTCTATACATTTTATGAAAGAATTATGGAAATTGATTTTGAAGAAAAATACCATCTGTTTTGGTCTGTTTCCCCATTATGCATTACAAAGATTGAAAGAGTTAGGTTCAATCAGAATTAGAACCTTACTTATCGTGGACTTCTTGTTGTCATACATACACAATTTGTCTTTGGAAGGCTCACAGTTTTGCTCAGTAATGCTAAGAAACATAAACTTGCATGAAATTTGAAACAGTATATTTGTGGTGTAAAACACAGACACTTCAGTTGTGCTACATGTATTTGTCCTTTGACAGTTTTACTGAATGAGAATGGAATTAAATCCACTCCTGGTCTCAGCTTTCATACAAGTACACTGTATATGATACAACACTGTATCACAAAACTTATAAGTCCAGAATTCCCGACTACTACAGAGAACAACACTGGGAATTTACATACAAAACAAAACAAAACAGCGAAGAGACACGTGTGTACATAATGTACCAGTACATGTACAAATGTACTAATCAATCCACTTGGAAAGATGTGGTGATTTGTTCAACAACGGTAACAGATGTACCGCGGTAGGTCACCCTACTGAAACAGATACTAAAGTGGAAAATTCAATTTCGTTCTGAAAATTAGGTACTGTCCCCCAACAAATCAAATACTGATTCAAATTTCTTTTTAGACTTTGTGGAATACATGCATGGATACACATACATTTAAATTTTGTGAATAAGGGGGGAACTATTCCTTCTGACAAACTACATGTACAGAAAAATTAGCCTCTCATATTTTAACAAATATGCGAATAATTAGTTTTCCTGAAAACATAGTCATCTTAAAACTGATAACAGTGAAATATTTTTGGACACGGGTCAGATTGATATGCGCATCTGTATAAAAAGCACTCTCATGGAGATCAACTCGAGGATAAATTTAACACACTTTTACATGCATACATACAAAATTGATAATTACAATCTTTCAGTGTTTAGTCTCTCACAAACTGTAAAACTGTAACCTACAAAGAAAAAAAATGTACACACAAACCTAAACAGATGCTTTACAAACAAAAAAAACATCTGTTTGCACCGAATGCAGCACAGTATGCATAAGTGACTGACCATGATCTGAACAGGCCACGTGCAACCATTCTAATGAACAATAGCTACCACTTTGTGAAGGGTAGCCTTTTGTTTGGAAAGATCATGACAGTAACAGGTTTGCTGAACGACTGCGTCACAGTCTATCGATTGAGGCCTCAAAAGAACTTATTTTTAGCACGCTAATTACGCGTATATTAACTCCAACATTTTCCGAAAGTATTCAACTTGCCTAGTTAGTAAGACAGGAAGTAAACAATCGTCAGGGTTTTTTTTTTCAAATTAAACAAGTCATAAGATATTTTAAAATAAACAAGCCATAAGACATTTATTCAATAAGAGCACACAAAAAAGATAATTAAATATGCACGTAACTGCAAATTAGAATATCTTTTTTACTTCTCAAAATACAATTAAATATGCATGTAACTGCAAATTAGAATATCTTTTTTACTTCTCAAAATAAAGATTGAATGAAAAACACCATTTGTCATATAAAATGCATTAATGCTGATTTAAAAGGCAATAGTTTTATATCGCTAGGATCTAGGCATCGAGTAATCCTTTGTGCATTCATTGTTAATCAATTAAAGTAACAAGCAATACCCTCTGAGACACCTGCAATGCACTGCCGGTAGGTCAATTAACACATTTCAACTGAAACAAAGAGTAAACACTAATTAATGTACCTCAAGCAGCATGACTTGAGTCGCCATTGGAAGATGCCAGTCTGACAATCACAGCCGATTCATCATGTACTCATCACTGGTCACTACACGAGAAGGTCATTTTCCTTGACGGCTTCAAACCAACGATTCTCCATCACTTTAGTAACCCACCAAAAATACTACGACCAGAACCAAACGGCACATGTGTATATATGACAGCATCGTGCATCACAGGCAGTTTTCTTTAATTAAAGAATAAATCAACGTGCTTCCACTGGTCTCTGCAGTGCGTTATTGATTGGCCGTACTGACGCGCGGGTTGGAGGGAGAACGAAGTGCACATTTCAAATGAGGGTTTCCTCCAATGTGCTTTCTGCCCCTGCTGCTGCATTTGCATTAAGAAGCTAAAGAGTGTTGCCTAAGGGTTGCAGCCACCATAATGTGAGGGGGCTGGGGATCAGTTTGCTTTTTGGTATTATGCATTCACGAGTGTCTACCAGAACAGTAGGCTTGGCTTTGGCAAAGTACCGCTGGTGGAATGATTTGGACGGATAATCAGATTACCATTCACGGGAATGGAATCTGTAGGCCATTCTTGCGGCTAATTAGGACGAAAAAGTATGCCATGTGGAAAATTAGCCCCCTTGTTGAAAGCATGAATATATCTAGGTTAAGTTTGAATTATTCATGTCATTATAATAACAAATTAGTATTAAATATGAAACTAGTCACATTTTATTTTACAGACAACACGTGGTACATTATACATGTACACGTATAGGCCTACTGTGCAATATCATATCATAATCATATGTAATGTACGATTTAATACTCCATGTAGGTAATATTGCAGGTACATTGGTTGTATCTTATTGAATTTTATTTTAAACCCATTATGCTAGACTCACATGTAATTACACACAAAAATGCAGAAGTCAGCAAAAAAATATATAGGCATTGGTTAAAAAAAGGACTGGAATTTATTCCCACCCTGCCAAAAAATGGAGTCTGCCAAATAAATATGCCAAAATATGGTCACTACCATATGCATAATTGTTGAATAGCTTGGGGGCAGGCCAGTATTGTCCACCAACGAAGTAATATTGATTTCTTGCCTACGAATTGGAACAGAGAAGGAGCGTGCCAGAACCACAAAAGAAAAATTGGAATCAATGGACGGATCAGGTTGCGTCTGAGTTACAAGGATCACTTTATGAATGGGAAAAAAATAGCAAGGGGGGCAATTATAGTGGCAGACAGTCTGTGTTACGACTAGGGCCTATTAATACATTGATCGCATCATTAGGGTTGATCATTCGTAATTGATTTGTTAAAAACTAGAAGTAGAATTTGAATTGCATCACCGTATGTCCATGTCCATGATAGTACATTCTGTGGCATACATGAGTGCACCGGTAGTGATTGTCCATTCTAAATAGTGAAAGTATTTTATCTTTTTCGACAACATCCACAGTGCAAGCACCAGAATTCAATTTTGTTTGCTATTAAAAAAGTTTCAACTTCTAATAAGTAATAATTCAATAACTAAACATGGGCCGATTTTTTTCGGTCAATGTCCCATTCAAAAGTGAATAATATTTGCATTGCTAGAAAAATAGCAATTTAGAAAAGGAATCTATTTTTAAGGATGCAATTCGAAAACAGCACGGGGAATACATCTTTAAGATGTTTTCTGGTGAAGCAAAAATCAACAGGGAACTGCTCACATGCATTAATGTTTGTACAAGCATAGTATTTAATTTCCTGTGTCTAGCATTTCCATCAAACATGGCCCCCGGTTCTTGCATTTTATCTTCTAATGCAAGTGTCCTTCTTCAAGGAGAAGCAGCGGTGCCCCTTCGAGAGCAAAATTCCAAGGTTGCTATGTAAATGTTGTTTTGTACACTGGGAACAATCCATGTGTATGGATAACGGAATGTGCACATAAAAATTGATGTACCAGTACATACATGTAGACATGCACATACTGTACGTACATGTATTCAACTGCGTACACACAAGGGATATTATCATACATGTACGTGTGCGAGTAGCTATAAAGTGTCCCAGAAATGAAGCACAAAACAGGCATCAATTTAGGTGTTAAGATTGAGTTTGGGAAGAAATGCCATGGTCTGTACAGTCCTTTAACTGCAATTGTTCATCATACATGTAAACTTAGCATTTTGTTTAGCGGACCAAAGATATTCATGGACATCCATGCTTAATGGTTTGGTTTTATGTTTCAAATCTGACAGGTAATGCATTGATTATCGAGAACATTGTAGAGGCCTACCTATACTTTAAATGTACATGTCCTAATTAAATGCTTCATTTCATGTATCACAGTTGATTCCAATCATTTTAGAAAGAACCAACCAATTACTCAGATCAAGTTGTTGACATCTCACCAACACTAGAAATCTCAATTCTTCCAGAACATGTAGCAAAAGCTGAAAATCATCTCCCGCAATTTATGCTTTACACCCACCGATTCACCAATTCTGAATTTCCTGAAAAGCAACCTTTAACATTATTAAGAAGATTGACATCTCATTCACATGTGTTTTTTGGGTTTTTTTATTGCAAAAGATACTCACTGATGGGACAGGTGTTGTGGGCACACTAGTGGAGTTGTCCATCTCCTGCTGTACAGGCTCATAATTCCTGCGCACGCTGCCAGGGTGAACGATCATCGACATGGATCGCGCCTCCTCAGAGATCCCAGCGATGGTTCTCAACTGCAGACTACCAGCCAGCCGACTGGTGGAGGGGTGATTGAGGACGGGAGGGGCAGCAAAGGTTATGTTTGGAGTGCTGGACGACGGGCAGCTGTTGTCGGGAATGAGAGGACGAGAGTCATCAGCATTGTGGTCCAGGAGGTTGTCGGTGCTGCTCCTGCTTAGGTTGTCCCTGCTTGCTTCCACTTGATCATCATCGCTGCCCGAAAAGGTTTTGGGACTTGACGATTCCGGAACAAGCTTTCTCTTTGGTTCCTGTAATGATAAACGTCAATTCAGACTAAGAAATCAATTCTTCTATTACATGTACATTATGGCAAAAGCAGCAAGATTCACTATTTAGGGAAGTCTCTAAATCTCTGTGAAATCTTGTGCTCATACATGTACATATGTACAATGTTTTTAGCTATATGTACATGTATATAGTATGTACTATAGAAAGACATAAATTTCACACAGCGAGACACAGGGAGACACAACAATCTCCAATGAGTATCTACTGATGCTGATGCTGAGCTGAACTGAAGTGAAATGAAAACGTGAAATGTCAAAGTGCCACACATAACCAGAAAGAAAGTTGTATTTCTCCAATACATGGCAAAACAGAGATATTTTTTTTAAAGCACAAATGCATTGCAAGCCCACACAAAAATATGATCCTCCCTGGAATTCCAAAATGCCGAGTCCAACTTTACTCCACATCGCGTCTTAATAAAAGCATTTTGAAAGGATCGTACTGGAATCAATGATGAAATATGAGATCACTTAACTCCATTCATCAAAAGTTAAAAAAAAAAAAAAATATTCCCAATTGGTGCCGAGTCAATGAAGACTGGACACAAAACGAACGAGATGAGAGACTTTTGTCAGGGAGATAAAAACTGATGACACAATACACCCAGAGCATAGAGTACCGGTAGAGAACTCTTGAACGTGATGCAGTGCGCTACTCAGTTTGTGACCAACTTAGACTCAATTGCCTTGTGGTTGTGGTTCTCTGATTTCTGCCCATCCTGGCTTGGCAGGATCAGATGTTCCACATGAGACAAGTGGATAAATGCCATCTTGTGTACTGTGTACGTACGGCATCCCACGCATAACGTTGTTTGTTACAATTGGAATAGACTTGCTTCAAGTCTGCTGGGGATTTTTCCCCAATGCTTACTTGCTGACTTGTTCAGATAATTTACTACATGTATCAGCAATCACACTCTTTAATAATCTTCAAAGAGGACAGAAAACAATTCTTTGCATGCATTTCACTTTGTCAGAGTCAAGTGATGGGAACTCTTATTTAGAGGGACCCATTTTTCCCCTTCAAAATGCCCTTTTTAATTTGTTTTTATGACATGCAGGCATATTCATAATGTACAGTCAGCATACATGTATGCATACACAAGAAGGCATACACAAGAAGGCCTATTAAAGCATTTTACAGGTACAGGTACAACCTACAGGAAGTCCAGAATTAGCAGTGTAAATGTATTTTACGGATGTTTTAATAAGCACACAAGTCCTTAAATCATTTCAATAATTTGCATAGATGTGCAAGCCTCATATCAGTAATCAATCTATAACTTTAAGAATACTACAGGTCATTTGCTTGTTTAGAATATATAGCTCTTGCCAAGCCAGTGTGAAGTAGGAGTGATATTTAATGATACTTATTAAGAACCTGCAATTTTTTTGTAGATCCACAAAAAAGCTACAGTATTTCGTCATCAACTGCGCTACTTGTTACCAACTGAGCTACCGTTTCATTTAAATGCAAATGACGGAGACAAACATTGATCATTTCCGGAGGTGTTCAACAAACACACACTTGAAAAAGGGATATACCCCGGTATGCCCAGGAGAAAACAGCGTACACATGTAATTACAGGAAACAACAAAACCCCACAACTAGTTTCAGGCAACAAACATTGATGCTTTTCTTGGGTTTCATGTCCCTGCTTTTAGTTTAATTGCACCGCACTGCACTTCATTAGATAGGCCTATGTCCTGTACTAAATGTATGTACAAGAAACTGTGTGTGCTTTTCTGTTTGCAGACAAAAAATACAAAATTGACAAATGAAGCATCTCAAAACAAGAGCCTTTTATTTTTTCCTAAAATAGTTCTCTATACAACAACCCTTAAAAAGTGTTTTTGTGTCTGGACAAATGAGAGAAAAACTACTATTTTTTATGATAAGGGCCATATGCGTCTTTGAACAAAGCATAAGAGGTGCAAGAATTACATTCTAAAGGACACTTGTGGGGAATTTTCTAATATTTTCGCTAAGGACTGATTTCAATTTCTTTTAAAAAATTGTTTGAACAGGGCAGGAGAAATACATGTAATTTGTGGGCCTTTGAGATTTAGTTCAACTTGAAGTGGATATGCCCCTCCCCTATTCTGGTACAAGCCATACACGATGTTGAAAAGTTGTTCATCTGCCAACTTCTTATCAAGCAAACAAAGCTACAACAAGAGAATGACCACACCCCATGGGTAACTGTCCCAATCCTCCATACTGCAGGACCAATTGAATGAATTTAATCTATTGACCCTAACCTTCCCAAATCCTCTTTGCAAAATGGAGGATTTTGCAGGATTGAAGCTACATGGCAAAAGTGTGTGGCTGATTTCTGAAGGTGCACTGTATCACGGTCTTAGGCCGGACCTTGTGTTGTTTATGCTCAGCTGTGCATGCTCCAGGATGTCACTGGCTATATTAACAGTGCTTGCCGGAGGATTTTGCAAGATTGAGGCAGTGCTGTTGTCACCCCTCCAAGGGCCACAATCAAGAAATAACAGAGCATTTTGCAGGATTTACAATGTAGGCTGGATGTTATTTTTACATGGAGGCAGTTGGAGTATTTTGCAGGATTGAGGTTACAGCCTACTCCTAGCAAAAAATGCCTAGTCTAGGGAGTTAGGGTTAATTAAGAGGCCCTGCTACAGTATGCAAACATTTCAAAAGCTGGGAAATGCGCATGCATAGGAAGACAATAGAATGACATCCGCCATGCTTCTGTTATGACCCAACTATGGCAATGGTCCCAACTATAGTTGGGAAAGTCCCAACAATAGAGAGTATTGTTGTGGCATCATTTTATATTTAAACAAAAAATTTAAGGCTGAGGTTAAATGAATCACAAAGAGAAGGACAAATACATTTGAGGAAAATAATAATGGAATGAGATGTCACACAGTTTACATAAACGCCCGCGCTATATGCGCGTGATACATTCGTTAAATCATTGGTACTTTGAACGCACACCTTTCATTAGGTAGTCAACAGCGAAATTCCGTATTCGTCACTATGTCAAATTATGGATTTGTTATTGTGACTGATTCGCCACAGGGGGGACTCCGAATCTCAAAATCCAGACAAGAATTAAGAATTTTGGCATGAATACTTGAAGGAGCAACCTTTATAAACCCCAAAAATAACAAATCTCAAAATCGCCAAAAATGGTCGATTCTCTGGTATGTCAGTTCTGTGACGTAGTTATCAGAGATTCTGGAATGAAACAAAAATTCCTGCGGTAAATTTTAACCCATCAGAATGCACAGAATCATCTGAGTTGAGGAAAGTCCACAAAATCGTGCCACAGTTCGATGACCTGACTATCCGTGGATTCGCGCACAGAGGTAATATGTATACGCACACCGAGAATGGAGCACCTCGGGCATTGCGTCACATTTAGCGATATCTTCACAACTGGTTGTCCAATTTTATTGATTTTTGGGTTGTACATAATAAAGATATCACAAATTATGATGGGTACATTTCATTTGTGTAACCTGTGTTGTTAAGTTACGATTTTCTAACTTTGGCTGTCATGTCGAGGTCTGTAGTTAAGGAGGTCTACGGGGAAGTCACCTGACCATTGTAGGGCCGATCCGTTTAAGAGATGCCCACGAATGACAGAGGCACTTGGACTAAGGCGCCTGCCACATTGTCAACATCTCGGGTCTGACAACCCAAAGGAGGACAAAGCCAAGAGGAGCCCAGGAAATGGCAGAGGCACTCGCACCCTCAGGTACAACTATAGAATACAGGGCCACTCCATTCTATATCCGCGCATCTATGGCTGCGTGGATGCAGTCATTTTTCTATAGCGCCCTCTATTGATTAATATTTACTTCATGCCCACTCCGCATCTGTGCATCTTCGCATCCAGGCATCCAATAAAGTACCCTCTATTGATTTAAATTAACTTCATGCCCACCCTGCATCCGTGCATCCAGGCATCCAATAAAGCGCCTTCTATTGATTAAAATTAACTTCATGCCCACCCTGCATCCGCGCATCCGCGCATCCACACATCCAATAAAGCGCCCTCTATTGATTGAAATTGACTTCATGCCCACCCCGCATCCGCGCATCCACGCATCCAAGACGGAATGAATGGGTAGGTTGGGGTTGGTTTTAGATAGGAAATGTCCAAAGCCGTCTCACTCGGTATATATATATTACGTACTTTGTCAATAATTCACTCTCTATAGCGCCCTCTATTGATCACAATTTACTTCATGCCCATTCAATCTTTATATCGCCCTCTATTCTTTTTATACATTTACTTTCATACCGTACCCGCGTGCGCACTATCTGTATCATATAGGCCTATATAATATAGTCGGTAATGGTAAAACATCCGAGGGGAAACATCAAGACATGGAAGACAATGTGAAGAAGTTACAGTTTTAACTGTAAATGTGGGAGAAAAAGTCCAGAAGCCTGAGAAGGTATTCTGGGGAAAACCCACGGAATCAGGTAGAGACTGAAATTGAAAACCTAATCCACAAAGGCCTAGGCCTACTGTTTATGGCACAGCCCAGGCATGCCACTTGCCAGGCGGGATTCGAACACGGGTCACACTGCAGCGCTAGCCATGCTAGCGGTGGAAGACGAGGAAGTACCTCTAAATACGCCAACCTGACTCCCCATATTGTCCTGATTGTCAACCATGGCCATGCAATGATGCATGACATTCATGTCATTACAATGACAATGTCAACAACACTGACTACTTGGTGAACCCAAGGAGCTTTTTATAGCTCCGTGGTGAACCTGTGCAAGTTTAATTTTCGTTCCCGATCCCCATTATGCCATAAGGTTTATCGCAAATACAAACCGCAAAGGATCATGGGGCTGCAATCGGAGCAACAGCGCCATCACACGGCGGTGGGAAAACGTACACACGGCATGCACGGCATTGCACGGTGCGGTGTGTACGATATTTCTTGGCTGCCCATTTTTCTGACGTTTTGTGTTCGATGGGAGGTGATTAATGTGCTGTTCTGGGTTGCAATAATGACTGTTGTTATCCACAAAGGTATGATCTTTGTTATACATAAATTAAAGTTGTTTTGTTGTACAGAAAAAAAATGTTCTCACGACAAAAAGTAGGATAGCGTGCAGTTAAGTTCTGACCCGACGCGATCGCGATGTGCCGACGACCGGCACGCGACCGGGGAAACACGGGACACTCTGCACTGTCATGACTGTGTCGGCCAGTGCATTTAGAGTTTCTGTGCCCCTCAAAAGCTCCCTTTTATGACTCTTTTCTTATCGGAAAAATATGTGGCTTTTATAATGGTTTAATTGTTACTTCTGTCAGCGAACATTGTGTGACTTTTACAGACAATTTCATGATTGTTTATTTATAATAAATTATATTCTGTTCACGAAAATGTAAAAAAAATATATACATGTACACATGTATATATTTGTCCTAGTCAGCTAGTACTGTAGTAGGCCTAGCTAGCTAGCCTACTCCATTGTTTTACTCATAAAAATAATTGCGAAGTCTTATGTGGTTTATTTTTTCTCCGTCATCAAACAATAAATATCTCTATCTTACGTTTCCCCTTCTCTTGATAGATGTCATCAAAGAGCATGTAAACATACTCAGATTCCACTCATGCAGGGATAAGAAACACTTCCCTCTCTGGACACAACTGACCCAACGGCAGGATTTGAAAGTAAAATCATCGACTACAGTCTGCAGCAACCACTTCAAATACGGCCACCCATATCCTGATGAACTTCACCCAACTTTATTTTTGAGAGGATACAACCTTCCAGAGACACTGAAAACAGCACCGGTGAAGAGGCGAGCATTGGATCTCACTACACCACTGCCGGCCATCTGAGAAAATCAAAACTTTGCTGTACCTTTTCTTAAGTTTTTATTTATTTTGTTCATTCTTACTCAAGGTTTGTATGCAAAATAAACCAAATTATAAATGGCATTAACCTACATGTACATGAACGGTCTTCACTTATGATAATGATAATAGAAATTATATCAATTGTAAAAGGTTTTGCAGGTTCATAAAAATAAGAGACATGTTTTATTAAAAATAATGTAAATAAAATTTGGAACAAAGTTGCACACAATAAGGATGTAGAAAATGCAAATTGAAATGATCAAGTCATGTTTTATAAAAGTACATGAACATTGTTTAAAAATGCAATTATGACCTGCGTCTCTTGACGAGAGTTGAATTAATAGTAAAAAAAAACCTGGAAAATTGAAAATAAAACTGGCAAATGCAAGCCTACTTGAGTGTCTTAACAAGAGTTGTATGAACAGTTGTCAAATATCAAGGCATGCGCCTACGTCCCTCAAATAAAAAAAGCCGAGTCTCAAAACAACAGTTGGAATAAATAGGTGAAAGTAATTGGCAAATATGAGCCGTGTTTCTTAATTAAAAAGCTGGCAATATTTGAGCAGATTCTCGTAAAAAGAGTTGGATAAAGTTTAAAAACTTGGCAAATATGACCTGTGTTTCTTAAATAACCGGTAGCCCCAATATTGGCACAAATTTACTTGGACGAATACAAGAAAACCTGTTTAGCATAAAAAAAAACAATTTAAAAAATCCACAACAGTTATTTACATACATGTACACATGTAACTAGGTAGGCATGTTGGCTTAGAATTTTGGCGATCGTGTAGCTACGGGCCCGCGACCTGTAAGGGAACAAAATCCACTTTTAAATTATTTGACCTACCAGTACCAAACAAGTTTGCGATATTAAGAACATACAGGTATGTCATAGATAAAGGGCAGGGTTTTTAATTTTTTAGGGAATTTTTTTTGGGGGGGGGGGGAATGAAGATGATAACAACAAAACGCAACACGAAAATAAAGATGCCGATCGCTGCGCGATGTACCGTGAATGGCAAGGCGCACTGAATCGCACTGCACCACTGTAAACTGCGCAGGAAAATCATCATTTCTACTCCGAGAAACTGTTCAAAAATTAAACAAAAGTGTCATTATATTGAGAGAAGTCTGCTCTAGGTTGACAAGGTCATTTTGAGTAGTAAAAAAACACTCTTGACTCTAATTTTATCGAAACCAAACGGGCCCTACACTACACGATCGCTGAAAGTTTTCGTGTGTGATCGCAGCCATCATTTTGTGTTGGTTGCGCGATGCGCGCTTCAACATCCGGGACTGCAAAATAGTTATGCTCCGTTTTGCATCCCATGATGCTTTGCAACAGGGCGCCCTCTGTTGGTAGAACGCTATTTGCGATAAACCTTATTATAAAAAAATTAACATAATTTGATGCCATGTCACAATTTTAACAGATGATCTTGATTAAAAGGTTTAGCAACGTGACTATATACTATAATACGTAGAGTGAAGCTAATATTCAGAATTTTTGCAATGTGTAAACACTGGTGAAATGCAAAATCTCGGAAAATATTTACCAATTTATTCCGCCGGCCTCCCTATCCAGCCAGCATGCAGTGCGTTCTCTAGCTCTCCAAAAAATCGCGGGAACCAGCTTATTTAAAAAGGTTTGTGAATGTAGCCGAGACTTTGCCGAGTACCAGCAGCACCACTACATGCACTTTGGTCGTCGATATTGCGCGAGCGAAAACCTAGCACTAGAGCAGACGATAAAACATCAATATCGGTGCTAAACAATAATGTCCTATAAAAAGTAGATCCTATAACATTTTTTTCTATGTTAATGCATTTTTCATGGGATTTGAAAGGTAAACCTTGGAGCATATTTATCATAAAGATGAAAATCTTCAAAATATAATCAAGAAAATTGGAGAAGGTATTCGAAAGCGACATTTCGCTGCAAGCAGCTTGTCAAAAGAGCGCTATATATATCAATCCGCCAGTATCAAAACCGCAGTGTATTTTGCAATCCATTATTTGCATGTGGAATATCGGTTGGAAACATGGAGGAAGAACAACGTATCGGCAACTTATGAGGACAATCTTTCGTTTCTCAGCGCTTCAATTGCGCCTCATGGGCGTTCATTGAGAGCAGAAGGCGTCCACAGGTTCGCCTTGTTGTACTGGTAGTTGGTTAACGGTGGTTGGTGAGTTTTGCTTTCGTTTATATCTAGGAGTTTGGCCATATATTTTCACAAAACTAGAATGATTTCTGCGCTTGTGTACACTGCCGGTGCCGGAACATGTCCACTGGAATACCGTCCACTGGTTGCGTACGTACCGCGTGCAGTACACGTCGGCAAAGTGAAGCGAACGTGAGCAATGGTGGGTAGGCCTTTAGGAGGAGTGAGTTTGTATTGCGAGATAACTATTTAATCTTTTCAGGAGTTTGATTAAAATATCCTTTTTGATTTATTTTAATTCTCAGGATATGCAGGATCATATCCCTAAGATCTGTGGTCTGCACTGACATGACTGAACAGAACAGTTGGAAATGTGCTTCGTCCCCGTTTTCAATTCAGTATGGATGTCGACGCGTACTTCGTGGCTCAATTCACCGGAGTGTTGACATGCTGGCGATGTCGACCTCAAAAGCCGAGTTGCCATTGCGCAAACGGCTTGTGCTGTGGCTGTTTCTATGAACTACACAAACTACATGTGGTTCTGCTAAACCAAGTTCAGAACTGCTGCACAGGAAACAATTCCCCACAGGAACTGTAGTGTAGTGGTCGTCTTGAAAACAGAGTATTTGTGTACTCTTTTCAGACTTTACTTGGTCTGATTTTTTTCCCAACTAAACCTTCATTTTTAAGGTTTTTATATCCGTTTGGGGGTTTAATATCGTGAAGATTTTATTGACCAATCACCATGAGTGAGGAAAGTAAAAATCAAGAAACTGACCAGCAGCACAGTAAAGGTGTTGGGAGAGAAGTAATTTCCAATGGTGTTGCATCACCTGCTGAGAGAGTTAAACAAAATTCCCGGGGCAAATCGCCAGTCGAAGCTGAAGAGCCTGCACAACACCCAGTGCCACACATGAATGGAGAGATGCATCCTGTGGCAGTCCACAAGTCTCCAGCTCGTGCTAATCTGGCCATCAGCAATGGCCGGCCAGAAGCTGGAGAAGCAAACCAGAACCCAACTATGAAAGATCGCAACCCACAGTCAAGTCACAGCAGCTCAGTCCTCCCAAAGGAAGAATTTAGGATAGATGCCAATCACAAAGGAGCCCCACCTGCAGACACACAAGCCCCACCAAGAACAGTTGCTGAGGACACCTCTGAAGAAAGGAAAGAGGAAAAAGTCTTACATGTAGGCCTAGGGAAACGACAGAAATCAGTCACCATTTGTGAACCTGAAGAAGTGGTTGCCAAAAAGGAACAATTTGTGATTGAAAAAGTAGAAAATGATCTCAATAAGGAAAATATCCCCACAGTCCCCATTGGAATTGTGTCTGATGCAGCAGATATTTCTGCTAAGCAGGAAGAGATAACAGATGTGACGGAATTGGAAAAGGATGATAAGGCTGTTGATAAGTCCCCTGATGGACGCTTCATGAAGTATGACATCGAAGTTGGCAGAGGATCCTTCAAGACGGTTTACAAGGGGCTAGACACTGAGACTGGTGTTGCAGTCGCCTGGTGTGAATTGCAGGTTAGTATTTTAACTGACATAAATCTGAAGGAATGACATTCTGTTTGTGACAGGGGCAGATCCGACACTGACAAGTGACGAAGAAAGAAGATAAGTTGACAGTGATAGCAACTGGTTGAGCAATCATTTTGCCATGAGCACATGATGAGTAGTTAAATTTTTGAGAAAATACTAACTACATGTATGAGAAATTCTTAACTAGTAAAAGTTAAACACATTAGGAAGAAAAACAGTTAAAACTTAAGATAATAGAAGGGATATACTCCTAATTATTTCAAGTTGAATTTCAAGACACTCCAGTAAGTAAACGGTTTGTAGGAACTTACATCTTTCTTGCACTATAGAAAAAAAATCCTGAAAACTATCTTTTGTTGCAGAATTAGGAGATTCTCCAAACTTAATGATTTGTTGCAACATGTTTGCTTTTCACAGAATATCAACTTAATTTCTATCATTCTTTCTATTCCCTATCATTCTTTCTATTAGAAAGAATTCAAATACTGTGACTGTTCACAATTTCAGTTTAGTTTCCCTAGTGTAATAATAAGGGAATAAATGTGTGCTCCGGAGGTTTTTATCACTCTGTTTAATACCACTTAGAGTCTGGGTGCTGATAATTACCCGAGCCGGAGGCGAGGGTAATTATCAGCACCCAGACTCTAAGTGGTATTAAACAGAGTGATAAATACCGACGGAGTACATATTTATTCCCATTCATAAATACCTTTTCGGTAAAAAAAAATCATATAATTCGTTCAAAACATCCCGATTTTGTTCAACAAATTCACTTTATGCTTTTTGAAACATCCCTCCTGCAAAATAATGGAGTGTTCAGCTGGCGAGTAAGATGAAAACAACCCTTTTATGGAGATTGACGCGCGCGTATCATGTTCTACGCGATGTCACGCAGAACGCACCTGGCGCGTTGCGTTTTGAATTTAGAACTATAAAATTCTAACTCCCTGGTAGTGTTGCGCATGCCTACGTGAGGATTGTGAACGTTCAACCAATGAAACGATAAGAGGCACTGGATTTTTAGGAGTCCATATTTTATTGTGACACTGGAAAAGTGTTTAAGACCAGCTAGCCATGTCTTTATCATCCGTTTAATACCGGCCACGTGACGGGCTCTCGACCAATAGGAATGGCTAAACTGTCTGAGGTATTTATGAATAATATATCATACTGGGCAGTTGTCACTGCCACCCCTCCCTCTTTTTTTTTTCTTTTTTTTTTTGCTAACTCCAATAAACCAGTGCTCAAGGTGACATTCCTGTGATCTGCATCAGTAGTTAACAAATCATACATCTGCTGAACACACCCAAGGGTGAAAAGGACCATCTTGGCCTGTTGTGGTGGCCAACACAGAGGGCACTTGGGCACTGTCAGGCATTCTACAGTGGCCTCAAACTCAGTGTTGGTTCGTGGTGTGGTATGGCTGCTTGGAATAACTTGTATTGCGGCTAGGGACTAAAAATTATACATGTTTATGCAGGTGTGCCAGAATTTTACTGACTTAAGTTTGACATAAATTGTTTCAGAGACAAATTTCTAAGTTATAGGCTACTAATGTTTTGAGCATTGAGGTATTATTGAGTCATGCAGCTCTGGTAAAACAAGAATAAACTCATTGTTAAAGTTTGTGGAAACGAAAGTGATTTTCATTCCCTTTATCATAGCATCCTGCTAAATTTATTGTGTGGCATTCCAGTTGGGGATAATCAAGGGTCAGTGAAACCTCAAACATGTGGGCAAGGATTTTTAGAAGTTACCAAAGTGTGCTATGCTACATGTAGGTATCAGTCTTTGTTGTGGAAAAAAAGTATGCAGATAGAACCCACAAAAAAGTGCCCACCCCCTCAAAAAAAAATTTGAGTACCCACTTTTCATAACTTTTGTAGTTTTAAGCAGTGTTATCAGATTTCTGAAGTCTGGTTTTATAACGAGTTATTATTATTAAAAACAACCGAGTTCAGACACACAACACTATTATTAAAAATATTTTCTCCCATTTTTTTAAGTTTTTCGTAATTTTGTTAATAGGTTAAAGGCACAGAAGAGTGAGAAGACATTATAAACAATTTTCATACTAAATTTGTCAATCGTTACATGTTTCCTCATGCGCAAAAACTGTGAAAACGACGTTCCCAAAGCAATCTAGTAATCTAGTATAGTAATCTAGTATAGTAATCTAGTGACTTTACAAAGTGAAGTCTCTCAGGGTGCAATTTTCTAGTTCTCAGTAAGGAAAAAATTCTGCAAAACATTGTCTCTATGTGAATTATTTACTTGTAACTATACTCAGAAAAAATATAAAGATTTAGCACAGTACTTGTTTATGTTTATAAATTGAAGTCTCATAAACTAAGCACTCAAGTACATGTAACTCGACCCCATACATGTACATTTTTTTTGGTACAATGATGTAGGTACATGTACATGTTGATGTAGGCCTCCACATGCACTTGTTTAATAGGGAAAATAGTTTGATATGTCTGGGCCTACAGTTCCAGGTGGATTGGTGCAATGTCAAGTTAGGGAAACATTTAAATCTAAACTGAACCAACAAAGAAAACTGTTACTTGTCAAGATGCCAAGATTGTTGTCCTACATGTACATGTACACGTACAAAGGCTGTACAGTGTACATTATCAATATCAGGATGGCATCAAATGAGTAGAATATAATATGTAAATCTATTAAGTCCTTTGCATATCATCCCAATGAGGCTGCCTCCTCAAAACCCCAAACTGGGCCTCTGAAGGTCTTTTCCTTTCAATTTCTGTTTTTGTTGAACATGTCACTGCACATTGTTGCTCTTGCCTGGTTATGCATTATTACATAACATCCACTGTGGCATGAAGGAAGATTCACAGGTCTGGGTATTTACAAACAAGGTTATTGTGCACAGGTACTATGCACTGTTTTTCCTGTCAAAGGCAAATGGGACCTGTCAAAAGCAGGTGGGACCATTTACAGTCTTTCTTTAAATTGAATGAATTCTAAATAATGGTTTTATTACTTAGGCTTCAATGGCTGTCAGAACATTCTTAGTTAAGATTGTAAAAACATTTCTCTCTCTCAGTCTAAAGATTTGTGAAGAACAAGTTGCCCATAAAAATGGTTTAAAACAAGACGACACAATGCACTTCTGCCAGCAATGAAACATAAAAATCATCAACAACCCATTGGGAACAAAATATTTTATTGAATCATGCATTGTAAATCAGTTGTCCAAGTGTCTGTGGTATGTTGTAAGTTGAATTTTTTTTCCAGTTAAATTTATGCTTCCTTGGGTTCTTTTTCATAGAGTGACGCTACAGTTAATAATTTTTTTATGATCACGGATGTACATGAATACATGTACATTGTATGTGCTTGTAAATGTTGGTACTGGTACACTGGTAGGAATACCAATGTTAGTTTTATCACGGCTTTACCAAGAAATTAGTAAGGAAGTGGTCCTTGTGTGTGGTTTTGAGGTGTCACTAAATTGACATTGATGTGGGTTTACTGATATTCAATGAAAAACTGTTGTCCAGAGCTGTTCTGCTTTGATCAAAAGATTATGAAAAGTTTTATAACTAAAAAGCGCACAAAAAAGACTGACCTCATTCTGTTTGATTTCAAGGTGGTTTGGGCATGAACCTTTAGGTCCACTCGCAAAGCGTTTACTCTTGTACTATAGCTGCTGTTCCCACCGTTCTGAGCCTTGCCAGCATTGGTGTTGAGTGAAGTCAATTGTCAGCATGCTCATGTTGGTGGTTATGAGGAGCACTACAGAAAAACACATGCATTCTGGGTACAGTGTAGCTTCCATTATACGCCTCACTTTAAAAAGACCATTTAATTTTAAAATCATAGTCAGAACAGGCTCCAACGACCTACTTACATGTAAATTTGAATGCCATTCAATAGTACTTAGTAGGCTTAGATTTCCTGATTTAGCATAAATTTACTACATGTACATACATGTATGGTCCTTGTACATGTATATCAGTATTAAAAATATTTCATACATCTGCACTTTCTTGGAAGTTTAAAAAATATGCATCAGTGCCGGGGCCATGTAGGTTCTTAATTATAATATCGGTACATACTAAGTATGGTATACGTGTACATGTACATCTAAGATGTGGAGTGTCACATTGAATTACATGTAAAGAATAGCTCCATGAATGATGTGAATGAGTGCAAACAGTTCATTTATTCCTGAAAGATACAAGGTGTGAACCTGTGATTAAGGTGTCACATCATTTATGCGCGTAAACTGTGGATAGTATACCGTGTACATGTTAACTGTTAGAGTGTATAATGTGGACTCAGATCAATACTGACAAACAAAAAATGTAGACATTTATTTGCCGTTAATCAATACAGTGTCACACTGAACAACCCGTCTGGAGTTAGTTACGCACACCACATGGAACACCTTTTAATGTGACATGACTAAGGTCACATGGTTCTCAGATGACTCACATAAAGCATAGTTAGCAAGCCTTTGTAATTTTGACCTGTCTGGTCTCTGACAACTGTAAATTTACCGCAATGTTAAATTACTCTTGCGCAAATGCATGTGTTTACTTTTTTTTGTAGATAGTGACTACATAATTAGCGTGTTCTTCCACAGTGGTGAATGCTAGGTTGAATGGTATCTCATTAAATTGTCCGGTTAGCAAGAAAAAGGGTCCAAAGAACAATTGTCAGGTGTTTGAATCCAGTGTGCCGTCATGGCCACGATGCTTTCTCTATGATAGTGGTACAAAGGTTTATGATAATCAGTGGATTTACTCATTCCCGGATATGTTTACCTACATGTATAGAGAGAGTGACATTGTTGATATGATGATGTGCCAAATTGCCACTATAGAGGCAAATATCTGTTGGATTTTTTTAAAATTTAATTCGTGACTAAAATGGCTACATGGCTTGAAAATTTTATTAACAAAAGGCCTAAATTTTTTCTGCTGGAAATCATTTATAAGTATGCCTGACATATAATGTTGCACATGTGTGACATCAAAACTTATTTGCATTTTTAGGGTTTTTTTTGGGGGGGGGGAGGGGTTGGCCAGTATTACTGCAAAACAAAAATATCTACCGGTACTGTTACCTGCTTTATGTTTTACTTTAGAAGATTAAAACTACATTTGTAGTGATGTCAAGAGCAGTGACACCTTAAACACTGCGGCTTTCAAGGCTTTCCTTTAATCTCTTCTCATTTCCTGAGTTGGATATCCGCCTTGGCAGAGCACTGGATTATGCTATATTTGCATCCGAACAGATGTCCCCATAGTATTGAGGGGGAAGTCGGCCATTTTGTGCATGTAGTTAGAAGGCTCGTATTTCACATGTGCAGTGCATGAAAATTTGGCTAGAGTTCTATATTTTTTCCAAAGTCGTAATTCATCCATGGTGTGTCCTGTGTTTAATTTAATTTAACTCTTACCCTGCTCAGTCCAGCAGGATCCCATTTTTTTTTCATTTTTGTTGGATTGAAAAATAAAGACCTTGTAGATATTCCTGTTTAAATCTGTTGGATTCAGCAGGTTACTGAAAGGGAACATAGTTGGATTTCGTTGGATCCAGCAGACAACTGAAAACATTCATAGTCGGATTGTGTTTGGTGCTGGTAAATAAGGCCAAGTTTGATTCTGTCGGATTTAGCAGGGAAACAATAATGTCAACAGTTAGATTGTATTCTGTTGGATTCAGCAAATTACAGAAAAATAAGGCACAGTTGGCTTCTGTTGCATTGAGCAGGCAAGTCATTTTGTAAAAAATGCATATGAGTGGCCACCGGACGGCTGAACTGTGTTGGATTTAGCAGGGTAGTCCTGAGGAACAATTAGGGGGTTAGGACTGAATTAACAAGCATCTTCTTGATTGAAGTATCTGCAACTGTTAACTTAATTAATTTAATGTAAAATGTGACTATTAATTTTATTACATGTTTATCCCAGTTGTCACATACTAATACATGTACATGTACATGTACGTGTCATCACACAGAAAAGTTGTATCTACATATAATTAAGCACTGCTGCATTGTTGAATAATTTAAAACTCATGAACTTCTTCAGTTGCTGGTTGGACATATATATGTAATATGCTTGCTCATGGCTACATGTACACGTAGGTTAGTATTATGCCATGGAATCTTCACTGATTTCAGTTGTGTATTGACACTCATTCATCCAGAACCCTCCCTCCGTGTACTGTGTCAACTGTGTGTAAGTTATGTAGGAGTTAGCGTCATTGGTATGAATCACAGCAGGGTGGAATTATGAAAACACCATGCGATACAGTTTTGTCACTGCGTAGTACCCAAGACATCAACGATGACGTGACCATACTTGCAGTGGTTACCCTTTTGTTTAACCAGCAAACTTCCTGGAAATGTTTTTGTTTAATTTTGCACAATCACATTTACTATAAAGTTATTATGAAAATGTAATCTTAACCCCTAGAGTGATTCACAGGGAACCTTCCTCACCCTTGCAAATTCCAACACCATATAGTATTAAACTTGATCATTGACAATTTGACATGAAAGTTTTGTTTGGAAATGCAAAAAATAATATCCTTCCATATCCTTTTACTTCAATTTGCCTCCAATTACACTATATAATATGTTCATTGAAATTCAACAAAGTACTTTAAAATGCAGTTGTACCTAAAATGCATGCATTATATAACAATTCTGATGCTTGTAAATGTAATGCACTGAATTAATTGGATAGTACTCTTACATACATAACATTGGTTGAAGTACATGTATGTACATGTACATGTACCAATAAGGTACATGTACCCCTAGTACACATACATATTCTGACAGAACATGTGACACTAATGCTCTTACTAAATATCACTTTACTGAAGTTTATGCAATGTACCACTGATTAGATTATGGGCGAGAAGTTGAAAGATGGAATTAAATCTAGCCGAGCCCTCCTACCTGGCAATATGAAACCTTTTACATGGTGTGTTTGGCTTCAGTCATGTGTGATGTACCCTTGACATACCTACGTCTGAATAGTAAATAGCCAGTTGGTATTATACATTTGTACTTGTGTGTGTACATGTATACAAGATATGCCACTCTGATATTCCAATAACAAAACCATGATTGGGTTTGGTAAAATGATTATGAATGTTATTGAGGTGTTCAAAAGATGACGGGAATATCATGAACCATTCTTGTACATGTAGGTACGTGTACGGTAACCCTCCCTCTCTGGCTGGCAAATTAACCAAAACCAACCCAGGAGTCAAAATAAATCAAGTGACTGTTTTCAACAGTTACAAAATGTAAGTGCTCCCTTCTTATGCAAAGCAGGATTGACTGGTAAGAATTTTTATGAAACTTGATGCAGCTATTCTTTGGCTTTAGAATTTTGATCTGCGAAAAGTGACTACCAGCTACCTGTTTTTGTCTGTCGATGAAATATGACTAGTCACTATGCCTATAGACATGTGATTTGACTGCTGGTGACTAGCCTGCCTAAAAGGCATGGAAGGGGAGGTGGAATGAAGTTTTGACTGTCTGTGACTGATCAAACAAAAGGAGGGCTATGTAGGCTGTACATGTACGGTACATGTATGTATGTACAGTAGGCCTACACTGCACACATGTTCATTATAATTTATGTACATGTGTAGACATGGTTTAGAGGTAATGAATAAACACACTAAATACACAATGCTATGTTTATTTCAATAATGTGAAAAAGCTGTATGAATTGATGAACCAATCAATTAATTAGTCCAATGGTACTCGGCCATCCATAAAGAGTTAGTGACAGACAGTTGACCAAAAGACATTTTCGTTGGATAATGACACGTCTACAACATTGGATTTTCAAATCATCGCAATAATTTTCTGCTTGCAGCAGTGTCATGACCATTTGCTTTGTAAAGCATTTTTAATATTTCACTTTTTTTGTGTTACTTGTATGTACAAGAAAATAATGAAATACATTGTATCAATTTCGATCCAAGTACAAAAAGTAAACATGTTGCCCTTCTTTATATGCAGGACCGCAAGCTGAACCGTGTGGAGAGGCTGCGATTCAAGGAAGAGGCGGAGATGTTGAAAGGCCTGAGCCATCCCAACATAGTCAGCTTCTTTGACTACTGGGAGGTGCAGAACCCCAGAGGTCGAAAACACATAGTGCTGGTCACGGAGCTCATGACATCGGGAACTCTCAAAACGTAAGGAATACTTTTTGTATGTTGACATTTTCAGTCTACATCACTTGTTACGGGTAAAGAGGACAATTTGTCTCTTGCATCTGCAAGATCTGTGTCTGAATATTACAGAACCTCTAAGCAAGGCTCAAAATAGTGTACCTTTGTAGAAGAGTACAGAAAGAAACTACATTTTATTTTGTACATGATGGTTAAACTGATCTTAAATTAATGTTTCAACGCAACCAAATTTGGAATTGCCTCTTGACATTAACCTTCAAGATCCCTCAAAAGTCTTCCAGATGGTTTTAGATTTTTTTTTTTGCAGGATTGAGGAGAGCAGGGCCCAATCAAAATTACTTTGGTGTTTAATCCCAAAGAATATATCACTGGTTCCTTGCAAAATGGAGGATTTTTGCAGATTAAAATCCTAGTAAAAAATACTTAGGTGGTTGGGTTAATTAAAGTGTGTGTGTGTAATTTCTGAAGAACAACCAGTTCTTTGAATTGTATGCAGTTTACCATTGTATGGGAAGTATTAAAACTCCTGTAAAAAAAAAATTTACATGTACATCAGTGGTAGTACTCCTCAAGTTGTTGAATTTCTGGCTCACTTTTGATGTTATTCTTTGCTACAGCTACCTGAAGCGATTCAGCGGTGTCCGGATCAAAGTTCTACGCAGCTGGTGCAAGCAAATCCTCAAAGGTCTGCACTTCTTGCACACCCGCTCCCCTCCCGTCATCCACAGGGACCTCAAGTGCGACAATATTTTCATCACGGGGACGTCGGGCTCCGTCAAGATTGGGGACCTGGGTCTAGCCACGCTCAAGAAGAGTTCGTTTGCAAAGAGTGTCATAGGTACGAAAACTTTTTGATTGATTCCTTATTAACAGTTAAAACCGCTTGATAAATTCATGCATCTATTTAACAATATCAAGCCATTTCAATGTTTACTTCGGCTTTTATATATCTGGTATGAATATTGTTGATCCTCAGAAGTTACATTTTTTTGGTTCTTCATGTTTTCTTGATTTTCATGTTTTGAAATGTTTTCTTTTTGTTTCTTCCACTTCTTGAACTACCTGTATGAGAGTCCCATCATTGTAATTTTGATAACCTAAACAAGGTCTTTTGTCCTTTTTTTTTTGCAGTATCTTGGATTTTTTTTTCCCCTTGAAATTCTCTCTTTTTTTCCCTCAGGGACTAGGTTGGCAACACTTTTCAAATTTGTTCCCTTTTCATAATGATTTATCCTTTTTGTTTGGTTGTCAGATAAATAGTACTCTGCCTATTTGGTGAGTATGGTAGTGTACCCAAATCCCAACTTTTAAGCTATGAATGACAATCAAGGTTACTTGTGCCTTTTTTGTGTGTAAATTCAGCTAACCTAAGTCTTTCTTTCAGATTATTCCTGCAACTTTATGACTTGTTCAAAGGTAGGATGGTGATTCTGTCTTTCCGTTCATAGATCCAACAGGCGAATTGCTAATCTGTGTCTAGCCTGTTTGTTTTGCACCCAAAAAAAATCGGCAACTAACCTACAAAACTTGTCCTTCATTTTCAGTGCTTCCCAACTCCGAACTTGCCAGAGACACCTCCACTAAATCCGAGTTCCCCTTCTGCCGATGGGCTCTTTTTCTCCCTGCAGGTTTCTTTCAGCAGGTTCTGCTGCTGCCTCTTCTTCTCAAAGCATTCGACACTGTTTGTATTTTAAGGTACCCCGGAGTTCATGGCGCCCGAAATGTACGAGGAGCACTATGACGAATCGGTGGACGTGTACGCCTTCGGCATGTGCATGTTGGAAATGGCCACTTCCGAATACCCCTACATGGAATGTACTAACGCTGCCCAGATCTATCGGAGAGTGACTACAGTAAGTGAACTTTATCATTTCATGCATCCTAATTGTTTATACATTGCATGGGATAGTGCTATGGTCGTGAAAATTTGGCTTTCACACAAAACGCATTAAGAAAAATTGTGAGAAGGGGGATTTATTCGGGGCTTTTATCTACAAACTTATAATTCTTTCCTTCACACACCCTTCTGGAGCTAAATCAACTTTCTTGCTGTCTTCTTATTCAAGAAAATAATTAAATTCAAGTGGTATATTCTTATTCTGTTCATCCCAGAATATGAGCGTTTTATCATGTTTATAGAATATTAAGGAAATGAAAGCATGCACCCTCTTTTAGAACTAGCAAAAAAATTGAATCCTACTTTATATCAGACTTTTTGCTGTTAAATACAAAGCAGTTATGCAAAATCCGCTTCTCAAACACTGCGTTGCATTCTGTCACTGTGTAAGTTGTGCAATTTTTAAAATGTGCAATTGTTTTTACTACAGGGAGTGCGGCCAGCCAGCTTTGATAAAGTTACAGACCCCAAAATGAAGGAAATCATCGACCGTAGCACAAGAAGAAACAAAGAGGAAAGGTAGGGAGATTTTTTGTAATTTCTATTTTTATTGTAATGACATAAATGCTAACTAAGTTTCTGTGAAGTTTAACGACAAGTGATACTGGTCACAGATTTCTTCACACACTGTAACTGAAGTAAAACATGGGGAATTCATCCGTGGGAAAAACAAGGATCTATCAAAACGTGAATTTGATATTTGTGACCTGTTCTGTCAAAATCAGACTTTTCTGGGCATAAGGTCAAAAATGAGATTTTTGCATATTGTTAAAATATGTTCTGTTTCCTTTTAATAGGTGGTTTAATTTTTGAATCCGGTCATTCCTGCGCAAAGTTATGCTATTTTGAAGTTCATTGGGTCGAAAAGTAGAAAACAGACACGAACGTCACAAAACAGACATTTCTTTAACTGATATCCCTTAACAAATCATCAAAAATACTATAATTAGAGATCAAATTAGGGTTTCAAACTTTTATAGTATATTTTAGACATGCTCAGGATTACAAATATGCAAAAATTAGAAAATGGAAAAAAATCACCCTCATAGCATTTTTTGGCCCTATCTCAATTTCAACCTCTGCCCAGAAGTATCTGCTTTTGACAGAACAGGTCACATTTTTCTTTTCTCTTTCAACACTAGTCAACATCTTTATTTATAACACAAGTTTCCCAATGATGTGTGCACATTGGAACAAAACAAATGTTATCATGATCAAAATAAACACGGATTAGTGTCCTTAATCCGCGAAGGTATTACAATCACGCACCTGTGTGATAACGCCCATTTGAAATGCCAGTGATTCATCCCTAAAGCATTTGTCTCTGGATTTATGAAACTCGCCTGAAATAAAAACCAATCAATAGAATATTTGCATTTGTACCGTAATCCTTTATTATTATGGAAAAAAAATACTCCAGGCATGTTTCTATGGTATGCTGGCTTTATTGATATTTTAATTAGCGGGCATGTTTTTTTACGACATGCTGGCATGTGCACCATCTGCATCCTTTGGCAAAACGGTACTGATTACTGGGGCAATACGCCCAATATTATTGACCGGCCTGGAATTTAAACTATGAAGGGTTTAAAAATACGAAAAAAATTGCTGGGAGCAGTGCAAAACATGCATCAAGTTTTAGTTGCTCGAAACCATCCCAGATCCTCCAAAATCCAATAAAGGATTTGTAGGATTTTGAAGGATTGAGGGTTATTTATTTTTACATCTGGATCTGGATCGTTATACTCCGACAAAACGGCTGCCCGCATCACATCAGAGTTGGACGTAAAGTTCCTTGAAAATTTACAAAGAATGTGACATTGGTTTACTGCACTGTGGATGTTTTTGGAGGATTCAGGAAAATGGTCAGCGAAATCACCAAAAAAGTTACAGTTAGGTTATTTGGTCCAAGTTCAATCATATAAAAAAGACATGTTTGTGAATGTTTGTCTTTCTATGTGGTATCTTCCAACGTGAAAGAATCTTAAGTTCTCCAAAACAGAAACTCTTCCTCTCTCTTAAAGCCCCCTTTTTCCCTCTGTGAATGAAATTCTAATGAGACATGGATCCGTGGCATGAATGTATAACGAGAATCCTTGACATTTTCCCCCTACATCTCTTGAGACATGACAAGGCGGCATGTTCTCTCTTTCCCCTTGGCCTGCCCCTCTTGTAAATCAAACACCTCAGGTGAACAGCAGGTCCCAGACTGCTCAATTTGCTCTATTGCAAAGTCTCTATGCTTTAAAAAAAACCCCAAAAAGTAAAGAGTTTGTATTAGGATTTCTCACTTGGGCTGGGGCTGTAGGTACATTATACATGTAGTTGATTTGGATATTTCTATTACATGCGCATTATTTAGTATGTTAACGAAGTTAGGTGCTCGCAGATTTCAGTGTGAATATTTCTGCTTAAAACAGGTGCCAAAGCTTTAGAGGCACCAAAGGGGTACGTCAAAAGTTGATTTCCTTGACACTTAATCCTTGCGTACATTTGCACAGTGTACATGTGTGCCATTCAAATTGTCAACTTGCAAGGCAGGATAATTGTACAGTTTTGTTTTGGTATAAAGACCTTGTCAATATGATTCTGTGTTACATTGGCCTACATGTTCACGTATGTAAATTGCCAGACATGTTTAAAATCAGGTTGGTGTGTTACATGTACATGTACTTGCCTAAAGTTTTTGTGAAAGGTATATATACCTTACATTGTACGTGTACAAGTTGATAAATGTACGTGTACGTGTACATTGTACGTGTACAAGTTGATATCCTTTAAATAATACGTTTCTTAAAATCATTCACGTTGTCTCAGTCAGTCACTTTCAAAGACAAAACGACTGATTTCTCATATTACATTCTCACATTACCATGTGCAAATAGTTGTCAGATAATTTAAGAATTTTGAGAAGAACCTTGTTACAGAACTACTCTATGTGTTGTTTTCTTTGTGCGTAATTCAGAGGGTTGGTGGACAGACATATTCATGTATATGACGCACCTCACATGGAAGCTGTCAGAACGGCATTCTTGGCCCATTAAACAAATCCAATTACTGAAAATAGCATTGCCATGGCCCTTAAAATTCAAGCAATATTCAGTGTGATAATTACATGCATGCACATGTCTGCAGACGCAGCTGCCGCAAGTGTAACTTTATCACCGAGTGCCCAAGTCATCACTTGGGTGTTCTATCTCTCAGCACATTTTAATCATTTGCTAATGATGTGTTGAGGACTATTTGACATTTGAAGGGATACTTAAGGATTTACATAAATGTTTTTGCTGTCCAAAAAATTTGGTGTTCCTCTCTTTTTTTAGCTATAATTTGTTATTTAAATCTTCTAAGGTCTATAATATCTTTCTGACATGTGCATGAAATAGAATGCATTTCCAATTATTTTTAAAAATCAGTCATCTTTGCACTTTTTTTGTACAAATTATTTATACAAAATAATGCAAAGATGACTGCTTAATTGAAAAGGGAATATACATAGGGAGACATTGCTAGCACAAAATAAATAATAAATTTAATTTGTTTTTAATTTTTTGTTAAATCGTTTTGTTTTGTTTTGTTTTAATTTTAATTTAACAGATTTTGTTAAGAAAATAAGGTCTAATTTTGTTTTTATTTTAATTCAACAATTAAAAGTGCAAAAAGGTCCACTCATAGGTAGACCTGTAGAAACAGAACAGCTCATAGCACAAAGATGGCTGCTGTGCTAAAGACCTCTGATTATGACATTTGATAAGACTATTGATCATTGCCTTTGTCCATGCTACTCAAAAGCTGACCCTACACGCTGCAAGCAAAACCCCCTCAGTGGACGGCTGCAGCTGAGATCCTGTACTAGCTCCCCTCGAGTCTTCGGGGTTTTATGGTAAATGTCAAAATGGCAAGTTGAGTACAACACGGATACATGTAGGATGAAGAAAACAAACTTTGAAGTAGATCTCAAAGATTACTGTTGTTTTGGTAAGGAACGCTTTGCCATCACACAAGCTTCCCAATTCCTGTTAGGTATCCAGTAAATGCCGAACATAGTATCAAGTTAACAAGGTAATAAAACCAAAATGAAGAGCTGCTGACAAAAACAAGACCTCAGTCTACATTTGCAATGCAACGGGTTGGATCAATGTAACTCCTCATGCATTTCCTGGAACAAATTTGTAAAAGTTACGCAACTTAAAAATCATGTCTTTGATTTCATTTAATTTGGACGATATGAATGTATGTGGAATCTGTCGCCGTTCGGCGCGGCGGAGGTGTCTGTGTTTTCACCCATTCGCACACAAGTATTGACCGCATCTTCGCCAGCTTGATACGGACCGTCTGCAGACCTTTCAATTTGTCTCCTGCGCCCCAGGCTGGTTACCGATCCACTGTCTCGATGAGATACATATCACAGCAAGATCGCCCGGCATAGAAAGTGTTTTTGGCACTCTAGAATTGTACTTCTCCATCATATTGTACACTTGTTTCTTGAAAGAAGAGTTCATGGATCGTCTCCAGTGGGCTTTTTAAACCTTGTTATTAAGTGTATTGAAATTTCAGTCTCTGATAAAGCTAGAAGAGCAATATCTCGGATGATACTCAGATATTGCTATATTAAAGTCGGTGGTAAACAAGTTTCACTGAAATGAGTCTCAGGTCATCTTGGATGGCTATGTCTAGTCAAGTTAAAGCAGTGCAATTTCATTTATTGTTATTTTTTGGAGGGGGACGAATGCATTCCCTGGAGGGACAAGAATCTGAAGGAATGAGATTGGACACATTTTGTAACCTGCACATGCTTTGCAAACTTCCAACAGTCGAGGAGAATCTCATGAATTTTGTTTGGCCGGCTTTTTATGTTTACCCACCCCCTTGTCTAATGCCAACGCATTCCCTTTTAACTCGGCGCTACACTGGGGGCCTTGCTCCGATGACGCACAATGTAACACTTGCTCGGACCAGAGGCTGAAAGTCCTGACATACATAGGGTTTCGTATTGTATCCAGCATCTGTGCAAAAGAGCCAAGGGGTCAGATTCGGTCGTTGCTCAAGGAGGGTGCTGTTTGATAAGAACCTCAGAGCGAGAAAACAAGGATTCAGAGAATTTCTGCGATAAACGGCATCACAGCAGGACCTAGGGTAATTTTTTTCTACAAGGATTCACAGAGGGGGCTATCATCTCTTGTCATACGGAGGGAATTAATGTTGCCTGCGATTATACCCACTTCAGGATAACAGCTTGGGGCTTCTATTTTCCAAGGCGCATGTGCTCTGTAGATCATCGCACAAATCCTGACTTAAGCGTCCATCCTGGTGTGCCACTAATAAGCCCAGCAGTTGCTATGACTCTTATCCTTTGTGTTTATTCCAGGCACTCTTAGATGGCAGTTCTTTTGTATCATTTGTGCAGGCATGAGTACACCTTTTGTGAAATAAATTCATTTGTAATGAAAATAAAATAGCAAAGAACACCCTTCAAGATGGCCGCTGTGCATGAGGTCTTTAGACTTGCCAAACTGTGATTTTTGGTTTCAGCACTTTTTACTGAGCTGTTGACTTTGTCTCCCATACATAAGTACATGATTCATTGCATAGAAGCATAAAATATGTGTAGTAGATGTTCCTATTGCCGTCTTTGCTTATCTCGTACGTTATCTTGTACATGTAAATGGGTACATGTCACATGGAACTTGTTCATTTGTGGTTTCACCTTTCAACTTTAATGCTTGGCTGTTGCAAATCTACACTACCTACATTGTACATGTATGTCACACTTGATATTTCAAGGGGAAAAGGAACAGCATGGCGTGATGTACGGTATTTATAGTGCCTTAGACATTGAACTTTGAAATTATGTTCTGCTGTCCATGTGCTGGGGTCCATTGTAGATAATGGATGTTCATGAGGTTTGGCATTAGAACATGTTTGGTTTTTATGCATACAAAGAATTTGCTTTTAAAGTTATCCTAGTTAAAATATGCTGTGAAACATCACGTACACTATACCCTGCGAGCTTTGTTCTGACCCCTGGTTAATGGTTTAGAGCAGTATTGCTGTTTTATTCTCATCTGAAAAACAATAATGCCCATTTGGAGCATGTGAGTTCTAGACACAACATGTTTTTATTATGCATGGCCGGCCGTGAGCGCAATACAGATGAAAATGCTCTCCTGTGCCAAGGAGCCAGTGATAAATTGCATATAAAATGCTGCGGCGTGCTTTGTGAGATTCAGGGGCTGTTAAGAGCACTGTGTCAATAATGCCTTGGCCTTCAGCTGTGCGAACAGTTATGTTTCCATTTCTGTACCACATGTTAAATTGTTGAAGGGGAAAGTAAAAATGCTAAATATTGTCCACTTTTGTTGAATAATTGTATCAGTTTCTTAGCTAATGACACAAAAGGAAATTGTTACAACCTGCTCTAAGTGAATCATCATTTTGAAAAAGAGTAAATTATTTTAGTACAAAGCTGCATTCCCAATATTTCGTCTGCACGACCTACTGATTTTGAAAGCTCCATCATATCAAGTTTGCTGTGAATTCACTTCAAATAAATATTTAGATACCAGCGTGAACCGTCTGGACTTTTGGAATGCTGCAACTTTGATTGCCATGTTATTTATTGCTTCTGAAGTCATTCAATGATTCTTCAATTGCCTCTCATCAACTGACTTGCAGACCCAGCCTTATGGCACCATTCGATGTGATTTACACGACAGAGTGCCACAGAGTGACCATTTCAAAGCCAAGGAACTCAGAAGCAAAACTGAACTAAAATAACCAGTAAAATAACCAGTCAGCCTTCTTTAAAATTAGAATGATTGAAATTGAAGTGTTGGAAAAATCGATTGGAGTTAATTTACTTCCAATGAATGCATTGGGGGAAATTTGTATTCAGAGATATTATTTTTCCGGTTTGTCAAATTGTATGTGCATGCAATTTATTCCAGCATTTTTTGGCGCTTCAAAACCAGCTGTTCCAGGGAGCCAAAAGTACAAGCGACCCTGCCATTGTGCTGCCTTATTGCAACCTTGAGATTCCCTAATGAATAAGGTTTAAATATTGCCGGTCACAATTAATTATTAAGTACAGGTAGCTCTGTACAGGTGCGTGAGTGTGCTCGCAATGGCAAATAGTCAATGAACAGTGGGCGCTCTATACAACGGAAGCCTAATTACATTTACACAAGATTAGCATAATGGGAAAAATTTGACATTTTGCATGGGATTTTATTTCAATAAATTACAAAAGGAAATGTTTAAGCTGTAATAAATGTAGATCAAACAGAATTAGAGTCTTCGTCCAAAATCTTTGTCAAAAGCAAAGATTAAGCTGTCTTATATACTTTGATTTGTATATTTCAGGTCAATTAAATCAACAGTCAGTTTTCAGAGTTTTATTTTAATATTTTCATGTATTGAATGTACATAAAAACTATCCAGTGCCCCAATTGTCTCATACATGTACAATCAAGCCAAACATTTGTGCTTTATACATCTGAGTTGTGAACTTGTCTTTTGCGCTTTTTCATGAAAAAAATGGAAAAGAAGAAGATCACTTTTTCTATCAAACATTACTTTCTAGAAACATTTCTGTCCCACTTGCAGTACATAAAGTTTGCTCTTGGGGAAGGCACATTCAGATTTGTAGGTTGTTGCATTTAATAATTTTAGACACTCCTTATTTGAATGTCATGGTTGAAATTTCAACCTTAACAATCTTACTTAATCCTGAACTCCTATAAACAGATTGTTGCTGGCACCTCTGTAGATCAGACTCCCTGGAGTATTCCAATGGTTCATCCCTGCACTCAAACAAACTCGTACTAAAACAAAGGTCGAGACATCAGGCCCCATGTAAAGCAATTTGCACTAGGCAATTGAAATCATTAGAAGACCTGGTGGTAGTTTTGAAAGATTTTGTTTGGATTCGGTACGTGGAGAACTCCCTCACCCCCTTCGCATTGCATTGCATTCTACATGTATGCTATTGTTAAAAGAGGATTCTTAAATTTTGGGCATTCACTGTTTTGAAATGTTAAAAAACCCCTCACAGGTTCTGTCGGTAGCAAAGGGTCAAAGCACACGGGTACATGTAACAAAGTTACAGCTGTAAGATTCAAATACTTTTTAAAAAAATCTAATTTATTTTGTAGACCACTGACTTATTAATACACACTGTTCTTATTCCGTTCTATGTCAGGTTTTCCATCCAAGACCTCCTGAAGCACGAGTTCTTTGAAGACACGGGCTTCAGGGTGGAGCTGGTGGAGGACAACAACACAGACAACATCCAGCTCCAGCTGCGGGTGGAGGATCCCAAGAAGCGACGGGACAAGCACAAGGACAACGAGGCGTTGCAGTTTGCTTTCTACCTTCAGAAGGATGAACCGGAGAAAGTGGCCGCTGAAATGGTGAGACAAAATTCAGCAACTTCAAGGAATTATTATTTGCTTGCCATTTTCCTCTCGGAAATTGCCTGGAACCAGTTGCTTGTAAGGTGCCTTGTGTGACCTAAGAGAAAGTATGCCATAAGCTTAACCCTAACCCTCCTCAATCCTCCAAAATCTACCGGGTGGTTTTGGAGGATTTTGAAAGTGTGAGGCTGAATATGCAAGTTGAAGGTTTGGAGGAATTTGGAGGATTGAGGGCACATATAATTTAGTCCCGGGTGATTTTGGAGGATTGAGGCTGAATGTCTGTATGAACAGGAGGAAGATTTTGGAGGATTGAGGCTGAATGTCTGTATGAACAGGAGGAAGATTTTGGAGGATTGAGGCTGAGTGTCTGTATGAACAGGAGGAAGATTTTGGAGGATTGGGGATGAATGCATTTTGAGAAGCAGGGCTGTTGGAGGATTTCGAAGGATTGACGTACCGGTAGTGGGTATCCTTCATAAGTGCAACATTTTGGAGGATTTTGGTAGATTGAGGATGGTTCCCAGCAAAAAGGGCCCAGGGGGTTAGGGTCAAGTTGGTTAGGGTCAAGTTGGTCCCATCTCGGTAATGGCTTCTAAGTTTAATCCCTGATTTAGTCTGTTTGCATAATTTCTAATAATACATGACCAGATCCTTCAGAATGGGACCCTTTCATCCTTTGACATACCTGATGGAGATCATGTTGTATTGCAGTGCCTTACTGCCGAAGATCTAGTGTGTAAACAACTATCCTGTCAAATTATGGTTTTCTCATGTAAATTTTATGTGAATAGGATGTGCGGTGAGTAATTAAGGCCATTTCCAATACTTGGCTAAAGCCGGAAATACACACAAGCCTGTGGGAAGAGGCTGCAGCCACTAGCCAGTGGCATCCATAGGTGCGCATGTTAATGCTGGCTCTACGCTGTAACCAAGTGATTCAAACACAGCCTTACACAAGAAAAAAAAGTTGAAGGTAGTCATTAGATTTCTTTATTGAATTTAAAACAGAGTTTTGGGGGTCTTTCAAGGACTTCAACACTTACAAAGTTCAACTTACAGCTTCAGGTTCATAAAATAAGAGTTTCCATTTCAGAGATTGATCTGGCATTAGGTTGTATCTCCAAACATTATTAACACACCTGTTTTATCCGTTAAAGATAATGCCCCAAGTAAGTTGGCTCAATTCTATTGCAGATCACAGAAGCGCAAACATTACTCTTGCATCACTCTTTGCATAGTCCATTTTTGGAACCGATTCAGTCTCAGATGTAAACATCCTTGGATTTCCTTTACTCGGGGCTTCCAATTCATGCACAGTAGAGCATCAATAATGTTGTTTGTAGCCACCTACACAGTGTTGCCATCATGAGCTGTTCCAATCAGAGATGTTTGGCCATTAAATATCAATGATAAAAACACACAGAAAACTTAATGTAGGTTCTGACTAAATGGTCCTGTAGTCTTGGTTTAATATCAACCGAATTATTGCACCGGGCGGTGAGCTATACGGTAAGTGAATCATCTAGTTTGTAGCTAGTCATCCATTCTTAAGCTACATGTACATGTTTTTATCCTGTGATATTATGAACATGTATGCAAGTGTTGCGAAAATTGGTTGGAATGGTGCCAGTAAATTGAATAGGTTGGCGCCACTGAAGTACCTTGTCATACTCATGATCATTTTCAACAAGAGAGTGTTCTATTATTACATAAGCTTAAAGGATTATGGTCAGGGCTATTGTCAGGGCTATTGTCAGGGCAGGTACTTTGAGGGACAATGTTTTACCTAAGTTGGAGACTCATTGTTATGAGTAATCATCTTCCCAGTTTTAGTTTTGTTTTTTCTTTTGCATTTACAGTCACTGATCATTTCATCCTGAAACATTTGTACAATAATACACAACGCACTCATGCATGTAAACACATTTTTTTTTTGACTGTGCCTGTAGGTCTGCCATACATGACTTCACACTGTGGATGCTATTGTTACTTGCCATTCTCTGAAATTATGTCTGTCCACGCCTGGGAATGCCAGTTGATGTGGGAATTTTCAACACATACCTATTATGTTTAGCCTGCGAGTAATTCGCTTTGTTGTGACTGTGAGTCTGCTGTGTATTGTGTTATGATGAGAACCTTGCACTTGCAGACGCTGTGGTTTGGAACAGATCCGTTGGGTCTGTGGTTGCTCATTGGATTATGTTAAAATGTGGTTAAATGAATGGAATGATGGAGAACCACCTGTTGAACAGTGTTAAGAAAATATTACATGATGTTTTTCTAACTGTTGAAAGTAAAAGCTAAAACCACAACAAAGGACTGCCATATGTTCTCTTGTGTACATATATATAATGCTTTTTTTCCTCTTGTACTCGTAACCACAAGCCAGCATAAATATTCTTGCCTGTGTTGTATATTTGCTCAAGAAACACACATTTTAAAAAGGAAGACTGGATTATTTTTCTGCAAGGCTTAGAAATAATACATTTGTTGTTCTGAGCTCAGACTTTAGGTAATGCCACAATAGTACAAGAAAAAAATAATACATGTATATATGTCTTGTGCCTATTGCTGCAATTTTTATTGGCTTAAAAATAACTTAAATTAGTCTGGTTGTGTGATAATTCTGTCTTCCATAAATAATAAGCAAGTTGCTCAAATTCAGTGGTACCCTAAAACTTATCCTACATTAGAAACCTTTAAATGACAATCTTATCAATCGTCCATCTATCCATTTTGGCCATTATTGTGGAAACAGTCTTCAAAATAACACCATCAAAAGGATGAAAAAAAAAGTAGGTGATCCATCACTTCCCCCAGTAGTCCCCACCCCTGCCATCACCTGACAATAACATTTACCATCTGCGCTGCTTTTTTTTCTCCCCCTCCCATCCCCCCTCGGCTCTCCTAACACACAGGTCCGCTCCGGTTTCCTGAACGAGGAAGACCTGAGGGTGGTGACCAAGATCATCCGGGACCGCATCTGCGCCGTCAAGAAGAACCGACGCGAGAAACAGGAGAAGGAGAAGGAGTCTGAAGGTCAGTCTGTAGGATTAGATATCTGGAACTGCTTCCTGTTGATTGATATCTCATAATGAACTTTCTTAATTGGGACCGAGCTGACCACACACAAAAATGGAATATTTTATTCAAATTTATCGCTGGTAATAGCGGAAACTAGGCAGCTGGTTGGCGAACATTTTAAAATGATAATTTCTTTTTTAATGTGATATTCGGGGGGTCGGAATTTTTTTGGTTTGGTTTTTGTTTATTAGTTTATTATTTTGCTTGTTTTTTGTTTGTTTGGGTTTTTTTTTGTTTCTTTGTGTGTGTTTTTCCCAACCCAGCCAGCATTTGTTAGTGGATTATCTGTAAGTTTTTTTATTTTCCCTAGACCAACTGTTTACCTAAAGTACCGGTATATCTCAATTATTGTTGTCAGGTTTCAATTTATAGTCTTTTCTGACTCATAGATTAGTTGATAGCAGTGAAAGAACACTTGGACAAAAAAAAGATACAAAAGTGGAAATGAAATCAAATGGAAACTGAAAAAAGGGCATAACATGTCACCTCGAAAAACTTGTGCACCTTTTTCACCAAAATACTTTTGTTGTGCTCTGAATGACCTATTTCTGTTAATGCGCATGTTGTCAGGAACGGTTCAGATCCAGACATCTTGTCAGATTTCCCTTTATTACTTGCAGCTGAACAGGTTCCTGCAGTACTGCACATGATTTCATTGTGGCATTGAATTCGTAATCACCACTGCGTGTTCAATTCACTAGGTGTCAATACATGTGCATTGTCAGCTTTTGCACCAAAAACAGGACCCCCGTCTCACTTATGATACATGAATGAGTCTAAAAGGTTACCAAAACATGAGCTGTTGTGCCAAGCAAACATAGTTTAAATCCACATTTGTATTTATCAGCGCCAGAGGGAAAGAGAAATGCCCACATGAGGCGCAAACATTCACACCATTGTAGAAATAATGTATGTGTTTCTCAGTGGAAAACAGGTTTATTGCAGTGCCTAACCATATCCTTGGGGTGTGTTTAACCATTCTGTGAATGGTATCATGACATCAACAATTTGTAGAAGGAAATTTCTTCTTCTTTTTTTCCCTTCTTTTTAAACCCTCTGCATTTCTGCAATGAGCTCCGTGCACAAGGACCCCTTCTACGGCCAGAAAAGGAGAGTTGGGGAGACCTAGACTTGTTCCCGGTCCATCCACTGCATATTTCGGATGAGCCAAAGTTATTGGGGGCGGGGATTAATCTGGGAGACCATCGCAAGATAAATTCAAATGCATTCGTGCGCCGATGACGCCTGACGCTCACGCAAAGACGCTGTGGCTAATAGCTTTGGCACATTCAGGAAGTCATGCGTACTTCGCTCGAACCAGTACAGTACAGTTATGCACACGCTGTGTGTCCTGTCCACGGGGCTCTCAAAAGTGGTTAAAAAACGCCCTCTTTTGTTGGCGCACGGAGCCCATATTAACATGTGTTTACTCCAGCATGATGCGTCTTTCTGTTCATGACTTGATCAATGATAACAAGTACCATTATGCGCTGATATACCGGTAATTATACAGCAGAATGCTACTGTAACAAACACCTCTGTATTGAAAATGTGGCTTCAACCAACATACACTTGGGCTCCTGAATTTTATCTACAATTGCACAGAACATCGTTGGCTGAATATAGCTAAAACAAACAAGTGCTATACCACTGTGGTCCCAATGTGTTTGTTATAGCGACATTCTACTGTAGTAATAGTGCACTCAATTTTTTCCCTGTACAAATTTTGGTTTCTTTTTTGACTGTTTTCTCTTAGCCAAGTGGTTCTACCACTGGCAAGCTACTTCAGAAAATACTTGACACAGGCTAGCATTGCCAATGAGCAAAACTTAACATATTGACGCAAGAATTCCTGTCTGCATATATGCCCAAAGCAGATTACTCCTTGCAGGGCCCGGCATAAATCATACTTTCCAACCAATCTGTAACCCCAGGGTCAAAAATGGGAGAGGAAATGCAGGCCCCTACTGCAATTTATTATAACCCAAGGAAGTATAAAGAAAAATGACAGAGATATGAAGCGGAGGGATTCTAAAAGCCCAGGAGACATTTGCCGACCGACCGGGGCTGATGTACAGTACATTACTGTATCCAGACGTGAAGGATCCTAATGTAATGGGAATTGCAGAGGTTGCTGATGTATTAAGGCACTAATCAAAAGCTAATAGAGCTCTATCTGGCAACTGTGGTGATATTTTTGTTTGCTTGTGAAGAAGGGTTTTTGTGTGTAAATGATCATGCATAGTCCCCCTATGTATCTGTGGCGTTACTTTTACATATCGTAGCTGTGGCCACCATACTGGACATTCATTCATAACAATTTTAATCTTCGGCGACCCACTAGTCCCTGTAAAAGTTACCACTGCAGATTGTGAAACTTGCATTCAACAGTCGACACTTTACAATTTGGGAATGTTACTGGCTGTCCGCACTGGACTTAATTTGGTTTAGTTGACAACAGTCTCCTTAAAGTTGACAACGGGTCTCTGTTAATTTTACCTCAAAAAAGTCCAATGCTAACGTGACTTTAGTATGTCGATTCCTGTATGCTGCTTTCATGAAAATGTGTGAGGTTCACTGTCCCTCCCTAGTTGGTCACAGTCTGACAAAATATGGGAAAGATTTGAAAACTTCATTCATAACAAGCATAGTATTCCTCCTCCATTCATGATTCATCTACTTGGAATTTCCATGGGCAAACCTGAAAATTCTATGTGTTCTGAAAATGTCTGGAATTTTTCCTGCAAAATGTTCAAGAAACCCAGACAGCCATTCAGTAATCTGTCAACCACATAGTTGTTGCACTGTAGACCACAAGTATGAGTTTTCATTAGATTGATGGATGTACCTATTTGACGAGGACACAGTACAAGACAGTTGTGTTTCTCCTGTTGGAAATGGTTTAGTTCGGCAAAATAAATTTTGTACATGCAACCTGGGATCTTTATTGTTAGGCTTTATGTTGTTACATGTGTTTAGTTTTATTCCAGTGAGGCTTTTTAGAAAATAAGACTTGTACATGTATCATGTAGTTTTACCAAATGCTACAAATTTTCCATGGCTCAATCAACGATTGTATTCATGAAACGACTTGTGTGTTTTTTTGTTTTACAGTTGAATGTTCCAGTAATGTAACAACACAAGACAGTGGTCTAGGACTTTCTGGCATCTCAGATGCTTCCAAGTCCCAGAGTCTCTCCACATCAAGTTCTCAGCAGCAGCAGCAGCAGCAACAACAACAGCAGCAGCCACTTCAACTAACCAAGCAGCAGTCCTCCCAACAGCCACAGTCGGCCCAGCCTGCTCCACAGCAGCAGCAATCACAAGGAGCGGCGAGCGTTCCAGTCACCACCTCGGGACAGTATGTTCCAGCCACGTCAGGCCAGGGGCAGTTCCAACAACAGCAGCAGCTGCAGCAACAGCCAGTAGTACCACAACAACAGCAACAGCCACAGATTACCCCAAATCAACAGCAGCAACTCTTGCAACAGCAGCAGGTGCAACAACAACAACAGGTAGAGTTTCAAGAGATTGCCACATAAATATTTTCCACAATATTCATTTTGAAATTTTGAACTGAGTTCAATCCCTCCACATGTTGGAAGAGTGCTGTCATCAGAGTGAGCCTTCAGCCGTGTGTAAATTGCCAATTGTTCGGGAAGGGAGAAGTATTATGTTCAGTAAACAAGCTCAATCGGAAATATCTCAGAAGCTGTGGGCCAATGAATTCGTGTTCATGCATGAGTCACGTGATTGTGCCATGTAATTTCTGCAAGGAGTAGTGTTTTGAGTAAAAAAGAAAAATCAGGCTTTTGACCCCAGTGACCCAATGATGACCTTTGACCCCAGTTTGGTCATGTGACATGTTGGGTCTGGGCTTACTGATACTTTTGACAAAGTTTGGTTGAAATGGGTCAAACAAATAGACCATGTTTCTTACAAACTAGCTAACTAATGGAGAAACATGACAATTTGTTGAGCTGCTGTCCCCCAGCTGAAAGGGATATTCATGTTTCAACGTGAAACATAAACATATGCTATGTAATTAATATACAGGAAGCTGACCCACATCTGCATTTCCACTCTATTTACTTAGATCATATTGGTCTATGAATTTTTTCCAGAAAAAATCTTGCAAATGGTGTGCTATTGCTACCATTTGAGAAGACCACAACCAAGATTGAGGTATTAATTTTTGCAACATCCAACAACGGTTGGCGAAACAAACAAATCACCAATTAGGCTTTGTGGTTTTTTTCAGTACCATTGTTATTGAGTCAGGTTACAAATGTAGTTGGGTAAAGACATTATGAGGGAAGGCTTGCATTTCAGGTTGTTTGAAGACTTTTGGGATATCGCTTTGTTTTGTAACTGTTTATAGAATCTAGTGGTGTTGAAAAAAAAAATTTTTTTTTAAGTGCACAATCTCTATTATTAACCAAGTGTTTCAAACACCGAATAATAGAAACTTACACAATCATAGCTTTGCAAATGCTGCAAGGGAAAACCACAACTTCCAAAAAAAGCTGCCTGCTGCTTGCTGAAAAGAATGATTACATAATGCAAACAGAGCAACAAAAGACCGGTTCTGGGATGATGCAGTTAGCGCTATTGGAAGAAACTTTTGAGACTTAACCATTTGAAAAAGGGGTTGCATACATTGTACATGTAGATTTTTTAATTGAGAATCTACATTTTTAAAGTGGAGACCTCAATATGTCCTCATCAACTCCTCAGCTCCCCCCCCCCCCACTCTATACCCACTATGCCCATGTGTTACTAGTTTAGAACTCCACCTTCATAAATCATCAGCCTGGGTATTTATGCCAGTGTCGGTGATTAAGACTTGTGCATATTCGTTCACAAGTGAATAATTTTATCCAAACACACCCAGGGGGGACACAGAGTCATGCCACCCCTAGTCTGATATATTTTTACTCTTCATAGACCTATTTTTAAACCTCAACTGCCTGTTGGCTGAGTCTGTGGACCCTTGCTCATTGGAATGAAGTCGGGGCTGCATGTCCACGACAACTGGTCATTTTCTGTTTCCTTCCAACGCTGATAGGATCAAGAGGAGACAAAACAATTATCAACCCACGCATCGCAATTACCGATAGTCACATCTCTTCCTCCGTGACTATATCAGGCTATTATAAATTACTCTCCCCCCCCCCCAAGTCATAAATTGGCCTTGACCCAAAAGCTTTTGTGACAAGGGGAAAGGGCCTGCTCCGATCAAAAGGGGGTCAAGTGCAGGCTAGGAAAGCTTTATAAAATATAATCTTCTCCGTCATTGGGCATGTATCCATGTCTTTATACAATATTTCCTGCTGCCCTACGACCATAAGGCTCATGGAGCGGTTGTCTTTGTGAGTAAATCATCCAACATGTATCGATACTATCGATTCTCTTAACTATTTGGAGAGAGACAATTTGAGTAATTATCATTGCCTAATGCTAAAAGGTCAATAAGATTATTCATGTTCCTGTCAAATTTGGCAAGCCTTTCAAAATTGTGCTGAGCATCAAGGTACTGAACACAGAATGTACACATGTCAATGTTTTGCATTTCTGAGTTGCTTTTATGAATGTGGTCATTTTTGCCTTTAAAGCGGAAACATGGTGACACATTCAATCATTCAGTGTTCAAACGGGCATCATGAATGTTATATTCAATTTCCTACTACGCGCAGAGGCCCTCAAAAACAAGTCAAAATGTACTAAAGTGGAAATCACTTAATAATGCTACGTGTGAACTCAGTTGAACTTCACACTGAACATTTTTTTTAAAAGGAGGCAAGTTTGAATAATGTTTTTCAATAAGAAATTGACATAATGCAGTGCACTTCTACATTGTATTTATGTAACCAAATTAACATATTTTTAAAGTTTGTGTTTTTATTTGATTGTTGTGATGGAAACTTGAATATATTGATCCATGGACAAGTTTATCTTTAATATTCCAAGATACTCTCAGTCTTGATTTAGTTCTGCATTTTTCTGTTGCGCCTTTACATCCACTTTTCCCTGTACTGCAAATTATAAAAACTTTTTGTACAGACCTAGTTTCGTTTACAAAATGGAACACGCATAGTGCAGAATTTTTTTTTAAGTTGACAAAGTTATAGGGATAAGAATGTGTATATGTATCTGGTATTAACATGTTACAGAAGATGTAAGGACTCAGCATAATTATCATCACATAGCTGTGGCTCGAATGTTCAGTCGCCAAGACATCTCACGTGACCCTTTTCCATACTGGCACGAGAGCCCGACAATGTATACCGGTATCTTGCACCCCGAGTCTCACCCCCCTAAGAGTCCCTCTTGAATTTCATAAATGTCAGATCTGAAAGCCCATAGGAATACATAGCATGATGTTTGCTTGCTGATTCACCGGGCTTGGAGGAAATGTGAGAAATCAGAAATCTATGAACAGCCACATATACCCGTAAAAAAAAGGAAAAAAAAAATTGTGCAGATGATTTTTTATTAAAATGTCTTTTTTTGCTTATGCCCTGTGAGGTGACAAGTGAGATTGACAGCTGATCTTTTGCACATGATTTATGTAAAAGTTAACTCCAGATGAACTGTTTTCAATTAGGTTTTGTACAAATGTAGTCATTTGATACAAGACAAGCTTGATGGATGAACCATCATCTTCTCATATATCATTACAAGTATATTTAGATACTTCATGAGAAGGAAATTTTTTTTCTTCTTATTTTGCCTTGCAAATGGTTTTACAGTAACACGATACAAAATATGAAAGGCATATATTTGTAGGCTTATAAATTTGCATTTCATGCATTTTGTTCGCTTCCTTGAAGAACACCACTCAAAAAGCAAAAAAGAATGTTCAAAACTGAACCTCAACATTGAACATGTCAGCTCAGTGGATATTACACTTTTGAGAAAACAGTGAAAACCATGTTGATGACAAAACACAATTTTATCGATAGCACTATTTATTTCCAAAATGCAGTCAATTGACTGATCATTGAAAATCACCTACATTTCTTGATTTCTACTCTCCTGAAGACGGTCAGAGCATACTGACCGGAACGTCGAGTTTATACCTCTGGTTCTTTTCAGAACCATTCTCTTAGTTGAGGAGTTATTCGCACATGGTGTTTCCGCAAACCTTTAATTATTTAGTATCTCCACCATGCAAAGCCTCAAATCTTACTTGATTTCTACAAAATGACAGCAAGCCAGACAGAATAATTTCACTGGGTATTTAGTACCCAGTATGATCATTAATCCAAGTAAAGCTTTTAATTCTGATAATCATGCGGTAGGTTACTTTTGGGATAAATGCAAATGATCCTATCTTCCTTTAAGAGACACTTACCTGAACAACAACCGACCAAAAAATGCAGACTCATCCCCTTATCTACTCGTCATAAGAAAAGTGACAGATGGAATAATTTTGCAATCGGCTTTTAGGTAATACAAATGTATGATACAGACAAATTGTCTGTCCCTCAGCTTTGGAGGACATGTTAATAGGGTATAGTACATGTACATAAAAGATTTGGCTGCTTCTAAGTTAGTCCTAATGAAAAACATATTATGTATGTGAGTGTATCCAACGTACATTTCTAAGGTTCTCAACTTGTGCTTCTTTTCTCTACATCAGTATGCACAGGTTTCAAGTCAACAACAGCAACAACAGCCACAGCAGCAACCGCAACCTGGTCCTTCACAACAACAGCAACAACCACAACAACAGCAGCAACAACAGCAATCACTGCCACCTCAGCAACAGCAGTTCCAGACACCGCAAAGCCAGGGCCAGGTAAGCATGCTTTAAATTGCTCTTTGTAATCCTGAGTGAGTAATTTTATTACAAAACATGTTTTTTTCCCCCCAATACAGCATGAATGTTTACTGGAATGAGCATCAATTCAGTAGTCTTTGAATATTGTTTACTTTATGTATCTCTGTCTTTTTTTATTTGTTTGACATCCCTCATTGTTTTAGTTTCTAAAAGTCCCTATAGATATCATCAAGCTATCTTTTTTCAATACCTTGCTTAATTTTTTTTTGGGGGGGGGGGGAAATTGTGTTAAAGTACACTGACTTTTATTGATTGATGATGCATGCACTGAGGCATGCACATTAATGGTGGGATATCATGTAAGCCGGTAGACTGTCTGTGCTATCAACATGAGTCTTTCACAGGCCTTAACTAGGATCAGTAAGTTTCAGTAAACGCCCTTCCTTTCTCTACGGCCAAGCATTCGCTGACAACCCCCGCATTGTAAGAAGCAATGGGTTGATAATTGTCACAGACACCAGAATCGACGCATTAATGACTAGTTTAGAGCACAAAGCAGTAAAACTCCTAACACATTGTCACGATGTTTGCCGTGCAACCAACAAGTTTGCTCCCGGGCTCCCCCCAGGTAAGCGGACCCAATATTTGGCTGGCGAGAAGCCTGGGTAAACTTTGCGAGACAGGCGCTGTCATGAGCCATTAGCCTGACCAGTTTAGTGTGGGGGCCTTGCATGCCCCCAGAGCATGAACAGTTTTTCCTGGCGGAAAATTTTGCGCATCTGCGACATGGTAGGTGACTCAGAGCGTTAAAAGTTTTTCAGAGTCTGTCCTGTGTCATTGCTCATTTTCAGGAACAGGCTTAAACATGGCAGGCCCTTTGGGCTCTGCTTGGAAGTGTTCATTGACTTCTGCATTAGTTTATTCTTATGTTGTATGTTCAAAGTCTGAGATAGGTACCAGTAGTTTGGTTTTGTCATTTTCCCCCATCCTTTAGCAGCATGTATAAGGGCTGTCCATTTTGGAATAATTTGGTCTTCGATTATTAGAAACTACACTTGACCGATTATTTTAATATTGGAAACTCGCCAATCAAGTTTTACACATGCGAGCTGCAGCTGCCTTCCTTGCTGGTCAGACGTTGCATTCAAAGCGCCTCGGTTAAAAATTTGCATGTGGCAGTGGATAGTATGGGCCGCGAGTGGAGTGGTTTGTAGTAAGTACCGTCAAGGGACATTACCCAGCTAAAATGGGACCAATAAATACCGGTAGGCGTCGACAAAAAGTTACCGTCAGCCAAAAAGTGGTATCTGACAATAAAAAACGCAACTTTAACATTAAAATAACATCACAGTCATGCATGTGCATAGAGTTTTCTTTTTGAATATTCACACTGGCAAAACGCTTTTCGATATTCGGTTGGTGATCAAATATTCGATATATTCGGTACAGCCTTAACATGTATGAAATGAACTCTTGTAATTTGTCAGAAGTTTGAGTTGACATGTACATGTAGGTCCCAAAAAAATGTTTCACTTTTTTTTTGTCTTTGTACTGCTCATTATACATGTAATTGTATCGATCCTTAGTGAAATGTAATACTTGGAATGAGGGGGTGTTTTTTTTTGTTTTTTGGTTTTTTTTGTATGTGGGAATCATGTTACCCACCACCCCATGGGTTCACACGCCAAGTTTAATGCATTTCATGTGAGGGTTAAAAGTCCACATACACGTAGAACTGCTGTCATCATCTTCAGCGCTTCATGCTGACAGAAGGGAAGAATTAATGTTTGAATATTTCACAGCTGTCTAGGACCTACAGATTTCTCAAATTTCAGCTGTTCCGGAATATGCATTGCTTATAACTTCATGTGCTGTGCTCTTATACAAGCTTAATATTATAAAGACTTAACCATGTGAGTATGTGTGCAGCGCTACCCAAAAAAAAAAGCTAGTCTTTTCAGTTTTATCCATTGTCATATTAAATTTGTATTTGCCTTCCCTGCAGTGCTGCATATTGTATTTATCCTGCTGAACAATAACATTTGTTGAGTGCTCACACAAAATAGAGCCCTTGGTTGTCATGATTTACTTTTTAGTCATTGTTTGCATTTTGAAATTGAATTTTCACGGGTATGTTTCTTTCCTTGTTTTGCACACATCACACGTTGCCTTTGCTGGTTGTCTTTTTTTTTTTCCAAATGGTTCCAAGTGCTGTGTATCCATGGCTGTTATGTTTTTCGCAGGTGCGTAGAAATAATAGCTATCCGCCCTCCCAGCACCAGCAGCTTTCACCAAGCAGTGGATTGTATAGCCCACCCCTGCAGTCCTACCAACAAACATGGCAGGCATGTTTTACATACCTCCTTTCCCCAGAATAGTTTGTTACTTGACTAGTGTTGTTTTCACACCACCATGTAGATCAGCACCATTAACGAAGCCCCCCCCCCCCCTGAAGGTCCAACCCCCCCCAAAAAAAAATCACGTAAATTATGTCATGGCATGCAGCTGGATAGGAAACCCCATTTTCTGTGGTTCTATGCAGCTTTCACAAACCCATTAAGTAGCAGTTGCCATGTTCACTAATAAGTAGCAAAGATTGCAGAATTTTCTTGCACAGACATTTCTAGAAATGAGATTATAAAAAAATGTATGTGGTCAAGCAAAACTAGCCCATTTTTGTCATTACTGAGATACAAATACCTCTGTGAAAATAGCTAGATTTGTTTTTCACTCAAGAAGCCCTAATAACAGTTTGGCCAGCTGCAGAAACGAATTGATAATTCGGTTGTTTTTCTGAAGCAAAACATCAACCTTGCCCAATTTCTTCCCGTGTGTGCCATACTCCAAATTGTATTTTATTCACACTCTGAATCATCCAACTCAAAAACACATGCCTTACATTTCATGTGTTATTGTTACACTGATGAAATAAGAATCTAGAGATTGAATTTACAAAAATGTAGAGAGTGAACCTCATTCTTGGCTATTTGGTTCTCGAGCACTTCCACTCTCATTCATGTATCTTGCTGAAGTCAATTGGTGCTGACTATTTGATTGTGTGAAACAAAAACAACAATAAATCACCTCATATTAACCCATTCGTTATAGCTTAACACAATCTCGTAGACATCATTATTTTCACTAACCCTGACGGTCGCTATGGAAAGTGACTCATGTTCAATCAAAGCGAGAGTTCCTTTGATGGTCGCTATGGAGACGCTGCAAGTTAAAAATATATATCTATATATAATCGCCTTCGGCTCATTTGATTAAAGCGCAGGATATTTGTGTGACATTGGCAGGAGCTGCAGTATATCTGTCCTTTGCCAAACCATCGTTTATTAATCACAAGCCAATTTCCCTTTTGAGAAGGTTGGTGAACAGTGTTTGGATTGTGTCTTGATGTAGTAAATCATACAATAAAAATGGGGAGACTGAGTGGCTAATGTAGTAAAAATTGACTTCCAATTCGGTAGCACCTTCTTTTTCTTCTTGTTTTTCTACAGGTATATTAACAGAGCTATTAAAATTGTGAAATTCACCCTCCATGATTTAGTTCGAACATTAAAAAAAGCAAATTACATGTATGTTAAAGTTTTCAGCTAAAAACTCTAAAACAAAATTTCATCGGCTAAAATTGCTCCAGTCACTCTAATCACTCTAGATTTGATGGGTTGTTTTTAGTTTACAACTGCACTTAAAATAACACTATTGCCCATTGGTGTTTAAAAATGTTTTTAATTTAATCATCTCTTGACAGTTTTTTTCTGAAGTATTTTTGACTAAGTTACAGTTTGAGTTTTTGTTGTTCAAGGTTGTTTCATTTTTGTTAGGAGTTGGAAGGTTTTGCTATGGCTCAGATTCTGAATCATGTTCAAATACATGCAATGAGTCTGCCATTTTCCAAGCATCAATTGTCTTTCGTTGGTGTGTCTCGCTCGTAGACAATGTTCACTCATTTGCATTACATGGCCATGACTTATATGTGTGTGTGTCTGCAGAGGATGAGTCAGCGCGGACATCTGTCTTTAATCACAGCACAATAGCAGAGTATGACATCTACAGTCATTGTGTTGGGGTTTTTTTTTGGGGGGGGGGATCCGCCATCAGTCATGAGGTCCCCTCTCCCCTCCCCCCCCCCCCCCCCCCCCACCCTTCCCCCTTCACCCTTTCTTCCCCTCCCACCCACCCTTTCCCCTCCCCAAGCCCCTCCACCACCAGCTTCCCCCAGCTTCCCCCCCCCAAAAAAAAATAATAAAATGGGTTATAGAGAGGCTCTTATTATTTTTTTAGGAAAGAGACATTGAGAAAATGTTCCACTTGTCATAGTGAATACACAGTGTTTTTGAATAGATACTTAGTTCCAGTAAAAGTGATCACGTTAAGCAATAAAGGAAAAGGGAACTTAAATACTTTGGAACAATTTTTCCATCACTCTGATACTTTTTGACACATTGGCAGTTTGCCAAGAAACTCTCAGCCTGGGCTCAAAAGTGGCCATTCAGAAATTTAAGCCCATTATCTACAGGGAACTTGGAGTATGTACCTGGACTTGTGTAAAATGAAGTCACACCCTATAGTACAAGTGACAAATAATTAATCTATGTGGTGACTTTGACTTTAAAGCCAGAAAAAGTTGACGCCCGTTCTAAAAAGAGAGTACCCTTAGAAGACAATCCTTTGTGCTAAACAGCAAAAAGTTATACCCAAAGACTTTATTGTGTACATTTTTATCTTAAAACATGCCACAAAAATAGCAGACAACTATTTCTATTAATTAGGACAAGTAACAAGTGGTTTTGGAAAAGCCACGGATGTTCAGGTGCATCAGAATCAGGTGTTAAAAGATTTGTCACCCTGTGCTTTGTTCAAGTCAAAGCTAATCAATTTGCTTGGCCAGTGAGACTAAACAGATGTGTCAGTTTTGCAACGTCATTTTTTACAAAATAGCAAATGACTGAATGGGGTGCGGAACATGAGAACATAGTTACCGTATAATGTCCCTCCCCGTGGCAAAGGAAAACTGTCATCAATTTTTGTTCAGGTTTTTGTTTGTCGAATCATGGTATCTGTCAACGCTGTACAGGTGTATTTTAAAAAAAATTTTTACAGTGTCATGTTATGAGTGAGTGCATGGACTTGGGAATGTGTCAACTGTGGTTATTATCCAATAACTGTCAAAAAAAGGAGTGTTAAAAACTTCTTCAAATAAATTCAGGCAATGCACAGGAGTGATATGTTTATTGGACTTGAATGGCTTCAACTTTAACGACTTATTCAGAAATCTGTTTTGTAGTTGTTCCTTTCTTTGTTTATAGTTTTGTCACCCAACCCAACAAAATTAGTCAGAAGGTGCAACAGTAACTTTTTTAAACAAAGCTTCCACAATGGATTTTGATAGTATTAGAATCCTTTATCAAATTAAACCACATTTTCTCTTTAAGAAATACATGTATGTTAGAGTGAGTGATGAGTCTGAATGGGTGATATATCAATATGAGAATTAAAAACCGTATGCCCTTTTCTTCCACAAATTAAGACTGATATGCAGGCATGCAACTTTTCCTCGGATCCGCTGATTTACTTATTTTTTACTTCTCATGCCATTATAAATTGAAAAAATACCGTACAAAATCTTGTGTGGTTAAAAGTTTCCTCGTTTTTTTCCCTAAATTCCCAATTGCATGCCTGTTAATGAGATTTGGTTACATTTCCTTTCCACTAAAGGTTTTTTTTAATGCAATTTGGAAACCTGTCACAAATGGGTATTCCCACATGTACATTTACTTGTAAACTTGTATATTTTCTCTCCGATTTTCTCACTGCAGTAGCATGTAAACAGAAACTGTGTTTTGCATGATTAGCTTTGTAGAACTAGAAGGATGTTAGACATGGAGTGTTGCTGACAGAGTAACCTGGTTTTTTTGTAGACTAGGGTTGCAAGACAATGGATTTGTGAGGGCCTAGTGTAACCCAGAAACGATGACTCAAGCCCTAGGCTAATCACATCAGATTGACTGTAATTCACAGTTGGCTCAACTGTCATAACTCCCAAACGTCGGTCTCCCTCTTACCAACAATCCTTTGGCAAAACTGTTAGGGTAGCAGAAACAATTTGTTATGGTTAAAACAAAGATCAGACGAGTCAATGTTAACAGTGTGAGATTCCGTAGGGTTGATTTAGTATGTGACTAGTCTAGATGTCTTTGGCGCCTTTATAAAAATGACCCTTCACTGATAAAGTGTAGGTCCTGGTTACTTATCATGTTGATAAGCCAGACTTACAAAACATGTAGGTTGTTTCCTTAAACCAGCCATAAAGCAAGCATTTTGGGCAAGTACAGTACGTGTTAATGTACAAGAATTTGGCTGTCGCCAGTAGCTATGATCCCAAATAATATTATTAGCAACTTAAAATCCAATATACCTTTCTGTGCTCTGTGTATTGGTACCTAATCAGTTGCTGTACTTGGTATGTAACAGAATCGTGAGCTGCAACCATTTAATTTCAAACCTGGGATTGCATGTACGTCGATTCATTTACACTACGCCTACAGCTGAGAATTCAAAAATATCAAACTTACTTCTCAATTCACAGACCCAAGCAACTTTACCTTATGAGACGCCTATGTTCGGAAAAGTACAGTCTGATAACCCCTGTGAAGAATGCGACAGATGTTTATGAATGATCTAACCTGTTCCACAGATCAGAGACATGTCAAAAAAGAACATGTTGTTGGGGTCATTGTTAAAACTGCAAGATCTTATGAACAGGAGAAATTCCTGCACAGATTTGTCAGGCATGGAAAGTGACTTGCTCTCATTAAGATGTCAGTCAGGAATGCTGCCTCATTCCATTCCTGTCACGTAGTGCTGAGACTGAACATTTAGTATAAAAGGTGTCTGGACTTGCCAGACCATACATCATATCAAAACTCATTGATAACTTTCAATGCAAAAGTGTATCAAGGTTTTAATTGGGGTGTTTCATTGCATTTATTATTATGATGAAAATCTCCCTGAAAATTTGTGAGTGTTTTGGACAAATTCATGGTGATACCCAGATACCGTGCCGTTAACTTTTCCTTAACCCTCCTATTTGATTATTCACATACAGTCAAAGAAAATTTCCACTTCCCCTGCCATGCGTTTGTATACAGACTATCAAAGAAAAACCAGTGAGATCACATTTTGTGTAAACACTGTGACTATCCAAATTCCATCAACAGGCAAAAGAGGTAACTGGTAGGTACAGCTGGCATATCAATCACCTCCAGTCAAAGCATGGCTATATTAAATTAACAAGAGAATTTTTAACTGTTAAAAACTGTCACTTGATTGAGTTTGACTGCTGTGATGGTGATGGCGTTGCTGAATTTTGAATGGTCTGTTTAAGTACATGATACATGAACATACATGTACATGTACATGTACCGGTACACCTGCACATGTATGTACCTGTCGCTTCAGAATTTCAAGAATTATAAACAGCCTTCAAGACGCTGGTTGAGTCCATGTCAATTATGTCTGTACTTGTTCACCAGGGCACTATTTCATAAAGCTGCTTAACCAAAAAACAAATTTGCTAAGCATATTTATCGGCCAAGCATAAATCAACTGAAAACCTGTATAAAGCAGCACACACATTGCATGGCATTTTTGGGTGGTAACTTTTTTTTTTGCTAAGCAAACTTAAATCCATGCTTAGCACATTTCTAGCACATTATCCTGAGCGGATTCTTAACTGACTTATCATTTAACTATCAAACTGCTCAATACAAGATCTGCTAAGACGAAGATTCATAGCGTTGAAACTTGAATGAGTACTTGTACATTCACGATTTGGATCATTCCCATTAGATTGCATCATGAAATGTAGGTCACTATTCCCCATAGTTGATGTTTGTCAGTGAAGAGATGGATGGTTAAACGGCATGACTCTTGACTTGAGGAGCAGACAGAGACTGTCCTCCGCACCACCCACATCTGTTGCTCTTCAGCTTCTCATCACAACCTCCCTCATCGCTTGTCCAAAAAAAACTCCTCTGGGACTTGGGATTTCCTCTGTGCATGGGTTGCATTCTTAATGTTGGGGTTTCAGCGAGACCACAAGGCCCCGGCCAGTCAGGGGGTTGAATGTTGCTTGCCTTAAAAGGCTAAATCAGGAGCACATTATGTTACACCGTGACTGCTTAGTCCCTTTGGGAGGAGCTGTCAATCCAGTATTTGCTGTTCTTCCAATGTGCGGAAATTCGCTTTAAAACTACTTAGCAAAACCAGGTCACCAGCTAAAAGGTCATAATGTGATGCATGTGCTTGATTACGACTGCTTCTCAGCTGCATTTTGCTTTGATATAAGCTTCACCAGCATGACATTAATGAGCAATTTGATAAGCGATCTATACATGTTCTGTTTAGAAGCTGCATGAAAAAGACCAATCCATGCCCTGCTCCATGATTTGTGGACCAACCAAAGCAGCGGCTGCGCAACCAAACTGATCCGACAACATTCTGACGTAGACAATATCGCATGATGAGACGTGCAACGGGAAGTTGACACACACATTGTACATATATACAGTGTGGCATTGAAAGGACAAACAGGCTGTTGGCCATGTGCAAAGTGGGCGGGGCTTATGTCTTAATCTGGTTTCATATGAAATTTGGACTCATATGAAATCTGTTCTCTTTTGGATTCTAATCCTCACACATGGCCTGTCACTGTCCTGATTTTTTTCACTTGGGCATGCCCAATACAACCAAGGAGTCCAAATTTCTCACTACACCGGCTCCAAATTTCACACTACACCGGCCCCTTTCTCATACATGTACAACGGTATTTTGTAACCTTTGGCCTCTGTATCACTATCAATACCCCCCAATTCTGATCATCCCGTGTCTCGGCGTATGTCTCTTGTAGACCCTTGTCCTACGCTGAAAGAGCGAGCCTAGCCCAATTGTATTGTTTTCACCTTGCTGCATCCTGTCCTACTGATTCACCAGGTATCCAAGCGGTGACTCATGACCACCCCCATGTCTTGGCACCCTGTGTGCCCCATTACATTCACTCCCCAGTCCCCTCACCTACCCATGCTAGCATTTCAATTAGGATGGGTGGTGAATCTGAACACCTTTCATTTTAAAGGGATCCCAATTACATTGGAAGACCCTCCAAACAAGACAACCAAGTCAGCACAGGGCAGATATTAGTGGAATTTGCTGATTGGAAGTTTCGATAACGCTCTGGTGAGAAATGGCAAATATGAGAAGTGGTGTCTTTTTTCACAGCTGCTCAGCGAATCCCAATACCCCTTTAGATTATTTGTTTCAAATTGCCCCTCTTAATAGGCCCTGCGGATCCAAGCAAAAGAGCGGCAACTCCTATCTTCTAGATCGTATTTCACTTTGATATCCTTATTTATCAGGTTTCTGGATCTTGACAGCATGGTCAGGTTTTCCTCCTGCACATGCCTCATATATTAAAAATCTGAATAGTCCCGTCTAGCCAGGTCCTCATTGATTATGCACTGGCAGTTACCACACACAAACAAGCCCTTGATGTGAATTGCCCCATAAGAAATTCTCATCCAAGGATGGCTGCGCTAACTCAATTTTTTTCTCCTTTTTTTTGCGGTTGGGAAATTCTTGGGGAGTGAGGAATATGCTGATTGATCTCATGACTTGCATTAAATTGGGCCAATTTGTTTGGCTGGCCATGTGACGCTGACTATTGCCTAGGGCTAAGGAATGCCTTTGTGTCTGGTGGTGTGTCTGAAGTCGGTTTCTAGCTCATGAATATTGACAATTGTTCTTTTTTCATTTCTGAAAACAAAGCCACCAAAATCATCTTTCAAAGTATTTTTTGAAAGCAGTGGTCATTAACACGTAACGTCTTTGTTATTCAGTTTGTGATATTCCGTTGTCTCCTCTAAATCTGTTTGGCTGTTTATTGTACACGTTTAACCGTTAACTTTTGTATTTTCAGTTGTCATGTATGTTAATTTTAATAATCCCATGTGTTCCCTTTGTACATTCATGTGTTATTTGTTTCAGTGAAACAATTTGTTTTTTTCTTCAAATTGACTCAACTTCAACAAATTAACTGTAGCCCATTTACCTTGATTATTCTAACCCAGATATAATGTTAGTTTGTCCAAATGAATCTAAATGCAAATGCACCAACAATATGTAAAAAATCCGAAGGAAGTCGGGGATTCTAATTCCTATTGGGATTACACGACATTGCTAGAAAGTTTGGTTTAAAAAAAAATGAACATGTTTCTCAAATTAGAATCAGTACATGTACCAACTTTTGAGAACATGTTTTAGAAGTTTTGCAACAAGAAAGTCATATCTTGAATTTAGATTCACGTGCACAGTGGTACATGTACATATTTACATGTATTAGTAATACATGTAAATATGTACATGTACCACTGTGCACGATTACTAATTGGGATTTTGAAAAGTTGGCAGCTATGTATTACAGAGTTTGTCCAGACCATTCACGTTAGGATGTTATAAAAACATATCGCAATTTATTATCAAGGACCATTCAGAAGTTTGTGTAACAGAAGATGGTTCTAATTGGATATGAAAAAGGAGATTCTTTGTCTTCAAGTGAAACAAAGTAAAAAGGAAAAAAATTGGAACAAATTGATGCTCCAAGATTTTTGATTGGTCAATTGACAATAAGTTGGTAATTTTTGTTTCATTTTAATCATACACGTACTTAGTATCATCACCTCACAATATTATTATCATTAACACACTTGTGTAATTATTCATCGTTCAAAATTGTTCCAATCAGATGGTGAAACAAAACTTGCATGTACACAAATGGACCATTCAAAAATTAACTGTAGCCCATTTACCTTGATTATTCTAACCCAGATATAATGTTAGTTTGTCCAAATGAATCTAAATGCAAATGCACCAACAATATGTAAAAAATCCGAAGGAAGTCGGGGATTCTAATTCCTATTGGGATTACACGACATTGCTAGAAAGTTTGGTTTAAAAAAAAATGAACATGTTTCTCAAATTAGAATCAGTACATGTACCAACTTTTGAGAACATGTTTTAGAAGTTTTGCAACAAGAAAGTCATATCTTGAATTTAGATTCACGTGCACAGTGGTACATGTACATATTTACATGTATTAGTAATACATGTAAATATGTACATGTACCACTGTGCACGATTACTAATTGGGATTTTGAAAAGTTGGCAGCTATGTATTACAGAGTTTGTCCAGACCATTCACGTTAGGATGTTATAAAAACATATCGCAATTTATTATCAAGGACCATTCAGAAGTTTGTGTAACAGAAGATGGTTCTAATTGGATATGAAAAAGGAGATTCTTTGTCTTCAAGTGAAACAAAGTAAAAAGGAAAAAAATTGGAACAAATTGATGCTCCAAGATTTTTGATTGGTCAATTGACAATAAGTTGGTAATTTTTGTTTCATTTTAATCATACACGTACTTAGTATCATCACCTCACAATATTATTATCATTAACACACTTGTGTAATTATTCATCGTTCAAAATTGTTCCAATCAGATGGTGAAACAAAACTTGCATGTACACAAATGGACCATTCAAAAATTGGGTTTGTTTCAGGTGAAATTAAAAAGTATTAACTTTCTTCATCAACCTGGAAAGCTGTTTCTGTGGTATTCAATAAATCTAACGTGTCAATTTTGTATTCAGATTATGTCAAAATCAAATCTCCCTTCGCAAAAAATAATAATTAACTCAGAGTGAGCAAATCAAATGAAATCATGTCTCCCCTTTTTAAAAATTATTTTAGTATGTACAGGCCAATGGGCAATACCAACAGTATCAGATGCCAGCTGGTTACCAACCGCAACAGCAACCACCACAACAGCAGCAGCAGCAGCCACAGCAGGTTCCTCCACAGCAGCAACAGCAGCAAGCACCGCAAGTACAGGACAGCCAACCCCAGACTCAGTCTGAAGCACCCAAGGTACATGTATAGTATGTTGGAAGGGGGCATGGTCAGTGTAAATTACTGCTTGCAAGCTTCCCGTATCTTGTATCTTCACTGCGGTTGAGTCGCCCGTTTCACGGAAGGGGGAGGGTTCGTGCACTTCACATGCGATCAACTCGTGAACAACTCGTGATCACACCCACACATACATACACTTGTTCCGTAGTTGTGGGGGCTACACACGAGTTGTCCCATGGAACTATGGGGGCCGAAGACGCTGTGGGGACTGCAGAAAGTCCCCACAACTCGGTCCTAATTTGCCTAACAATTAAAAAAATTCCCCATAACGTGGTGACGGCCCCTGTCCACACATACCCTTTTTAAAATATAGCAGTGATAGGTTATTTGAATTACAAGTCCTACATAAATGAAGTCAAGCATAATCTACTTGCCTTCCAATAGGGCCCAATTTGACCCGTGAAAAATTGGAACTCGGTTATTGAGAATATTACCCCTATAAAGCTTGGCATACATCAAAACGAATCATTAAAAAAATATGGGAAAGATAATTAAAAAATTGTGTAACACAATAACTGCTGATTCTTCACTTACATGTACTGTAAGCTGAGTCATGATACTGATAGCTATACCAGATGTGTGAAAAATGTACCAATTTTGTTGAAATCGACCCTAGTTACATGTATCTTTTAGTGCCCTAGATTGGAGATGCATTTGAAATAGTAAAATGTTACAATGTTTACAATGTTTTGCATTGTCAAGGAACGTTGAGCTGAAAAAGTCTTTTGACAGAACGGAGTTATTTTTAAAATTCAGAAATTTGACTTTTCTTTAGTAAGTGACATGATCTGAAGATTTATACGCTTCCAACAGATACTCCTAGGAACAGAACAATTACCTGTTTTGCACATACTAAAATTTTCTGTCAAACCCCGGAACATAATTGGGACTGAAATAGCTCTGATCTCTAGTACAGGAAACATCTGCTGTGTATCAATAATGACATTCATGTTTTCATGTTCCTCCTGACTAGAGAATGTTTACAAGACATCCTTGAAGGTGTTCCCTATATTTTTTCAGCAAATTTAAACTTCATCATAGCTAGTGGTGGGATTAAAGGGTCGATAAAGTGAATTTTTCTTAAGAACATATTTTGTGCAACTTTCTACTCCTTTTCAATGTATGAAAACTAATTGGCACCCCTTTTTGGTAATTTTATTGAGAAGTTCACTTTTTCGGCATAAAAAAAATTTCCATGTTTTTCCTTACAAATGAGGCGCTGTTGCTGTGATTTCAGGAAGACACTGTTCACTTAAGGGGTTTTCTGTTCAAATTGTAAACCCAAAATCTGCTCATTGAAAACATTTGTGCAAAAACCAAGCTCGTTGGCTTACCGTCATGTACCGAAACATCAACAAATCACCAAAGAACAGAACATTTACGACAGCAAAATATCCAAAATTCTTGGACATTTTGGTGCTGAAATAGCTATAACATTGAGGTTTCTGCCTGAAATGACGTCACAAATTTGCTCATGAAAATGGAAATTTGCATTAGCATAAAAAACAAAAATGCACCAAAATGCCCTTAAAATTAGCAAAATGAATATTTAAAATCATGTGAAATGGGACGCAAGGTGCATTTTCAAGGATTACATAAAAAAATTACATACATCGGCCCTTGAAAATTCAGATTTTTAAAAAATAGGTTTGAATTCCTTTATTCGGTTTCTTTTGTTTTTGTGGTTCTACAACACGTATTTACTTATGCATTAAGCTGTGGACAAACTTTGTAAGTGCTTTCCGCAGTAGCATTTTATCTTGCTTGTGGGGGTTTTTTTTGGGGGGGGGGGGGTAAGGTTGGGGTGGGTGCTGGGGGTCGAAAACGGAAATGAACTGAAGCCGGGGATCTTCACCTAATTTAAACCAAATTGCAAAATAGGATGCACTGCCTCTTCTTGAGCCCTGGGGAGCCGGGGGTTAGCGGTCTCTGGGCGGGACTTGGCCACTTGCTGCATGGCAAAACAACTCTCAATCAATTATCTTGTCTAGAATAACAATTCTGTGCTTGGCACAAATTGTTGACAGCCCTAAAAGTGAAACTGTAATAATGCTTGAACTTGAAGTGTGATAAAGAGCAGGATAAACCAAGTTGTATTTTTAGTGTCTCTGACGAAAAAGTACTTGAAATTGTACATTTTTAGTTCAATCCCAAGATAGGTATCTCTAACTTTTGTTCGTCACAGGGCCTAAGCAATATATATTAAACATATATTCACGAGTCCTTTTGGACCATTGCAAAAAGTTGTTTTTCAAGGGAAAATCCTCAGCAGATCAAAAATGTAAAAATTAGGTACTAGTTTGTTCGATGGAACGAACGCACTAGTACACACTTTGTTTACCTGTGCGCTTTTCTATGGGGCTACGAAACCGATGTCCCCACCAGGTTCCTATAAGAAAACAAACATGTAGACAAAGTGTGACGTCATCAGTACAGAGGCTTATTGTACTCATGTGTATGATTGTCCAGCCAACTGATGGACGATAAACATCAATGAACTTGTCTTTCATTACGGCATACATGTACATCAGTCGTATGACCCAGCATTGACCCAGCACTGGTTTGCCATGAACTCAACCTGACAACACCATTGGCTAACACTTTAATCCTCGATTACTTGCACCTTGTCACATGAATGTTCAATTGCTCATATCCTGTCTGCTGCCGCGAAGGAGTGGGGGGGGGGGCCTCCTGCTCTATGACTTGGCGCTAATAACAGCCGAACAAACAAAAACATGCACTTGTCTTAAGTGTGTGGATTTTGTTCCGGGGAGTGGGTGTGTTAGAAAGTGTGGTTTGCTGTGAATTACTCAGAGTTCCCCCGCTGTGGCGGGCCAAACAGCGTCATGCAAGAGTAACACAATTGGACATGAATGCTTGGTCATAAACTTTCTTGGCTGTCGCGCAGCTGAAACAGGTTATTGACCTAATTCATGTTGGATAAGAATCGCTAGCCTGATTCCCACGTCCTGTTATGAGCCAAGCTTGAATACCGCACACACACACACACACAAACTTGACGTGTTGATATGGTTGGTGGTGTTCCTGCCTGATGCAAAGAGGCATTAATTTCCTTCATACGTTCATGACCTTTACTATGGCTTGACTGTGAACTTTGATAGCACCTTCAGCTGTAATACTTCAATAACGGAAAAGTAAGCACCACAAACACCGCATTGCAACACCACATAAAAACCAGACAGACAGCTTGCAAACTACAACATGACAGACTACTCAAATTATGTTTCCAACATTATATTTAGGAAATAAACCTGCAGCGGGCGTTGGAAATTTGGCCAGAATTGGAGGAATGGGTGGAGCAGTTTAATACAATAATATGACAAGCTCAGATGTTATTAAAAAGAAAACCTTTGCTTGGCTTATTTGTGAGAATAATAGAATGCAAATAGTAATGAATGAGATGGGGGGATTTGAAGCAATTTAATATGTATAGAAACTGGTTGCTACTTTTTTTAGTCGACGAAATAGATGCTCAGAGAGATTATTAACGAGTTATTTGGGGAATGGAGAACAGATTCATTTCAAAGGCTTGTGCTGGAGTGTAGTCTTCGAAAAACAAGACTTTTACAGTTACTTTATAGTAGGATGACACTGCCAGAAATTGGTACTCAATAGAACAGATGCTCAATGATGTTAATGAATTATTCCACCAACAGACTGATGCCCAGTTTATAACAAAGGGTTCACCATCTATCGAGAGAAGGGATCCTGGAAATGCCTCAGTACCCCTTGCTGGGTCTTCATCCGTACCAAGCCTTACAGATGCTGAGGACAGGTATGTATTCCAAGAAGGAACAAACTCAGTCATTCTGTTAACAAGATTATTTGAAATTTGATGATATCAGATTGTGGAAAGACACTTTGACTCAATGTGTGGGGGTTTTTTTTGGGGGGGGGGGGGTATTGCTGTGGCTTCAGATGTCATGTCAACCTAAATTTGTGGATTTGTAGTTTTTCTTTTAAAACAAAGTCTTCACAAGGTTTGATAAAAAGATAGTAATATATATTTAAAATGAAAAATAATAAAAACAAATGTTAAAACTGCTGAAAACTGCCTGGATTGACCTGAAATATACAAATCCAAAAGTTACAGAGGCCTGATATATTTCGTCGTCAGCAAAGACTTCTTCAGAGGCAAATGTGTTTAGTTGGTTCCTCCATTGCATAATATCTGAAGAATTTGTTTGAAATTGCCCTTAACTTTTGAGATGTCTGTCAGAAAGTGACAAGAAATAGAAGTGTGGATACAGTTGTCTATGTGGAGCTCAGTACACCTTCATTGATGGTATTTTTATGTTCTCTGGAGAACCTTGATTTTCTTAATTGTACCAAGACTTTAAAAAAATACCATCAAATTGTTCAGTTGATCCTTGAAGCTAACTTTCTGCCTCAAAAATGTGTTTGAAAGCCAAACAATTTAAAGATATAATTTGCATTCAATTGTGTTCAAATTATCTATTGCAATGGATTTTTTGTTTGATTCCAACAGTAGTACAGAGACTGGTGGTCCTGGCTACGAGAAAGCTGAGAGGAAGGAGAAAGAGAAGAAGGCGCGGTTGAAGAGCATCAAGAAGAAGCATGAGCGGCCACCCAAGCTCAACATCATCTCAGTCGATGAGGACTTCATCGTGGAGTGCTCCTTTGAGACCCACAAGGGAGAGAGGGTACAGTTCAAGTTCAGCGTGGACAACGACAATCCCGATGACATCGTGGAGAACCTGGTATGTTAGAATGGGAATCACTTTGGCTTCTTTTGCTTCGGCTTCAGGCTGTAGTTTAAGTCTTTGACATCGGAGACACAGGCTCAATATTGGGTCCGTTTTCTGCTGCTGAACATCAAATGGGACTTTGAGGTCATGTGTTAGAGTATGATCATTTGGTTCAAGCACCAATTATTTGTATGCCGAGTTAAAGAAAATGACCTGTACCCAACCTTAAGAGGGTGAAGTTTGTCAAAAAGGATCAGTCAGTTGAGGGCTAGAGTCTCATCTAAATTTGAAAGTTTTGTTATTAAGGTATTAGGTTAAGTTTCTTGATGCTGTGTTATCAATATAAGTTCTCAACATGATCATTTCATTGATATTGAGTTTCAAGAGTGCTGTGTCGATTGCAGATACGTGTATAAGAATTTACAAACAGTAACTGAGAACTGTCTGTTTCTCCTGCAGCTGACCAAAGACCTGATCCCCAAACAGTACACAGAACTCTTCATAGAGCAGCTTAAAAAGATCTGCGTGGAGGCCAAGACCAGCGGTCCCATGAAGGCTGCCCCCATTGCTACCACCACCACGGCAGAGACGGCGCCGCTGGAGATGCCTCCAGCTTCCTCAAGTCCCAAGGTGGTGGATCCTACCATCGCTGCACCTTTGTCTGGTCAACCTGTGGCGTCATCGACAGTTGCTGTGACTTCCACGTCTTCTGTGGAGACCTCGGTCGCGGATTCCAATGTGCTCAGTGATGACAGTATCAGCCCACCTCAGGTACTGAAGCAGAAACCAGCCTTTTCAATGTGCACACGGTTTTTAATTAGCTCTAATGGTTCCTCATTCCTGGTCTTCCAAATAGCAGTCCCTTAACTGGTGTCCAGTATATAAAGGAACAAATATCCACCACTAAAAAATTCCTAAAATGTGCTCTGGAACTTTTGCAATGATTTTTAATGATTGCTTCAATTGATAATATTTACATGTACATTGATTGTCTTGACATTTGCCTGGGTTGATATAAGCAATATGTGAAGTTGTTCATACCTTGGCTATCAAGCAGTAATTTTTATTACCTAGAATGGTTCCCTATTCTTGGTCATGTGTAGTTTGGTGGTTTCTTCACTGGCCATGAATTGACGTGTAAACAAAGAACAAAATCTCAATTCAATATGTCTTCAGATCTTGGATTTGGTTGATTTAAACTAGGTGTTGGTTGGTGATTTCTAAGCAACTGCGTTCTTGTTGCTTTGTAACAGGTCACTGGGAGTAAATTGCCAGACCCTTCCACTAGTGTGTTCCTGAAAGACAGCCAAGGACGCCCTGTATCACCAAAGAAGGAGCAACCAGATCCATCAAAACTGGCCGACGCCAATGGGAACTTGGCTCTGGCCCCCAGCCCCCCTGTCGCCACAAATCAAGCTCCAGGATTTACTGTCAAACCCCCAGTCCTAGGAGGAGCGGAAAAAGTTGAAGCCAGTATTAAACCAGAGGCTGTGGCTGTGGCTGTGGCATCCTCCAGTAGCGGGAATCTTCCCCGGACCTATGCTGAAGCCGCGGGAAGATTACCCGAGCATATCAACCAGCAGCAGAGTCCTTCACATGGGAGTCAGTCACAGCCCTTACTGCCCATGCAGCCACAACAGCAGCAACATCTCCTGCAGGCAACCACGGGTCTTGTCTCGCCAGCCACCATGGGGGATATTCAGCAGCAAAGCCATCCCGTGTCTTTGGGTAATCCCCCTGCTGCCACAGTATCCCAGGCAAGCATATTAGCACCACAGCCCGTCTACCCAATTCAGATGATGCCGCAGGGTATACCAGTCCAGCAGTTCATAACAGGACCAGGGGGAGCAACTCAGATGTACCCCATGCAGGTACCAGCAGACGGACAGCAGCTGTATCCTGTACAGCTTGAAGGGGGTCAGACAGCCTGGATTTCTGGTCCAGGCCCAATGCAGATGTCAATGGGACATGGCTTTCAGGCGCAAATGCAGGCTAACATGCAAGCCCAGATGCATGCACAGATTCCAGCATCAATGGTTCAGCAGCAGATTCAACAGATGGAGCCTCAAAATGCATATGCAGCAGCACCTGTTGGCCAAATGCCAGTCCACGGAGGTACAGTGCCACCATTGGTGCGGCAATCATCTCAAAACCAGCAAATGTCACAGCAACAAGCTCAACAGCAGCAGCAGCAGCAGCAGCAAATGTTCCAACAGCAGCAGCAACAGCCACCACTACAGCCGCAGCAACAACCACAACTACAGCAGCAGCCTCTCCAACAGCAGCAGCCACTCCAACAGCAGCAGCCACTCCAACAGCAGCAGCAACCACTCCAACAGCAGCAGCAGCCACTCCAGCAGCAGCAGCAGCCACTACAAAAGCAACCACAACAACCGCCACATCAACAAAAGCAACCACTACAGCAGCCTGGGATGGCTGCACAAAGCGCTGCATTTCAGAATGTGGCGATTGGAAAGCAGCAGGGGAGTGCTGCTTCTCTTGCTGATCTTAATGCCAAACTCACCCAGTTACACAAGAAAACGCAGAAGTCTGCTTTTGCTCCAGCTCAAAGTCAACCTCAGTCACAAGTGGCTACACCCATCCACTCGCAACCGTCTACTCAAGCAGTGCAGGGTGTTTCGTCACAGGGAGTGACGCATTCCCAGCAACAGCAGGTTGCCTACCAGCAGGCATCCTCACAGGCATCCTCACAGATGCCAGCAACCCAGATACATGCTCATCAGTTTGAGCCACAAGAGCAGCACACACTAGTGACACACTCGCACTCTGCCCCGATTCTTGCTCCTGAGGTTACTGCAGGAGCTCAACAGCAGACACCACATCATGTGCATTCAAGCTTTTCACAGGGCGTGCAACCGAGTACCATCTCAGAGGTCTCCAGCTCGACAGACTTGACTGGTCAGGAAAAAGTAAAACCGTCAGGACAGTCCAGGCATCAATCCATCTCTGATGCAGGTACTGCTAGTTCAAACACTGAAGGAAGGTCCACAGAAGTCTCAGTAGAAGTTTCCAAGGCAGCTGAAGTATTGAAAACAGAGGCAGTCAAGACCATTTCAAGATTCCAGGTGCAACACGTTGTTGAAGATTCCTTGAAGGGAAGTCAGCCCAAGACGGACACTGAAATGGCAACACAGGCTGCACCGACATCAAATGTCAATGCAATTAGTGATGTAAATAGGAGAGAGAGTAGGGCACAGTCTGTGCCAGATGTTAGTGTAGCAGAGAAGAGTGCTTTAAGTCGAAAGTCTTCCATTGAAGTTGATGCAACTGTTCCCATTACAAGGGAGCCTGTCGCGCAAGGATACTCAACTGTGACGCCAACTACAGGTGCTAATAGCAATGTTGAAAAAACTGAAAGTGTACCTGTGGCTACGCCTGCAAACACAGGTGCTCAGTTAAGCAAAGTCTCTTCAGAGGGAACTGAAAAGAAAGAATCTGTGGCAGTGCGCTTCCAAGTGACCACCATCAAAGATGAATTCAGCAAGACTGAGCAAGGTGCTGCTGCTGCTGAAAAAGAGAGCCTGGCAGCTCTTGCACCAACAACCAACGGAGTGCCAGCTAAGCCAAACCAGGTAGCTTCAGCAACTCCCCAAACTGTTTCAGACCAAACGTCCAGCCTTTCCAAACCACCAGATGCAGCTGGGGCATCCACTGCCAGTCCTGTCCACACTGCGCTGGAGCGCAAAATGTCGGCAGAGAGAGGCACGCCAGATAGCATAGCATCAGATCTGGGCACCTCGTCGCAGCCTACTGCTGCAGACTACAAGGGACATTCTGCGATGGTGACACCGCCAGTTAGCAGCATGCAGCCAGATGGGTACTACAACCAGCTCCCACAGCAAGCATTCTTTGCCTATCCACCTGAGCGATTGTCTCCAGGAATGCAGGTAATTGATCAAATCAACCTACATTTTGGGACCCTAAATTTCAATGAATTGCAGTTCATTATATATGTTAACCCCAATTTGTAACATCAAGTTCAACACATATTTAGGATAATAAGTTTCTGTTACTTTTTTTCCCTGCAGGGGCAGATCCTTGGACCTATGGGTTTTACCTATGAGGAAATTGATGACAGGCCAGAATTAAAGGACCTACTTCAGAGGTAAAACAGAAACAGTTTGTTTTTGAACAGATAAGATCGATTGGGATACAGTTCAAATTATATTGCAGACTCTCATCGTAGAAGACCTAGCTTTACCTTGACTACTTTAGTTTAAACATATCAGTTGGATTTCAACAAGTTGTGTTAAGGACCAAGTACTACTTGCATTCTTAGTGAAAAGATTCTTACTTATACTTGTGTTATCTGGAATTTTTTTTTTATTTGTCATATGAAAAATATGACTCCTTGTGACTATGTTAACATTTTTATTAAATATTAATTAGGGTTTAGGCAGTATTAGACTATATCATACCATCAAAATCAGTGTCAAGTATATTTATGAATCAAATTCAAGTTTCAATCTTATGAATATTTATGACATTGATAATACAGATGTAGCATTAATTTTGGTGTATAATAGTGTAAAAAGAGTGGTGGTCTATTAAACAGGAGTTCGAGAGAAAAATAATTCATTGTTATGAAAACAGAAGGCCTGCTATTTACTTAAAAGCTGTTAGTAAATTGAAATTGTATACCAAATAGTATAATTTTCCACGAGTTCTTGTTGGTTTTTAATCTCAGTATTTTTTCCTCTCACTAGGCACAAGGAGGAACAAATCCAACTGTACCAAAGGCAACAAGAAGAGTTGAAGCAGTTCCAGAGAGTACGTTCCACTCAGATGTACCGGCCAGCAGCATACATGTATCATCAACAGATGGCTAGTCATCAATATTACCCATTCCAAGGTGGTCTAGTACCCCAGGGCTACCCGATGCAGCCAGCCTTTGCAATGCAGCAGGATCCTGGCGTCTACAACATGCCAGGGGCATGGTCTCAAGGTATGGTCCCTCTCATGAGTGGGCAGATCCAGGGGCCAGGGGTTGTCCCAAGCACATCCAGTGGCCCCACAACATTGACTAGTGCATCCTCCGTTGGGCATCTGATAGCCCCCGGTGGGGTGTATTTCGGTAAGAGAGGCTCCCTCACCCCATACACCATACCAGCAGGGTTTGGTGTGAGTCCAGCTGTGGTACCGCCATCTGTGGCTACTACCCTTGCACAGTTGCCCCCCACGCCGATGCGCCTGAATAAAAGCGAGAGCTTTGCCGGCCTGACTAGCAGCGGACTTACAGACGCATCAGTGGTAGGCAGTGCAGCACAAAGTGCCAGGCAACGAGCAACAACCTTCCCAACCTTGACCAACGCAGAAGCAGTCAACGCTGGTAACCTAGGTAGTCAACAAGCTTCATCAGATCCAGCAGTTACACCTCCCATCGACACAGCCAAGCAGTCTGCTAAGCCGATGTTCTATGTTCATGAATCAGGAGGTAAGCGTGTCTTCTCTCCGACTCCATCTGAAGGCAGCTTGTGTGACACTCAGGAGCAGGTGCAGAACCCTGAGGCAGAGGAACCTCCCACCAATTTGGCTGAGACTGTGACTGAAACAGGCAGACCCGAAGACTCTAAAGTGGCCGAACCATCGGCTAAGAAGTCAGTCTTCACGGAGGATCAGTTCAAACTTGCTGAGATAGCTAAAGCACCTCCTAGAACGGCGGTCACCGAGGCGGAGAAGAAGATCAGTCTGAATGAGCTACGCAAGAACCAAGTCCAGCAGGATCTGCAGAGCAATGTCAGCTTGGGAGGAGGAACTGGAAAGCCTGGACAGCAGGAATGAGAGCAAAAAGGTCACCCATATAGACCCTTAAAGTTTAGAAAATGAATAACAAGTTGAAAATACATTCTACTGAATCTGGTTTTCTGGGGAATTGTCTGGTGCATTCATGTGTGTGTATGTGATCCCAATTGTTTTTTCTTTGCTGTCTGCTAACACGGAGTTCCTGACTTGTGATGTAGGCCCTCTCTGGTGGATCGTGTAAGTTAAGGGTGAAGACAAAACTCCTGGCCATGTTTTCATGCTGTCATATGCTCTAGTCTCATCCTATCATATGAGACATAAGCTTTAAATGCTCCCTAGGAATGTTTGGGTTTCTTTTTCTTGGAATGTTTTGGGGGTTTTTTTTGTATTGGGTTACAAAATAATAAAAGTTGCTGTCAAAGCCACCACATGTCGTCAACCAGCATGTATAGGTTTTGAAATGGCCAACTGTCCAGAGATCCTGCATGGTCACTTTGGGCCACCTGTCATGTCCAGTTCTTACCTCCTCTAGTTTTAGCCCCTATGGTGGCTTCTCCTGTTTGGCACGAAACTTACCCTTGAAACATTTCTGCCACTCACATAGGATTAAAGACAAAGCAAAAATGAGGTACTTGAAATGGTTGCTTTGCCCAACTCGGCCTTTTGAAGCTTAAGCAGCTCTTACATGTACGATAGGTTCTCTTGGTCTCTTCAACTATTTTCTTTTAATGTTTGTTTCGGTATCACATTCACACACACACACGTGAAAGCACCACCCATCAATATATATTTATAGATTTACACCAAGTACTTATATCAAGTATTATCCCCAGCACTTATGAATGGGTTATTATATATTTGTCATCCATTGAAGCACCAGTATGTTATTAACTTAAAGAAAATAAAAACTCACCATTCCAGTGTTGTGCACATGTAAAGGGACCTTTTCTGTATCATAATAAACCTGCCACCTGGTTCAGCTGTATTACATGTATATATCTTGTGTAATGGTGGTTCATATTCTAATTACCCAAATATAAGTATTAACAAATTTTGCCTTTGTTTTTTGTTAATGTAAAGTTCGAAAAATTGAGATTGCGAAGATGAACGAGCGGTTTTCTGTTCTGTAACTTATGCTGCTTTCTGGTTTTGTTTTTTCCTGATGTGTATGCGTGTGAGTTTGCTCGTCGTGTGATTCCTTGCAATGTGAAGATCAAACACATTTAGTTAAACTAGTAACAAATCAGGAATCAAATGGAAGAAAAATCTGCACCGAAAAAGAGATTTCATCAAGCGAGCTTTTTAGTAAGGCACGTTCAGTGTTGTACAGAGGTGCATGAAGGGTTGAATTTGAAAATCGATACCGGTGATTATACTTTCAATCTATTTATTCCAACAGTTCTCATCACGTCATGCTTGGAGTGTACCTTAGGTTTTATACCAGGACTGTTTGAAATTTGCAGTCACCGAGACTGTCTGCCTTGCACAGCTTGCTTTTGATTTCTATCATCAAAATACAGTAAAGTGCACGTGCCTCTGTACAACCCAGCTTCACTCCAAGTGAACACGCACATTTTGTTTTTCAACTTGAGTGTAAAACTCAAATTACACTGAACATCTGACCTGTTGAAAACAGAATAAGCGTTTCATTTAGCTGTTAGTTCGTAGTTCCCCTGTCAGTTTATTAGCATTCACAAATGACATCTTCTCCAAAGCATGTTTGGATACATGTTTTTGTGAAATCGTATACAAAAAAGGTATTTTCAAGCAATTTTCAGAAGTCTATAAATTAACTTGTGAGAGGTACAGTGGGTTTGAACGATTGTACTTACGTTTTACTACGAACCTGTCTCTTCACAACGTCGTTAATGTGTACATATGTGTATGAAAAAAATAAAGCCTAAAAATGGTGTGAATGGCAAACCTAATATGCAAGTTTTTGTAGCACTCTGCCTGATCCAGTCTAGCCATTGCCTTTCCTTATTGCTGCTGATGAAGCATAGTGCTAGAATGCATCCGTTAAAAGGTGATGCTTTTGCTGCACACAAAATGTTGTAAATATAACTGTATTATTATTATTATTATTATTATTATTACTGTTAATGTTATTTAAACATGGAAATACTGAAGTTAAAAGAGTATGTGCCTGCTTAATTGCTAGGGTAAGTTCAGCCAACCAAAGTTTAGAAAGCTCCACAGCACTGAACGAAACAAACAAACAATAATTTATCAACTAATTTGCCCAGAAGTACACATGAAAATATGTTAAACGACCCCATTATAATTTTGTCGTAACTGTCGTCATTAATGAAAGGGAATGCACAAATTTATCAGAGTATCTCTGGTGTGCGAAGTGCCTGTACCATACACAGCCTGCATAAATCTTTACAAACGACCACCCCCTTGCTTGCCAAACAGTCATGCATCAATCATTTTTCAATTCAACAATTCAATAGTTTGAGTAACCATATTCATTTAAATTTAAAAAAAAACAACTGCTGTTTCTATTACCTTGTCAAATTTCTAGTAGACTCGTGTCACAATTTTGAAGTTGCTTACCAAGCAAATTCTACATGTAATGACAATTGTAAAGCTTAACTGTGTGTATGCACTTGCTTGAAATTTGTACAAGTGATGTTGTAACCACCCACCACATAAATGTATACCAGTTATTACTAATTACATTTTCTGCCTTAATTATGAAAATTGTAAGGAACATTTTTTTTGCGTTGTTGACCATAATCCTTAATTAATAAGCACCAAACAGTTTTAAATGATAACCTCTTACGTACAGCGTTATAGCAGGGAAATTTACTAGTGGCATTCCACATTAATTAATTAAACAAACATCTTATTAGCTTAATTATACAGGAATAGATATTCAACCTGCTTTGTCAATTAGTGACCCAAAAATGTCAGGTTTTTTTTTCTTTAACTGAATATTTGGTACTAACATGTTAGTTACTCTTGAAGGACGTTTGACAGAAGAGATAATTTCAATTCAACAGTATATATTTCTGGCACATAATAAGAGAAACTGATTTTTTGGGGGGGGGGGGTGTCATTATTCCCCGAGGGTAAATATTCTTTGCTTTGTGCACAAGTTTCATAACAAAAAGAAAGAAATCATATCTACATATTCACATTCTAGTTCATCCTCCGTACATAGTATAAAGGAAGTATTGGTGTTTCTGATGTTTACACTTACATAAAATAAAGATTTAAAGCAGTCAATTTTGTCATGTCACTATTTAAGGCATAAACATAACCACAAAATAATCATGCATTAGCTTTGCCCTCTTCCAAAGACAAACGAACGATGTGAATGCATTATAAAATATACCTTACAAACGCATAGTTTTAAAGTTAAAAACAAAGACACTGTATGAGTATACTGCAGTATGTTCAGTGTGTACTTGTATAAGCACATTCGGTGACTCCTCCAAATCTTAATTCAAGTGTATACCTTCGCATATATTGACTACCCCATGAAATGTTAAACACTTTGCCTGTACTGGAAACTCACTCTTTTTATACTTGCACTTCAACCATTTCAAACTTTTGTATCAAAAGTTGTACTTGTAGTAGTCACCACTGCACAACACCCACCTAACATACATGTAGAAGACTAGCAGTAGACTTAGTAAGCCAATAATAAGAGCATCAAAATAAAAACTACATACACAGGCTGATACTAGAGTTTAGCAAAAAGTGGGTTACCGGGTAATTCATTGGCTAATGTAAGGTGTGGTACATGTACATACATTAACATTAAGCATGTGAAGTTGCCTAACAAGTATTTTGTGCTTGGTGACTCTGTGTTATCTGGCCCAGTTTGAATCACTTTCCAATACTTTATGTGGTTGAATCGCATTGAAAGTTAACATTTGCAAATTTGTATCCTATTTCCCCCATTGTGTTCCGAAGAAACCGGGAAAACTTTTACAGGATTGGATTGAGAAATGTTATCACTGCAGTGTAGCTTGCTTGGGGACACACAAGCACAATTTGGTTGGTACCCAAGTCCCAAACCAGAGGCCGTATCCGAATCACTTGGCTACGTCTGGCAATAATGCACGAGTCTATGGGAAGTGGCTGCAGCCGCTAGCCAGTGGCTTCCATAAGGATGCGCGTGTTACATACAGCCGTAGCCAATTGATTCGTACACGTCCGCATTGTCAGTAGTCTGCCACCAAAACAGAAGTTGTGTGCATGTATCTGACAGTGACAGTTGGCCCATAAAGAACAGGGGCCAATTTCACGGCGCTGCTAAGCACAAAAATTTGCTTAGCACAAAAAAAGTCTGGCTTATAAAAGCAGGTTACCAGCCAAAACTCCACGTGACGTATATTGCTCATGATTAGTATTCAACTGTTGTTTGCTTAGCATGAAAATCACATGGAGTTTTGGCTGATAACCTGCTTTTATAAGCCAGACTTTTTTTGTGCTAAGCAAATTTTTGTGCTTAGCAGCGCTGTGAAATTGGGCCCAGGTCTCTCTCAAAGACGGCCATCTCTGTAGGAGAACTGCAACTGCGTATTTTATGCAATCGAGCAAGCATTGCGCATTGTTGAAAATGTTCCATACACGCGCGCCTGTTGCTCGAAATGTGTTCGAAATATGACGCAGCCGATGCGCGTTATGCAAGTCAATGCTCAACATGCCGATGCACGTGGCTGGTCTGTAGGAAATGACAACATTTGAGAGAGACCTATACACTAACTATGATGTACAGGAGAAAAATGCTGGTTGTTATGAGTCATCAGGACATTAACGTAAATGGAGCATTCAAGGTTAATCATTCAAGTCATTACAGTATTTAATTAGTGAATCTTACCATATATTGGCAGTGTATATCCACATGTAACTACTTGATGCGTAATCTGGTACTCTCAGCAAGTTTCGAAAATTCAGCGCTATTCCTGTACTCATTAAGATATTACTAAAATAAAATCACTCTAATCTGCCAAAACCGCACCAGATATAGTTTACGATAAAGTCACTTAGTTTGGACATGTTGTTTTATACATTTTGTTTGGGTCTGCATGTGACCAAGCCTTTTGGCAGTTCAGATGCAACACAGGAAATGTATGGCATGTGTAGGGAGGGTCACCAATTGTTTTCAAACTTAAAAGCATATAGGATCATTTGCTTTTCGTGCATTTTGTTCGTTTCCAATAATAACGCCACTCAATATCCAAAAATTTAAAAGAATGTTCGAACCTAACCTGCTGAGGTTTCAGCTCAGTGGATATTACACTTTTTGAGAAAACAGTGAAAAAGCATGCAAAACGGTTTGATCACGAAACACAATTTTGTCAATAGCACTCTTTTACTTCCAAAAATCAGTCAATTGACTGATCGTTGAAAATCACCTACATTTCTTGATTTCTTCTAAATGACACTTTGACAGCAAGCCAGAAGGAATAATTTCACGGGGTGTTTAGTACCGGTACGTAATTCAATCCCAGTAAGCTTTTTGATAATAATTTGGTAGGTTACTTTTGGGATAGATGCAAATCATCTATGCGTTTCACCAATGTAAGGTTTGCAACATTTTGGAGTTACGTTAATTGTTTTAGAGAATTATATCTAAAATGAGATAGCTATGGATGCTACCAGGCAACTTTACCCTTATTTTGTGAGAACAGTTTGTGAAGTTTTTCTTGATTATATATTTTTTTCTCTATCTAAAATTAGTTTGAGGGATATTTGGTCAAGTCAATGGAAATTATTCAGAAACCCAATTTCAGTTACTCGTGAAAAGTATAACTTTCACTTGGAATCTTGTAATTATTAATATAATTTTGTTCAGTTTCAGTTTGTTTGGTGAACAGCAGATTTCTCTTAGTCAGATTTTTCCAATGGTGAGTCAGCTTTAACAGTTTTCCTGTACAATTATTTGTTTTGTTACTAATAAGTTATTATGTACTTGTATATTGCAATATATTGATTAATCTGTTTAATGACTATAATGATTGTTAAAAAAAAAAAAGTAATGATAATATGGTATGGGTCCCCTTTGAGTGTTTGCCCAAGAAGAAAATTTAAATTTAACACAGTAAATTGTTTACACTTAACCCCCAAAAAAGAAAGAGAAAAGAAATTACTCATCTTCGCAATGTGTTTACAGTGCACATTTTTGGTTTTTAAAAGCAAAGTCAATTTCAACAGAACGCGGTAAAATTACAAGACTGAAGGATCAGTTCTATAATTTAACACTTATATGTTCGGTTGCTACTATTGTCATGCATATTGTCATGCATATTTTGAGTTGGTGTTGCAAAAGAAATAGCAAAATCAGAATTTAAAAAAATTGACTGGATATAAAACATTGCACAGCCGATTATAACCGGCAAATCCCAGCATATCCACTTGTCCTGTGTCTTCTTTTGTGTCGATCCCTATTAGCAATTGGCTGCTTGTGTGACAACTCAACTGCTATCAGTTGAGATAAAGAAGGAATGATTAAACTCGCACCCAATTCTGAAATCTTAAGCTGTAGCGTATTCTACTACATTCCAATCTATCGGTCGAGATACCAGATTTGACTTGCACTGCTTCGCAACCAACAGTTGTCTGGGGACTGATATAGGACTGCCTCTGAATCACCCAACAAGGAACATTGTAGACTTTGACCCAAAGTCAGCAGGTTGGAAACGTCCTGTCTGTCTGTTAGATACCATCATAGCAGACCTCAACCAGATAGGACTTATTATGCAACAGCAACAAATGACATTCAGAACAGAGATCTCTTGTGCAACCACATGTGCCCTACACCTTTTGGGGCAGGAGACATGATGATGATGGCTGTTAAAATGATACAAAACTTTTTTTTTTCAGGATGAGCAAAATTTGGCATGCAAAAGCTACCCTGTTGTTGGCAAATGATACCCTCTTCGAGTCCAAGTCGGCATACAGCTAACAAATGATTGGGTGGGGGGCTTAAGATCTCAAAATTGTAATCTTAATTCCAAACCACACCGTACACAAGTCAAATCAAATCCCAACTTTGTCAGTTTTCATATCACGGATACTTGAATTGGGCCCCGTCTTAAAGACAAAGGCGGATCGCTCGGCTTTAATTTAGCCAGCCTGCTCGGGTATGTCTTTGGCGCGGGAAGGGTCGACTTTGCATCCTCACGGCTGGTGCTTGTTACGGCAAGAGGTCCCCATACCATTGCTATTGGTCGGTTGTTAGCTATCCCTCCATTTCCCTTCGTAGATTCACCCTTGGGAGTTGAGAGTCCATTTTCCTCATCCGAGTCCTCAGATGGGTTCTGATCTGGACTCAAGTCGTGCAACTCCTCGGCCCGCTCCAACCGCCCACTTCCAGATTTTGTCCACGCAGGGCGAAGATTGTACGCGACCACGACCACCAGAGCGTACAGCCCTGTGATCGAGTTAAACAGGCTTAACACCCCAGCCACGTCAATTCGGCCCTTGAAATCGTGGAAGGTGGTGCCAAGGATCAACAGTGCCAGGGAGATGTTGTGGAGCAGGATCTCCACGCAGATGGTGCGACGCTTCCAGACGTTCTGACGGAACAGCAAGGCCAGGACGTAAGCCGATATCCACCCCAGAGATGGTAGAAGAAGCATAACGAAGAACACACCCCATGTGGCGCGCTGGATGTACCTCCCATGGGCCACCAGTTGAATGATGCAATTGATGATGAAGCTGAGAAGACCAATCACCGTTCCAATCTAAAATTAAATTTGACAAAAAATTAACATTGATATATTATCAACGGAAGAAAAGATCTTGTGGGAATGTTTGATACAGTGTACCTGAAAGGCCATCCTACGGTCCTCTGACTGACTGAGTAACTGATTGACGTCACTGACTTTCTAAAGTAAGACTTTCAGGTCAAGATTGACTAGGCAACCCTATAGTTATCTTTTCTGTAAACAAAAGCAAGATTTTCAGAGATGGCAAAACATTCTGAACTTTATATTCACAAACTTATTGCACATTTCAATTTCGCCAACTTTTGATAGGCATGTTTATGGTACAGTTTTGTTGCGACACAAGTCTGTGGAGATCATTGACACACACAAAAAAAGGAAAACCTGAAACTTAGATGTAGAAAGCCAGCTACCTAAACTTTAATTGCTTTAAATTTTTAAAAACATCTGGAATGGCAAGAAGTGTCTTCAGAAGTTAGAAGATAGATGCGAATTTGAAAATTGCGCGAAAAGATGAAGTGTGACTTTGATAATTAAAGGGATTAAAATACAACATTTGCAAACATCAAAAAACGATATGATCAAATTATCACGAAATACCTTACTGAATTGTTAGGGACTGACATTCTAAAGCATCCTTTAAAATCGTGGCTCCTGGTGGGCTGACATTTTCAAGAAAAACTGTATTTTTCCAACGCTGGTCGGCCGACCAGCGTTGGAGAAAACTGGCTTTTTTCAAAAAGTGTTCTTAATTTTTCATATTTAGTTATTCTGACTTTTCTTTGCAATTGATCACACACCTGTGAAGGGGTACAAGCCTGCTAGACTGATTCTCTGACCTTACAATTCCCCAACATGTATTAACCCTTACCCTACTAGACCCTCCAACGCATGCCAATATGTGCCTCAAGAAAATCTCCTATGTTTTTTGCATGGCCCTCCAATATCTGCCATGTCATTTCAAGGGTAACTGGACAGGCACTCCAATTCATGCCACAGAGAACAATGAGAGTCCTCTGATAACAAAGTGAGTGCCCCCAGCTGGTCAGTATCAGGCACCCTCCAGGGCCTCCAACTCCTGCCAATTGGAGCCTTCACTGCTACATCAAAGTATCCTCCAATAAACTGCAGCTGGAGGGCATTGGCATAACCAACTGACATGCAGTAAACTACCCTCAGAGAGTAAGGGTTAATTGCTTCGATCGTTTCATCTCAAGTGGGGTCAGGGAACCAGACTACAAGAACATGATAGGTTTTCTTGGTTTTTACAGCATCTACAAGCCCAAAACAAGTCAGTTTAACAATATTTTATATAACATACTAATCCTCCAAATCCATTTATTTCTGAAAATCGCAGCAAAAACAAATGTTGTACATTCCCTTTAAGGTTTGTATGACAGTACAAATTCTTAAAACTTGAACGAAATAGTTTTGTTTAAAAAGAGGTTGAACTAGCAAACTTCAGCTACTGCATGACTTCATACAATATTAAAGAAACCTTGCACTGCACATATGACAATTCACCAGAACGACAGTACACCAGCTAGAGAACAAGTTTCAAAACATTTGCCACAACAGCTCATTATATACTGATGATTCTTCTACAGACGTTTAGACTCTGACATACCTTTTCCACAAACCATGCCACATCCTCTGATCCCTTTTTGACGAGGTAGCCCAGGATTGGGGATGCGGTGTGCAGTGCCAAAGCAGAGATCAATGGCCACAGGGCAATATGGAGGGTCTGGTGCGTCCAGCTACGGGAGTATAGGTGGAGCATGGCCGGGGCAAACCCTATGGAAACTGCGCTGTTGACGGCTGTCAAACAAAAACTGGAGACAAAAAATAATAATAACAAATGAAGAGTCTACTGAATAACTGACATCTGCCTGATTTCTTGAAACCCTGGCAATTGATATCTACATTCAAATGGCACTGCTGTCCATCACACGTCCCCACAAGTCCATCACAAGTCCTCACAAGTCATCATAAGTCTTTACAAGTCCTTACAAGTCCTCACAAGTCCTAACGAGTCTTAACAAGTCCTCACAAGTCTTCATAAGTCCTCACAAGTCCTCACAGGTTCTCACAAGTCCTCACACATCCTCACAAGTCTTCACAAGTCTTCAAAAGTCCTCACGAGTCTTCACAAGTCCTCACGAGTCTTAACAAGTCCTCGTGAGTCTTCACAAGTCCTCTCGAATCCTCACAAGTTCATCACAATTCCCCACAAGTCCTCACAAGTCCTCATAAGTCCCCTCAAGTCCTCACAAGTCCCCACAAGTCTGCCAATGATCTCAATTCCAGTCACAAGCAAGCTACTCAAATAAAATGTACCAAAGGCATTCCTATATTAATCACTTCTGTCCTGTTACTTTTGAAAGTACTTGTGATTTAGTTGTGAAAGGATTTGTGGTGGACTACAAAATATGCTAGATCAGTTTATTACAAACACATTCCTTTGTCGTTCATTCTATGTTACTTCTTAGGTGACTAATGTAACTGACTTATCAATCGACATCTGAGTGACTTCTGATTTGACGTATACTTGTGACTGACTTTTGAGATAACTTTATTGCTTCGTGATTTGACATAGTGATTGACCTGGGATTTGACTATTGATCTAGTGCAGTGATCAACTTCTGACTGACTTGTGGTTCCACTTGTGACTGATTTGTAATGGGCTTGCCTACAAATATGTTAGCTTTAATTCCAAAATTCAACCAGACAAATATCTCACCTCAAGCAGACATCTCCGTTGATGTAATAAGTCACCAGAGCAGTCAATGCGCTGGCAGGACACGACGCGACCAGGGCCATCCCAATGCTGTACTGCCCTGGTAGCCCCATGAGGTGACTAACCATAAAGACAGTCGCTGGGAAAACCAGATACTGCAGCACGGCCCCAGCCAGAGTCCCTCCGATGGTGTTCCACTGGCGCTTGAAGTCTTGGGGTTGGAGTATGCAACCCATGGCAACATTCAAACAAAATGTCGTGATGCACATGAGACATGTCGTCGAGACGTAGACGTACTCTGTGATATCCAAATCCCCTAGATTTAAGTCACCCTCCATTTTTGAAACAATACTTTGCAGTTCAGTTCGGTGCACTGCTCGAACTTCGCAGATCATTGGTAAATTTTAGTCGATTTCACGATTTATATTGCTTCTTTGAAACCACAACAGCTGCTGGGCTAAGTTACTGCCAGCAGCTGTTGGAATATTGAAATGCATTATGAGATAGGCCTACATGTACCGAACCTACTTCATGAGATATTCCCGTCACGCATGCTGCACATTATGATTACTTATACTTCCAAATGAACAAAAAAAAACACTACACGTACCAGTCTGGTATTGTCATTTGCAGCGTCGGGCCGGCAGAACTGGCTAATTAATATTGCCAACGAAGCTTAGAGAAAAAACAGGACTGCATAGACAATATAAATTGAGGGGATACTATATTCTGTGGCACAGTGTAATGTTACAAGACTGGATGAAACAGACTTTAATTTTGATTTTGTTTGTCATACGTACAAACCCTTTTTGTCATCGGGTTCTAGCCCCAAAGCCCGTGAAACCTAACTACCATGCACTGAAACAGCCAACATGCTGGTAGAAATTCATAGAACAATCATTTTGGTTGGACGCTTCTAAGAAATGCATATATCCAGGTATTTTTCAAATATCATCATTTGTATTCCAGGGTTTACGATGGATATATTTTTAACCCAATGTTGGGAATCTTCCAAGTTGTCAACATCTGCTGGATGGTCATATTTATTTTATTTTTTTTAACAAACTAGAAAATGCTGTTTCTCTGTACTGCACTGGACCAAATACTTTGAGAGAAATTAATTTAGAGAGTGGGTTCTTTTCTCTTAATTTTTTTAAGGTTTGGACGTTTTGAGAAAATAGTTCTTGAAATAACTGATTAATCTTTTTTGAAGAACGATCATCAGCTTGCCTAAAACCCATGCATGATCAGTAAAAAACGTGGTAGAACTACTCCAACAGGGTAAATGAAAACATGTAGCACAATAGACCTTGTGCATTGCAGGTGAGTCAGGGGCATTCTCTGTTTTGATTGAGGTCAGGTCCTCACATGTCCTCACAAGTCGATCACGTGTCAATCACAAGCCAATCACAATCAATCACAAGTCAATTCGGTCAACGCAAGTCCTCGAGTCTAAAGTCAAATCAAAAGCTATTCAAATTCTTCAATCGTTGTTCGATCATCATCTGCTATACTTCTGACCTGGTGACTTGTGGTGCCGGATCGACTAGACAAGAAATTATTATCAGGCTTTTCTGCTTTTCTCACGTATGGTACTGCCGGCGACCAAATTGTTGTATGATAATAAGATGCATACCAGCAACATTATTGAGGCTGTTAACTGAAGCGCACATAACAAAAGTGACAGATGAATTTTACTGAGTTGCGGAAAGTGCATTAGCAGGCCCAGCACGTACTGGATGATTCTCGAATACAGAAAATCTAGCGATTGCTTTTTCTAGATATTTGCTTTTATAATTTATACATAGGCCTACAAATAAGCAATTGCTAACAAGCAAAAACGTCTACTCTTCAGCAAAAGCAAAAGCTTGTTTCTTGCAAGCAAATGCTTCCGGGATTAGCAAAAGCTTAAAAACAAGCTTTTGCTTTTGCCATTTAAGCGATTGTTAGTAGTGTTTCAAGTTCCCCTCATGGTAGCTTGAGGCTGTTGTGTATCAGACAAGATCAGCCGTTTATTTTTTTGCGCCGCTGTTTTCTTCTTGTGCTTTCATGTTGGCTACCTTCTTCAATATCATGCTTGTCGTCCATGTTTTTTTTACAGTATATTTGTCGCAATTGACATCCTGAAGCGCAAGCGCCCTCACTTCTATACTTGGTGTGTGGGGATAAAAAGCAAAATAAAGCTTTTACATTTACGCGCGCCAGCGCACATCTGAATGAATGGGGTCTACCCGATATTCCCCAATACCTATGTTCCCCAATACCGATGTTCCCCGAAATCCTTAGAATTAGGGTTAGGGTTAGGGTTAGGGTAACGATTTTGGGGAACATCGGTATTGGGGAACATATGTTTTAGGGGACGTAGGTATGCACCCGAGTGAAACGTACTATTGTTCAGAACCTGAGCATTATTTTGCTAGACAAGACCCGTGAACGTGGCTATACAACGCCACGTTCACGGGTCTATTGCTAGACAAGCTTAAGAAAAAGCTGTTATAGTCAAAGCAAAAGGTTATGATTATGTTTTAAGCAATTGATGTTGCTTTTGCTTCTGCTTTTGCTTAAGACATTCATAGACCTTCACGCACCTTCAAAGGCATTCACACACCTTCTTGGTATGTGATTGCCTTTCATATAATCTAAAAAGTGGCCCAACTTGCAATTCTAAGTCGTTTTATTGTTTCTCTGGACTGGGTGTCAAAATGAGATGGGAACAAAGACCATTGTGTAGAGTATTTACTCTATTTGCAAAAAGACAGTGCTAGTATTTTTAATATTTATGGATTGACTGCAACGTTTTTATTGACACACGCTGTATGGGAGACTAATTTTATTATGCATTATGCACAGACCAGTATCCTCTTAATGTGATGGCCGGGCCGGGCCCGGTATGGTGGAAGTGCGTTAACTGCATGAACATACAATCTGTGTTCAAGGAACATACAATCCGTGTTCGACGAAGGTTGAATTTAAAAACAAGGGACCAATTTCATAGAGCTGCTTAAGCACAAAATTTGCTTAAGCACAAATACATCTTGCTTAATAAAATCAGGTTACCGGCCAAAACTCCATGCGATTGTAATGCTAAGCAAACAACCGCTAATTACCATTCACAGGCAATGTACATCGCATGGAGTTTTGGCCGGTAACCTAATTTTACTAAGCAATGTTTTTTCGTGCTTAAGCAAATTTTATGCTTAAGCAGCTCTATGAAATTGGGCTCTGGCTATTTCACCATTTAAAATCAACGAATACATTACACATTCATTCCTGCAATTGTTTGGAGTCCGTGCTTCACATAAGCATGATAAATACTTTAAAAAGTATTTCCTTAAATCATGGGTGTGGATATGACACATAAAATAGTTACTAAGATATTCAGTCAAAATTTTGTTTGAAGTTTTATTTACATATATTTGCATTCATTAATATTTGTGCGCAACTGCTCTTGTACATACATGTACATGTAAGTATATTTTCAAAAGAACAGAATGCACTATCCTGATGCCACGTTTTCAGAAACACGTAACCTCAGTGACTGTGTCAGTCGCTGCAAATATACTTTAAAAAAAAAACAATTAGAGGTTGCAGAAACATTTCCAAATTTGTTGACAAATTCCTTGTTAATGTTCACACACTTGAAGACCTTGAAATTAAAAAAAACCATTTGGGATGGTTTAGATTAAGTTCTTTCTCCTCATTGAAAAATGGTCAATTAGGACAGAAACTAGTCTCGGAATTTTGGGTTACAACGCAGCCAAGCCACTGCTGACGGTAGAGGGCGCTATATCAACAAAATGAATCAACTACATTCTTGGGCAATTCGATTTGCCTCTCAGATCAAAGATTATAAGCCTACATTTGTCTGCCCCCCCCCCCCCCTCCTCACCACTTGGTCAGAAAACTCAGTTCCCCCACCCTAGTCGGCCTATGGTTCCCCTATATACCCTTGGCAACATTCCCCTCGACTCAATTCCTCCAAACTGATATGCCTCACTGATCTTCATGCATCCTCCAGCTTCTGCTTGGACTCCATGCGGATGTGCCTAACTGATCACCCAGCATCACTTGCTCAATATAGACCTTTATCATGCTGCCACCATTTCAGTCATGTTCCCTGTATCCAATAACAGTAGTGATTGATTTTTTGTGTGCAAAAAGGAACCAGACTATTTATCCTTCCAGTCTCGCTTTGGTTTTGTTGATTTAATGGGGGAAAAAAATCAAGATGGCCGCAACATGATAATGGTCTATTGCATCCTTCGTGTACTTCATTGCTTCCTTCACTGTTTGAATCCCTTCAGTTTCCCCGACGACGGGCAGAGCATACTGTCAAAAACGTTGAGGTTCCCCCGGTTCTTTTCAGAACCCCACGAACTCACAAAAGAGATTTGTCACATGGTGCTACCGTAAATCTTTATCTTTTTACATTTGTTGGGGGTACAGAATCTACATCAAGTCTCGGACAAGGTATGACAGAAACATAATTCAAGCTCACTGCTCTAGAACTCTCAAAAACATTTTAATTTTGAAGAGAAAATAATTTGTTTACATCCAGAGAGTGCTGCACCGAAATCTGACCAATCTATTAGTAAATTACATTTTGTTGCCTCTGTACAATAAATTCAGACAAAAAGTCCTTATTTACAAAATTGTGTGTTTTACCAGTCAAAATAAGCAGAGGAAAAAGAGCAAAGCTGGGTAAATAGCGAGGGGGAAGAATATTCTTGAAGTTGTTTTTACATGACATAAATTTGTTCAAGCTTAAGAATTTGAGCTAAGAGTGGTTTACCTGAATTGCTAAAAAATCGACTGCATTACTCTGTACTGCTAAATGTCACTCGATTTTCTATTTTGCTAAGAATCATTTCCAATGTACCTTTGTTTGATTCCTGAGTAAAGCCACCCTTGGGTGACCTTAAGACGGCACAGAAGACTGACTTTGTTGCACCTGAGCAACGACCATCGCAAACATTACAGTCGCCGATTTTAGCGACTTTAGTGTAACTGCTACAATAACCAGACGATCGGGATCAGTCGGTGCCATAAAAATAATCAATGGTCACAAAACTTGAAAAATTTTCAATTCCTGCGCCGTGACGGAACATGTTCCCAACAGGCAGGAATCAATAACAGCTGACCAATGTACCCAATCAGAGGGCAGAAAAATCTGGGCTAGATACACAGTTTGTCTTGACACCTACCGTCAACGTGTGTGGGGCCATTTTGAACAAGTCGTGTGATGACGTCTATGCCGTGGAATCGTCAACGTGTCGTGGGCGACATGAGCACGGTTGCGATTATACTGTGTTGAGGTGCAACTTGTTCCACGATAATCACACGATTTCTCAGTTTTGTGACCCGAGCATAACTTTTGTGCTTGATGCCGACCGTTCTGTCGCGGCTCAAGCAAATCGCAGGTCAACCTGAGGCCGGCTTTACATGTCTTACTGCAATAAGGGTGATCAAACAGCATACTAGCAGTACATTACAACCTTTGTCGTAGTGCTTAAATGAAATGTGCAACAGAAATCAGATAGTATCGTCTTGAGACCAGGATTAAAGTCAGTAAAGTCTTCACACTGATTATGCTTCCAAAGTCTCCACATTGATTCTGCTTCCAAAAAGTGAAAACTTGATTCTTGACCCTAACTCCCTCTGCATTTTTGCCACAAGTTCCTGAATCCTGCAATATCCACTTTGCAGGGAAACTATTTGTGCTTAAACTTTCCAAGGGTATCTAGCTCCATGTCAAGTCAAAGAGGCTGGCGTCTACCTTTCTCAATCCTTCAAAATCTTCCAAAACCTCCAATTGGAATTATGAAGGATCTAGGATGATAAGGTTAGGGTAAAAAAAACCACCAATATGATCCGCTACCCATAAAGCAATGGATCCTTCCTGACTGTCAATCAAACAGTGCGCATTGACCAATCAGATCGTGACTTTTGGTCGGGTGACCATGGTAGCTCCATCAAACATCATAATCAAAGTGGGTGGGGCTAATGGCCGAATACAGGACTGTTCCATTTCAAAGAAGTTCTATGCCACTCTGTCTAGGAGATGCTTAGGGATGCCCAACTCAAGCAGTTCACATTCCGGTGTGGCGTGGAGGTCTGGGATCAAGGAGAGGATCCGTTCCCAGCATATTGTCAGGAGACTGGGTGTCTTCAGCCAGATTCTAGTCAGCGAGTCCGAACGCTCATCCCCCGAGGGACTTATGACACCTCCGTGGCAGTACAGGCACCCAGTCTAATAGAAAATTATTGACAAGAAAAGAAAAAAAACAATCAATTGTTAGTAGTAAAATCAAAAGAGTCAAGCAGTTATGGTATCTGACTGTGCAGCAGTATTTGAGTTTAAAGGTCAAGGGGTTCATGGTGCTTGTGTTCTTGGGCAAGACACTTTACTATAATCGCCTCTCTCCAGCAAGGATTGTAAATGGTACCTGTGACATCAGAGACCAGATTGCGCTGATCTCGAGCTTCAGAAAAGTAGTCTCAGGGCCTGATGAACAGGCAAAACGGTTGCGAAACGCTTTGAGAAATTTGTATGTACTGCTATAGAAGCACCACTTTATAAATATGTTTATCATGCCCTTCGGCCCAAACGTTTACCCAAACTCCCATTGCATGTCTAGCTGGAAATTTTCAACATCTTCTGAAATCTGCAGCTGAGCAGGGACTTACCGGTGTTATAGCTGATGAATGGAAGTACACAGGTTGCGGTAGTCTGGCCTCTAATCTTGTCCACTGTAACGTCGCCAACTCCAGCCGCCAGATATCATCAAAAATGTCCTTGCCGCTGTAGCCACCAGTTACATAACCCTCTGAACAAAAAAACAAAAACAGAACAGAAAACTAACTCACCCATGTGTTATAACACATGAATATACAGTCGACTCTCGTTATAACAAGGATGATGGGACTAGCCAAATTACCTCTTTATAATAGGAACGTTGTTATAAAAGGACAGTGAAACAAAGAAACACAAAGAGAACCTGAGATTTGGGACCTCAGAATTTGCTCTTTATAAAAGTGCTCTTTATAATGAGAGTCGACTTTATCCATGTTGAGAATGTTCTGTGTGTGGTTTCCTACGGTAAGCAGCAGGGGGTAGTTCCTTGCTGACAGAAGGCGCCCGTTGTAAGGAAAGGTGGATCGCTGAGCCACGATCTGGGCCCCAAGCAAATTTCATTTAGCCCAGAAATTTGCTTAGCACAGAAATCATTAGCTTAGCAAAAAAAAAAGGTTACCAGCCAAAGCTCCATTCAATGTGAATTGCGCCTGTGAATGGTACCCTGCCGATTTCAGCTTAGCGCACAAACGTTCTAAGCAGATTTCCTGCTTCTGCTTATACTTAACCGGTCCATGAAATTGTTTGTAGTTGTTTGCTTACCATTACCCAGCTGTGCGCATCCATGACACCGTCTGTTTTCCGGGTAGCCGTGTTGAGGATCTTCCAGACTAACCATCAATTCCCATTCCTTCGTCTCCAAATTGAAGGCGTGGATCTTGGATTGAGAGAACACAGGATAAAGGCATTCAAGTTTTTGCAAAACTTGAAGGGTTGTGAAGTGTAGAAGACTAGGAGGGTTAAGGAAGCACATCCCGGGATCACTCCAGTTTTCAGTCACTCACCTTGTCTAGAGGGTACGCCTCAGTCGACGTACCGCCGCCAATAACATACAGCCTCTTCCTGTCCGTCAGTATCTCATGTCTGTATCTGGGTTTAGGGATGTGGGGCATGGGCTCCGTTTGGTTCCTCCGGACCTTCGCGGTGAAGAGCTCCTCGAGACTAAAGAGGCGGTCCCACTCCCCGCTGGTCAGGTCACAGCGGTGGACGTCCGAGGTGTACTCCCAGCCCGTTGTGCCGCCGTAGACGTATAGATGCTTGTCTATGATGACTATGGCCTACAGATCGACAACAGGGTCAAAGGTCAGTATTTAAGGTGAAAGGTTAGCTAGGTTCACAGCTTTTTCCCTTTTAGTGCTAAATGCTAGGCCCAATTTCATGGCTTTGCTAACCACTTTTGTTATATCGTGTGCTTGGATACTGTCATTTCATTGTTCTAGAACAGCTATCCAAAACTGCCCGTCATTTTTGGTGCACTTTCAATCCGATGATGGATGTACAGTACGAACATGTCTTGGGTGCATTCTGTGTAATATTATATGCGCGATCGATCGACAGTAGCTGCGCAAAAGATAGATGGATCGCTCACCAACACATCCACTTTTTGTTGCGATTGATCGATCGCGCAACAAAAAAGACATTTTTTGTTGTGCGATCAGACTATCGCACTTGCGCAAGCAAATCGACAGAGGGCGCCCATTATACACTGGTGTCCGTGGTGCCGAGCACAAATGCGTAAACGGGTACGGGCACCAGCCCAGGAAAATTTGAGACATCGTGAACATGTGCATGCAGCAGTGTAAACGTCCGTCATGTGCTTGTGTTTACGCTGTTGTATGGAGCCGGAGCTACAATGTATAAATGCTGCACAGAGCATGTGGCTGACTGGCGGCGGAATCTTCGCGTAGATTAAGAGGTATTTGAGGTATTTTTGTGTTTTCTTTCTAAACAAAACTACAACTTACTCGCTTCGTTTTTTATATACTTTTTCTAAACAAAACCCACCCGGCATTTTTAATGTCCATTTGCCAAAATTGTACCCGTCATGTTTTATTGTCCATTTCGCAAAGTGCCCGTCAAAAATCACAAACTGCCCGTCCAAAAGAGGGGTGTACGGGTCGCTTGATGAGACGCTGTATGTGTCCAGTCTGCAAAAATGCATGTACAATGGTTGACCTCATATACAAAGTGCGTTGCATTCATGCATGTAGAACCCCCCCCCCCTCCAACCAACCACATCCACGACACTCCTGGTCCTCCATGTTTGTCAATATACGTTAGTCCGACGTCTTTAGTCGACGCACCTCCCCACTCCAAATCCTCCATCCAGGCAAGAAGATAAGAATTGAAACATAAATTCATAACAGGAGCTGGAGACCATCTTTACCTGTCCATAGCCGGGCACCGGTTGCGTGGTGTTCCCGTCGCTGGCCTTGAGCGCCTTCCATTTTTTGTTCTTGAGGTTCAGGTACCAGATGTCATTGCTGGTAGTCGGCCCAAACGGGAAACCCGTGCCGCCGTATATGAGTATGTGGTCGCTGAAGAGCAGCATGGACATGGACGCCAGTTGCATGGGCATACGTCCTCGCGTCGGCATCCGCTTCCACATACTGGTGTCAAAGTTGTACCGCCAGATCTGAGACGAGTCACAGTTGGTACACATAACTACTAAAGGTTACAATTAAATGAGTTATTCCCCCCCCCCCACCTCCAATAGTCAAAATACCATACCAATACTTAGAACTTGACCCCCAACTGGTTTTCTCTAGGCACCCTGCCAAATGCAACAAACTGCAACTTGGCTGAAATAAGAACCCTGCTAAATGCAACAAAACAGTGGATTATCTTGCATTGTGCCGTGAACCCAGAGTATACCAGCCTTGGCACCAAGCAGTTATCCTGCTAAATGCAACCAATTAGTGCAACAGTGGATTCTGTTGTATTGCCTTTGGAACTATGAACAGTTACCCTGCTAAATGGAACAAGATGCAACAAAGCACGGGGACTTGAGTTGCCTGCTAAATGCAACAGTATGCAACAATTTTTTACCTTTCTTGCTTTCTGTTGCATTTAGCAGGGTTCGGGTTTAAAGTCTTAATTTTTTTGGTACCCCAGTTTCATTTCACAAGGAAAATCAATCATATGACAATTATTGAGTTGCGTTTTTACCTCCTGAAATAACGGGAAAAGCAGCAGTTCCTCGTTGCGACCAAAGTAATCCTGTAGTGTTTCTAGATCAGGGTTGTAGCCCCCAAAGATGTAGAGGTTGTTGCCATCAGCGACGGCTGCATGGCCGCTGCGAGCGCATGGTCTATTTGGCTTCCTGGGATCTGACGGGGGAAAAGGGGAGTTTAAATCAAATCAGTTACAAACACTCACCAAAATACCAATTAGCACTCGTTCATGAAGCACAGGATTCACCCAAAATGACAACACAAATAAGTTGAAGATAAAAAAGGAAGTGTTTACAGTGCCAGTGCAGAGTGGCCAGCCATCTTTTTGTCGCGCAAATGCCAGTGTGGTTCTGGCCATGCAGCGCCAAGTAACTGACCAAACATTCTGACTTGCCACCAGTCGTGCACGGCTCCAATATATCCTATATGGATGTATCCAAGCTTAAAGGGAATATACAACATTTGCATTGGAAAACAAAACTACCAAATTTTTACGAAATACCTTAATAGGATGTTGGTAAATGAAAGTCTAAAGCATCCTGTACAATTATGGCACCTGGTGTGAAGTCATTTTCAAGAAAAGTGGTATTTTGTATAAATTTCCTACGGTGGTCGGCCGACCACCGTTGGAAAAACCTAACTATTTTTCAACTACTGCTCCAAATTTACCTTTTTTCAGTCCAAATTTTGTTTGCTATTGGTTACATGTTCATGAACGGGTGCAGGCCAGCTAGACTGGTTTCCTTACCTTACAATTTTCGGGCATCAATAAATTGATTCATTTCATCTTTAGAGTCAGGGAACCAGACTACTTGAACATATTTGTTTTTCTTGGTTTTTCCGGCGTTTTCGAACACAAAACTTCAAACTTGTCAGTGTAACAGTATTTGATCTATTATACTAACCCCTCAAATAGTTCATTTCTGAAAATTACAGCAAAAGCCAATGATGTACATTCCCTTTAACTCGATCACAATGGAACGACTGTTTGATGATGCAGACAACAATTCATATGTCTTCCAAATGATGTAATACAGTACATCAACATCAAACAGCCGCTGGTAACCGCACACTACTGGCACTGCTGGCAAGTCAGAATGTTTGGTCCATTACGTGGTGCTGTACAATCTTTGCGGACGGCTGAAACCACTGCTGACACATAAAGGGGCACTGCGTCCCAGAAAGGGCCAAATTGGGCTACAAAATGCAAAATGATATCAATTGGAAAGACCATTTCAAAGTAGGATATAAATCGAATTAGGTTTTGTTGTGTGAAGGGCAAAACCTAATTTGATTTACATCACCCAGATGCAAAATTCCATCTTATGAAAAGTAGGATATAAACGTCCACACAACCATCTTGGCCGTTTTTGTGTTATTCTTGTGAGAATGAATTTCAGGGGGTCAAAATTTTAACTCTCAAAAATTGAGCTGTTTGGGTGCTAGTCGTGATTCCTTTCGCACTTGTTCCACCAGTGCACTGCATGCTAAGGACGTGCAAGAAATAACATGTGTGTACATTGAATCGTCTGATATCATGGACACAGACACTGGGGGCAAACTCCTCGTCCACGAAGAATTTCCGACACCGTGAATGTTGCAAAAGGGCTAAACTTGACACAAACCATCGCTGACCGCATGCATTGCAGTAACATTATTTCGTGGATCAGTTCGACCATTTTCTAAAGGGGGGGGGGTATGTTTTCAGCGCGAACCTAATGTCAATATACGGGTCCCAAATTTTGAGGCTAGTGGTTTCCCAATAGGGCTGTCCATTTTCGAACAAGTGGCACTTAACAAAGTGACAATAAAGCACCCGAACATTACAATAACATTTCATCATGTATAATTTTTATTTTGAATATTCAAACTGGCAAAAACCTATTAGAATGTTTGGTTGATGATCGAATATTGGGTTTACTGGCGATTTTGTACTAATTTAGTTACGGGCCCAGTTCCCAATATGAGAGAACAAAATCCGTTTTGAATTTATTTGACTTACCAAACTAGTTGGCGACATCAAGAACATGCAGGTACGTCATAGATATACGAAAATCACAAATTGTAATTTCTACCCCAAGAAACTGGTCAAATTTACAAAAAAAGATGTCATTAGGCCCAAAAAAAAAGTCTCCGGTTTCTGGTATGCGCGCGCGTCGCCGTAGCCATGCGCGTCGGCAAAATGAAAACGTTTTTTTTTCAATACAAGATGATATTTCAAAACCGCCAAACTCACTGGTTTGACTGGAATTCTGCTGCTGCACAATTTTAACGTATTTTTAGATGGGGTTATGATCAAGAATAAGATTTATGTGGCCTCTCTGGACTCCCATATATTTGCACTAAGTTTAGTCGGGCACCAATTGCAGTCATCAGCCAACATTTGAAAGCAAAAAAAAACAAACAAACAGGTAAAAAAAAAAAAAAACCCGCGTCGCCGCACCACTTTTGGGGCAAGCTCCATACCAGAAACCGGAGACTTTTTTTTTTTGGCCTTAGAATTGAGAGAAGTCTGCTTTAGGTTGAAAAGGCCATTATGAATGATAAAAAACACCCTTGACTTGATCGAAAATTTGATCGAAATCAAAGAGGGGCCCGGGAAAGAATGTTGCAACCTGACGCCAATTTTTTCTTCATGTATCATTTCAATTAAGGTCAGTCATTGCAAAAATGTTTAAAAGACTGGGTAGTCCGAGTAACTAGGACTCTACGAATCGCCTTTTTTTACATTTTGATCACCCGACCATGTCCAAATGTTAAAAAGGCGATTCGTAGAGTCCTAGCCTGCCTAGGCATGCTAGGGTTACTCGGACTAGAATCTGGGACTGAGAAACATTTCCAATTTTGTTAGGAAATACAACTGAAGTGGTGTCAGGATGCAATATGGAAAGATTTCCATATAAGAAGTTCACTCAACACCCTGTGTACAAACCCTATGACTTATGAGATTGGACTGAAAAATTCTAAGTGTTTTCTAAGAAAATGCTTGTATTTTCTCACTGCTCAAATTGACTTTGAGGACATGAAATTGCTATATGGGGGCTTGTTAGTCAATACAGAGGAAAATTAGTGAACTTCGTATATGGAAATCTTTCCTGCAATATTCTTTCCGGAGCCCGTAGGCCATACTACACGATCGTCGGTAGGCCTACATTTATTCGGGACATCCCCATTTCATTCCCGATCCCAAGCAAGTGTTTGTCATGAGTTGTCGGGTTGTGCAACGTCACAAACGTATAACGTCAGACACTGACCACATAGGGCCTAGCTAAAATCCATTTAAAAAGCACTTATCATACCAGTTTTCGGATTTTTCCGTGGTGTGATTGTAACACATGTTCCCGACTTTACTCCCTCGCGTTCTGGAATCGGATCTTGGTCAGGTTTTCTCTGGAACATCGTTGTAAGATTGGTACTTTCCGCAGCCATTTCGCCCTGTAATCTGGTGTCAATATCAGGTTTTCCAATGTTCCCTTAGTTTGTGAATAGCGCCCTCTGTTGGTACATTTAATTAAGTTGTTTAGTTATTAAACTTAATAAAATGTATTATATCTTTGATACCAAAAAAGCACCTTTTAACAACAAAGAAAGTTATAAACAAAACAAGCAAAAAAAAATAGAAAACGAATGAGAAAGAAATGAGGGAAGACCATCGCAGTTCAACTCACACAAGCTGTCGTGAATATTTTATTTGGTGGGGAGCCCCAGTAAAATGCCAACGCTCAGCAACAAGAGAATAATACCGTTAATTAAGCCTAAAAATACTTTTTCATCAAAGAGAGACTTACTTTTTCTTGGTCTATGCAAGGTCTATCATATTTACTGAGTAACATAACAACTCACAAGGTAAATTTTGTTCAAGAAAACAAAGCCGTGAGGAAGGTTACAATATACAAAAATGCACTTGTTTGGACTCATATTCACTGCTGCCTTAGTTATGAATTAATGAATCAAGATGTTTAATATTCAAAACAATATGCCGGAACCTCATTAGAATTTCTTTCATAATGAAATCTAAATGAATGAAAAATAGCTAAGTTCAAGTGCAGTACATTTGTACAAATGTGGTTCTGTCAAAACTAAAAGTACTTCTTTACAAAAGAAGATAATTTTTTTTTTCACTTCGTGTCAATTAAATACATTGCGAGCCATATTGCAACAATCCGATAAAATCATTTCCTCTAAGTTCAACCCAACAGGCAATTTTCAAATTTACAGAATTGGCAAAACAAAAATCTATTAATCTCTTAATCTAAAAGAAAATTAGGCGGGCCTGATACTGCAGCAAAAACTTTCAGTCGTAAAGAAAACTTAATTGCTAGGGATTTGTTGGGTCAAATACAAGATATATTTCAAACCATTTCAATTATTACAAGTTAGACTGCAGTACCTTTGTACAAATATGGCCCTATCAAAACTAAAAGCACTTCTTTAAAATTGAAGATAATAAATTTTTTTTGCACTTTGTGTCAATTAAATTAATTGCACGCCATATTGCAACAAACCGATAAAACCATTTCCTCTAAGTTTGACCCAACAGGCAATCTTCAAATTTACAAGATTTGGTAAGACAAAAATCTATTAATCTATTAATCTAAAAGAAAATTAGGTGGGCCTGACTTTACACTACAGCAAAAACTGTAAATTATTTTCATTTTAGGCCTACGTACCTTTTATAATTTTTTTTTTAACAAAATTAATGTTTAGCTTTTCTACAGGGCCATGATCATTAAGAATTTTATAAACGGCAAAGATACTTGGAATGTTACATAATATTATTTTTTAATTTCACTTTGTTTTTTTAATTTCAATTAGTGCATTATTGTACAAGACAGTTTTTGTTATCAGTGTCCAATCTGAAAGTTTATTATTAAATAAGACACAGAGTATATTTTTATATATATTGTTTTGATTGATTAAAACAAAAACACAAAAAAGATTGCTGCATTTAACTGCCGTCACAACCCCCCCCCCCCCCATAAAAAAAAGGCACGCTAAATACCCAACAAAACAGAAACATGGCTATTTCAGTAGGAGCAAACTTTGAGATTGGCCGTGTCGGCCGTAGCAGCAATTTGGTACACCAATTTCAGGGACTTTGAATTCATGTGGCAAGTATCAATTTCCGCTCTGAGTATTTTTTGTTGTTGTACAATTTGGTTAAGTTCAAGAATTCTAAATGAAGAAATGTTGTGTAAATTTAATTAACACCCTCCTGTGTCGTCACACTATTGTTTTTTCTCACCATTATTTTGCACGAATGGAGCACAGCGTGCCATTCAGCTTCTGGCAAACAATGTATTGCACGCATAATTTTATTCCAGTAGGTGGGTGAAGTACAATTCAGTAATTTAACAGAATCACAGCAAGACACTTAGGTTTTCGTTCTCCTTTTTTTCCCTTCAATTAAAAAAAATGGTCGTCGGAAAAATGGACAGAGCAGGATTCGAACCGGGGACCTTTCAATCAATTAGACCTCATCTCGTTAGCCACTAGGCTACTGTGGCAGCTCAACAACTGCTGTTCTTTGAAATGCTCTAAATGTAACTAATTCAGTAAATAATAACCAAGATGTGACGTCATTGTTCTTTTCTCATAAATATAAGCAAAAATGACTTTCCCATTTTATCAAATACAACAATGAAGATGTCAGGCCTTCGTTCAAGCAATAATGAGGAATTCTTGGAGGGTGTTAAGTAGGTTAATACACTCGGCAGCGCACCGTTCGTGGGTGATGAATGGGCCATTCTCACCCACGAACGGCACTCTCCTGGTACATTATCCTTAACGTACAGCCCATTATCAGCCAATATTGCTTAAAGCTATAGTCCATCATTTGCAGCCATCCGAAAAAGTAACTGGCATATTATTGTTGAAAAACATACTTGGTTGAAAGATAGTAAGTGGACTAAACTCCCTGTGAAATTAATCTTTCTGGCAAGCTATCACGTTGATGTAATCAACGAAAGAAGGCCTTTCCAACGGTGCGTCTTAAGACGCACCGTAGGAAAATTTAAATTAGTAGTTCGTTTTGTTATTCGGCGCAGCGCGCGCAAGCATTGGCATGACGCACACGCGCGCGCGGTTGCTATAATTCGTCGGATCAGTGCGCGACGTCGCGTACAGCTGCAATTCAAAACAATTCAAAACATGATTCAGCAACTTTTGATTTGAAATTGAAATCCTAAGAATGCTGTTTTTCTCGGAATATACAGCTGAAGCCGAGCTGAAACTTCATCAGGTTAGTTTTTCAGTATCCTTCATTAGATTTTGAGAACTTTTGTTGCTTCAAACGAACGAAATGCACAAATTACAAATGATGGACTATATCTTTAATCAGACAAGCATTTATATCTACTGTTGTGAAAATTTTTCTGCAATATTCAATAGCACACCATTCACCAAGGGTGGGAGCAATATTTGGTTAGGCCTCAAGTTGAAAGAAATTTTCAGAATTTGTGCTGCGGGATCATTCCATGAGTATCACTTTGTCCATCACATGTGAGGGCACCCCCAGGTCACGAAGCCTCGCGATAGTTTCAGCGTTTCTGTCCGGTAGGAGAGTCAGGACCTTTTTCAGGGCCAGGTCCAGGAGAGGCGGAATAGCGAGCCACAGTCTGAAGATGGCGTTGGTCCGAGGGCGGTCCTCCAGATCAGTGATTCCTCCAAATGTGTACAGGCACTTACTCTATGGGGAAAGAAAAAAAAAGATCGATTACAGTTTAAAATAAAACAAGTCATGTGAAAATAGCCTCTGGTCCCAGAGTGCAACATTCTATTCAATTGATTCAGAATGGCTATTCACTGGGAGTCTAATTCTCATGGGCCAGATTTATCCCAATACAAGGTACAAGTCTAAGTTAAACGGACGGGGAGTCGGGGAGTCAGTCAGTCGAGGAGTCAGTCATTTGGGGAGTTAGTCAGTCAGTCAGAAAGATAGGTACAAAAAAGTAATTAATGGAACAGAGGAAAACGAAAAGAGTTTTGCATGGTGGCCTTGAAGGGATACAACTGGTCGTGAAATTTTTTTTCCGACGTCGTGAATTTATTCACGACTATATATACAGCTCTGTCAATTTTTGTAAAAGAAAAAAATTAAAAGAACTTACGGGTGTTATAGCCGCAGTGTGGAAGAACGTATTGACTGGCATGTCTGTAGGCAAGCGAGTCCATTGCAAGCTGGGTAGCTCAAGCTTCCAAACGTCTCGCAATACTACTCTGTTGTTGTGGCCACCGCACATGTAGACCTCTGTAATTTGTCCCAAAGATAAAAGATTGGTTAAGCAATGGGAGAGTTTTGAGACGTTGGTGGCAGCAAACAACTGTCCTTTTCAATTGTTGCGTCATGTTTAAGCTAAAGCCCGCATGCTCAATATGACGCAAACAACGGAAAAAGGACCAGTGTGTTAATGCTGCCACCAACATCTCAAAAGTCTCCCACTCCCTGCTATCTAAATAAGGCTTATGAGATTCGAAGGACAACTAAATATATTGAAGGTGGGCCTGCATTAGCCAATGTAACCTTGCATGGCAGCTGTTTATCATGTGTCTTTCTATTTTTCAAAGTTCAATGATAAAGTACGAAGTAAAGTCTGCTGGCCTGTCGAAGTAGCTCAGGCCAGCATTTATTTCCGGTTTCCTAGGCACGAAATGAATGAGGACATTTCTACCCCCCCCCCCCCCCCCGGATGAGATATGCCATCGCAGCTTCTCCCCAGCTTAATGCCTGAATAGATTATACTCCTGGGTGGAGATCTCGAGAGGCAATTGGGGCCCGGGTACGTGGCTTGCCCAAGGACACACACATGGCCAGCAGCTGGATTCAAACAGGCTTGACGAGATATTTTACCCCCGACGAAGACTGGTTTTCTTTATCAATATAATTGACACTCACCGTTTTTCCACTGTGCACAGCCGTGGTATTTCCTCTGCCTTGGGTAGCCATGTTTGGGACAACGCACTGCGTCCTCTATTGTCCACTCTTTGGTGTCCAAATCAAACACATGGAGCTATGACAACAAAAGAGTTAACGTCCAAGTCAACAATTAATTGTCAAGTCATCAAAGTTGACTTTTTTCCCCCCAAATATTTCTTCACAAGGAATCACACAACAGCTTATAGCACATATCTTGATATTTTGAAGAATAACAAAATATCAACAACTGACAGAATAATTGAGTATTACCGAAAATGAATGGAATTGTCGTCCCTAGTCAGATTCCTAGAAGGAAAGTGAATGTTAACCCATTGGTCACTGCAGCACCCAAAACTGTCGCCAGCGCACTCAACTTACGTTGATTTACTTGACCCTGGGCGAACCCTGGAGTGCCGCCCCGGGTTTCGTTCTTGATTATCTAACCTCCCATTCAACCCCACATCGTTTTCACACTTGTAGCAAACCGAGCTTATTTCATTTATTATTATGCTGTTTTGAACTCTATACTGTTTTGAACCCTGGTCCCTTTTTGCGAGAGTTTCAACCTGGATTGAAAATCTCAACCCTGGTCTGGATCAGGGTTGAGCTCAACCTTGGGCAAAATCTAGGGTTCACACAGGGTTAAAAAGTGTGAAACCGGCGCAGCATGTTTTTAACCCTGTGTCAATCAACCCCACGTCAACCCCGCGTCAACCCTGAGATTTGCCTGGTGTGAAAAGGAAACACAATTAACACAGGTACTAATAGGTTAACCCTCACCCCTGCACCAACCCCTAAAAAAATATTTATTTGACATTGGGATTTACCCTTCACTGGCATAATTTTTATAGTACGGTATACTCAGTGCTAGCAATCCAAGAACTTGGGAGGCAAAAGTCACGAGCTTTTTGATTGGATGAACCGCGACTTGACCTAACACCTCTTGCTTACTATTGAGCAGATATCTTAAACCAACTAGCTTGCTAGGGTTAATGCAATGGTCTAAAAAAAATTCAATCAAGTGGGTATACTGCTTGATTGTGGAACCTGCTGCTATTCAAACCAGCCACCAAACTCCAGCAAGCTTGGTGGTCAAGTAGTGAGACATCAGCACCAGTAAGCAGGAGCTAGGTCATATGGGTTCGAGTCCCACCTGAGTAATTTTTAAAATTCTTTTCTCCCAAGCTCTCAGAAGAGCACTGGATAATTATAGCAGGCCTCTAACATTACATTTGTGAGGGGCAAAACTCAATGTTAAAAGCTACCCCTCCCAAACAGAAAATGTTCACTGTTACTATCCAGTCCTCACCTTTTCTTGGTGAGTTAAAGAGTACAAGTCTCCATAGCTGCTACCGACAACGTAGAGTTTATTCTCATACACCGCCAAGCCGTGCTTGTACATTATCCGGGATCTGTTTTGAGGATCGGCGTACAGGAATGACCAGGTCTGCTCCTTGATGTCCAGACAGTGCAGCTCAGAGTTGAACAAGAAACGTTCAACGTCGGGAAGCCATCGGCAGCCACCGAAGCAATAGAGACGGCCCTGGCTGACAACCATGGCCTGAATTGAAAAAGAAAGAAGGAAAACTGCAGTTTGAAGGTGGGATGAGAAACAGCAATCCACTTTTCAAAATCCAACAAGAAACGGCACGTCTGGTGAAGCTGGTCTCAGGGCACACAGTGGGCTGGACTTAGCCCATTCATTGGCATTACGGGGTTATCCTTCACGATAGCACTGCCCGGCTCACAAGTGACAATCAGTCGGGGAGTCAGTCAGTCAGTCAGTCAGTCAGATAGGACACTAAGCTACTCTAAGCCCAGCAAAAAAGTGGCCGTGCACTGCAGTTAGATCAACAGCAACCTTTCCTGATCCCAAGCTTTTTAAACTGAAAAGAATTTACAAGGGAAATACAGGGCGAGTCAAAAAAATTAAACCCAACTGGCATACCCCTTATTTTGTAAAGAAGTTCTGCATGTAGCCCCTTCAAGATCTATGATGTGAAAGCCCAATTAATAAGCTTTTTTTTTTAAGAACAAGAATCATTCAAATCACTCTTGTACTTTTGAGTTATGGAATTTTGAACACTAACACAGTTTAAAAATTTTGTGATCCACGGATCACATTTAATATAAAGCATGTGATACTTCAGTAAAATGAAACCATATGTCGTATTATGAAAACGACAGCCGAATAATCCCATGCGTCTCCGGGTAGCCTAGCAGAAGTCAGGGCAAGATAAACTCTTGACATTATGCACGTTGATTTAACATTGGAAGTAGAAGGTATATAAATAAAGGTTATGGTTAGTGCCACCGTGACTTACCATGGTTATGAGAGTGTTCTGACATGTTTTTTTGATGTGTGAATTTTTTTTTCTGTTTAGCCAATATCACTTTCCTTTATTGCGATCCGTGGACAAAACTATAAAACTGTGTTTGTGTTTGAAAGTCCATAACTTGAAAAGGACGTTAGCGATACGAACAATTCTTTTACTAAAACAAAGCTTATTAATTGGCTTTTACATCCTAGATCTTCAACGCGCTACATGCAGATCTTCTTTTTAAAAAAAAATGGGGGGCCATTTGGGTTTCTTTTTTTTTTTTACTCGCCCTGTAAAGAAGTGTTTCAAACTCCATGTAGGGCCTATTATCTACAACCCCACATTAGAATTTCAACACCGTGAATTTGGAGTGAATATATAATTTGACATGAATTCACCGTGAAGTTTTTTTCACGGCGATGTCATTGTAAAGTATCTGGTGAAATCGCCCAGAAAATCATCACGTAACCAGGACATGTTAAGGTCAAGTAAAAACACTGTGAAAATGCAGTGAGGCCTCCTGTGGAGCCCAGCTCATTAACTTTGTGGTTGCGTTAATCCGTTGAGCAGTTTATCAACTTTGGGGCCTAATCCTCCTCATAAAAAGGCACATTGCCTGTCAATCTTAGTTAGGTGATCACAATAAACAGGGTGTTGGATACTTGTAGGAGGACACTTTGTAGCTTTTGTGTACTTGGGCAGTTGGCATTGGGTAGTAAGTGTAGCTGTCAATCACACTAATCCTGTAATCACTCAGACCATTAATATGTCGTTTTCACACCTTCAGAGGAGGGAAGCTGGACCTGCTGTACAGTTATAAATAACAATAGACCCTTGGACCTCCAGAAGACCCATGTAAAAACACCGTGAAACTGCAGTGAGCTTATCCCCTGCTGAGGGGCCCAGTTTGGCATCGTGAAAATGAGCTTACTTGGCAGTGTAAAAAAGTTTCACGGCGACTTCATTGTAAACTATATTTTCACGGTGTTGAAATTCATCAAGTCACCACAAGGCCACCAGAAGTCGATCACAACTAATCCAGTGAAAATAGCTATTCAAATAAACATTTTTAAAAATGCATTACCTTGTCATATTGTCCATATAGACTTTTAAGTGTAAAAGACTGATAATCAACTTGTGATAGACTTGTGATTGACTCAAAACTTTTTAATTAGGCAAATTGTGGTTACACCTAATTTGCAGACAAATTACACATGTTCTTGCTGGCTTATCATTATGAATATGCAGCCAAACCTGTGATGAGAAATGGTGAAGACCCTTGGATCAGGGAGCAAAATTATCATTCGAAACACAAACAAGAGAAGGAAATTACTGACATGACTATCAAACCGACCTGTCCATATTTTGGTACGGGGCAATCACCGGTGCACTGTAACGGTTTCCATCTCCTCTCACTCAATATGAAGGCAATCAGGTCACCGTTGATGTTCCTACCCCATGGGTGACCGGTACCTCCATACAACAACAGCATGTGGCCACAGGTATCCAATATCACTGTACGAAAAAGCACTGAATTTTACATGAGTTGTTAGAATATGCATGGAGAGAGTACATCAGAAAAGTTATAGTTTTTGGATGCACCATGCGAAGAAACCACGTTGGCAAAACTGTGCCTCTATTGACAAATACACCATGAGGATCGATCTATATCAGTGTCCTGTCCAGTGCATTGTCAGTTTTTAACAGCACCCCCTCAGTTGATTTGGCATTTGTTCGAGTGACCAGGAAATATTTCCTGGCTACTTTCCAGCACGGAGTGGTCTAGCTGCCAGACCGTTTGTTGTCCGATCCCCAGCGCCCCCCCCCCTTCCCCTCCCCATTCGAACTGGTCTGGCAATGTCCCTGAAGAAGCAAAGCTGATAATCTTGCAATTATTTTCAGGGAACATTTGTTTATTTGTCAGGGAAGATGTATTAATTTAATAGCTTTTTTCAAATTTACACTATGAAAGTTTGTTTCTGCCGGATCGTTTGTTGTCCGCTCCCCAGCCCCCCCCCCCCCCCCCCCCCATTGGAACTGGTCTGGCAATGTCCCTAACGAAGCAAAGCTGATAATCTTATAATTATTTTCAGGAAACATTTGTTTATTTGTCAGGGAAGATGTATTAATTTAATAGCTTTTTCAAATTTACACTACGAAAGTTTGTTTGACTAAAAATTCAAGCCATGCGCCTGGGAGTGCACCAATTTTTCAAGGGGGGGGGGTGCTGAAGGCAACTTGTATATATTGTTTCTGTGCAATTCAAGACTTGAAATGGGTGGACACCACGTGCCTGGAACGTGCCCCCTCCCATGCAGTAGCTATGCCACTGACCACGACTCACTTGACATCGACGCGGATGCAGTCGGCTTTTCTCCGACCGTGCTCACTTCACGCCAGGTCTCTGTGCTCAGGTTAAAGCACCACATCTGTAATCATCAAATGATAAACATAATAAACAGGCAGACATACTACTATGTTAATTGCATATTGGTCATTTCAGGCAATATATTACAGGCTAGAGTACTGCATTTTTTAACATCTAGCGTATCACGGAACACTGTTAGACTTGATTTTTCCTGGCAGTGAAGGTTAATTAACGTAATATTGCACTGCATGGAACTTTGTGTAACACAAAATCGTCATTCAGGGTACAAAATCCTGCAGCAGCCATATATCCGTAACTATATCTGAGAATGCAATGCAACCTATATACCTGCACACTTCCGATGTATACACACAGAAAAGGCCCTTGTACACTATAAAAAAGACAACGCACACAAGAGTCTCTGTTTTTAACTTTGTCGTTGACACTTTGATATTTTTCCATTTTAACTGTAAAAAAAAAAAATTGTCCTACCTCAGTAAAAATTTGGTTTTCAATGATGACATCTTCATCACCTGGCCCAGTTCCACTCTTGTGATATTCAGGATGGTATCCTCCATACACATACAAATTGTTACCGTCTGTTGCACAGCAATGTCCACTCCTTGGATACGGCTCGATGCCTTTAATTACAATAGGATATAATATAATTTGTCCTAAAACAAGGACTGACAAGATACCTTCACCTGTTATTTAACCAATTGCCTGCAGACTGGTTGCACCTACTAAACATAAAAAGTATGATCCATAAATACCAATTACTAAAAATCCTAATTTTAATTTCATTACATTATTGTTAAAATTCAAACAAAAATCTCCGAACACCATCACTGTGTAACTGGGGGAGGGGGAGGCGGATAAATTAAGGGGAAAAGGGAATCTGCACCCCTCCCCTGACCACTACCCACCCCCACCCCATGTGAACAATGAACACCCATCCATCCTCTTACTGTCTTAGCCTCTCATCAAAAGAAAAAAAACGAGCCAACTTTTAATAACCATCTATGATCTAGGCCGACTGACAAATGATCTGCCTGAGCAAATTAAGGACCTAGGCCTACCTTCAAAGTTAAACATGTTCAAGTTCAACCATGCTGGTTAAACGACCTACTAACTATACCTTTACTATTTCAAGCCCTTTTATCGATAAATGGTTGCAATTTTTAGTGGAAGGAATCAAGTTAAACAGCCAGATTTCGATGCAATCACCTTGAGGCTGGATATCAATGAACTTGCCAACATCCATTTCTGCACTGACTCTGCAGCAGTGTCTGTACAGATATTGTGCACGGGGCGCGTCCGCCACACGCTCTCAGGCTGGTTCAGCTCAGGCTGGTTCAGCTCAGCTAGCTCACGTTTTCCAACTCAACTGCACTCAAGTTTAGCGACGAAGGACAACACATCCACAAAAAAAGCTACATGCAAGGGAAAAAGAGTGGATTTACAGAAGAGAATCTCGAAAAATTGATACTGCGTCACAATTTCTGGATTCGGGATTGTGTACCTCGTCCCCTGCCCGCCCCCGGGCCCCAAGATAAGAGCGCTAAATTCCAGGAAATCCAGATAAGAGCTTGATTCTTATTGGCCAGTCGAAAAAGAGGTGATTCCCGCTGTTTACTTTACTTCCAATATTAACCAATCACTCAAGAGTACGCACTTGTAGCAGTGGGCGGGGTCTAAGTCATACTTTGGCCAAAGCTCCTTTATTATTAAACTTTCAAAACAAACAAAAACCACAAAAAAAAGCAATGGCGGCTCCACACAAGAAATAGAAATTATATTGTGGTTGGTGTGATGAAAAATCTAAGTTCCTACAAAAATATACTCAGTGCTCTACTGTGCAATGTATCAGCTAACAAATAAAATGAGCACCAAAAAGTGACACCGGCCGTTATGAAGCAAGTAACATAATAACTCACTAGGTTTTTTTTTTTCAAGCAAACAAAGCCACGAGGAAAATTACAATACAAAAATGCATCGGTTTGAACTCAGATTCACTGCCTATAAATGATGAATTAATGAATCAAGATGTTTAATATTCAAAATATAAACCTCATACTACATCACATTATATTTGATTCTAACTTAATTTAAGTACAGTAGCTTTGTACAAATATGACCCTAAACTAAAAGCACTTCATTGTAAAAAACAAAAAAACAAAATTAAAAATTAAAAAAACTTACACTCCGTGTCAATGAAATAAATTGTGAGCCATGCAACAATCTGATAAAATTATTTCACCTGGAACTGTTGAAAGCTTAATCCAATAGGCAATTTCGAACTTTGCAGATTTGGTTAGAAAAAAATGTAAGTATTAATAAAATACTAAATCAGTATTGGTGGGCCAGACTTAAAACTGCAGCATAAAATTCGAGTTGTAAAGAAAAACTCCCTAGAGTTTTGTCAGGCATCCGAGTAATTACTAGATATATTTCAAACTACTTTATTATGTGTTTCATTATTGTAAATAACATTACATACGATTTATTGCTTTTTTTTTTTTTTTTTTTTTTACAAATGTTTAGCTTTTTGTAGGGCAATGATTATTAATAATTTTATAAACAGCAAATATACTTGGAATGTTCAATACTCTTTTTAATTGCAATTTTCTGCATTAAAGTGTAAACTTTTATTTTAGTTTCCATTTCTGAAAGTTCATTGTATAATTGATAAGAAAAAAGAGTATTTTGTAACAAATTAATTTTCTTGATTGATTAAAACATAAACACAAAATGTAGATTGGCGCAATTAACTTCTCTTTTAAAATAGGTAGCATTTTTAGGTCCCAAAATAATAAAAGTCCACCTGTATATGGATAAGCACAGACATAAAATAATAAATATAATGCTGACGTGACGCAATTATAAAGGTTTTTTATTAAACTGCAGTTGCTGGGTTTGGATGAATGGCAAGAAGAAGTAAAAAAGAAGCACATCCAAGGGAAAAACACAAACAAATAATATTTAAATAGCTTAGAACTGAAAAACATAACACTTTGAACTTCTACCCTACAGCAAAAATGGCATCAACAAATATGTATTTCTTAAAGGCAAGCTTAATACCCAACAAAATCGAAATATGGTAATTCACTAGAAAAACACTTGGACATGGCAGCAGTTTGGTACAAAACTTTTTGGGTGTCTAAACTCATGTGGCAAAGTTATTAATCTCCATACCAAGTATTTTGTTTTGTACAATTTGGTTATAAGTTCGAGGATTCTAAATGAAATTTGAGCAAAGTAAAGATTGTTCTGAGCCTTGCTTGATCAGGCCAGCATTTGTCTACTGTCGTGACAATATTTCTTTACCGGCCACCCTTGGCCCCTCCCCGGTTGCCAGTCCATCACAATTATACTCCCCAGCTAATGGCAGTACCCATTTATCATACTCCTGGGTGGAGCGCTATAGGCGAGTGGGGCCGGTGAAGTGGCTTGCCCAAGGGCACATGATATGGCTGCTGCAGGATTTGAACCCCTGTCCCTCTGATCATGAGTCACAAACCGTAACCACTGGGCCACACTTCCCCTCAAATAAATCCAGGGCGGATCCAGAGCACAATTTGTTTTGGGGGGAGGGGCAAAAAAATTTGGTCCCCAAAAAGTGGGTCCAAAAACTACGGCAAAATTTCTGGACTCTAGATGCTCTGTGGTGCGATCTGAGGCAATTTCTGATCACTTTATTCTACGTGTCTCAGTTTGTCCATCACATTAAAGGGAACTCCCAGGTCTCGAAGCCTTGCGATAGTTTCAGCGTTTCTGTCCGGTAGGAGAGTCAGGACCTTTTTCAGGGCCAGGTCCAGGAGAGGGGGAATAGCGAGCCATAGTCTGAAGACAGCGTTGGTCCGAGGGCGGTCCTCGAGGTCAGTGATTCCTCCAAATGTGTACAGGCACTTGGTCTAAAGAAAGAAAAAAAGAGTCAGGATTACAATTTGAAAATAAAACAGGACAAGTGATTAAGCATCTGGTCCCTGAGTGCACAAAATTTAATGCAATTGATTCAGAATAGCAATTCACTGGAAGTCTTCTCATGGGCCGGATTTGTCCCAATACAAGGTACAAGTCTAAGTAACGTCAGTCATGCAGTCAGTCACAGTGGTGCACCCAGGATTTGGCTTTGGTGGGGGCTCACAGTTTTTTTTTCAAATTGTTTAGAATTTCCAAAAATTTTGCCCAAACTTTTTTGCCGCAGAGAAAAGATGGGGTTTTTTTTTGGGGGGGGGGGGGGAAGACCCTATTTTGACATTGGTTGTGCCACTTACACCCCTATTATACTACTCAAAAATAGGCCACATACATATCACCAAGGTCAACTTGTGGGACTAAAAAACAGAGATGAAACTGGCCTTGGCAAAAAAAATCTGAAATTGGACCTGGCACAGCTTCGCGCGGTGCAGTGCAGCGCAGCGCATCATAGTGGGACCCAGTGAATTTTTCCGTGTCTTAGGTCAGTATTTAACTGATCAGCGTTGGCCTACTTGTGTTTCTACCATAAAATCACTCTGTTCACGAGTGGTAAAAGAGATTAAAACTACTACACTTATGAAAGAAAACTTACGTGCCGTTTTCATTGACTTTCAATGGACTTTTTTGGAAATTATAATAAAAAAAAAAATTGTGGAAAAATTGTTAAATAATCATTTTTGTGGGATTGTTAAAAGTCTGATATTTCAGTGGAAAAGCAAAAAAAAATCTGATTTCAGATTAAAATCTGAGATGTTTCATCTCTGTAAAACCAAACCAAACCAAAAACCAAAGAAAAGATCTCTTGAATAGAACTTTACAATACAAACTGCAGAATTACACTCAAATTGTAAGAAGTCAATTGCAAGTCACTTTTAATCTGAAGTCAAAAAGATATTATTCAACTGACCTATGACCAAGAAATTTTTCTTTTTCATGTTCATCCTCTGTTACTTTTGACCAGTCATGTGACTCAACATAGGTGACCTTTCATTTTTGTTGGACTCAATACAGCTCTGCCAATTTCAACAACAACAAAAATCCAAAACTTACGGGTGTTATAGCAGCTGTGATGAAGTATGTAGTGACTGGCAGGTTTGTAGGCAAGCGAGTCCATTGCAAGCTGGGTAACTCTAGCTTCCAAATGTCTCGCAAAACTATTCTGTTGTTGTGGCCACCGCATATGTAGACCTCTGTAATTTGTCCAAAAGATAAAAGATTGGTTAAACAATTCCCTGCTAGGCTTATATTGAAGGGGGGAGGGAGTGGGTCGATTTGAGGAGTTGGTGGGCTTATGGGCTCCATGCACAGGTACCCCATCAACGGCCAGAATAGGAGAGTTGGGGGTGACCTAGACTGGTTCCCGATACATCTACTGCGTATTTTGAATGTATCCAAAGTTATTGGAGGCGGGGATTAGTCTCGGAGACCATCCCAAGTTGAATTCGAACGTATTCACGCGCCGACGATGGCTGACGCTCACGCAAAGACGCAGCGGCTAAAGCTTTTGCACATTCAGGAAGTCGTACGAAGTACTTCACACGCGAACCAGTACAGTACATGCACGCTGTGTGTCCCGTCTATGGAGCTCTCAAACGAGGTAAAAACGCGCCCTCTTTTGTTGGCGCAAGGAGCCCATAGTCAATGTGACCTAGCTCAGCCAAACAAAACAACTGTTCATGTACATCCCTCAGTTTTTCACAGTGTGGATGTATATGGTATACTGCAATATTAATATTCAATGTGATATTTAACAGTTTAATCAAAAGTTCGCATAAAATGATAATGCCAATCTTCCTTAATATTTAACATGCATCTATTGTAGCTCTAGCTTCCACCATACATAAATGCTTTAACATGAGGCTGTCGCCCTTTATCAATGTAATTTTTAAAAAGGAAATTCTTCCCTTTGTTTTCTTAAAACATGACCTTGCTTAAGCTTCAATGACTTTCCAATTTTTTTTTATGATATCCTGCACCAAGGAGCTGTAGGCTGTACATTTGAAGCGTTTATACATGTGTATAAGCTTAAACTGCAATATTTACTGTAGCAGGGCACAAGAAGCAGGGTTGAAAAGATATTTTCCCAAAGACTCACAGATAATTTTCTTGCAATACAATTGACACTCACCGTTTTTCCACTGTACCCAGCCGTGATATTTCCTCTGCCTTGGGTAGCCATGTCTGAGACAACGCAATGTATCTTGTATCTTCCACTCTTTTGTGTGCAAATCAAAGACGTGGAGCTATGACAACAAAAGAATTGACGTTCAAGTCTAAAATTAATGTAGTCATCAAAATTGATATTTTTTTTGTTTTAATGTAGTGCAACTCACAGTACAAAACTTGATATTTTGAAGAATAACAAAATATATTAACTTAAATCTGTGGTTAACTGACAGAATCATCAAGTATTACCGAAATGAGTTGAATTGTTGTCCCTAGTGAAATTCCCAGATAGAAGGAAATGTAATGTTAACCCATATTAGCCACTGCAGCACCCGAAACTGCCAGAGCACTATCAACCGGGTCAAACTTAAATTGTCCTGGACTAGTTCCGGCCCAAGATGTCAGTGATCAAGAGCGATAGTTGCATTGCTGTGTAGAGCCCTTGCATACCGGTAATTGTTTTTTTTTACTTTCTCGCACTAACGTCTTGGTCATTTCGTAGCAATGGGGGCAGGGCCATTTTATGTAAATAAGACTGTCTGTATAAATTCGAACAAACCTGTTTATAGCTCCATGCTTGCATGATTGCCGCACGTATAGCACGCATGTTTACAACTGTGAGCCATTGAACCTTTTTTCGACCGACCTTTTCTCAACCGCTAAAGGTTCCCTAGGAAATCGCCGATGCTTGCTCACGTACCGTGTGACGCGTATGTGTACAACCGTGGGGTGAGCCATTGAACCTTTCCGAATCGATGATTGGTTCCCTAGAAAAGCATTGATGCACGGTTGTACATACGCACAACGCGAATGTTTACAACCGTCGGGCGAGCCAACCTTTTATCGATCGCTGACTGATTTCCTAGGAAAGCCTAGGGAGAAAATAAAGAAAAAGTTAAACCGCTGATTCGAAATGGCCAAGACGTTAGTGCGAGTAGGCCTGCTGGTCTAATTATTGTGCCATTAGAGGGCGCACTATGCACCGTCCACTATCGATCACAAGTGTCTTGGGCCAAGACTATCCTGGACAAACCCAGTGCCGCCCTGGGTTGATATTCCAAACCCTCATTCAATCCCGCATCGTTTCACACTTGCTGCAAACCAAGCTTATTTCGCTTGGTTACTACTGTTTTGAACCCTGGCAAGACTTTCAAGCCAGGTTGAAAATCTCTACCCTTGTATGGAGAAGCTTCGAGTTCAACCCGGGCAAAACCAATCTCTGGATGCGGGGTTGAAAACTTTCAAGTGTGAAACGCTGCATTTTTTCAACCCTGCGTCAACCCTGCATCAACCCCAAGATTTGTCTAGTGTGAAATGGAAACACAGCTACTAATGGGTTAAACCTCACCCCCTCCCTCTCCCTACAAACAACCCCTAAAAATCTAACCTAAATTTATTTGACATTGGGATTTACCCTTAACTGGCATTATTTATATAGTAGAGTATGCTCAGTGCTATCCAAGAGCTTGGAAGAAAAAAAATTCACGAGCTTGCTTGGGTGAGATTCAAACCTAAAACCTTAATCTTGCCTACTATAGAGCTGATATCTTAAACTATTTGATCATCTAGCTTGCTAGGATCAGTGCAATGGTTTAACAAAAATTGAGTGCTAAGATGTCTGCACTAGTAAGCAGGAGGTCGTGGGTTTGAGTCCCAACCAAGTAAGCTTTTGTATTTTTTTCTCCCAGGCACTGAGTATGGCAGCCTTCTTAATTACCTTGATGAGGGGGAAAAACCCAATCTTAAAAGTTAGTTACACCTTCCAAACAGATAATGTGATCTGTTACAATTCCCACCTTTTCTTGGTGAGTTAACGAGTACAAGTCTCCATAGCTGCTACCGACAACGTAGAGTTTATTTTCATACAGTGCCAAGCCGTGCTTGTACATAACCCGGGATTCGTTTCGAGGATCGTCGTACAGGAGTGACCAGGTCTGGCTCTTGAGGTCCAGACAGTGCAGCTCAGAGTTGAACAAGAAATCTTCAACATCGGGAAGCCATCGGCAGCCACCGAAGCAATAGAGATGGCCCTGTCTGAGGACTATGGCCTGAATTGAAAAAGAAAGAAGGAAAACTGCAGTTTGAAGGCGGGAGAAACGGCAATCCACTTTTCAAAATTCAAATTTACAATTAAGTGACAATCAGCGAGTCAGTCAGTCAGTCGGATAGGAACAACAAGGCTGGTACTCCAGGACCAGCAAAAACGTGACCGCGTGCACTGCAATTAGATCAACTGCAACCTTTTTCAATCCCAAGCTTTTAAACTGAAAATACTTCACAAGGGAAACAGAGAAGTGTTTCAAACTCCTGTATTATCTGCAACCCCCCATTAGCAGGGTTGTGTATCAAGTCACCACAAGCTATATCCACCAGAAGACAACCACAATTAACCCAAAGAAATTTCAAATGAACAGTAGAAAATCTGTTACCTTGTCACTGTTCATCCCTTAATCGTAACTTTGTGAGTTGACTTGTGACAAACTAGTGATTGATTTTTGTAATGACTTGTGATTTAAGTATCGACTTTATGATCAACTTGCAATAAAGTTGTGATTGACTCATAACTTCGTAATTCAGCAAATTGTAGTAATACACTTCGCAAACAAATTAAACGTTTACACAGGCTTATGAATATGCAAGCCAAAATAAACCTGTGATGAGAAATGGTGAAGATCTTTTAGATTAGGGAGCAAGAAAATGACCATTCGCACCAGCATAGACAATTATGGCCAAGTTCGGGCAAGGACCATTAGTCGACTAGTGGTTGATTTGTGACGTACCTTACGCCTGCGCACTGATAGCAACGTGCGAACGTCTCTAGTCAAACGCTGGTCAAAAAGTCATCGCAAAACTTCTGGTTCCTGGCTCTCTGCTAGCGTTATGAATGCGCGTGGCTATTGGTAACCAGCGAAGCAACCAACCCCAGTAGGCTGGTTCCAAATAGTCGACTAGCGTAGTCAACCACCGTCAACTAGACAGAGTTCGGGCAAACGTTAGTTAACCATTGGTCAACTATAGTCCTTGCGCGAACTTGGCCTATACTGACAATGCATGACCTTCCAACCGACCTGTCCATATTTTGCTGCGGGGCAATCACCGGTGCACTGTAACGGTTTCCATCTCCTCTCACTCAATACGAAAGCAATCAGGTCACCGTTGTTGTTCCTACCCCATGGATGACCGGTACCTCCGTGCAACAACAGCATGTGGCCACTGGTATCCAATATCACTAGACGTCGGTAGAAAATAAGGGGGGTAGGGAATGAATTTTGCATGAGTTTTTTAAGATTTTCTTTTTTGCATAAATTTGCATTTGCATTTATGTTTTCGGTGCACCATTTGAAAAACCACCCTGTAAAAAGAACTTGTTATTTTGGTACTGAAAACTGTTACGTCTGTTGACGTATACTACAAGGAATAGATTTATACCCATTGTTCGATAGTTTCCTGTCTGCATTGTCAGTTTCGAACAGCGTCCACTGAATCGATTTCAGATTTGTTCTGGTGGTGGAGGAATATTTCCTGGCTCCTTTCCAGCTCAGAGTGGTCTGTCGGCAAACTTTGTTGTCAACCCCCCCCCCCCTCTAGTCTGAGTATTTCACCCGTTATCCACGGAGCCCAGTCTCCTGTATAACGTCTGATATATCTGAGCATGTCCTGCGCCTCAGCCAATCGGAGTCGACTTTACTAAATCGTGACGTCATTTCATTCCCCATTCAGGACTAACTGTTTGATTGGCCAATTCGATTGCAGTGTTTCATAATACAACAATATTATTACGGCCGGGCATATAGATTGATAAAACCTAGACAAGCTTATCGCGTAACATAAGAGCGCATGACCACATGCACAGCCTTTGTTGCTGTGTCTGTAGACTACCGCCCCCCACTTAAATTAACTGGCCTGGAAACACCCCCCCCCCCATTTGTTAAGAAGCTTCAGATGTGTTGATTTAGCTTTTTTTTCAAATTTACACTACTACAATTTTGCTGACTCAAAATTCAAGTCACGAGACTCACTTGACATGCCGGTGGTTGCAGTCGGCTTTTCTCCAACTGTGCTCACTTCACGCCAGGTCTCTGTGTTCAGGTTAAAGCACCACATCTGTAAAAACAGATCATCAAATGATAAACATGATAAACGGGCGGATACTGTGTTGCCTTTTTTATTCAGTGGGAGCCAAAGGGAGGGCCAGAATTCTGGGGGGAAGGGGTGTCATTCATATCTCCGATTTCTTGCATCATTTCGGTTTATGGACGGGAGTCATGGTTAATGCGAATTCATGGGAGCACATGCTTCTAAATCACTGGATTTTTGTTAAGATGCCGTACCACAGAAAACTGTCAAACCGGAAATTTAATTGCCAGCAGAGAAAGTTATATGTTGCCATTGTTGCACCACATTATGGGACATTTTTGCCAACCACAAAATACTCATGTACATAGGGCACAAAACTCAGAATGCAATGCAACCTTTATCTTCACTGCACACTTTCGATTCATGCACACAGAAATCTTAGTCTGAGGTTGGACAAAAGACCATGCACACAATTAGATTCTCCGTTTTAAACTTTGCCATTGACATTTGGTGTTTCCCAATTTGACGTGAACAAAATTGTCCTACCTCAGTAAAAACTTGATTTTCAATGACGACATCTTCATGACCTGGCCCAGTTCCACTCTTGTGATATTCAGGATTGTATCCTCCATATACAATCATATTGTTACCGTCTGTTGTAGAGCAATGTCCACTCCTTGGATACGGCTCGATGCCTTTAATTATTAATAAGTAAAATAAAAAAATTTCTATACTAAAAATAGGTCGGACAACCTGCCTGGTTAATTGCACCTACGAAAACATTAAAAAGGATTATCCATAAATTATAGTAATTATTAAAAAGCCTTCTTCAATCATTCACTTTCATGATGACTGGATGAGTTGGGCCCAACTGTCCCTGTCGAGTATAGTGTTGGAAAGAGATGGACCGCTCAGACCAGTTTTTAACTCTATGGATGTTTTCAGGGTCATATCAAAAAAGCTTCATTTTGGTTAAAATGTATAAATCTGTGATTGTGAAAATCTTGCAAAACCATCGATACGCTTAACTGGGGGAGCGGGAGGCAGATGACGGGGGAAGGGAATTGAAGCCTGTGCCTCCACGTCTACCCCCTCCTCTTTCCCAATGACCCCTACCCTACCCTACTATCCCGGCCAAAATGGTTGGGACACTTGTAGACCCGTGAACGTGGCTTGTTGTAAACTACAACGCCACGTTCACGGGTCTAGGACACTTGGAAATAACCTTGGCCTTCCATGGTCACCCACTCCCCCGGTCAATGTTGTTCTCTCCAGCTGATGGAGCACACACCGCGCAATGAATGACAACATTGACAGGGGGCCGGGTACCCCTAGAACTATGGTAGTATGGGTATTGTAATACCCATAGTCTGATAGTTCTAGGGGCCGGGGCATTGGGGGCCCAGCGAGATTTGCTGGGCCCCCAACGCCCCGGCCCCTAGAACTTTTGTAGCTTGAGTAACTCCAGCTTAACATGCTCATGTGAATTCCTGATGAGCATGTTAAGCTGGAGTTACTCAAGCTACTCATAAAGAGAAAAAAACGAGCCCATTTTTCGTCTAGAAATTACTTCAATGCTAGTTATTTATTAACCCTCAATTTTTAACCCAATTTGTCACCGACCTACTTCTAGCCATTCTATATCGATATATAATGGTTGCATTTTAGCGGACGGAGTCAAGTTAAAGGGAATAAAGGGCTATTTCGTTGCAATCACCTTCAGGCTTGATACGAACGAACTTGCCAACATCCGTCCTATCCATTTCCGCATCAGTGTCTGCACGTGAGAGCATGTACGTACGGCGCGCCCTCACGATCTGCTCACGTCTTCTAGTCAACTGTTTTAGCGACGAAAAGGACAACACATCAGCAAAAGCGCTACATGCAATTGTAAGGGGAAAATGGGGGATTTACAGACGAGATTATATAATTATCGGAAAATAAAATGATATGCGTCACCATCTCAGGAAATCCCCAATCGATTGGGGATTTTTTTTCTCATCCCACTCGCCCAGAATTCCAGGAAATCCAGATAAGTGCTTGATTCTTATTGGCCAGTCGAAACGAGGGGATTCCCATTAGTTACTTACTTCCAACCAATCACTGCTCAGAGTACACTTTGTGCGTAACAGTAGGAGGGGTTAAGGCGAATTTTTTATAGCAATTTAAGCTAAAAAAGAAGGGGAAAAAAGGGCCAAATGGTGAGCGTGACGGTCCCTTAATTAAGCAAGTGGAATAAACTTATTTTGGAACTGTCTGCGCATAACACATCATGGCCGCTGATAAACTGAAACCCCAATTTCTAATGCGCCTATCAAATGTGTCACCCCCCGCGCTGCCCAGGTCCGATGTCGGGAATTGGTCACGTTTTTCATGCCCCAGGGCGGGAATTTTGGTCACTCAAATTACATTGTTATAAACATTGGCGTACTACAGGGAAACGCAATCACTAGTGCGCCCATATGTCGGGGCATGGTCGGGAATTGTCACTTAAATTTTGCCCCGAGGGTTGGGGATTTTGTCGCTTCAAAATTGACAACCCCCACATCTTGGGTGGGGCAGCCCGGGGGGGGGGGGACAATTGATAGGCGCATAAGCTTAATGAATGAGGCATAGGCCTACTACTTGGCTCACTTTTAAAAAGTAATCGGACACAAAAGATTAAGGAATTTACCAAGCAATATTTTAACACATACATTATTATATGTTTGACCGATGATAGCATCTTTCTCGAAAATGCAAACTTAACTAAATTAAACTTATACCAAGTAAAAACACCTCTCAACAATATTCCTTATTCAACATGCTTTATTCTCAACTTAACTTAATTTATCAAGAACACATGCAAAATCATTATATAGTTGTACTGAGTGTGCCCAAAAAGTGCAACTGTTTAATATTTTTTTTCCTCAATAAAATTAGATTTTACATTGAAGTCTGACTATTTCTCAATCCACTCCTTTTTACCCCATTCCATTGGGGTCCCTAGATCCACAAGTACAATCAATTAAGTGAACGAGTGTACATTTTACTTGGGCCACTCTCACATGTGATGTCACCAATTTCAATACCTATTCAATTACTATTAAAACCCAGATTCAGCATGTCCAGGTGAGAGTGGCCCCAGTAAAAATTACACCCTTTCACTTAATTGATTGTATATCTGGATCTTGGGACCCAAATGGAATGGGGTAAAAAGGAGTGGACTGAGAAACCGTCAGGCTTTAAGGCCCAAAAAAAGGGCTCCGGTTTCTGGTCTGCACAGGCATCACCGTAGCCATGCGTGTCGGCAAAATTAAAAAGTTTTTTATTTCAATATAAGATAATGTCTCAAAAGCGCCAAACTCACTGGTTTGACTGGAATCCTGCTGCTGCAAAATTGTAACGTGTTTTTAGATGGGGTTACGATCGAGTAAAAGCTTTATGTGGCCTCTCTGGGCTCCCATACATTTTGCACTAAATTTAGTCGGGCACCATTTGCAGGCTAGTCATTAGCTGACATTTGAAGGGAAAAAAAGTACAAAAAACAAAAGAAAATAGCCACGTTGCTGCACCACTTTTGAGGCAAGCTCCATACCAGAAACCGAAGACTTTTTTTTTGGCCTAATGCAAATATAATTTCATTGAAGAAAAAAAACATTAAACAGTTTTAATTATTTGTTTTCTGAATGTTGCACTTTTTTGGGCACATTCTGTATATTTTGTTTAACCTTTCAAAATCCAGTAATTGTTTGGATCCCGTGCAGCGCCGGTTAATTTCACAGGGATACACGTAATTAAGACACTGTTGCAATAACTGTAATAAAATTAACATGTAAATAAAATAGCTTCTGCATACAAATAATCTATTATTGTATTATTTTGTTTCCATCACCCTCATATTATGATTCTAGAAAAATTACGTCTTAAATTATTCATAAAGGGTTGATCAATTTCACAATTGTTCATGACAGTAATTTCTTTCTGTCATTCTATTACATATTACAAACACGCACATGAATTCAAAATGTCTGCGCGCAGGATGGCTTCAAAGTATCTCCGAGCGTAAGAATGAGGAGTTAGCACTTTAGTATGATGTAACCGATGAAACCGGTAACCAAATCAAAACGCACTTCATGACCGATTAGATTACAATTAAACTTGAAGTTAAACTGTGAGACACAAATTCCTCTTTTAAAAACTATAATATATATATATATATTTGGGGGCTTTTGAGATAGATGAGTAGTTGCAGCAGCTTTTTGTTTCTTATATAAAACTTGAGCAATATAAGCTAATGTTCTTTCATAGCAGTTTATCAAATAAAATGCACGGTTTTTATATTTAAACCAAATTGCTTTATGAGTAAGGATATGTGGAACCCAACAAATTTATTTTGATGTATCTTGCTGCCTTGCCCAATATTTACGTTTCATCTTTTCAGAACTCTCCCAATAATACAAAAATATAACTTGAATAATTCTAAAGATAATAACATTGTTAAGTATCCTTGACATAAGAATCATTCAACATGTTTCAATCTATCCATGATATTCTTGGGTATGCCCAAATCCTGCAGGCTAGCTATACTCTCCTTGCTTCGGTCGGGTAGTAGAGACAGCACTTTCCTCAGGGCGATATCCGTGAGAGGGGGCAGGGCCAGCCATATTCTGAAGACGTTGTTGGTCCGTTTGCCATCTCCCGGAGAAGTCGTACCGCCAAAGACATACATGCATTTGGTCTTCAAAAGAGAAGAAAGGAAACAATCTTAAAAAAAAAACAATCAATAAAATTGAAGAGTAAAGTCATGTTTGTAAACTGTTTAGCCAGCAAACCTTTCCAAAATGTGTGGAAAGTGCTGTGCACTCTTGAAGTAACCAGAGACACTATGTGACTGTCACCCGTTGAGCTATATTAAATTACTAGAGCGCTGACTTGATGTATGAAGTGATGCCTGCTGGGCACATCCATGTTTGTGTACAAACCTATGGAAACCTCAAAGTTTTTGTACGGCTATTTGCATACCTGCATTTGTATTCTATACAAGTGCACTATCGAAGCCGATACGCCCAAAATCGAAACGCACAATTAGTATATGAGCGTGTCATTTTGCTCTGCTCAAACAACGCAAACACATGCCCATACCAGCTGCAGATGATTTTTGCCCTGACGTTTTTTAACCGCCATGACGCGCTGATGTTGTTTGTGTATGTTGTACTTGTGCGTTGCATTTAGAGTACACTTTCAAAATTCACTCCATCTAATTTCATTATGTTCTACAAACACGCACATGAGTTCAAAATGTCTGCGTCCTGGATGGCTTCAAACTATCTCCACGCACAAGAATGGGGAGTTAGCACTCTAGTAATTTAACATAGCTCTATGCTGTCAGCACAAAATGAGCTTTTAATCAGATTTTTGGGGGAATTGTAGTTTCAAAGAGATTGTTTGGTGGTGGTATTGAGCTCTGCCAACTTTACTGGAGTTTAAACTAGTTTTCGAGAAGATACCATTTAACGGTTGAATTACAGTGAATGCATGGTCAAGGGTCAGGTTGCTAAAAACTATACAGTCTTCAGACTAAAGGTCTGCATAGTGCAGTATTCAATAAGAGTTAGTTTGTGGATTCACAATGTGCAAAGGATGTCTCATTTGTGAGTTGGTTCTTCGTAGAACTGGTTGAAAACTGAATGTGTTGGAGAGTATGCTCTGCCCAGGAGACTGAGGTTCCAACTTGTTATGAGGTTAGCTTGGTCTCCAGTATTACAGCTTTCACACCTCCACGCTTCCTTGCTTCCACTCCCCTACGTAACACCATAACCAGATGGAATCTCCGAGTCTTCCGACGACAAGCAGGGCATACTGTCCTTGATTTGAGTTTTCAACAAGTTCTTCTCAGAACACAAACTCACATAAGAGAACTTCCTTTCGCATAGTGCAATCGCAAACTTACTCTCACATCAAGCCCAGATTACTCACAGATGTTATTGCAGCTGAATGAAAGAACGTTGGTACCGGCATCTGAGTTGGTAACAGACTCCACTGTAAGCTGGGTAGCTCCAGCTTCCAAAGATCTCCAAAGATCACCATGTTGTAGAGCCCTCCACAAATGTAGACTTCTTCAAAGGCAAACATCAATCGATAAAGGACAATATTTACTAAAAAGAACAAAAACAAATACTATCTTAAAGACTCGAGTCAGCATCAGAGTCACGAGTCATACAACTCTGGCAGGAACTTGTAGTTAATTAGCCCCACCCAAGCGAGTTTGTGAATTTTTCTCACGCAGATCTCGGTCAGCGCTGCAGGTGGTCAAAGGAGTACTTACCATTTTTCCATTGCACACAACTATGGTACTGTCTCCTGTTTGGGTGGCCATTCTGGGGACACGGTAGTGTTCTTTCCTTACCCCAGGAGTTAGTTTCCAAGTCGTACACGTGAACCTTAAAAAAAAGGTGAAATTTCTCATATTTTACTTAACTAATCAGATCCACGATGGATATATGTATTTTCCTATTTTGTATTCTCAGGGAAATTCACCATACAGAAAAAGCTGTTGCTGACCACGTCAAAACTGTTCACATTTTGCACTTGGAAGAAACCAGGTGTTTTTCATGTACAGTTGTAGTATTTTTTGGACATGCTCTGAAATGTTTTAGTGAATACAACTTTTTTTTTCAAATATAGTGTTTCCAAAAGTATTTCTGTTTTTGTGGTATTACAACTAAACATAAAGGAGGGATAACCACTTGGTGGCTCTGTATTGAATTATTTTCAATGATGTAACTACAGGAAGCTAATTTTTGTTATTGTAACTGGATATATTTACTTATCTGTAGCTTTGTGGTTTGAGCTGGGTTTTTTCGGATATAGGAATGCCATAAGTTTAAATTAAACTGAACTCAATTTCTCTTCCCTCCCCCCCAAAAAAATGTCAATTTATCTTCTTATGATCATATGTAATCAATTCCTACTTATTTCAATGAAACTTTTTTTACCATTTCTTTCTTATTCATGGTTCTTTTTATAAGGGAAGTTAAGTTCGAGAATCGTGCAACTTACATCGTGCATTTTTACTGTCATGACTAAACTAGGAGCAGAAAAAATAATTGCCCGTAGGAATATAGGAGTTCGTACCTCACTCTGATATATGGACATAGAGTACAGCTCTTTCCAACTGTTGCCAATGATGTACAGTTTATTCTCGTGCCACGCCAGGCCGTGTCTGTACATAACTCTCGAGGGTGCTTCGGCGTCGTTCTGGTCCTCCATGTTGGACAGCAGAGACCAGGTCAGGTTCCTGAGGTCCAAGGAGTGGAGGTCCGCATCGAACAAGAAGTCCTCTTCCGACACTTGCCGGCAGCCTCCAAAGAGAAACAGGCGGTTGTGCTGAAGAGACATTGCCTTTAGGAGCCAAACACACGTCTTTTGTTTTTTCTTTCTTGCTCAGAATTGGATGATTTCCAGAACAGGACGAAAACAGCGAACAAATGAGCACAAGTAAACGTGGTCAACAGCGGTGCACCCAGGATTTGGTTTTTTGGGGGGCTCAAATTGTTTTCAAAAAAAGTTGCCCAAAATGTTTGGCCCGCAGAATTAAATTGGATTTTGTTTTGTTTTGGGGGGGACTATTTTGATGTTGGTGGTGCCACTTACACCCATATTATACTACTCGAAAATAGGCCACATACATATCACCAAGGTAAAATCGTGGGACTAAAAAAACAAATTACAAAAAAAAATTACAAAAAAAAATTGACAACCTCTTGGGGGGGGGGGGGGGGGGACAGGGAGGCTAAAGCCCCCCCCCCCCCCCCGGGTGCACCGCTGGTGGTCAATGGTAACAAAACCTGCATAGGTTATTTAAGGGCTGAGCTGAATATTCAAATATTTAATCATTGACTGAATATCTGAAAAGCGGTCTCGAGAAGTTGGTGAAAAAAGAAACTGTGTGTGTGGTTTGACTGTAAACTTGTCAAATGCCACACTTTTTTAGAACTTCCACGAGGAATATTAGCCTAAATTTCCTCTTTATGACTGAAATCAACCATGCTTAATAAGTGTTTTTAAGTTGGATCTAGTCTACTTTGTACTAACGTGTCCATATTTTCCAGGAGGCTGTTGACCTTCGCATGTCAAGGCCGACCACCTCTTTTCCTTCAAATTGAAGCAGATGACGTCTGCATTGCTGGTTTGTCCCCAAGGGTAGCAGGTGCCGCCGAACAGCAGGAGTGTGTGCCCACTGAGCAGCACTGAAAAAAAACACCAAGAATTAGGAAACGAAAATTTGAGGAGAGTTTTGAAATCCCAGATCCATCTTGAGTTTCAGTTTCCTGTCTGGCTTCAGAATCATGTACAAACCTTTAACCCTCCTGCTGTTTGAGCAATCACAGACAGTCGAAAAAATCAATCCTGTTCCGCTGCCATGCCTTTATACACAATCTAGTCACCAACAGTCATATAATGTTTCTTGTAGGCAGTGAGACAGTCAAATTCCATCAACAGACAAAAGCAAGTACATTACTGGTAGGTACTGCTGGCTTAATTATCAATCTCTTATACACTCAAAGCACAGCTATATCAAGGTACATATGAAACAATCACGGCCAATCAATACTGTGTTATGAAGGCAGGGAGAACTCAAGGGCTACTGATTTGGACAGTTGAGATGGCATTGTTGAATTTGCAAGCCAAAGAGAGAGGGTTAATGTCCAACCCAAATAGAAATATCTTCAGCTTTACCTCATATTCCTGAAGCTGAAATTGGACCTTTACTGAGACGGAACCCCCCCCCCCCCCTCCTCCCCAAGTAAAAATCTTCAATTGGCTCACAATTCCACTTCCTGAAATAAATGAATTGAAAGTTGAAGAGTATATTGCTTAAAATCTTTGGTCTGTGCATGTTGACCACAACTCAGCAACCATCCCACCCCCTTCCAACTTCCCCCCACCCTCCGTTGCAACCATCTTACCCCCTTCCAACTGCCCCCCACCCTCCGTTGCAACCATCTCAGCCCCTTCCAACCGCCCCACCCCACCCTCCGTTGCAACCATCCAAACCCCTTCCAACTACTCCCGAGTCCCAACCCTCCGTTGCAACCATCTCATCCCCTTCCAACTGCCCCCCACCCTCCGTTGCAACCATCTTACCCCCTTCCATTTACCCCATCCCACCCTCAGTTGCAACAATCCAATCCCCCATCTCAGCCCCTTCCAACTGCCCCACCCCACCCTCCGTTGCAACCATCCAAACCCCTTCCAACTACTCCCGAGTCCCAACTCTCCGTTGCAACCATCTCACCCCCTTCCAACTGCCCACCACCCTCCGTTGCAACCATCTCACCCCCTTCCAACTGCCCCACCCCACCCTCCGTTGCAACCATCCAAACCCCTTCCAAACACCGCTCCCTTCTAACTTCCCCACCCCACCCTCCGTTGCAACCAGCTCACCCCCTTCCAACTGCCCACCACCCTCCGTTGCAACCATCTCAGCCCCTTCCAACTGCCCCACCCCACCCTCTGTTGCAACCATCCAAACCCCTTCCAAACACCACTCCCTTCCAACTTCCCCACCCCACCCTCCGTTGCAACCATTCCACCCCCTTCCAACTGCCCCACCCCACCCTGCGTTGCAACCATCCAACCCCATTCCAACCACACCACCCCCTTCCAACTGCCCCCACCCTCCATTGCAACCATCTCACCCCCTTCCAACCGCCCCATCCCCGTTGCAACCGCCCCATCCCCGTCATGGTAACTAACTTACTTGACATTGATGCCGTTTCATGTGGTACATCTCCCGCCATGCTGACCTCATGCCACGTCTCTTTGGCAAGATTAAAGCACCACATCTGCCAAGAAGTAAACAAGCATGAGAATATGAGGCAGCTAGTCCAATAACCAAAATCAATGAACCATACAGCAGTGTGCTACCATATTGAACAATACACCTGTACAACACATGATTAAATCACCATGGGTTGATCACGTGTCATTGAATTATTTGTCCCAACCCATGGCCCGACGACACCAGAACAAAAATATTAAAAGTTCAATACCCTGCTTACACACTAATGGTGAAACGTGCCGCATAAAACATATTATATAACCAACATACAGATCCTTGTCATTTGGCTCGGTAAAATCTGGACTTTTCCAGTTCACTCGGCTTCGCCTCGTGAAATGGAAAAGTCCAGATTTTACCTTGCGATAATATTCCTCCCATTCCACTCTGAGCCACTCAATATTTGTATACCATTCCGCCCAGCTTCACCTCGTGGAATGGATTATACCATCTGTAAACTCATGAAATTAATCTTACCATTGCACTCATAAACATATATTAGTTGCATTTATACAAAAAGATCCTTGTCATTTGATTGGTGGAACTCACATCACGCGACATTTGTTATTGCCCCCATTCCGCCGGGGCTCAAAAAGTCCCATTCGCCCAAGGTGAATGGGATTTACTATTCAACAGTTAGGATCATTCTTGTTCCATGACGCAGTATTTGTATGAAAATGCATGCTGGTGTGCATGTCCAACATTGCACGTAATGCGTATTGTTCCAAAGAGCCAGCGCTATAGAGTTGGTTCAAACATTTTTGTGAAGGGGTGGATTGGAAGAGAGAAATAAATATTTCACCAATTTTGTATTGAAATAAAAGTTCAAATATATAAAATGACAAGGATCTTTATGACAGTCATATAAAAAGAAATATTGAGTGGCTTTAAATTGTGAAATGGGAGGAATATTATCGCTTGGTAAAATCTGGACTTTTCCAGTAGGGCCTACACTCGGCTTAATTCGCCTTGTAAAATGGAAAAGTCCAGATTTTACCTTGCGATAATATTCCTCCCATTCACTCTGAGCCACTCAATATTTGTATTTCATCATGCCTCAATTGTGCAGGAGCTGTAGAATTATATGGTGCTGTGAGGCTATATTTTCAGCTGATTTTTTTATTCCAAGCTGAACTACATTGACCCCAGTGTATGCAGTTTATGTGAGGAAAGCTGAACGAGTGAACGTACCTCTCTGAAAACTTCATGTCTCCTGATAACTATGTGACCTTTTCGCTTCGTTTTCTTGCAATATTCAGGATGGTATCCTCCAAACGCAAATAGGTTGATGCCATCTGTCGCGCAGCAGTGGCCGCTTCTTGGATAAGGCTCTTCACTAACTGTCAGTGTCAAACACAATCACAAATCCGCATTTTTGCAAGTCTTGTTTCAATGTAAAAATAATTAAACTGGTAGTTATGAAGACAGTTATAATTTTTGATAGATATTAATGTTGGGTGTGTTCCGTCAATGTGCGCCATCTGTCGATTGCGTTGCACTATCGGTCGATCAAGACACTACTGGTCGATCCTGCTGCCACTAGTCGAACACCCTTTTTTCCTGGAATCCTAACTCACAAATCTGGAGAATTTGTTATACAATTTTAATAGGTAAGTTCAGTCCGAGATATCCTAAACAATCTTCCCAATTATGAGCAACGCGATCGACCAATCGTGCAGAAGATACCCCTAGAACTATGGGTCGATCTTACATGTGTAAGACCCATAGTTCTAGGAGTACACAGAAGATGCCCCCAACATTTACAAAACCAGGGAATGAATGTAGTATCGTATATCCAGATGCCACTTCTAAAATTGCGGTAATCCTTATCTTTAGGACACCTCTATTTTTATGAGTTCTGTTCAAACTGACAATTGCAGATGACTCTGCAGAACCAAAGTGACTTTGTCTTTTTTCTTCAGATAAACTCATGTTACTCACTCAAGTTGTAATTTTGAAAGCACTTTCAAAGAAAATGTGACTTTTTTACCTTTTTTTTTGCAGTTCACCATCTTGCTTTATGAATATATTTTCTGTTTGTCATCGTCGTCTTTTACACCTGACAAATCAAAGCACTGCCCTCTTTCCACAAAATTAAACCTGCTGATATTCAAGAAGGTGTCATTGCCAGCTGTTCAAAAGAATATCACTTTTGAGTGTCATTTTGTCAGCTGTTTTGGTGAGTCTTTTAACCTTATAGAAACAGGGTCCTAAAGGTAAGGATTACCTAAATTTCTTTGGTTGTGTACAAAGTCTATGAAAAGTGGGGTGCATTTTCTGATGATGATAAGACATGAATCTGGGACTGAGAAACATTTCCAATTTTGTTACATTTTTTGTTCGCAGTTCCCATTTTCTATCGTTACGGTAGACTGCAACTTTTATAAAAACATGAGAAGAAAATATGTAATTAGAAGGAAAAAAAAGTGAATTTGAACGTCATGAAACTCGGACTTTATTTCCCTTTTAAAAAAAATCCTCCAAAGCCTCAGGTTAGAAAAGGAAAAAAGTGCTGAGTGCAAAACTGAGAAACAAACCCGCAACCTCGCGGTGCAAAATCCTACCCTCTATCAACTGAGCTGACGCACTGCTCGCTACAATGTGGGGAAACAAATAATTATATACCTGCGTGCGTATCAAAAAAGTATCGTAGAGGGCGCTAAACAACGGCTGCCGTAACGATAGCCACTTCGTTTTTTGTTAGGATTAGGAAATTAGAAAATGTTCTTGACTCTCCATAGACTTAGTACACAATCGCGGAAGTGGCGTCAGGTTGCAAACATTTTGTTCCCAACATTCTTTCCAAAAAACAGAAACAGTATCCCATACACACCTAGTTCATTTTCAGAGTTAAATCTTGATTTAATGTGAACAAACTTCCCAACTTCAACCCCGATCATGGGCGCTGCCATCTTGGTTTGTTGTGTAATTCTGCGCATGTTCTGCGCAACTTTGGGCCGGCTTTATTTATTGGGGTCAGCTATTGGTCTGAATGCCACAGCCTGATAATTTAAACCAATCAGAGCGTAGTTAACAAAAAGCTTGGTTTCGTAAAAGTTTTCAAAATGGCGGAAAAAAGAAAGTTGTCCAGCGCCAGCGGCGGTGCAAAACGAATAAAAGCTCTCTTTTCCTCGTTTATCCGGAGAGAACCAAAGGGTGAATCAAAAGACGATAGGTAAGCCGACATTTTGAATTTGATTCTGCGTTTTTTAATAAGATTTATTTAACAGAACCGAGTAACAAATTTTATTCAACGATGTGAAATGGGCGTTATATTGCGTATTAGGACGCCCTCTTGTGGCACGACATGCATTTTTTAATAAGTTAAAAAAATGTAATACAAGATATAAGTACAACTACAAGTCCGAAACCATTAATTCAAAGCTTAAATTTAAGGTACTGTTTCTTGCACAGTGCCAGGGCAGTGGGGTCTTGATATTGAAGTTAAGTGACTAGTGGCAGTGCCTTCTTTCCAAAATTGCAAAAAGTTTGATGGAGCATTCACTGTAGCTAAACAAGTTTCCAGCCAGCTGACATCAGCCTCAGGAATAGGAGCATGTCAGCAGGAGTTATCCAAGCTACATATACGGGTGGGTTTTCAAACCCAAATATAACTGGGGATGATGGGGAGAGGAGGGCAAGGAACGAGGGGCCTTGTACTCCGACTGAAGACCATGATTTTAAACAAGAAAATAAGACGATCGACGTTTATCGTATTTATTTTTATTTTATAAATATTATTAAACTTAGCAGCAAGTCTTCAGATTGATTTTGTAGAAATATTTCGGGATTTTTATTTTAGACTTGAGCAAAATGACTCATTGCAGCGGTAAAAACATAGGGACAAAAATGAGTGTGTGTATAAATTACATTACTTAAAAGTGAATCCACATTCCTGGAAAGTGAATTTGCATGAATTTGCTGTTCCATTTTATATGCCCTATTTCAGTCCTGTTGAATCAGGTGAACCTGATGGCAGTGAAGGGCAAATGTCAGGTGATGTCGCCGATGGAGCCCTCCCTGCTACCAAGCCAGATACGCCATCCAGACGATGCTTCAGGCCACTCAACACTCAGGATTTCTTTGCAAGAGTGGAGACCTTCACAGTATCCTTACACAGTTGTAAGACAACATTGGATGGGTATGGGGTAGGGTAACAAGCTCACACCCCACACCCTCCTTAGCCCTCATCCCCTCCCTCCAACTGGCAAAGTGGTCTCTTAGCTCGATGAACAGGGGTAATAATTTTGAAGCACGTTGATGAGACCGTTGGTAAAAAGTGCTACATAAGCACCGCATTATCATCATAATGATCAAGTGCCAAATATGTACAGAGCTAACTATTAGTATGTCATATGGTAATAATAATAATAATATCGGAGTCTTATATAGCGCACGTATCTACCAACAATTAGGTACTCAAGGCGCTGGAAATTATGTCTATTATTAAAGAAAGGTAAATAAAGTTTATGAGAAATATGAGACCCATTATGTAGTACCTTATAATGGTTTACAAGGTACTGCGGCGCATATTGCAGCCACTGCCAGAAACACCGGGGCAGACCCCTTCTCTTAGCGATAAGTGTTACTGGGTTCTTTAACGTGCATTACACAACACACGGGACCTACGGCTTTACGTCCCATCCGAAGGACGGAGCAATAATGGTAAAGTGCCTTGCTCAAGAGCACAAGCACCATGTTCCCACGGTCAGGATTCGAACCCATGTACCACGGCACACGAGTCGAACACCGTAACCATTGGACCACAGCACCCCACAATAATTTGAGGGCTAAATAAAATTTTACACAAAATCCATCATTTGATTTATGGTCTGCATAGAAAAAGACCCCCAGTCTTTTAAAGAATTAAGTCTCATGTGGTAGATGAGACTTTTTCATGTGGTGCATCCTGTGGCTGTGTCTGTTTGCTTGACACAGTTATGGTTTTGACTTAAGGTGATTGATAAGCCAGCTGTGGCTTCTTCTTGCCTGTTTTTGTCTGTTGACTGAATAGCACTAGTCATAGTGCTTTATTGTAACATGATCTGACTGTTGGTGACTGACCTGTGCAAAAGGCATGGCAAGGAAGAGGATGGAATCTTTGACTGTCTATGACTGTTCAAACAGTAGAGGGGTTAATGTGGAAGTGTTCACCATGTGAACAATGGCACCTCAGGTAAATTACATAGCAAAATCACTTGATTGGAAAAGGGGTCTCTCGTCATATATCTCCTTTATGGCCCTGTCTTGATTTTTATTTCTTAACTCACATATCATGCCTTTGGTTGGTTTGCCAAGCCCTCAGATCTCTCCCCCTTGCACTGTGCACGTTACGGCTGGGAGAACATCGACACAGATTGCTTGAAATGTGTCAGCTGTAGAGAGATAGTGTGCGGCGGACTTCCCGTACGGTGGGAGACAGAGTCATGTAAGGAATGTGGACAACATTGGTAGCTTTGGTGTTACACTTACAGCATCTCATTAGCCTGGGCCAAGTTCGGGCAAGGACCATTAGTCGACTAGTGGTTGATTTGTGACGTACCTTACGCCTGCGCACTGATAGCAAAGTGCGAACGTCTCCAGTCAACGCTGGTCAAAATGTCATCGCAAAACTTCTGGATCCTGGCTCTCTGCTAGCGTTATGAATGCGCGCGGCTATTGGTTACCAGTGAAGCAACCAACCCCAGTAGGCTGGTTCCAAATAGTCGACTAGCGTAGTCAACCACCTTAGACTAGACAGAGTTTGGGCAAATGTTAGTTAACCATTGGTCAACTATAGTCCTTGCCTGAACTTGGCCCTGTATTAACTTTACCTTCAAGTTTTCACAATTCTCAGAACTAATAGTAGCCTGTAGTCTGGTACCCTGAATTATCAGGTCAGGGAACCAGCTTGCACCCGTTCACAGTTATGTAACTGATTGCAAACAAAATGTGGACTAACTAAATTTGGTAAATTGGGGGCAGTATTTGAAAAAAGTCAGTTCACTTCCAACAATGGTCGGTTGACTATTGTCGGAAATTGATACAAAAATCCACACTTTCTTGAAAATGGCAGCACACCAGGTGCCATGATTTCACAGGATGCTTGAGACTATAATTCACTTACAGTAAAGTAAGGTATTTCATAATAATTTGGTAGTTTTGTTTTTTGATATTTGCAAATGTTGCATATTACCTTTAATCTGTTTATGCTGAGCATTGAGCAACTATCTGCTGTGCTTTGGGCCTGTCTCAATGCATATCCAGGACGAGTTCCGGATAAGTTGCAGACATTGTATCGGGTATAAGTTGCAGGATTCTGAACAACTTCCCCCCACAATCTTCTCGCAATGAAGTTATCCGTATTGGTGAGTCAAGCAGTTGCTCATGAAAATTTTCCCCGGAACACGTCCGGGACAAATGCAGAGCTTCTTCCGGACAAAGTGAACGATTCTACCCGCAACTTGTTCAGAACCTGTCCCGGATGTGAAATGAGCCCTTAGCAAAACACTTTATGTAGCAGCTGCACAAAATTGGTCGCTGATGTGCACAATAAGTACTAAAGTACAAATTAAACAAGTGTAGTACCTAGAAAAAAATCACCTTAGCTTTTTTGTTTGATGCTATTGCAAATGTTGATGTTTCAATGCAGTTACATTACATACATTTTGATTTTTGTTTTTAATTTTAGACAGTCAAGCCTATAATAAATTGAAGGATTCGTTGAAGAGTGCCCACAGTAAGATATGTCCCTGGCCTGACAGCCCATCGCCAGGTTAGTTGGTGATTATCTTTTGATGACTTCGATCAAAGTTTTGCTATAATTTCCAATATCAGCATCATTTTTTATATGTATTTCAATTAATCCCTTTAGGTCCGGTTTGTATGGTATGGTATGGTATAGTTTTTTATTTCATCTTTGCATTTTACACTTCCATAATTTGTATTGATTTAATTGTTCAACTTTATAAGATTAATTTTAAATTTCACTAATTGTATTTACTGTTTTAGCTTTAGTTCTTATCGTTTACTCTTTGTTTCTTATGTAAAGCGCCTGAGAGCATTTTAATGGATTTGGCGCAATATAAATGCACTTTATTATTAATAATTTTTATATTTATTTTGGCAGAATCGTTTCTTCACATTCCATTGGGTGATGTGAAATCCGCCATCGAGAGCTATTACTCCAGGGTAGACACTTTGCACTCGTTAGGCGTCAACTTACCCAGCATTGACTGCAGTCCTGTCAAACAAGAGGTAGAATGCAAATTCCGTCAAAGTCATTAATGCTTTCGTCAAATCACTTTTCAAATCAGGATTCAAATCTGACTTGAGTCACTGTCTTTAGTCCAAGACTCAGAAAGTGACATTCTACTCAAGTTCAGCAAGGCCCATTCTAAATGCCGTGCTACTGCTGTGCCGAACTCAATTGAAGTGAGCTCAGCAATAGCTCGTCTGTAGCAGGATAGTTGCTCTAAATGCAAAACTTAACATTCAAACCCTAATGCATCTGGAGTAACTGGTCAGGTTCAAGCAGTTCAAGTAGTTCAATGAACTTTCAGCACGATCAAAATATTCACGCTCAGTTCACTCCCTGTGATGCGTATGCGAGAGAGGTGATTGTGAGCATGCGCATTCCTAAAATGTTTGCCCCACCTTCAAATTGAATTGAGTTGAACACGGCAATGGCACGGCATTCAGAACAGTGCCCTGCCACTGCCATTCAAAATGGCGATAGTGCGACAACCTTGTCGCCCTAAAGAGCGTTGCCGTGCCAAACTCAAATCACCGAGCCAAATGGTTCTAAATGCCGTGCTATCATTGTGCCGAAGTCAAAACTGTCAAATTAATTGAGTTTGGCACGGCAATAGCGCGGCGTCTAGATTAGGCCTAATGTGACTTGAACTTCACACCAAGGATGAACGTTTTAATGAAATCTAATTTCATCAGAAACTTTTTTGGGGAATTGTGGACATTTTTAACTAAGTTCTTCCAGTTTTGTTTACCATGGGAAACTTAAGAAGGGACATGCAGTGTTGTAGTAAATGCAGACAAAAATGTGAAAACTTGAAAAGTCACACATTTTTCCACATTTTCTTAGCCAAAAAAACCCTGACAAACACTTGTTACAAATTGTATTCAGCACATATAATATTACTGTATGTGTGCTGACTAAAACTATAACAAGTGCTTGTTTGTTGGTGCATTTTTTGTGGTTTGTTTTTTAATGCTTATTTGGTCAATTTTGGTTTCTTTTGACTTACTTGAAATTGTTTAATCCTTATTTGGGCTCTTTTGACTTCTGTTTGTTTGTTTTAAGGAGCAATTTGTTATTAGTGATGTGGAGGCGGCACTTTTGAAGTCGATTTCGGAGAGGGGCGATTCAGCGGTCATTGTTAGTGAGGAGGAGAGACCAGTGTGGCTGGCTGGCTGTCTGCTTGCAGTGTTTGGCTGGCAGAAAAGGTATGTGACTAGCAATCGTTAACCTCGATCTTTCACGTTCATATTCACAGTTTATGCCCCACCCTAGAACCTACTGTGTTCCTGGACTATTCTCCTTTAATTCTTTTTATCAAAAAGCAATAATTTTTTTTTCACTTGAAATTTGTTAATGAAATTATTGCCCGTCAAAAGGAATCCTTAAGTACAGAAAATACAAGAATTCTTATATTTTGCTTCACCCATAAAATAAGCTCAACATTTGACATTGCTGTTTAACCCTTTGTATATGCATTTTTTCAGTGTGTGTTTCAGTTGCATACTTACTTTCTAAGCCAATTATTTTGTATATTAATCCAACGACGCATCATATGCCATGGACTAAAAATACAAATTTGGAAAGGCCGATTAACTCCTTTTTGCATTTTTATTAGCATTGCTCGGCATGAGTTACTATACTTTGCGCTTGTGTGATTCCTTGCTTGTAATCTCCAATTACAACAGACTTAATTGACAGTAAGATGGAATTATGACAATGCATTATAAACACCGAGCCAACGTTACTGGCTCCTCATCTCCTGCAAGCACCATTCCGAGCGGATATATTGGATGGCCATGTGAACATTTTTTAAATGTACCCTAGTAACCTGTTTTTTAAGTATCCCTTTTTTTTCAACAGCTCAACTGAATGGTATGTGATTCCTTTTTTTTACTGCAGTCATTCAGAGCAAACCAATTGCCCTGTGTTGGTGTGCCAGTACTGCCGACGACATGCAGGCCTTTGGAATTTTGTTTCCTTGAAGGAGGCCGAGACCAGACCGGCAGTGGTTGGTGAAGCAAGTGGTGCGGAAACAGATGAGGAACCATCAGCCAAGAGAATCAAGGCAAGTTGATCTCCTTTTGTAGCCATGAGAATATAGAAAAAGCATTTAATGAAAGCATTTATGTGTCATACAAAATGTTAACTGAGAATTTAAGATATTCTTTCAGTTATTGTAGAACTGATTTGCAATTAACAGATAGTTATAGGTTTTGGCTTGTAATGAGCACCCCATGACCAAATACATTGACTTAGTGGCAGATCACAAACGTAGGGTTGAAAGCTTGCAAGAATGTTGTTCTGAAGGCCCTACAAGGTCTAGGTTCAAATCTCATCCAATCAGTTGTTTCGTTCTACCAACTATTGGCTCAAATAAATTGATATTTTTGGGGATGTTGAGTATCCCTTCTGGTAAAGCTATTAAATGTACAAGAGCTGTCTGAGAAGTGGAATGAACTTAAAATGAAACAGGATATGTTTGTCAGTATCGAAGAATTTCATAAAGCCCCAAACAACTTCAAGTTATACAGAAAATAGTGTTTTGCAATAGCAAATTTCTTTTCAACGACTGGATAAGTAAGTGCACGTAGTTGAAATATCTCTTCCGTCATTTAACCCATAAGTCTCTGTACCAAACCGCCCTGCCTATTACTCCCTTTGTCACCAGGGCCCAATTTCATAGCACTGCTTAACAGTAAGCAGAAAAGTTGTGCTTACTGTAGCAGAAAATCATGCTGCTGCTTAAGTACTATTTCATGCTAACGGTTGCGCGCACATAGAGATTTCTATTGTTACGTCACTGATTTAAGCAAAGTTTTCTTCTGGGGTTAAGCGTGCTTTTGCTGTGCTTACTGCTTAACGGTCCCTATGAAATAGATGGAGGCTCGGTCAGCACAAAGTCGGCTGTTAAATAGCGCTATGAAATTGGGCCCTGAAACTGCTTGAGTACTCTATGGTTATATGGATTCACCAGTGAATACATACAATGTAATACAATGTTGTACAGGTGCTAATAGGTTAATGTCCATGTTACAATCCTCAACTGTTTGAAGTTTATTGCAATTGGCGTTTCCACAGGATATCGAGAAGTCAGCTTTCAACCCTGCGACGGAGCACCGGGCGTGGTGCCCCTGGATCCAGTCCTCGACCTTCCAGTCAATCAAACTGCAGAGAATCTCAAACGAGCAGAGCGAGTCCAACGATGAGCCCTCAGCTGAGCTGAGCTGGCAGCAGTTGCTGGTCATTCTGTTGAAGAAGACCAACCCAGACTCCTATGGAGCGTTGGCACCGGTCATCAACAAGGACACAGTGAGTTCCAAGTTGTTATATTGGGTTTTGTCCTTCACGAACGTAATTCTGTAAGCACCTGCATGCTTCAATGCTGTTCAAGAGTTTGCAAGAAAAAAATTCTTAAGTTTACTCTGGTGGGATTCGAACAGATAATGCATACGCTTACGAGGACACGGGTCTTACCACTGAGCTTGGTTGGCTTGTTCGGATCTGACATAACAGTGGGTATCACAATCAGTATCATGTGTGATGGAACACAATAGTGTGTGCCAGGGCTAAGCACCCTAGATCATCTATAACATAATTTAACACCAGGGCCCAATTTCATGGCGCTGCCAACCACAGAATTCCACAATTACGATCACCATTATTTTTTAATTCTGCACTAACCCAGTAGGAAACAAAATCCTTAGTTACGGGATTTACATATTAGCCAAGATTCTTTGCTAACCTGTGAAATTACACTTACCGTAAGCACAGAATTTTCTTCTACAGTAAGCAGGGATTTTTCGCTAACGGTAAGCAGAGCTATGAAATTGGGCTCTTGGCCCAATGTCCTGTAGCTGTTGAGCGAAAATTACAACTTAGTTACTATTTGTGCTACGCAAAATAACAAAAAACAAAAATCAAAAAACAGATAAGAAGCAGTCCCATGCAGTCGCAAATGCTTTGAAGTCCAATTTTGCCGTGATGGGGTAAAAAGACATCCCTGCCATTGACTCGAAACGCAAGTACCCCCTCAACGGTTACAAAGCGAGTGTTGAGAAGGACCACTTGGAGGAACTCTTGAACGCGCATTGACGACGGTGTCTGGTGTTTACCCAAGGATATCTAATGGGGCACATGCAAAACAAAATAAGTCATGCGTACTTTGCATCATACGTTTGCAAACCGGTGCCTTTCTCCTAGCAGACCTCTCTTGAGTGGTGACTAAGTTATATTTATTTAATTCTCATTTTAACCAAGTAGCACATTCAGTGGTCTCCCATGGGGTCTCCCATGGGGCCCAGTTAAAGAGAAGACAATGTGAAGAAATAACAGTTTTAGATGTGGAAGGAAAACCCCAGAAGAACATTCTGAGGAAAACCCAGGGAATCAGGCAGAGACTGAAAACCCAATCCACATAATGGTCCAGGCAGGAATCGAACCCGGGTCTCAGCGATGGAAGGCGAGGAAAATACTGCTCCCCAGCCCAACTCCTCTGCCATCTACTGTTCATCATTCATGGAGTCCACGTTGCTTGGTTTCCATAAAATCTAGCCTTGCTTTTTTAATGAAATTTTGGGTATTCATTTATCAAACTTGTTTATACCCTGGTGTGTAAAGTACAGTGTGAACAAAAAACCTCCTCTCTCTCATTCTTTCCAGACACCACCCAGTCAGACCTGGAAAGCTGTAAGAAGAATCCTGAACATCTGGCAGAGCAAGGAGACAGCTGCTCCTCCTAAGGAGACCACAGACCCTCCCCAAGATACCAGCTAGTCCTGAAGAGATTCTCCAATCCTGGAGACATTTTATTTTTATTAATCATTTGTGACCCAACCCAACAAGATGGGTCAAATATCGCCAGAGCTACTTTTGTATTATTGGCTGTTGAACAGAATCATTACAACCCTTTCACCCACACTATCCGCTCCGTTCGCAAGTACCCCCTCACCGGCAAAGAAAGTACAGTTGGGGGTGACCGACTGACGCCATCTTGCCTGACTGCAATTTTGCCGCGACGCGCGGCCGTACCGTTGCATGTACATTTTTGTACATAGTACAAATCCCCTGGTTTACGTGCGTCACACACAAGGAACGGTGCGCGTCAACCAGCTAAATGTCCCGCCCATGGGACGTCATTGCTAGGTAAAAGGGCGCCCTCTTTCATTGGCGCACGGAGCCCATAGAGTACCGAAGTGAATACATCACGCGCACAAAATGTGTGTAAAAGGCATTAAGCGCGTGACTCAGCCCATGAACCAACACGCGCGCATACTCCATTCGTTTACACTACACTTTCTGGTTCTAAATGACGTCACACTTCGGTACTCTATATTTGGGCATAATAAAATGTCACACTGACGAGCAATTTATGTATCCTACTGCAATTGAAAACTAATAAAAGAAAAATTGTCCATTAGTAGACTCATTTTGTGGGATCTGGTCATGTTTTAGTTATTTTAAAAATTTTGCTTTGATATCCGTGAGGCGTTCTGGCAAAATGAGATGAAAGTGGGCACAGGCTATAGTGGAGAAAAAAAAAAATTTAAAATTATTTTACGATTTTTAGAATTATCAATATTTTTGTAATTTTTGGTATGTCTACAACCAATATTTTAAAGTAATAGTATAAAAACTGTGGAATAAAAGTGTTTTTTAAGAAAAAAACCCAATTGGTATCTTTCATTTCCAAGACTTACAAAACAGTTGAAAATTTACAGGTCTTTTTCTCAGTATTTTACTTTTTTGACATGTCGACAAATGCGATATTTTAAACAGCCAAAAGTTGTCAACGGAATGTGACATGTCTAATTGAAGTGCAATTGTAAGGGGAATTTTCTTCTCTTTCCTAGTACAATGTACCTGCTAACTATCATTTCTAGTTCTGTCATGAGTTCTGTCTCATTTTGCTAGAACGCCTCACATTTTCTCATTTTTGTCTTGAAAGTCTGAATTTCCTGAAATGTTAATGGCGCTGGAGCTGTAACCTTGTGAAAATTTGTGAAACTGGGAATTGACTGAAAGCCCAATCCATGCGATGCCTCGAGTGGGATTCGAACTGGGGCCCGATAAATCATACTAACCTGTAAATTTAACTTTACAAAAGGTCACTGCACAGCAGGGAAATTTTGTTTCTCTTGTTTGCTTTTATTTTTTTTATTTTTTTTATTTATTTTTTAATTTATTTATTAATTGTTTTGGGACTGATTCATTAAGCACTACGCACACGGAAACATCTGCACCTCTCCAGATCCAACACCACACTGCATGTTTCAACCCCACTCATCGTACATGCGTGCGTGCCTGTCAGACGTTTGTGCAGACAGGTCGGACATTAATCAAGGCTGTGGTTTGTCAACTTGGAAGGAGGGGGAGGGGGGGCGCTTTGTGAATCGGCTTATTATGAGTCGGAGAGTCACAGCGCAACTTCACAGACATTGAAGAAATCGTAAACTGGAAAACAAGATGAAAACAGTCAGTGTTTTCACTTGAATAATGCCGGTATTTTTCTGGATGTCTCACCGAGTGATTTATCAAAATAAAAGAACTGAGTAATAATTGAAGAAATGGATCACTCTGTTTTTGTTTTTTTTCTGGAAGGGGGGGGGGGTCAGGGGTGAAGTGACTATTGGATTAACAACAGTAGATCTACAGCCTTTATTACAATCAAGTTTCTATGGAGACACATGTAGACCTAGCAAGTATGCTGTCAAACATAACAGAAGGTCACATAACAGACCAGCCTAGATATGAAAATGGGAACAGTAGAGGTGACAAAGTGTCATTTGTCAGACATAACTTGAGGTTTCTTAATTTTGGTGTTCATAAAATTGATTTGCTTATATTATTTTTGCTTTTTTAAAAATGTTTTTTTCATACTGGTTTCAGATTTGTTATATTTTTTTAAAATTCTTTATTTAAATAGAATTGGCTAAAAATTAATCCCCCCCAATTAAATGCTCAATCCCCCCATAAGGGAAAGAAAGACATATATTAAAATGACCCTGGGGCAGGAAGAATGAATTTCCTTCAAATGTTTACGTTTCTTATGTTTTAACCCGGATCAAAATTATATCCTTGGGGTAATAGCATTCAGAGTAAAAGAACCTTAAATTTCCTTTCAGTTTCTTGTGTGTGTATGTTTTGATATTTCTTACACCCTTTTTAAATTAATCAAGTTTTGTGAGTGTGATCTAGGAAGTCTGTACATGATCAATCTTGACAATAAAATAATAGAAAAACGGATTCCTTTATATTCCCTCATGGTGTGCAGTTTCTGATATTGTGTGTTGTTTCTGAATATCCGGAATAAAGTTTAACGGTTATAAACGTAAGACTTAATTGTGTGCTTAATTTTGAAATGATGATCAACAATGAAATAACAAAAAATGCACTGTTATGGAAATTGAAAACGGTAAGTATATGCAAATAATATATGCAAATAGGAAATATGCAAATATGGTACTTTAGTCATGTAGGACTTGTACTGTTTTCGTACAGTTTGAACATTCCTTGTACTGTTTATCCAGCAAGGCAGAGTCCAAGCCTTAAAACTCAATGGAAATGTAGAACCTTAAAAGATGTCAAAATATCGCAATTTTGCTTAGAAACAAATTTTCCAATCTGCCTACTGCAGCTGGTTACGTAATGTGTTTATGTGTGGTCAGCTGTTGACCTGGATTTCAATAATTATTGATAAGGGTCACGCAGTTTCAATGACCTTGAAGAATGACGTCAGCGTCACGTGCTCAACTTCCGAAATTGGCTGTTTAAGGGGTCAATAATTGTTGGTGTGGGATAAGTTGCAATTACACTTTTGTGAAAATCTGACGATAGGAATTAAAAAGATGAAAATAATGTTTTGATTTCCGAAATAATTATTTAAAGTAAGGTTTGTGAGCAGTGTTCCCCTTTTTGTGAATGAAATATAGCGAGATATGCGCAAAAGGGAATTAAGACTTACCCACTAGAAGTGGTATCGTCCTGCATAGTTATTGTTTTGGTTCGGTTCGGCTAACTTCGGTTTACGTTTTGTGATGTGTATATCGCGCAAGATCCTAGGGTGTATCTTTTCTGCACAGGAACAGCTGTTTTTCGACGAAAAAATTCACCTGATTTTAGCCCTTCAAAATGTCGTCACCGCCGCCGAATAAACGACGGATGGACACGGACGTAGTCAAGCTGTATCCTTTTGTTTTTCGACGTATTATTTTATGAATTTGGGGAGAAAAATGTCGGTGATTGAAACGGTCATTTTTGCACTTTTCGACCGCTGTCGATGCGGGTGTCTGTGTTGTTGGAAACTGCTGACGTCTACGTCTGTTTTGGGGTGGACCAAAAATATATCTTCAAAATTATAATACAATGGCCCCTGTTTGTTTTTCTTTTTCAATATAGTCGCCAGAGTCGTGATTTAGTAATTATGAAAACAATTTACGATTAAGTGTCTTTTTTTGCTTTTATAAGTTTAAGAAGGAAATACAAAAAATGAATAGGCCTATTCTGTTTTCTAAAATAACTTTTTCGTATTTTCCTGTAGTGCTGTGCACACTGTATATTTTGCTTAATGAATAGCGATGCATGTAGTTCATTACCGTTTGAACCATGAATTTCCAGTGAAGTGACGCATAGCCAAAATTTCGGTAACCGTTGCAAAAAAATAATAATAACCAAACAAACAAACAAATAAACAAACAAACAAATTAAATACACCAGAAAAGAAATTGGTAACGTTTTGTGGGTATTCTATCACCAAATAGTTGATTACCAACATGAATGTGAATTGCGAATGTCACAGAACATACACAAATTCAACGGAGTTGAAAAGTGTACAACTGTTGAGGAATTTAAAACATTTATGCTTGCTGTGACATCACAAATTACTGTTTGCTTTGCTTCGGTACTGGGAATGACCAGACCCGCGTCACAAAAGAGGATGGTGTATACATCCCTCTATACTGATTTAAGCGAATACTGTAAATCAAAGGAGTTACTGCATGAGCCAGGGTTAACATGATTTTAACATCAATAGGTGGGCGAGGACATCCAGGAATGTTTTACATTGGCTTATAAATCTAGCTCCCAGACCTATGTTCTTGGAACTCAATGGTCCATGAGTCTAGATTGTTGAATGGTAACGCAAACTGGTATGCAAATGAATAGATGTTAACATCAGATGATGTCAGCCAACCCTCTACCTATTGAATAAATTCATAACTGCTTAGAACAGAAAGACATTGCTCAGCAACAGTATGTAGGTTACCAGCCAAATACCATGTGATGTGCATTGCCTTTTAACTGGTTTCCAGCTGATTTTGCTTAGTAGCAAAAGGAGCTTAGCACGTTTTACCGCAAAGCACCTCCATGAAAATGGGCAAAGTAGAGTTAACCCTCATTTTCAGGAGGCCTGTCTGTACTCTTTCTGCCCCAGTGGGGTACTTTGTGGAAATAAGACAAGTCTGTAACTGAGTAAATATTTACCTATCGCGGTAGAATTGCGTTAACGCAGCTTGTGAAATATTGTCCAATTACGTGATACAAAAATGGACGCGGAATGCGCAAAATCTGAGTCAAACAAAACTTAACGTAAAGAATTCCATAGGGTTGTCTAAGGGATGGGCTAACTCGCAAACGGCGATACCGGTAGGTCAATTATACGTATGAGTTAAACATTTGCTTATTGCCCATCTTGATTTTTTAGATGTGAAACACGTAATTGCGTACATATTCATGTACCTATGTATGTACATGTATGCTTTGTACACTCAACAGCATTACAATTTTATAGGTAACATTATGTGTATTTCATGTTAATGAGCAATTAACATATAAAGTCTACAGAGGATGTGGCTGTTGTGTTGTGACGCTATCTTCATTATGCAGGTTGAGTTCTGTGGAGTCTATACAATGTGTATGATGTTAATATTCAGGAAGTGAGTTGTCAGTTTGCCAACTTTGCATTCATGTCTATATCAATAAAATAAGACTGGTGCCACATAAAATGTAGTTGACATGTCTGTGTGAGATATAGGGCCTACATTAGCTTCAGAATTATAGGCCTACACATTGTGATCCGTAAAGAACGTTTTCAAAAAGAAACAAATGTAGCTCGAATTATGACTATCGCTCTAACGGCTCGATTTTTGAGAACCTATTTTTTTTACCCCGAAATTCCTCCGTGCAGTAATAACCCAAAACAAAAAATTTCCATTGTGTACATGTACATGTATGTAGTTGTGTGGACGTTCGTAAGGTACTTTTTAACGATCTCTATTATCATTTCATGGTAAATTATGCGTTTTCGAGCCCAAAAGGGCGCCTTCTCTCAAGAGTTTTTTCATGTACATGAAGTCCATTTATAAAATCTTTCCCTAGTTTTAATGTTTGGTGATCGGACTGCGCAGTGCGTATGTACTGGTTTGACCTGATCTTCAAAATGACTTTACTAGCTGTGACTTGTTCCGGTGCTCTTCAACAAGTTTGATTTCTCTCCATAAATTTCAATTTGTATGTTTTATTCCAACCAAAAGAACTCTTCTCTTGTTCGGCGTCTGCAATCCTCCAAAAAAAAAAGGTTTTTATTTTGGGCAAAAAGTGATCTGCCTTGAGAACAGACTGGCTCCCGGGCCATACATTATTGATACTGGTTGTGGGACGGGAACCATCTTACCCTGCGAGAATAGAATTATTGTCGGGCCGCAAGCAATTTGACATTTTAGAGCGGCATTCCTCATGGAGTCCTCGCTACTCTGTGCATGTTATTAAAGTTGGATTCCCCATGCTATTTTCGAAATTCATCCTTAAAAAAATACCAATTTTGTAAATTGCTGTTTTTCTAGCATTACAAAAGTTATTCACTTTTTAATGAGACCTGCATCGACCCAAAAAATAAATTGGTCCATGTTTATTGAATTATTTACTTTACTTGCAAACACCCACGAAAGCTACCGTAGTGTGTAAAGGACATAGTGCATGAGTGCATTATTTGTGCATGTCTTTCACAAAGTATACACAACCATTTTCCATCTGAATATGCACAACCCTGTAGCATCTTCACAATAGAGCGGGCATGAATGTGTAGGGCACACAGCATAGGCATACATGTCTTTTTCACCTTTTTTGTACTTTTGTATGGAGTCCACAGGGAGATACGTAACTCAAAGAGGTGAATTGCCCCAAAAAACCTCCATGTCACCAAAATGGTCTCCATCAATTAATCAAAAGTAAAAGTAGTTATAGTCATAATGACTCATATTCGGTTTTGGATCTCTTAACGGCTGCACTGAATAGAAACCAACTGAATGTATGTATTTCACAATGTCCTATAGTTTACCTCAAAAACCTGCGAGATTTTATGAGAATACAGGACATCTGCTGTCCGGTCACCATGTATAAGATCTACAATGTTTGTAATGTTCTATTTTTGGCACTTACAGTATTTTGTGTTGAAAGAAAAGAAAGCAATATAATTTACAATATATTCGATGACTAAAATTATAAAATTAAAATTGTTGACTTCAACTTCCGTTCGATCAGTCAAACAGATAACAAGTGGGTAAATTCAAACAGGAGAGTCTGTGATAGACTAGTCAGTGTTTGATACATATACCAAGATGTGCACATAAAATGTGAATGTGGACTGGCAAGACTTACACGTACCCTCTATTGGCAATGCAACATCCTTATTACATGCACTGATAAAAAACATGTACAATTATGGCGAGACTTACACGTACCCTCTATTGGCAATGCAAAATCCTCATTGCATGCGCTGATAACAAACCTGTACACGCACTCACCCATCGTTTGATTTATTGCATATTATGATAGTAAAACATGGTGGAGTAATGTGGATGTTTATAAACAAGGATTTGCCCATGTTCAGTAGGCCTAACAAAATGAGTTGCATTTTGCCTCCATAAATAGACATGAGTCTATTTATTAACCACAGTCAAGCAATTCCGTAAAAATGTGCGTACATTAATGATGTGCATCGGGTCGGGTTGACCAGGCCAAACCGACCCGAAACATTAGAGATATAAACGGAATCCGAACCGAAACCGATCTTAACTCCCTCAAACCGACCCGACCCGACAAAAAATAAGGTACCGTAAAACCGACCAGAACTGACCCGAACCCGAACCGACCCAAAAACCCCAAATATCTGGCTTAACAAAGTAATCACTTTTTTGTGCCTGCCCTTGCCCACCTGGCATGAATTTGTTTGCAAAACCATCGTCTCTCTCTCATACTCAGTACGTGGGTTGATCGAGAGTAACTCCGCTTATTGACAAACGTATGGTATCACCACGAGGTATCATGAAAACTGTTACAATCTATCTATTTCACTGTCAGTCCCCATCTGACCCCAGTGATATTTACCCCCACTTCCAAAAATTAGAAAAGATACACCCCTAAAATTAGTTCTATAGCCCATCGCCATAGTGGAAAAAGATGCATATGCTCCATTTCGAAATAGAGCAAATTCAGGGCCCAATATTCATCCGAATTTTACAGAAACACAAATTCGCAGTCCTGTATACGGCAGCCATTACCTTCTTGTTTACAAATCCTCAAGTTCGTGGCCTACAAAATGCTCAAATACATTGTAGCAGAGAATTTCTAGGGCATGCAATTGGGATTTGGCAAGTGTAGGCATTTTTGGGCCCATTTACTGGCCTGCACCCTCGACATAACGTCAGCCCCACTTTTATGCATGCAGCCAGAATTTAACCAAACATGCCAAAGGTTATCCAGTGAGATATTGTTATTTTGGGGGCATAAAGCTTGATATCACCGTGTACTGGTGAGCGAGCAGATTTTTCATAAAAGTTAAGCTTATCCACTGTGATGTATGTAATGGAGCTTTAGGATTATGCTAATTTGATCGCATATAAACCAACAGGAATTAATAATTAGGCTATTGATAACCCCAACACCTATCCTGCCTATAAATAGTTTAATTAGTTGCCTAGCGTCAAGGTTTAATAATTGCCCAAAATAGTGTTTAAAGAGGCGTTGTATTTGCTCCCATATCAAGGTCCGTGAAAGATGTTATACTTATAGCTAAAGTTGAAAGCATGCTGGGGCCTTGTCCACAGGTAGCATTCTGTATGTAATTGCACACTTGGTGCATGGCGTCAATTCCTTTAACCTTTTCAAAACTACTAGTGACATCCGTGTT